TGCCGCATCACCAGCTGACCGACACCCTCGCCTCAACTCCTTGTTGTCACCAACATCCGCCCCGTTACCGCCCTTGGCCCCATCATGCGGCTCGGTGCCCATCCCACCCAAGCAGGGCTCAGACCCCAGCTGACTCCATGCCCCCGCCCTCATGGACACGGCGGATGCATTGACAGCATCAGCTTTCCCGATGCCCTCCCTCGCTCAACCAATCTACTGTCCACCAGCTGACCCGAGGGACGTACTCACTCTCAGTGACCGGACGTCCGCCCGCACAATGACCAACCTCGGATCACCATCCGCCTTCTCTATTACTTTTGATAACTACATTGTAAGCTGTATGCACACATTATATTAGTTGCGGATGGCCATTTTCAACCCCGTCAGGTCACCCGAAGCACATCGCCCCATCACCTGATGATCCGGTGGCCCGACGTACCTCCAGGTAGCAACCGTCCGGTGGACCGACGCCCGCGAGCGCGAGTCTACTGCATGGGCTGGAATGAAACAAACGAGTCCTTTAACAAGGTATATCTCCACCCGATCTCTGAATTATATATATCTAACTTCTTACCAGCTTCGTGCTATAATTCAACAGATTATCAGAGTTTCCGCCCACTGTGAACATTTCTGTGCGATTGTGGAACACCTCCAGATATCCCACCATAATGGTCTGCTGCCTGTGTTAGATATTCAAACACGTCCAGTCACTACTCTTGTTATGATTGAGCGCGCACTCCAGCTTCAAAAAGTAAGCAGATCACATTAGTATACCTTAAGACTTAAGCATTAGTACTTACCCTTAATTTGGATGCACCGGCTTAGGCAATAGATCTGTGGAGTGGCGAACACCCGGAGCTTGCAACACTACATATCAGTGCTGAAGATTGGGAACATCTATCTCATAGTAGACACATACTTGCAACTACTTTACAGCACTGTACTCGTATAACTCTGGAATGATACACACGACTGCAGCATCAATTTCTCCCAGATGAGCAAGCCCAAGATTACATAAGTTTACCGACTGAAGACTCAGGCCTCAGGAGTCGTGCACCCAAGCGTGCCAGCCCAAACACCCCCTAGTCTCGACTCAGTGTCTCAACCGTCCCCAACCCCCTAATAAACATCACTCCACACACCTGATAACATGGGAAGAACAGATGACGAACACGCTGCCCGCCAGACTCTTGTCGAAAGCATCAGCAAGCTGTCGAAGAAGCTGCCTGATTCAATCCCAATCGCTGAGAAGAGTGACGAGATCTACACCCTCATGACCGGCGCACAGGCTGGCCACGCATGGGACACCCTCCAGCAGCGTCTCGAGACCCTCATGAAAAGGGAGCCCAATGATCTCAATGGCCCATTCCGACTCCTTCGCCGCGGACGCAATGGGATGGAATACGTTGCAAACTACTTACGCAAGATGGTCTTCGAAAGCGGCATGCCACATGAAGCGTTGATGGGCCTGCTGAAAAGGCTTGAGATGGAGCTGAAGAAGGTAATGTGAGTTGTTAGCTTTATACATGGGTTCTGAAATCCGGCCGGCTGACCCACCGCTCTCAACGTCAGCCCTCCCGAGATACAGATAGTTCATGGTGACAGTCCACCAGCTATGCCCGCAAGCGCTACATCAGCGACCATCAATAAGAAGGCAAAGGAACCAGCACCCACTGTAGAGTCCTTATTGCGTGGTTACGGAGGAGGACATTTGGCGAAGGAGCTGTTTGGTCCACAAGGTGCGTTGGTGGCTAGTATTTCCATGCATTCCATTCTATAACCCCACAACTGTTAGAGCGTGAACTTCCAGGCGATTCTAATCGCGACAAGACGTACCAACCCCCCATCCATGCAGCTACCGACTCAGAGCCTTCAAGCGATGAAGAGGACGACGATTTTCACGAGGATAACACCAAGCGCGAGGGAACAGCTGCAAAGCGTGGCCGGACACGATCAGATGATGGTTCTGTAGCTGAAAGTATTCAGCTCCTTTCCTCACCTGTTGGTAACGCAAAAAACGCGAAGGGAAAGGGAGTAGCAGCCGGAGAGAAACACTCTCAGTCGAAGAAGCCAGTGAGTACTAGTTTGTTTGAGCGACTGGGGTGCTGTAGTTCACCTCAATACTACAGTCGAAGCGCGCTAGGGTCGAGACCAGCTCTGACGAGAGTAGCTCCAAGTCCGACGCAGACGTGCAGTCTGACGGTCAGAGTGCGCTTCGCTCTGTGAAGTCTCGTGAAGCAGCCGCACGACCCGAGGGAGCGAGGGGTCCAGTAAACAAGTCCCTTGAGTTCTGGGAAGGGCCGACTGCTGTGGTTTCAGGTGGCAAGAGGCGATGGAAGTTTGTATGCAAGATCTGCAACAAGTGAGTACTAAGTATCTGACGCATAGCTCCGTGAATAAACCATTCCATGGTGATGTTAGAGCTCGTACCTTTCGACGGAACACAAAATCGACGAACTACGGCGATGAGAAGAAGCACGAGCCTCTTTCTAACTTGGCGGGGCACCTGCAGCAGCACAAGGACGAGGTAAAGAAGGCGAGAGAAGCAAAGGCAGTAGACGGTGAGAACACCGACACTGCCCAAACCAGCACCGATAATGCGGCGCTTGTTCGCTCGAAAGCGATCATGGCCAAGCTTTTAGAGCAGGGACGCCTCCATCCTTCAAAGTCTACCTCTGAGCCTGGTTTTCATCGCCTCTTTGTCGCGTATGTCCTCGAGAGCAATAGCGCATTCACCGCTGGCGAGGCGCCAGCATTGCAGCTGCTCTTTGACTACATCAAGTGCCCTTACAAGTTACCGACAGACACCACGGTCAGCAACATTGTGACACGGATGCACACTGACCTTCAAGGCTGTATTACCAAGGAGCTGGCAGTGAGCTGGTTATATCTAGCAGACGATGATGATGCATCTAACCCCAGTTTGAAGGATGTACCATCTAAGATTGCGTACAGTAACGACAACTGGACAAACTCGCAAATGATCTTCACGTTTTCGGCTACTCTTGCAACATGGATCACCAACGACTGGACCCTATGCTCTCGGGTAATCGACTTTCGGCACCTTGGAGCAGGCGAGCACTCAGGGGTAGGCTCAGCGAACGCATTCTGGGACGCTGCTCGGACCATTGGCAGTGCCAACAAGATAAGTTCCACAGCCCTCACCCGCCATATCAAGCCTAACTTTTGCAGTACTTAATATCAATTACCATGGACAATGCTGCGTCGAACGCAGTCTTTGCCAAAACCGTTGAGAAGCTGCTACAAGAACGATACGGGATTCCTTTCCACGCTGGAAATGGTCAGATCCGCTGCCTGGCCCATGTCATCAATCTCGTGGTCCAGGCAATGCTCGCCTCTCTGAAATTCATTGATGACGACCCCGATAGCCAAGACTACTACGACTATCTCAACAAACACCTCCCGCTCGAGTTTACAGCTGAAATCGAAGATGAGGATCTCGGAGCAATCGAAGAGGACGACTATAGGGGCTCGAACAGCAGTGATTTTGAACCGGCTGCTCTAGAGGAGACAGGAGACCTCTCACAATTATCGGCCATTGAAAGGGTGCGTATCGTGCTTGCAGCAGTTTTGGTCCCATTACTTACGAGTTCATGACTAGCTTCGAACCACCGTAATCAAAATCATCAGTTCACCGTCACGTCGCCAATCATTTCGTGAGATCACCACACGTACGTACGGTGTCAATGAAACACTTCCAAACGGCCATCCTATATGGCGACTCATGCCCATACGTGATGTTCGTACCCGGTGGAACTCGACGCACGCCATGATGGGCCGAGCCCTTATCCTCAAAAAGGTGCATGTTTTCCCGGGTTTTGACTTGTTTCTCCACTAATCTGTGTTGATAGGCGATTAATAGATGGGTTTTGGATCACGACAAGCTCTCAGATTTATATCTCCACATATCTGACTGGGAAGAAATTGAGATGGTTCATAGCCTTCTAGAGGTACATGTTTTGCTCATTTTGTTTCATGGCTATTTTCGGCGACTAGCTAATATACACACAATCAGGAATTCGCTGAAAACACGCACATCATGTCGACAGAGGGTATTGCCACACTCCCACTCGTGTTACCACCTGTGGTTCCCACGTCAAAGGGACTTGCTAGATACGTGATCGGACGCTATTTACACATCTAGGGAGACTATGAAATACGTCCTCCCGCGCTTGCTGCTAACTTGCTGCTAGCAGGTGCTGGACTTAGAGGAATTCTCGACGCGTTCCCTCCCCTCAGCAGACGGGACAGGTCCGAACTCCCGGCTCCAGTCCCCGGCATCTCGGCCATCCCTCCCAAACGGAAATGGGAGCCCCTAGCTGTCATCCCCTTGTCGGATGACAGCTGGTGACAGCCCGGGACCATTGGCTATCGTCGCCGGCGACGACGAGAGCCTATTTGCTCGTCGCCGGCGACGATGAGCTCGCATATCTCAGCTCTAAGACGTCCCCCGGGCTCCGGGCTTTTGATATTATGATCTATTATGTGAATCTAGTCGATATAAAACGTATGGTGTATCAATAAATATCCTAGGGGTCCTCAGACCCTAGTGTAAAGATGGCGTTGATAAGCTCCTGGGTGTCGTCTACGTCGTCTACGCTGTCCGGGGATGGCTCCTCATCATCATCATCTGTGTCCTCGAGATCGGACTCTCCCTCCAGCATGGGCAATCTCGAGCAAGATGACAGAAGGGTTGGGGGAACAATGGGGCAAGGGGTAGATGCACTCTCGCCGAGCCCCGTCTGCGCGCCCTCGCCAACGTCGATTGAGCCGGTAAAACCTTCCAGCTTCGCGATGTCGCGAAGCCTCTTCCAGTGATGTTCGTTGCAGCGAGCGCGGACACTGCGGTACACGGCAACCTGCATAGCAAGCGGCGCGTGAAGGGGACGCAGTATCTCCTCGCATGCTATAAGATACCGGTCCTCGTCGTGCAGGTATGTGGCCATGCGCTTCACCTCGACGTCGAGGCGCACGATCTCCTCGCGCGCGCGGCAGATCTTGAAGTGTAGATCCATGGTTGAGCGGGCAGCTGGCTTTGCCCAGTCACGAGTCGAGATATCCTGTCGTGTATCGCGAAGGAGGTCGAAGTCGGCCAGAAACGCGTAGTTCACGACGTCGTCCCAGGAGAGATGACTGCGAGGTGGATTCAGAGCAGCAGCAGCGATGTTGTATTTCTGCAGCGCCGTGCGTATCGCTGAAGCGCGCGCCTTGAGTGCCTTGCCGATATGCTGTCGTAGTGCATACCCTATGACACTTATTATCAGCTAAACCAATATACGTTGATATTATCATTTTCGTACCCATTCCTGGCTTGTTCATGCTGTTGAGCTCGAAGATACGAGCCACAATGAGCCCCTCGAGCTTGTCGAGCGCTCGCTGATACGAACGCATGGCGACCATGCGGCCGGTCTTCACCCAATCATCACTCCCCTCCTCCCACCGGTGCTCTACCTCGAGCTGGCTCTCCAGCTCCTGCACGACGCGCATGTCCCGATCGTAGTTCTCCTGTGCATGCCGCCGGCGCACACCGTCGGAGCGCTTGCGAGCTGCTGGGGTGTCGTCCGTCCACGTGCTTGGATCGGGCAGGGTGTCCAGGAGCGTTCTGATGTACAGGTAAGTAGATGCCGCGCAAATAAAGAAAGTGAAGACGTACTTGCTGTCTCGCAGGTTCACCAGCTTCTCCCAGTACTCCATATGTAGTGTCTCCTCCGCGGGTTCCTTTTCGAGGCTCCTGAGGTAGGTCTTCTCCTCGGCGAGCCATGTCGCAAAGATGGACGCGTTGGCTATCTTCATCCGTCTCATCTCAGCGTCGAGGCTTGGGACACCTTCGCGGATGATCTTGAGGGCTTGACGGTAGTTATTGTACATAAATGTGGCTATTAGATAGGACGTCAGTGCAATGAGATAGTCAGATGGCTTTAAAACCTACTTAGGGCGGGATATACATCAAACTCGTCCGAATAATGCAAGTAAGTGTCGATGTATTGTTGGCGGTGGAATGCGTTGGCGTGGCGAGTTGTTCCAGCAAGGGGGTTAGTCTTTGAGTACTTACGTTCGCATCCCTCGAAGTCTTCTAGGCCAATACCTTCGACATATGTTGTGAGATAGTCAACCTGACACGCACGTCGATGTGCATGTCCATGGAAGGCGCCGACAAGGCACGTATGATTGAGTTTTCGCACCAGATCCCCGAGGCGACTCTTGAGGAGGGTGGTCTTGAACTTGCATCCAATGTCGTAGCCTACGCAGAGATTCTTTCCGAATACCTTGAGCATCCGCTCGACAATCGCGATGGGGTACTTGGCCCTGCAGACCATATTATATACAGCGAAGAAAATAATCCGAACAAACTCACAGTTCGCCGCTCTTGATCATGTCGACCACAAGGAGAGAGAAACCGTGCCGGCATACAGCGAGAAATATACCTGTCTCGTCAAAAACGCTCCACATCTTCTTTGTAATATCCTCTTTCATATTCTTCCATCTCCCAGCGCACGGATTGTCAATCATCTCCTGTAAATATCGTGTCAGAGAAATCGACCGATAAATTTAGAGCCTGAGTAACACATTTACCTGGTCCGTAAGCGCCTGGTCTAGTGTTGCATTCGCCCACCCATTGACTTCCTCGCGATTGATGTAGCGATCCGAGCGAATCTTGAGCTTGGTTGGGAGATCCGAGGCCGAGTAGCCATGTACATCCGGGTTAGTCGTGCGTTTGAATGCGCGTTTCAGTGAGTCATTACCATCCATCGTATATAGCAACGAGAACTTGAGGTCTGGTTCGTCTTTGACGCGGTATGTGCAAGGAGGGCAGACGTGTGCCAGGCGCCAATCTGGCGACTCCCTTCGTAATGCGGTACGGACAAGGTCTTCAACACAACCAAGGACTTGCAAGTATATGTCGAAAGCGATAGAAAAGTGGCGAGGAAGCTGGGGGTCAAAGATGACCTATCAACCGCAGTAAGCACTTGCTAGTGTAGATTATAGGAGCACTCACTGCGTGAAGGTCGCACGTTGTTTTAACAAAGGCCTGGATTGAGAGGTGCGGATCCCGCATCTTTGTAGTGCGATAGAGGTCCAGGGTGCGAAGAGAGACTGCATTCTTGGGGTTGTCGGGGGCACAAGGGATGAAGCCTTGCCTCACAATTGCGGGCGCAATGTCTCCGTCGGCGGGAAGGCGGAGGTCAGACGTACTCACAACTGTACAAAAATAGCTGGTGAGAGAAACACCAGCGTTTAATTAATAGAAAACACGCACAAAAGATGTCTACGAGCTTTAGCTTCTTTGTCTTGAATATCAAGTCCTCCATCTCTGTGTCTACCTCCTCACTCTCTCCCTCTGCTCGGTGCTCATGCCAATACCAATCGAGGTACGCTTTTGTGAGTTCGTTGATTTGCCGCAGATACAGGTCATCTCGCCTTTCAGCGCGTGACTTGCGATGACGCAAATCGCGTCTTCTACAGTGAGATAGTAAGTCATATCTTATACGCTACGAGGAGTTAACTCACGGTGTCTTCTCCTCCTTCAGCTGCTGAAACTCGCCTCCTGCATTACTCAAGGGTAGAGCAGCACTACCGTTGAGGATGTCATCTAGATTGAAGTTGTCATTGTCCTCGTCGCCGGCCACAGGACTAGTATCCTCTACGCCTTCGGAGGACAGTCTTTCTTTACGAGCCGCGTCAACCAAAGCAACTAGTGCATGTTTCTCGCGTGCGGACATTGCTAACATAAAGCACGGTCAGTCCTCCGATTTATATGTGCATAGGTGAGATTCCACTAACCCTGCAACTGTGCCTCGCGCTTCTTTCGGGCCTCTTGTTGGGCCTGTATAGGGAGCAGCTGTTCGTGTCTTGATTTGATGCGAAGGCCGTATTTGTCAATGGAGGATGAGGGTACACGAACTCGGTTGCTAGCACCGGATTTATGCCTTCCCTTGGATTTTGAGGCGGCCATGCTTTTACGGCGACGGCGATAATGGATAACTTATATGCTAGTTTATTTCGACGCAGTGCCGTCGCCGGTTTTGCAAGGGCACTGATGGCAGCATAGAACACGTGATTGGGTTGACCTCGCCTTAGTGCTCCTCCCCACACCTCAGCCCGAGCCATAGTCAGCCCAAATGCGCGTTACAAAGACAACAACCAAGACAACCACCACCACCACAGTTCACACTGTGTATGAATACACTACTCCAGGTCACCCTCCCTACCCCGCGCCTAGCTCACACCATCCAACCGCACCTAGAACAGTCCGATCAGAGCCCCCAGCTAGCCATCCATCTGCTCGCAGCCCTGGACCACCATCGCAACCAGATTGTCTGGTCACCCCACCTTCAAGTACGAATCCATCGGTTATAGGCTCAGTGAAGTAAGTGTCTATACATTGTGTATGTCCTCTGACACTGATCTACCCTTTGTAGTGCACGTCTGGTCCCTCCGGTGCAGCCCGACCCTCCGCATCACAACGTGCAGAGGGTGCATACATGGATCCAGAACGTTGCTCACGCTGATAATGGTGTTCAGAATGTGTGCCCCCCGGATAGGCTCCCCCGTCGCCCAGATTGGGCGGAGAAGTCCTACGTCGTGTATGTGGGGCTTGAAACGGGTATATTCTTCACATGGTATGTGTCCACTACAGTTGGACGACGGCTGTACATCAACTCACTGCTCGCTCTTGCAGGCCTCAAGCTGATGAACGCGTCAATCGTGTTCCGAGCGCCCGGCACAAGAGTTTTCGTGAACATGCAGACGCGGTCCGTTACTACCAAATGAAATATGATTCCGGTGAGGTTCGCGCAGTTTACGTGGAGGGTTCGCGCTTTTGGGAGGGTCGAGAGCACGGCTAGACGTCTGGGATAGGCACAACCTCCTCTTGTATGTCTTTGAATGAGCGGGCATCACATGAAGTGTTCGAGCTATAGACTAGTATCCACTATGTACATGTACCTTGGGGGAAGCAGCTTGTGTACAACAAAAAACCTATGTGTCCTACTTCCGATCGGCCTGTGTGAGCCTGAACGTGTTTTACACCATGTACAGACAGATTACGGGACAAAGGTAGATTTATAACCTATGCTAACTTGATGTGCGTGCACAATATGAGTCTAAATGTGACGTACGATTCGCAAGTCGCGTCTGAATAGATGTGCACATTGCTACCTCCAACGCATTAATGCATGTCATTTAACGATAACCACCATTGCAATATATCCAGTAGGGTTTCATACAGGTTTTCTGAACCGTCGACTTCAGATTCCAGCATTAATATGTCATGATTGGAGTATCCCAAACGGTAACATAGCGGGTGTGCCATGCGTTCGCTATACGTTCGCTATACGTTCGCTATACGTTCGCTATGTGTTCGCTATGTGTTCGCTAACGTTCGCTATTGTTCGCGTGTTCGCTATGAATTCCGTGTGTTCGCTAGATGTGTTCTCTATCAAGTTCATTGACCTTTTGCAACACGCTTGAACATTCCTCAATAAAGATTAAAGTGAAGTAATTACACTAACGATCACTGTAAGGAGTACTCTGTACGTTTTACATTTCCCTAGCCAGTTGCCTGGCCTCCTTCCGGCACGTCGCCTCATCCATTCGTTCAAAAAACCTCATTTCGGTAACAAGAGCTACCAGAGTGTCAAAAACATCCGTGTTGAAACCCTCCTCATCTTGATGTACCATGTTTCGCATAGCATCGACGATAGCCCATCCACTCTTGACATGATTGCGGAAATCCTCACCCATCTGCTTGAACAGGGGGTTGTGGCTGTCGCTCAGGGCCTTGGACAGTAATTCTTGATATTTGTCTACCCATGTCTCCTCAGGGCCCCAATCGTAAACCCATGAATCAAAGGCGTGCATTGCCTCATCGAATGTCGTGATGGTCCTGGGATCAGTGAAGGGTTTAGCCGGGGTAAACTCATCTCTCTCAGTGCGTTCGGCACACTGTCGAGCAGATGGGAGCTGTTGAGCCATTAGTTTTTTCCTAAGAATTGTTCAGCGGGTATCAGAGAACGTGTTCAGGTTACAGGGACATACAAGGCACGATTTCTTCGTGGATGTCGTCAGGTAAATATCGGCATAGATTGGCAGCTGATGTACTCACTTTCTCATGCGTGCTCTTGCCTTGGCGTTCTGTGCATCTCGAACTCTGTAGTGGAAGTGAACAATGTCACGAGGAAGGTAGATAGATGGTCAACATAGCTGAATTGGCTTGTTTATAGCAGTGGTGTAGACGTACCCTTGCTGAGACAACCAACGCTCAGTGGCTATGCGCTGCCGTTCAGCCTTAGAAAGCCTAGATCTGCCCCTGGGGGACATTGCTTATCACAAGGTCAGCGAAGTAGAGGCACACGAGATGTCAGCGTACCTGCGATTTGATTTCCGTTGTGCTGCAAAGGTAGACAAGCGCCGGTGAGCGCTCATCTCTGTGCGCTGAACTGCTTAGTCATACGCACCGCCACAGCCGTAGCCTGCAATCGTGCCGCATAGCGCCGCGGCGTGTGCTTTGCGGACAAGTTGAGGCCCGTAGCTGAATGTCCCTCTTATTTTCATAGCCCTTTCCAGCGGCAAACGTGTGCCACCTGTATAAGACGTGGGCTATTCAAGCATAAGTATACACTGTTGCTGATAACATAGGAGATCCTATACTGGCCATGTTGCTTGCATGTCACGGTCTCAATAGACGGAAGCAAATTTGTCGATCACGCTCGACCATACTGACGACGTAGGGTTCAAGAAACTTGGACTGGGCTGTAGCATGAAAGCTCTGAGAGCGGGATAACGTCCAAGCTGGTGGGTCTATTCGTTTTGTCTGATAAATCCCTTTCTCGCATCAAATCGACCAGGAGGCAGCACTAGCACTACTAAATTCTTTAATCCAGGACTTAACCCATACTTGGAGCTGCATTCTATTAACGAGCTACTATAGGTTTGTCTCAGATCACGGCCTCCATTGGCCCTCCAGAAACGGTGTGTCTACGATACATTCATGTTCCAGCATGGCTACTGGTGTTGGCCTTCGCATTATGCTAATAAAGATAGTTTTCCGTAGGGTGTAAGCCTCGGCGATCAGTTTCAGATAGCACGAACACACGATCAATCTGTCCCCATGATTGTGAAGGTGTGTGTAGTGCCATATGTCTCTGTGAGTGAGTTCTACTTTCCTATGTTCTTCCTATGGCCATGCCTGCACACAGACTTAGACGCGCCTACTCGCGTCTGCGTCACGTGCCGGCACGCAGCGCGTCAGCTTTGCTCGCTTTTTGCTGGCTAAAGCGCGATTTTGTTTGTTGACCTGGCTGTCGAGCATGCTAATTAATAAATAATTATGTTTTCTGATATAGCTGAGCCCCCTCCTGCGTGTCCATCTACCTACCGCGCGTTCACAAAATTCGCCCTCCCAAGACCACTCCTCGAACCATGTCTGCTCCTCAGGAAAATCTTCCTCACACCAACTCTCAGTACATGCAAGATGGTGCTCGAAGACAGTCACGCCAGGAGTTCAACAACATACAGCTCCCCCCCTTCCGATATTCTGGGTATCCTGCGGACGTGTCTTCTTATCAAAATAATCTGACACCCTCCTATCCCGCATATCCGCCTCAGTCGCCCCCCTATGTCTCCCAAACACCCTCCTATTACCCAGCGACACCTTCCTATTATCCACAGACGCCGTCTTATCAAGAATACACCGGTACAATGCACTACAACAACGCCGGCGTGTCCCCATATATGCCCCTTTATAGATCATCTTCACCCTCGAGCCAGTATATCCCGTCCGGGCTCCTAGCATCCCCTCGACTCCCTCCCTCCCCTCGGTTGCATCAAGGCCGCGACAACAGCCCTGTTATCCCTGCTCAAGCCCCTTACGGAAACCTAGCCACAGAGGTCGTTTTGACCCCTCCGGCCTCCTCTGGCAGCAGCCCACCGGCCAAGGGAGACGTCGACGTCGAGGGCCTAGCCAGGGAGGCTGCCATGGCTGCGTGCGACTTCACGATGCCTCCACTTGACGACCTTGACGAGGACACAGACGACGACGACACAGACGATGACGATGACGATGAAGAAGACGAGCTGGATACCAGCCATATCACGGCATCTGATGAGTCGTGGAAAGTTCGCAACCCCAATCGCCCTGTCATCCCGTCGAGGCCCGCCGCCGCCCCTCTCACAGCAGAGCAGAAGGCTCAGCGCTCTGCGAGGCGTAAGCAGAAAGCCGAGCGGGACGAGGCGCTCCGTAAGGAGATCCTTAAGCTCATCATCTCGGATGAGGTCATCCAACGCCTCTCTCGGCAGTTCGACGTCCCCATCAGGACTATCGAAAACATGATCTTCCGTGCACAGGAACGGAAGCACCGTACGGTCCGTCTCTATAATGCCAAGCTACATTATGAACGCGCCCATATCATCTATCCCGGTGAGTATGAATTTGATCGCATATCATCAGTAAAATATCGGGCTCACCTCTCAACAGATAACCTTACCCCACCTCAAAAAACGAAGTTTCTTCACGCGTACGTGAAAGCGAAGACCTACACACGAGAGCAAGAGATTCAGATGGTGCAGGAGCTGGAGGATGATCGTGAAAGGCGACGCAACGCCGTCCGATGCTCTAATCGCGCGGCCAATCAGGACGTCATCCATACGACCAACCGCATCATCGCGCTGGTAAGTATCTTGTCGTCCGATTTGGGGCTACGCTAATCGTGTTAATTTTAGCTCGATGCTCTGCGCACGCGTACAGGTATTTACGCCTGCGTGATGATCGTTCGAGGTCATATCAACGACCCCATGCAACCCGTGCTTTACGGTACCGACAACTCCAGCGAATTTTTCCACCACTCCTTCGACAAAACCCCCGACCAGATGATCCGGATGTTTGAGCAGTGGGCTTGTAACCTCGCCGAGAGTGAGTGTCCCTAGGTTTTGGTACTATTAATGACTAATTATGTTTAGACCTTGATCAACGTGAGAAGCGCGACAAGCTCTCCGTCCATCAAGAATACTGCGTGGCTTCCATTGAGGCCCAACTCCGTGAGTCCGTCCGTGTACACATTCATCTAAATACTAACAAAGGCTTAGGGTTCATGACAGGGCAGAACACGCGAATGAACTACAAAAATTACCAGAAGAAGATCGTCCAAACGCACGGAATTACACTCGAGGGCTGGCCAGAGGACATCACGATGAAGCGGCCGCATCTTATTACTCAGGTGGGCGACATCAAACGCATCCGCGAAGCCCTTGAGAGCCGCAAGTGCTTCTGGCAATCGCTCGATGGGAAGCGCAACTCAAAGGGCTTTGACGCTGCCGCCCCCGTGAAGCGTAAGATGCAGCAGAAGAAGCAATCGGCTCCAAGGAAGAAGAAGGCGACCGGCGGAAAGGCCGCTGGCCCTAAGAGTGCCGAGATCATCGAAGCCTCCGATGAGGAATGAGCAACGGTATGTTATTCCTTAGCCTCAACAACATCCCTACTCATGCTTAGTTGTTCTTCAGCTTTGTCATTTGGTACATACCTGCTGCAGTCATTAATAAGTCCTTCCCTCGCGCGCGTTCACATTTCATGCATAGTACTGTTATAACTATATGTATACATATAATACATTCATTTATCCTTACCCTATACCAAAAGCCCGGAGCCCGGGGGACGTCTTAGAGCTGAGATATGCGAGCTCATCGTCGCCGGCGACGAGCAAATAGGCTCTCGTCGTCGCCGGCGACGATAGCCAATGGTCCCGGGCTGTCACCAGCTGTCATCCGACAAGGGGATGACAGCTAGGGGCTCCCATTTCCGTTTGGGAGGGATGGCCGAGATGCCGGGGACTGGAGCCGGGAGTTCGGACCTGTCCCGTCTGCTGAGGGGAGGGAACGCGTCGAGAATTCCTCTAAGTCCAGCACCTGCTAGCAGCAAGTTAGCAGCAAGCGCGGGAGGACGTATTTCATAGTCTCCCTAGATGTGTAAATAGCGTCCGATCACGTATCTAGCAAGTCCCTTTGACGTGGGAACCACAGGTGCGTGTTACCCCTGTATCACCAGATGCGGGAGCATCTCGACAAGTATATCAACAATGCCGCTGGCGAGCATCCTCTCAAGATTCGGGAAGCTGCCGCCGCTGGTAAGGTCAAACTCATGTATTACTTTGGTATGGCAAAACGCTGCCAGCATAATATCATCTCAACTGGTAAGCTCACTCGCTTTCTACCTAATTGCATATCTTCTGCATTTGTCGAGCTCACTGTCACTATTTCAGTACTCCACCCCTATTTCCGCACCGAGTGGTTCCAAGAACTCGACCCAGACGAGAAGAAGCGTGCCACCATTGTTTTCGAGACAGTGTACGATGTCTACTCGAAAGAGCGAGCCCCGAGAACTGCCCCTCCTTCGCCTGTCAAGCGCCCACAGCTGAAGGCAAAGAACCCGCTCGCAAAACTAAGTTTTAATCCCCCACCCGCACCCACACCAATCAATATGCCTGTTCGCACTGAATTTGAGCGATGGACAGATGGCGAGGGTGGTTTCTTGGACGATCTGAGCCAATCACTTGATTGGTGGAAGGTATGCTTCATCGCTTTCACTATACATTTGATAGTATTCTCACTTTGCATTTAGGAGCATAATTCTGACTTTCCTGTTATTGCTTTGATGGCACGCGACTTTTTGGCGATACCTGCTACTTCGGTGTCTGTCGAGCGTCTATTCTCAGGTTCACGTCATGTATGTCGCGATTCTCGTTCCTCGCTCAAGGCATCAACAATTACTAAGGTTATGTGTACGAAAAAATGGTTGGAGGATCCTGACTTGTTCTTCCAAGCTGTTACAAAGACTAGATAGTGTTATGTAAACTGTTTATAATCGAATACTATACACGGTTTATTCGAATACAACTGTTTCTGTTTAAATTTACACTAGGGTGTATACGTAAACTAAATGGTTGGAGCCCTAGGTCTCCCGGAGGCTGAACCCCTCGGGAGCTTCTCTGCTCGCCTCCGGCTCGCCAACCCCTCCGTATGACCTATCTGCCCCCCGAACCTATAGGGGGGGACAGACGGTTATGGAAGGTGCGTTCAATCTCCGACTTTCCACGCCACCGCGAACTTAAGGTCGAAAAAGTACAGTATACGCACACAAATTTGAAGACCGCATCTCAACCGCTTCTAACGTCCCTTTTACCGTCTCCTACCTTTTATCACGCTCCGACCAACTATATACATGTTATCGCCTATCATAGGGCCTGGCCACAGGGGATGTAAAGATTGATGATAATAATACGAACATAGAATATGTTTTGAGAGGATGCCCAAACACGGACTCTTTCGTGCTACGGCGGTAGCTACGCGGATCAAGGCCACGTGGAAGCTTCAACTCCGCTTTCGTTTTCCGCCAATAGCCGACGGCGGCGACTCTGAGTCGCAGCCACGATAGTGGCATACCACAAGGGAGGTGGTCAACGTCAACTCTCCAGCATGCATCAAGCGCTCGCCTTGCATGAGATTCTGCAAGATATCTTTGGCCACCTTGGCGATTGGACAGAGTTTGTAACATATCCCTCGGAGCGCAAACGAACCCTAGCCAGCCTCGCACGGACGTGCAAAGCTTTTACGAAGCCTGCTATCGAAGAGCTATGGCACATGATGGATGCTGTGGGCATCTTTCAGAATTTGATACCTCACCGGCGCATCATGAGATGGCCGGGAGGCCCGGATCCACTTGGATGGAGTGTTCCTTCACAGATGCAGGTCTGGATTGTAAGCACGCATTCGTCTGATCTCCACCCACCGTCTTCTCATCGAGTCCACTGATATCGCACTTCAGCACGATATCAAGCCTTTATCTATCGCTGAGCAGGCAAGGCTCATGTCTTACACGTCATGCATCAAGAGGTTGTTCCTCCCTTCAATTCGATCAGGGCTACCGGTAGCTGCCCCAGCCCTTCAAGTGCTTCTATCTCTGCCTGGTGGTGTCGAGCAGGCGTTTCCCAGGCTCAAGGAGATCTCTGTTCTTGACATATTTCCCGGTGCTCTGACATCCTATGAGCCGTTTATGCAACACGCTACATCGCTCAACTTTCAGCCCTCGAACATTGATAAGGGAGCCTCGTTACTGCCGCCTTCAATATCTCAGGTTCTACGTCCACTCCATCATCTACGATCATTCAGCTGTGAATACGTTGATCCGCCTACGCTACTGCATCTGTCACAGCTCCCGTTTCTCACCAATCTCTGCAACCAAAATGTTCTTGACATCGCGTCCACCCCGGTGCTTGTATTTCCTGCGCTTCAATCTCTTGAACTGGACTTGCGCGATTTCGCACAGTCACTTTTTCTGGTGAAGAGACTCGCCTGGTGTCCTTCCTCGCTTCATATTTTCACGCTCAATTGCGTGCCATCTCTGTTTGATTCGGAAGAGATGTTCAGCATCATATCCAAACATCCAGCTGCTGACCTCAGAAGCCTCTCCGCAATGTCCTTTGATGACAGCAGCGTCGATCTCAACACTTCAATGACGCTCGACACCATAAAGCCGCTCCTCAGATTCTCAAATATGAGGGTCTTTAACTGGTGCTTCCCCTGTCTCGTCGACCTCGGGGACTCGGATATTTTGGCAATAGCTCACGCGTGGCCTAACCTCCGTCGACTGTGCATCTCCTCTAATGCTCGTGCGGATACCCACAAGCCCAGGATCGAAAGCCTGTTTGCAATGGCACAGCAGTGTCCTTATCTAGAGCACCTAATGCTGTCTTTTGCCATCTCGGAGCTCAACGACATACCACCCGATCATCTTGCTGACGGCTTCACGCATTCGCAGCTGCGGAGTTTGCATTCGACCTGCGCCACATCCTGTGCGGACGAGGACGAGCTCGTCACTCTCACGATCATCCTTGGGCAGGTGTTCCCTGGGCTCGGGTACGTCGGCGGCATCAACATTGAAGAACCGTTGAGACAAGTCGCGGCGGACGTTGTCTCGGACTCGTCGACGGGTGTGTACATAAACGCCGCGCTCGGCACATTGCGTCAGGCGAGGGTGGACGGAAAGATACGGTCGTGTGCGGGCGAAGGTGTGAGAAGGATGGTGCGCGGGGCTTTCGAACGCATGCGTGGTGGGTGTCAGACGGCTGAGAACGTAGTCTGAGCCACCTCGGAACGAAAAGACCGGACGCTCGAACTTTCACGCTCAAACAGCTGTGGTCTCGCTTTACACGTGAAGCGCCATCCTGTCTGCTCTCGATTCTACCTCAGAAACACTGAAATTGAGCAGCGTTGTGTTTCTCTTCCTCCTCATGAGCGGGTCTTAGATGCTTCTCTTACCCGTTTGAACAGCTGTTGCGTGTTTCAGGACAATGTATATCGAGAGGAAAGAGAAAAGACGGGAGTCTGCGCCTGACACCAACAAAGTGCGAGACGGGCGCTTTGAGAGTAATTTGCGACTTGAGGGGACGTTGGCTGTTGTAATCGCAACTCTTCGAACAAACGCAGGTCTCATCTTACCCCGATACGCCCTAAGGAAAGGAAATATAATAAGTTTCGTGCTGAGGCAGAGGCCAGTCTCCCAGTTATAAATATATCTACGGGTATACATTATAGCATACATGCATGCGGAGTCCAGCAGCATTTTTGACGAACTTTTCCATCGAACCACAATCGCATCGCACACCAGGCCGATGCTCACTCGCAAACGACGCCCCACTCATGCGTCTCCCGCCCCTCCTGAATCCTGAGAATCTTCGTCCGCAGCGCCCTCGCAACGGGCCCAAGCCCGCCCTCGTACGTCTCCACGAAGATATCCGTCCCGTCGAACCCGCACTTCATCCCATCCTCGGTCACACCCTCCCCAGGCGCGGGCTTGGGCGGCGCATCCGCCGGCTCCTCGCCGAGCTCCTTCAGCCCCTCGGGCCACCCTATCCTGTTCACGGCGCACACAACAGCCGCCGTGCCAACACAAAACACTTCGCTCAGGCGGCCCGCGCGCGCCCAGCTCACCAGATCGCGCATCGTATACGCCTCCTCCTTCACATACAACCGCCCCAGCCCCGCGTCCTCCGCGAACCGCGCGTCTGCCGCGAGCGCCAAGCACGAGTTGCGCGTCACACCGGGGAGAATCGTCCCGTCCAGGGGCGCAGTGAGCACGTCGTGCCCGGCGCCGTCTTCGCGCTGCACGACGACAAACAAGTTCATCGCGCCCGCCTCGGTGACGCGCCGCTCGTCGCCGAACAGCCAGAGCACCTGCTCGTACCCGCGCGCGGCCGCGGCCTTCTGCGGCAGAAACCCGGGCGCGTAGTTCAGGCCGAGCTTCTGTCCGCCCGTGCCGCCCGGCCAGGCGCGCACGTGGTCGGACACGCCGAGGAGCGAGACGGGGCGGAGGCCGTTGGGGAAGTAGGGCCCGCATGGGGAGGCGATGAGGAAGAACGTGCAGTGGTCGGAGGCGTGCACGCCGAGCATTGGGCGGGTGCCGATCACGGTTGGGCGGAGGTAGAGGCTGTAGTCTGGGGCGTTGGGGATCCAGCGCTTCTCGATGTTGACGAAGCGCTTGATGAGCTCGAGGATCGCGTCGCCGTCGATGGGCTTGGGTTTTATTGTTAGCTTTTGGCGAGGTTGGGGAGGAGGGGTGGCTTACTGGGAGAGCAAGGCGAGCTACTGAGCCCTCCATTCGACGCATGTTCATTTGAGGCCTGAACAGTCTTGGCTTGCCGTCTGGACCGATGTACGCCTAAGAACACGGGGTCTAGAGTCGATCTCAGTGATGGTATTCAAGTTGCTCACCTTCATGCCTTCAAATATTGTTGTGCAATAGTGCAGAACAGAGCAAGCGGGGTCGAGGATGAGGGGCTCGTATGGCTTGATCTCGGGATCTGACCACCCGCTGACGGGGTCGTATGAGACGACGAGCATATGGTCCGTGAAGTTCTAATATTCCAAAGACAGAAAAACACGTTTAGGATCAAGAAGGCAGGGCACGATGCGTGAGCGTATGCATGTTATAACAAAGTCAGTGGTGCTCGGACTCGAGAGCGCAAGAACCACGTACTTGACCAAACTTGAGCTTCTCTGGGGGATCGACGGTTTTAGGGTTCTCCGTTAACCTGATCTTGAGTTTCGATGGCTGCACACACAACGAACAGAGGGATACCATACATTGCATGAGCACATGCAGGATACTTAGACAAAAGGAGCACATACGTCAAGCTGCTGTGGCTCCGAGAGCACCGACGAGACCTCGCTGCTCTGGGGAGACGGCGACTGTGATGCAGCCTTATTCGTGCTCGCAAACGCAGCGGTACTCGAGTTGCGCTTCTCCTTCCGTCCCTGGCGCTGCGTCTCGGCGGCGTCGGCCCGTTTACGCGTCATGGACTGGATGATGCCCATAGTAGCTGCTGCTCTGTGTCTGCTCGCGTCGTCGTACTGAGTGCAGAGTCTAAGGGAGGTCGAAAAAAATCGTATCGACGAGGGCAGCTGGGAGGTCGGTCGAGTCAGAATCATCGTGGTCCGAAGAAAACCGTCGTAAAATACGCGTCGACCGATCCGACCCTTCCTCATACGGCGTGTGATCGGGCATACGGATCTGGCTCCGATCGTGCTTACTTGGCCAGATGACGCGTTTTCGAGGCGCTGACGCGATGCATGGATGGTCTACTTTGACAGGCGGTACGCTGGGACGCTCAACAATGAATGCAGGTGGACACCTATGGGACCACTTGTGCATGCAGAACGTTGAGAACGTGATTACTTAGTGTTTGGGTTTTGGGTGAAATGATTTATGGAACGTTTTATGAAATGGAACGTTATCGAGCGTCGAAAGCTCGAAAACCTGTGCAAAACTTGCTATTGGTGGCGTGTATGCCTCTCAGAGCATGGGCGTCAAAGGCACTATAATGAGAGCGTAGGAGCGCCATAAGCCGTCTGAGGCGTGTTGCAGACCAGACCGAAAATTACATTTGAAGTCTGATGCTGACGGCACTTCATTTCAAAAGAGAGTGTGATGCTCGCAGAGCCCAATTCACGCCTTCAACACGAGATCTTCTCGAGGAGAAAGGTGCCGGTGAATATTCTCGGCTCCTTACACAGACTTAGCAAGTATTGAAATATCCTTTCCAAGCGACATCTTGAACGCTGTTGAGTCCCATGAGAGGAATGGAAGCATCATCCGAAAGCGACGTGACTGGATGATTGTTTCCAAAATTTAGAGCAAAGACATGCTCGTCCTGGGAAAACTGTGGAGAGGATCAGCTGGACGAGCCCCAATTACCAATGGTAAGGTAGCGTTCGCCACTTTGGCGCGTAGCACGAACACTTATCACAAAATATGTATGGGCACTTGAGCAGGTGGTTTTGTTCTGCAAGAGACCCTCAGCCTATTTGAGATGACGGTATGACAGCAACAATGTTCGCCCATGGAGTGTTAGCCTGAGAGTCATGAAGATGATATGACGTGCGAGGATACCCATTCCAGGGCACAATAGAAGAACAACACCGAACGATTGAACGACCATCGACAGCAACGTTCTCGTGATCCTGACGTCTCGGCCTCCGAGCAGCTGCTCGAACATCTAATTCAGCAACAAGCTATACTTTTGGACACTGTTCACTTTCCCATACCTCATAGTTTAGACCAGCACCTACACATCCGCCACAGGCACAAGCCTCAACACCGCAACGCTCTCCACATGCGCCGTCTGCGGGAACAGATCGATCCCCCGCACGCTCTCCAGCACATACCGCCCTTTCAAATTCCCTGCACCTTCGCCTTCGCCTTCTCCGTTTCCACCCTTCTCTCCACCCCGCATCTCCACATCCCGCCCAAGAACCCACCCCAAATCCCGCGCCTGCGTAACCACATTGCAGCTCACATACACCACCGTACCCGCCCCAAATCCCACAAGTTGCTGCAAGAACCGGTCGTCGCACCCTTTCCGCGGCGGATCGACGACCACCGCGGTCCGCGCGCGCGGGAAGGACTGCACGGTCGCGAAGATCGTCGACGCCGTGCCCGGGAGGAACGAAATGTGCGGCTCCGCTGCGCCCTTGCCCTCTCCTCTTCCTACCGTTTGAGCGTCGTCCGCTTTGACTTTGGGAGAGGTAGTCGAACCAGGGTAGTTCAGCTCCGCATTACGCGTCGCAGCCTCGATCGCCGGCGCACTGAGCTCGATCCCAGCAACCCGCTCAAACAGCGGCGCGAGCGTGATAGCAAATAACCCGGAGCCGCAGTACGTGTCGACGAGGTGCGTCGGCTTCAGGCTCTGCCCCGAGATCGCCGTCGCAGCCCCGGCTGTGGTAGCAGAGGATTCTCCGACGGGCCCAAAGACAGCCTCGCGCACGTACTTGACGAGCGGCGGCAGCACCGCGCTGTTGTTCTGGAAGAACGCATGCCCGGGGAACTCGAACACGCGCGGCCCGACGCGCGTGCGGATCGTGGCCTTGGGCTGTGTCTCGCACGTGTGCTCTTCCGCGGCGTCGGGAGCGTACGAGGCAAGGTCTGCGGGGTCGAGTGGTGGGGATGGGGAACGTTCGGAGGATGGTGAGCTTTTGGTTGCTGATCCCGGCGGTGGAGGCACGAAGTTGACGATGGAGTCGCGGAGGAGGAGCGATGCGCCTCTTTTGTAGGTGTCAATGGTTCTAGGCATAGTTAGTACCACGTGTACCCGTGTCGAAGAACTCAGGAGTTTACCTGACGATGTTGTCTCTGATGGGCCGGATTGCATCGTTGAGAACTGGCGTAGCTATTGGGCACTCCTGAGCGAACGTCAGTATCGCGACAGACATGATGGGTGTTACGATGCTCGCCTCGATGTCCATGACAGTCCTCCGGCCAATCTCATTGAACCCTATCGTCAACCAATCCAGCTTCGTGGGCGGCACCGCGTCCATGCTCTGATTGTGGCCAATATCCACAGCGACGACGTCACCCTCCCCATCCGCGCCCATAGCCACATCTTCAACTTCCCCGTCTACGGTCCGAGGTTGGTCTGCGGGGTTCGCATCCGCGCCGGCGCCTTTGGTCGTCCCGTTCGCCTTCTTGGCTTTCCGCCGTGGCACCTCAAAATGAGGCGTTATTTTTGTGCGGTAAGCGTATTGCTCCGGAGACGGAATCGTCGCGCCTATGCTAGGGATCTGGTCGGCACGCAGGCCAGAGAAATGGTCGTATGCGCGGACGATGACGGACTGTTTGACGCTGAGTTGGGTGGGATACGGGAGCATCTACACACGACACGAACGCGACAGAGCCTTAGTACCGCCGTTCAGCGGATAGCTGGGCATCGAAACGCACCTGAAACTGACACCCCGAGCACTTCCCGAAGTACCTGCACCTGACGAGCTCATCGTTGCGCATCTCTTTGTTCGGTACGAGCACCTCGACGAGGTCGGCGTGTGAGATGAGCCGCCCGCTCCTGTATATGCGCGCCCGTATGCGCTCGCCGGGGAGGCAGAACGGTATCGTGATGGCCCATGGTGGATGCGGAGCGGGAGCAACAGCGATTCCTTCACCTACAGGCCGACCGAAATGTCAGAAACGCCTGTGCTACGAAACAAGCCAACGAAACAAAAACGTATGCGCACCGTTATGCCCCAGTGCCTTCACCTCGACCTCGACCTCCTCCTTGAACGCAAACGGCGCGTTCCACTCCGTCCCCTCCGCCAGCGCCTTGTCCACCGCCTCTGTACCGAGCAGCGCGCGCACATCGTGGAAGAGCACGTCCTCGGGGGAGTACGGCTCGGGCAGGCGGTGTTTTTGCTTCTTGTTCTTCTTCCCCTTCTTGGGCTGCTTCTTCGCCTTCAGCTTCTCGCCTGCCCCATCCTTGGTCGTTTGCGCTCCACCGGATTGCGAAGCGACATGAGAGGTCGATGCAGCGGGCAGAGAGGATGTGGACGGTCCAGCTTGAGTCTGGGAAGAGGGCGGCTCGATGCGCTGCTTTTTCTCCGCGGGTTGGGCGTCGGGCGTCGAGGGCGAGAGCGGGCGCGTGGTCCCGGACATCGTTGTGAGCGTTCTCGTCGTCGGTCGCGCTGCTAGTCTTGGGCGTACTAGGACACGGGTAGAGGTCAGAAGCCGAAGATTCTGGCGATTGCGAATGCGGAGGCAGCTGGAGATCATCATCGCGATCACGTGTCGCTCGCTCGCTCGTCTTGAAAGCTTGACGTTCACCTCGTCTTATGGGTTTCTTAGCGAGCCTGCATGACCCCTAAGACCTGAGATTGATACAAAGAAGCTTCAATCTCCTTGCTTGATCTTAGTTATTGGCGAATGAAGCAGTATCAACATCCATAACATCGTCGCGGCAACCGCGAACCGCCTTTAGCTTTCGCAATATATACCTACAGTTCTACGTACAATTAATGGCATTGGAGCGGTGACATAAGTCAACTGTTCTACATAAAGTTCCCGCCAGCTGGAGTCGGATTGCAGGAGGGCGTGACTGAGGTTGACCTGAACAGGAGGGGTGCGAAGCGACCAGGTTGTGGGCAGGGATTGGCTCGCCGAGCACCGAAGATGACCGGATAGGTCGACGAGAACATAGTGTCGTGTCGGTTCACTCGAGGGGTCTTCGCTTCCAATCCCACATTCATGCATAGCAACGAGGCCGATGTTCTCACTTCGCGCTGGGTGGCTCAGTGGGTGGTACGCCCCATTCTGGCAAGCCCGCGGGTCGAGCGATGCGTTTGGGTTCCCAGTCCTGGTCTTCTTGTGCGCTCAGTTTCTGAAAAAGGAATCAGCCGCGTAGCTTCCATCCAACGCTCAGTGGACGCACGTAATACTCCTCCCGAATATCGAACTTCTTCTTCCTCTTATCCAAACCCAGGGCGTGCTCGTCTACCGCCTAAGAGAGCGCATATAACATTGAACATAAGTGTGGGTGTAAAGGAGACAGGACCGTACCGTCTTGTTCTTCTTATCATGAATGTCGTACCGTATCTGGGTGAAGGACTGCATGCCGAATGATGCGCCGACCATGATGATGAGGAACGGAATGCCGAAAAGCCCAGGGTATTTCTTGAGCGTGTTGTGCCAGCGAGGTTGGTTGAGCGGTCTGGAGTCAAAGGTAGGCATCCTGAACGTGGATAATGTCTTTCGTGGATGTCACCGGTCACAGGCAAAGTAGACGTCACTTGAAGCGGGACTTTGGAGGGAGTAAGTACTGACACCGGCAAGTTCCGTTCCCTCTTTCAGCACACTGCGCGGCGCGTCGGCCGTTGTAGCTCGGCCACTACTGACGACACGCAAAGCGCCATAAACGGTCACCATACTTCATAAATACGAGCAAATCACCCTTCAAATACAACCCACGCAGTATATAGAGAGGCCCGTAGGTCTCCTTCAGTTATAAACCATGATGACTAGCGCTATACAAAAGCAAACACGAGCATAAGTTAGTAACATCTGCGATTCTCCGTCATTCGTCCACCTAATTGATCTATCAACTCCAACTTGAAGGCCTGCTTTGGCAGCACTGAGTATCCTTGATATGGTGCCTCTTACGAAGTTATTGCGGATGTGCCGTGGCCAGTAAAGTGCAATCAAGCTACGCTCTCTCCGCCGGATCTGCCACGAAACTGGACTTCAGAGAGACTCCCGGCAGCTTGGGAATTGAAGGAGTCGAGTTGCTGTGCATGATTCAGCCTCAGGCTGAGGATAAGGTGCGGTCCAAGCATAGTGTACACATAGTAGCCAATAATCAAGTCGATAACGGTATAAGCTTTCATGCTTGCACTCGCCTTGGTATATCACAGTGAGAAGGGAGTTCTAATCTTGATCCACCATTAAATTTATGCTTACAGGGTCGATATTATCCATGTAGAGCCCCAGTGCATCAAGACTCGCTGCAACCAATACACTGTTATAAATACCTGATCAATCGCGCTAGCTCATGATCACGCTTGCGAAAAGACTTACACGAGGTAGTATATCAAATTCCCTCTGATAATATTTGCAAACACGGATTTCCAGTCCCACAATGTCTGCCAGCCTTGACGCGCTGAGCGAACTTGACAGAAAAAGCGGAACATCACCAGAGCAAACAGGATTGATTCAAAGGCAATCATGACTGCATTGCCCGTCGGTATTGTCCATTCGGCATCTGCTGAAAACGAAACAGTGCAAGTCCTTATCCCTGAGATAATGAACACTTCATATGTGTATTCACCCCATCGCCTATACAGCCAGATCATAATCGTTATGATGACGGCCTGTTCTGCCAATAGCAAGGTGATGAGAAAGGCAAGAATCTTCTTAGAGTTGTTGTATAGGGCGAATATGCGGAGCATTAGAATAACTAACATTGGCATTGAGATAGTGAGGATTAGTCAATGCGAGAAATGACTTGCCTTGAGTGACGAGCGATAAACAACAGCTTATAGAAGAAACTGCAGTCTGTAATTTGAAACCTACAAGACATGCATAAGCGATATTTCTGTGAGACTCTGAAAAATATCGACCAGGGAGCCTATTTGGTACTTACAGCTAGGGTGCGAAAGGAGACGTCTACAATCAAACATAATATTGTATGATTGATGAAACAAATGCCTACACCTAAAATAACTTCAGATGTAGAACGTAAACGGACTAACTCCAGATGGAAGCTTACAGAGTCGGAACTCGATGCTGGGACTTCAATGAGAAAATCAGGATGACTAACCTTTCATATAAGAAAGGCGAAGACTTACGGAAGTGAAGACTGGAGAGTATCATTAAATTTATCATGTCTTTTGACATATCAATATTGTATATCATGACTTACATTGCATATGCAAAGCCCATGTATCGATTCTGTTTTACCACATGCATTTAAAAAATCAATATTGGTTTTGAAGCTGCAGTAATTAAATGAAGAAACACTGCTCACCAAAGCGTACAGTGCTGTGACTCCTGTTATGGGCCTCATCTTGGTGAGCATTGATTGTGAGTCAGTGTATCCCGTAATGTTAATGTCTGCTTACCCAGATAAGTGCTATCTGGTCATACAAGAAAATAAAATACACTATAATCCCGGAAATAAACAAACACTGACTTCCATGTCGAGCTTGAGGACTGGTCTCGTGTTCGCATTACGCCAGAGCACCTTAAGGGAGTTGCTCACAGTAATCATAGGTCAAAACTGCAATCCAGCCGCCTTGCAATGCATGTTAGTTATCGTTGGTCTTTGGTAAAACGATCGACTCACAGTAAACTGATCTTAAAAAGACAGTCTCCTCAAGGAGGGTCCACCATGAAGGGGAATTGGTAATAAAAGGCATCGGGTATAAGGACTATATATTATGGTTATTTGAGTTTGAGACGTATGGATCTCTGTCAAGGATGAGAAAAAAACTCAGGGTGGGAAAGGGTGCTGAACCACAACGATGCTCAGATGACTCACTTATATATCGAAGGTCATGTGCTGGTGCTAGGATATCATAATTTTGAATCGATTAGGTGGCCACATCAATGCCATGCCAATGAAATAAGGGTGATCATTCTCTAGCAATACGCGCTTACCAATGTGTTGGGTAGTGATTAAAGAGAGGACGATGTGAATAGCACCCAACCAAATCCATGATAACCATCATCAAGCAGCGTTGTAGCCTAAAGTAGTCAGAAGCTTTCACACGGAACACTTGGGCTGTGACGGAGAAATGTTTAGCACCCAGGACGTACTTGTTAGACTGTAAACAGAAAGTCCGATATGGAATTCTGCCCTTATCACAATACGTCTAATTCAGGTAGACGATGTTTCAGATGCGCGCAAGGAGTTTGTGTGTTTCCGGCTGAGAAAAACTGTTCGAGGCTGTCCATCTAATCAAAGCCCCAGGATCATCACATCTCTGAAAAATTATCTCTGCACATCAGAAAGATGATGAAATCAGACAGGCATGGGATAGCCAGACGTTGTCACACAGCCGTTCTGTTGAGACACGGCAGGGTCCATATCCTATCCAAGGCCAAAAACACGTCGATAGGATCTGGAATTTTCCGGGCGGCAAAGTGGCATGGTACAAGGTAATGACTCCAGTGGATACATGATGGAAGGGGGATACTAGCACCATAGGATATAGAGGCATTACCGTGGAGGTGCAATGTGGAGGTGGCCATTAATCAGAAGATAGTGACTACGGGTGAGGTATCTTCGAACTGGACCTCAGAAACGCTCTCGACATTGCCCGAAGTAACCCCGTTAATTCTGCGGGCATGGCTCCGCCTTAAGCTGAGGATCAGGTGAGGGCCGGCCATGGTGTAAACATAGTTCGAAATGATGGTATGAATCACGATGTAGGCTTGACCGGCCACGGAGCTCAACTACACCAGCTTAGATACTGTCCGCTTACGAACGTGGCCAAGATTACTCACGTGGGCGTGCAAAAGGATAGAAGGCGTTGCGGCATTCAGGGTGAATGCGAGTAGTAAGCTGGTTATAATATGTCAATGGACGTTTAAATAAGACAAGCTGAGAAAACACGCCAACGCACACAAGGTAGTAAAAGAGATTCCCCACCACAATTTCAGCGAATATGCTCTTGATGCCCCACGAAACACGCCACCGCTGGTGCGAATCACGAACGTGGTTAACAAGTTGGTAAGCAACGAACACAACGAGAAGAGACTCGAATGCGAGCATGACGCTGTTGTTAGCCGGCGTCGCCCAACTGATGTTTGCAACTGTGTATTGACACACGCTGATACCCGAGAGGACAAAGCGCTCGCCGAAGAGACTAGATGTGTTGAACTGCAGGATAATAGTCGTAAGCAGGACCGCTTGCTCGACAATGAACCAGAACAAAAGGAACACGAGGACCCTCTTGGAGTTGGCATAGAGAGCGGAAGCTCTCAGGATGAGGATGACTGGGGTTCTACATGAGATTGAGTCGTTCTCAGATAAATGAATTACGTGACTTGCTTTGCGTGAGAAATCCCAGGCAGAACGACATCGACTGCCACGTCAGCTCCATTCGCAAGCCTATTTATTATTTGGGCTTGAGTTATAAGTCCGACGAGTTGTTGAAGAGAGGCTGCTCACATCTTATGTCGCAAACGCGAGTGTTTCAGGTGTGGAGACCGTCAGCTGGGCTAGCTTCGCTAATTTGCGAAAGAAGGCTCACGACTGATCGGGATTAGAGCGCCAGACATATTGCGAGATTGGCAACTGAACTTACAGAGTCAGCGACCGGAACCGTTGAGTCAATAACTGGACATGACTATTAGGAGAGTAGTATTATATGCTACTGGTACGAGCTTACAGAATTGAAGGCTGGATAACCACATTGTAGCAATCAGCATGCTTTCCCACACAGTTCTAGGCGACTTACAGCGACCAAGCAATGCCGGCGTAGCGTGTCTTGATCAACGTTGTCACCCGATCAAAGATTTAAATCCTAAAGAAATGTCAAGACATACGAGTATATAAAGTAGCGTTGTGAATGACTTGGGTCTCATCTTGACCAGTGGGGATCTCAGTGAGCACAAGTTACTGTCAAGGCGTTGACATAGGCGACGTGCGTACCCATATCAGCTCCACCTGCATAATAATATCGCCAATTTGGTGAGAAGCTTCTCCTGTGTGTTAATTCGCAAATGTCACAAACCTCTTGATCAAGCCTAATGACTTGTTATCGTTGGAGACGCTCTTCAAGCTCGTCTAAGATATATACTCACTGTAGTCATATATTGCCGCAGCAAACCAGGCCACTACGCGATCTCGTTCAAGTTCACGTTCGTACCGCCATAGATAACACTCACTATCCACGGAGCTGATCACAATAGTCTGCTGTATCACAGGCCACCATTCCGGAGAATTCGAGACATACGGCATGGGCAGATGTCGGGCAGTGTCGAGAGGCTGAACCAAGCGCGGCGGGCGTTTTGATCTTGCAAGAGGCCGTTCACACCAACTTATATGACTTCTACCGATCTTCCTAGGTAAGGGCTTGTCCGTATCTTGCGTGAATCATCAGTGCGATAAGATGAAAAGTCGAGGCCGGAATGGGCAGTCTGATAATAAGATGATAAACGCCGCACGCATGATGGAGTGGATGCGAAGCCGAAAACATCCCTTTCATGTGTTCGGGGACTGTAGAGCCGTTAAACAGTGGGCAAGGGGAAGGACAAGAGCGATAAGTACACATTTGCAAGGTGCATATTTACCTTGCATGCCGGTCACGTAGAGCGATTATGATAATGATGTTCCGCTGATATGGTCATCCTCATGTGGACAGGTAGACTTGGCGGGAGAAGCTCACAGCGATCATATGAAAAGAAGGACCCCTGGAGGCCCGCCAGCAGAGTAAACGTTGTGTCATTAATTATAGAGCAGTCGTTCCTGGCAACAGGCTCGTGAAAGCCTGCAACCTCGGCCCGGACGGATTCGTTTGTGCGAGTCTGGGTAAAGGTCGCGCCCATGATCAGTTTGAAGACAGGCTCCGAAACGCGGGAGAGTTGATTTGAGGATTAAGAGGGGCCAAATAGCGGTGAACTTAGGTACATATGTAGACGGGGCCTGTGGTGTATGTCAAAGACCGTAAGACAAGTTGCGGGGACGTCCCGTAATCATGTGTGGAAACTCGCAGAAACCCGGTCAGGATGGTTGCAGAGCCAGGTACAGTATAAGGAAGTCCTTATGATCCTATGCTTCCCGTGAAACAATTAATTCTCTCTGCTCTTGCTACACAGTCACATTTGTAATACAACACATCGCTGACAAGAATAAACGGCAATACGCCTTCATGCACAGTTCACGATAAACACCGATCCCTGGAAAACCTTATCGAAGAGCTGAAAGCTGAGAGAGTAGAGTCGATAGCATGACATTGTCTAAACCTAGAAACGAGACGTGAACTAAATAATGAGCGTATTCAATTTGTGAGGAGCCTTGGACCAGCCGATGACATTCTGCGTTTACGCTTAACCTAGTGTACATTGTTCGTTCAAGGGGGAGAAATCAAAGAGCCAGAGTCCTGCTTTCGGTCAAAAAACACTAGAACCGCCAGAGTCGATATCAAAGTGAACTTCAGAGAGACTTTGAACGTTTCCTGAAGTAGCCCCGTCAATCCTGCGCGCATGGCTTTTCCTCAAGCTAAGGATAAGGTGTGGTCCTGCCATGGTAAATACGTAGTTGGAAATGATAGTATGGAAGATGATGTAGGTTTGACCACGTGCAGAGGTTAACTGTGTAAGAATGAGAAACAGGCCTTTTGGGTAGATGATTGAGCAAAAAGTAGTTTGCTCACGTCGACGTGCATAATGATGGAAGGTGTTGCTGCATTAAGGGTGAAAGCGAGCAACAGCCTGAGTCACATAAGTCAGCACCCTGGCTTTTCTTAGAAAGCGGGAATATCACGCATCAACTTACACGAGATAGTACTTTAGATTACCTACAACGATATCAATAAAAACGTTCTTCACGCTCCATATAGATGTACAGTCTTGATGAGAGGCGCGAATGTGTTTGACAAGCCGAAAGGCCACAAAAAGCACGAGCAGAGATTCAAAGCCGATCATTACGCTATTGTTCGCTGGTGTTGCCCAATTGAGGTCCTCTGCAGAGTACTGACATACGCTGATTCCAGAAAGTATGAACCTTTCGCCAAAGAGGCTGGACGGGTTAAACTGTAGTATGACAGTCGTAAGGAGCACAGCTTGTTCTGTGATAAACCAGAAGGATAGAAAAGCGAGGACTTTCTTGGAGTTATTGTAGAGAGCGCATGCACGAAGAATGAGGACGACTAGACGTTTAGGTGATAAATCAGCGGAGGGGAGAACAAAGGAAGCGTGACGTGCCTTGTGTCATAAAGCCCAGGCAGAATGACATATATTGCCACGCAATCTCCATTTTCAAACCTATATTTCGCCGACGTCAATAGCGACGTCACATAAACAGACGATGCGGACAACTTACATCTGCGCTTACAGGGAGGAACATTGTGTCGCACAGTTCAGTGATATTCACACAGACATAGACAAGAGCTTACGACTGTAAACGCATCAATGCTGACATTAAGAACTACAGGTCCAGCAAGAAGACTCACCGAGTCAGCTACTGGGAATGTGGAGTCTATGACTGCACGAAACTAAATGAGAGACCTTTGGATATACGGCTAGGGCTCACAGTATTGAAGTCTACAAGACATGACTTCTATCTTTGTAGTATTTGAAGATTTAAAAATACTCACAATGACCAGACAATGCCTCCATAGCGAATCTTTGTGGTTCGTGAGAACATTTGATTCATGAACGAGCTTGGTTCAGACTTACGAGGATATATAGCAGGGTCGTAAACGACTTGGGTCTCATCTCAAACAGCAAACCATGTTAGAAATCGTATTCCTCAAAACAGGTATTCGGTACGCATACCCATATCAGCTCGACCTTTGTCGAAGACGTCACCATCAGTTTCGCCGCCTTGGGACGGTACTGCATCTGCGCACCTCCTCATCAAACCTAATGACTGCGTAGACCATGTAAAAATTCAGAGATTATTTGACGAGCGCACGAGTGAATGCTCACAGCAGTCGAAGAGAGCGGCTGAAAACCATGCCGCTATATAACTTGAGATTACTCTTCATAGCAAATATTATGCTGTATATGGAAGCGCACCATCCGCGGAGCTAATGATGATCGTCTGTTGTATTACTGGCCACCACTCGGGTGAGTTTGTCACAAAAGGCATTAGAGCCGTTAAAAGTGTGCGGGTGAGGGGAAGGGTGGAATGTTGTGGTGAGAACTTGGATGCAGCACGACTTACCGCAGCTCACCAACTTATATGAATCTTCGGTTAGTTTCCTTGATCATCTGGCTTGCATCTAAATGTGGTCATCTTTTCGCCTTGAGACTTGATCAGAGTCTAGCTGTAAAAGGGTTTGCGATTGACACCGAGGAATGGCCATATCGAATACCACACCGCTGTCCTCACTTTAGCTGACAAGTACGCTGATATGAAGGAAAAGACGATAATGAAATTTCAAAGATGGGAAAGATGCACCCAGAGGGGATGTCCTCTTACCTTGAGTAGAGTCATTCAGAGCAACTAATGATGGTTGTTGAGTGTGCAAAGTTCGCAGCCAGAGTTAGCATGAGAATCCCTTGTTCATCACCAGGGTAGAAGATGTTTTGAAAAGATGGATTCGCCATTGACATTCTAAAAGCGACTTCAGTACCTACGATCGCACTGTCTTGATGTTCAGTCCATCGCCCTTGCCGAAGCGCTTGACGACACGGAACATGCATTCTTAGCTCGAAGATTGCGCCGATAACTTTAGAAAGATCGTGCTTGGTGGTAGCCCTCAGCTTTATGACTTATGAAAACTCTTCGCTTGGCTGAATTCGGAAGATCATGTTGCAAGCACCGTGGGCGACTGACGAGTTAATGAAGGTCCCAGTCAATGACGTGCCACAGGCCCACAACGACCCTTGTCATTGACAGGTGGCGATGCCGATGATGTCAGCGGCAATCCACGGCAAGTTGACATCCCGTGACGTGGGGGCATCGGTATATTGACACCGCCGCCATCAACTAACGACTCCTGTGAAACGACTTCCAAAGTCTTCCTCACCCTTGTCCTCACCTCTACCACTTACACTCTCGCTGTCCAAACGCCCGCATTCGTCAGGCAAGACACGCCCACGCCCTCACCATCTCACATGCGCATAGACACACCCTCGGGCCCTCTGCACATCGCAGAGGAGCCCATCGGCTCGCCCGAGTTCTGGGGGAAGATGGCCGTGTCCGCCGCGCTCGTCCTCCTCGGCGGTGTCTTCGCCGGCCTCACGCTCGGGCTCATGGGCCTCGACGAGCTGCACCTCCGCGTGCTCGCGGCGTCGTCCGACGACGACAAGGAGAAGGCGAACGCGACCAAAGGTGCGTCTGGCGTCCTGGCCTCTTACCGTCTCTTTCGCGTCGGACGCGTTCTGATTCCGGGGATCGATCTGCGGCGTTTGTGGTGCGCGGGTACTGTGGTGTAGTGCTCAAACTGTTGACGAAGGGGAGGCATTGGGTGTTGGTTGTGCTGCTTCTGGGGAACGTTGTGCGTGTCTTTGGCTTTCTTGGGTTTGTGTGCTGGGCTCAAGTGTGTGTTCGTGGCAGGTGGTCAACGAGTCGCTCCCTATCTTCTTGGATGGCGCTGTATGTCCTCCATCTTCTCTGCGTTGTACCTGCCTTTGAGCGTCTTTGTAAAGATTGGCGGAGGCATTGCAGCTGTGGTCATCTCTACTGTCACCATTGGTATGTCCCCCTCCCCGCGCTTCCTCTCCCCTCCGACTGTCTGTTCCGCCACGGCGCGGTCATGAAACCCGCCACGCAACCCGAACGCTGATCATCAACATTCGCAGTTATATTTGGGTGCGTATCTCTTGCACGTACGGTCGTTCTCATCGCTCATCCTATTTTTGCCCTTCCTCACTGCGCTCATACACACGCCCCGGCACCATCACGTCGTCGTAACTGCGTAATGCCATGCGGCTCGTTGATGCTCTCAGAGAGTACGTGCCCTCCGATAGTCAGCTTTCCCCCAGCTAACCCCGCTGCAGGGTCATCCCTCAAGCCGTCAGCGTCAGATACGGCCTCAGCATCGGCGCAGCATGCGCGCCGTTTGTCCAGCTCCTCATGTACATCCTCGGTATGCCCGTGCTTGCTCGCAAGTGACCCTCCCGCCCGCTAACAAGGGCGACCCACGCACAACTTTCAGCTCCAATCGCTTGGCCGACCGCCAAGCTGCTCGACAAGGTGCTTGGCGTGCACTCGGCGAACACGTACAAGAAGGCCGAACTCAAGTCATTTCTCTCTCTCCACCGGAACGGCGAGGAGCCGCTGCGCGACGACGAGATCAATATTCTCAGCGGGGTGCTCGACCTGGGACGGAAGAAGGCGGAGGGGATTATGACCCCTATCAAGGTGCGCGATTCGGTTCTGGGGAGGGGACCGGCATTTGTGATGCTGACGATGTGTTGTGAATGAAAGGACGTCGTCACGATGAGCGCGGACACCATCCTCGACGACAAGACCATGGAGTTCATGTGCGCCCCTCCGTGTTTCGCTATCGCATCCCTCTTAACCACACCCGCAGCCTCTCCTCGGGCTACTCCCGCATCCCGATCCACGAGCCTGGACAGCCGCTCGCGTTCCGCGGGCTGCTGCTCATCAAGCGGCTGCTGACGTACGACCCCGCGCAGATGCTGCCCGTCTCGAACGTGAAGCTCTCGATCCTGCCCGAAGCGACGCCCGACATCTCGTGCTTCCAGGCGCTCGACTACTTCCAGACGGGGCGCGCGCACCTGCTGCTGATCAGCCAGACGCCCGGCGTGCCCGACGGCGGGATCGGGGTCGTCACGTTGGAGGATATTATCGAGGAGATTATATCGGAGGAGATTGTGGATGAGACGGATCGGTTTGAGGATAATCAGAGTAAGAGGGCTGCGAGGCGGATTACGACGTCGGCTGTTATGAAGGGGTGCGTTTTTTTTTCAGTTTTGCGCTTGCGTTTATTCCGGCGTTCATGCGAGCTTACTGTGATATTATTCGCGAAGAATCGTCGAGCGCGAGCGCATCATCCGCCAGAATCCGACGGAAAACGGCGGCGAGCGCCAGCCGCTGCTGTCGGGCGCTGCTACGCCCTCGGTACGTCGTCCGCACCGCTCAAAGCCGGAATGCGCTAACGGGTCAGAACAGGGCCTGCGCCACGAGGTGACGCTCAACGCCGACAGCAGCGACGCGCACACGTCGGTGCGCCCCGCGGCGCGGTATGCGTCGTTCCACCTCAGCCCTGGCGCGAACGCGATCGCTGTGAGGGCGGCGGAGGAAGAGGAGCGCGAGCGCGAGCGCGCGGCGAACGGAGGGGTGCACGGGTACGGGGCGACGATGAGTGCGTCGCCGTCTGCGTGATGGCTTGGTTTGATTTAAGCTTTTGCTTTGGGTGGATGATACGAGTTAGAAATGGGGGGGAGGGTAGGAGAGGCGATGTTGGTTTTAGTGTTTCATATGTACATGATGTTCTATCGATGCTTATTTATCTGTCCAATGTGAAGTCTTGTTATAGATTCTGACCGGGCACTTATGATTATCAACTCCGTGCTCTCGATGTTGGTGCTTTATCGCGATACTAAGGGAAGCTTAGCAGCGAAAACGTCCGCCGTTCAATTGCTTCGCCATTGGCGTCACGCGACTGCAAATCGTTCACGAAACTCTTTTTGCTTCTTGAACCTCGAGGAGTCCTCGCTGCCTCGGCTCCGAAAGATGTCGTGTTATGGACCTCGATGTTCCCAAGTTTAGGTCAGTCCACGGTGTAAGACTAGAAACCGCAGTTGACAAGTCCGAGGGCATTACGTAGGCGCTCGGGTGGTCGGAACAATGCGCACTCAACGCGTGAAGGCGACTCTGAAACGGCCGGCGAAAGATTTATGATGGGACAACAGTCTGCGAGAGTCCAGAGCTTCCCAGCGGTGGACGCCACTGGTGACTGTCGGGGATGTAACAGGAACATAGTGAACCATGTAGATGTGTTACGAAGATAGCACGATGGGCGCGTGCGGACGATTGATGTAGGCTTGTCAGAGCCGTTGTCGTTGGCAGCCGGAGAACGCAATCGCCCAACGCAGTGCAGGAGAAAAGAAGGGCCGGTGCACGCACGACAGAAGAGAGGAGGTGGAGACTTCAGAGATCTCAGAGAAGTGGCTGTGGGAGTGCAGCGATGTTGTCGACACGCGATAAGCCATTCCCAGCTGGGTACCAGAAAAGAACGCTGTTCGAATCTATGCTGGAATCAATTTTATCAGCGGCCATCGTGACTGTGTCAATTGCTTGGCAGGACACCGGAGAGCACTCGGCGAGATAAAGAGATATTGAGACGAAAATCCCTCAGTCTGACGCAGACGTGGACCTACAGCTATGAGAGCGCAGGAAGATGGCGAGCATTAGCACACGAGCGCGAGCGCGATTCTGGCCCGGAAACACCGAAGTCCAAACCGAAAGGCGCCCAAAATTCGGCCGAGACTTCCTAAATGAAGAACCAGTCGGCGGTTGACCGGGCGGAAACGAAAAGAGCCGTGCGTCCGATTGGATGGGACAACCGAAATGCCTCGGGGACCTGTCTGTTTTGATTTGCCGCTGGCTCGTGAGTGGACATGCTATTCGCGCGCCAGGCCATCATGCAGAAATACTCATAAAATCGGGACACAGTACTCGCTGCTATGAATTTCGTTCGCTTCCCCTTCTCCCCGCACATATCGTCATCGAGACCAGCGCCTGGAATATCTGGGGTCGTACAACACTTGTACCTTGATTCCTGTATCCTTTCAAAACGGGCAGCACCATGGTTCGACACGGCTCCCTGGGCTTCATCTCGTATCTGCAGGATGCCGTAGAACTGCCAGCAAGCGATCCCATCCAAGAGCCCCTCGGTTCGACCATGTTCTGGTGCAAGATAGCCGTTAGCGTCGCGCTAGTGCTCGCCGGGGGCGTGTTCGCAGGCCTCACTATCGGCCTCATGGGCCTCGACGAGCTTCATCTCAGGGTCCTTGTCGATTCGTCGGAGGACGAGAAGGAGCGGGATAATGCGATGACAGGTGCGTTTGTCCCCCAGCGCGTTTGCTTATGGAGACTATCGTCCTTGCGATTCTGTTTAGTTCTCAATCTGCTTCAACGGGGACGCCATTGGGTCTTGGTGGTGAGTGGACCTTGATGCATCTGTCCATGTTCTGCCGCTCAGTAAGTCGCTATACAGGTCCTTCTCCTTGGAAATGTGGTGAGTTACTCGGAGCGTTACTCTGCAACTTGGAAGTCTCAGCACCCTTCTAGATCGTCAACGAGTCTCTCCCAATCTTCCTCGACGATGCAGTGAGCATCCCCTTCCGTGTTCTGAACAAAGACGACTGAAACACGTGCGCAGATTGGTGGCGGTCTTGCGGCGATCATCATTTCCACTACTACAATCGGTGCGTATAGACCTTGTCAACGCAGTGCGTCGAGTCTGACCACTCACTATAGTCATCTTCGGGTATGTTCTCTTCCAAGACATACGTAAAGGTGCTCACAAGTAGGATCGGCTACCATTCGATACTTAGGGAGTACGTCACGCCTCATCTTGAATCTTGATTTCCCCAATTCTGCCCTAGTGACTGACTGACTGTGTTTGCCTAGGATCATCCCCCAAGCCGTCAGCGTGCACTATGGCCTCGCGATCGGCGCTCGATGCACACCCTTCGTCCTCGTCCTCATGTGCATTCTCTGTACGTCGCAAACGCCTTCCATGGTTACCCCGTTCACAGCTGACGTCTTGTCCCATACATCCGATATCCTCATCCAACTCTCAACGTTCAACGTCTCAACGACCATCCTCTAGCGCCCATCGCCTACCCGATCGCGCGCCTGCTCGACCGCATCCTCGGCGTGCACACCACGACGACGTACAAAAAGGCGGAGCTCCGGTCCCTGCTGCAGCTGCACCGCACCGGCGCGGAGCCGCTCGCGGAGGCGGAGATCAGCATTCTCAATGGTGTGCTCGAGCTGGGGCAGAAGCGCGTGCACGATATTATGACGCCGATACAGGTCCGCGTCTGCGATGTTGGTTGGAAATATAGGAATGTGGTGCTCATTGGGAGATTGAACTTGAACAGGACATCCTTGCGCTGAGCGTTGATACGATCTTGGATAAGGATGTGGTGGATGCGATGTGCGTACCCTTTTAGTCCTCCTTGACGGTGATGGTCCATGCTGATATGTATACGCGTGCGCGTGTAGCCTCTCAAGCGGATACTCCCGCATCCCGGTCCACGAGCCCGACAACCCACTGGCGTTCTGTGGGCTATTGCTCGTCAAGAAACTCCTGATGTACGATCCCGGCGCGGCCCTCCCCGTGTCGCACTTCAAGCTGTCGATATTGCCAGAGGCGCACCCGTCCATCAACTGCTTCCAGGCGCTTGATTACTTGTACGTAGGTCGTCAATGGCTGAAAACTGCCGTAGTTGTTCGCTAAGCGATGGATGTGTCTGTGCGTAGTCGCACGGGACGCGCGCATTTGCTCCTCATTAGTCAGACGCCCGGGGTGGCGGGTGGTGGTATTGGGGTTATCACGCTAGAAGGTACTGTAGTTTGGACCTTGCACACTGGGTTCAACGCAACTCCGAGCTGACGGGAGCTGTTCTGGTTTCGATGTACATTGCAGACGTCATCGAGGAAATCATCTCGGAAGAGATCATCGACGAGACGGACCGCTACGCGGACAACCGCAGCAAGCGCCTCGCGCCGGACCGTTGCGCCACATCCGTCGTCATGCAGTGGGGGTGCGTGTCCGTGCTGACCCCATCCCATCCATCTACCTTCTTTTCATCGCTAACCATCAAACGCGGACGACCGTACAGGATCGTCGAACGCCAGCGCTCGCTCCCGCGCCGACAAGAACGGGAACGAAGAGGGTCACGGCTGCGCGCGATGTCTCCCCGACCGACGCCAGGACGCACACTGCCACCCTCATCGCAGATCCGGACCCGGACCACAACCGCCGCGCTCCCGTCCATGCGCTCGCTCTCGCTCACACCACGGCTCGCGAGCCGGCCGCTCGTCCCGCCTCCCGCAACGCCGGGTATACCGATGTCGAAGAGCATACCGAACGCGACTTCGTTGGGCATTTCTGCTGCGTACGGCGGGGGCGGGGGCGGGGGCGGCAGTGGATATTCCAAGACGGGCCTCGGGCTCACTATGTCAACGGAGACGCGCGAGCGCGATACGGGGCGGTTCAAGCACCTGACTGTGAGTTTTGTTTATCTTCTCCCGCTCCGCTTCGCTGGCTAGGCTCGACCCGTTTGCTGATGTACTGTACGCGTTCGATGAATAGGAGATATATATGCGCGAGGACGAGCGCGGGGCACGGACGCCTATTATAGACGTGTACAATGACTATGGTGCCATATAGAAGACCGGAGGATATAGATCGTTTGAGGCCGCGTTAAAAGTCCTGCTTGTTGGATACCTATCTTTTTGTCTGATGTTTACATACCCCGATCGTCCTGATGTTTACCGTTTCTTGCCATATGGCTGCTGTATCACTATAGCGTACACCCTGTAATGCGTCCCTAGAATTTGTACTGCTCCGATTCCAGTCAAACCGCTCAATTCGTCCAATATGTAAGGCGAGTAGTAAAGGTAGTGAAGGTAACATGATCCGCGTGAATGCTGAACGATATCCGGAAAGAATGTCCGACGTGCTCCATGATATGAGTATGTCCAGAGAGTCCTTTGTACGGTAAGAAAATATCGTGATGGAGCGAGCGAATACGGAGGTCCTTTGTACGGTAAGATCTAGTGGGTATCATTATGTGGCTCCTGCCCGCATGGCGCGTAGGGCGGTATAGTATACGAAATAAACGCACGAGCGGAACGACCGCCGTCCGAGTCAGACAAAAGACACCACCGCAACCAAAAGGACAACAGCCCCCCAAACCAGCCGCATCCCCCCAACACCAAACCGCACAGACGGCGCCCCGCTATGCTCCGTCGTCTCCCGACATATCCCCGCGTCCTTGTGCGCGCGCAGAATCGTCGCCGGCAGCAACACCTGCGGCATCCCGCCGAGCGACGTGAGATTGACGCCGCCGCCGTCGTTCGCCTGCACGATGCGGCAGCTGAACACCTCGATGAGCTCCTGCCCCGCCTTGTACAGCGGCGTCGTCACGTTCCACGATGCGCCGCCCGGGTGCGTCGAGTCGCCCGAGCCGGCGTTGGTGAGCAGCGAGAGGAGGGGCGGTTTTGAGACGGCGAGTGTGCTGTTGGTGTGCGTCTCGACGAATTTCATCTGGGTGGGGGAGGAGGGTGAGTGGTGCGAGGGAGAGAGGAAGGGAGAGGAGGGACGTACGGGGGTCGTCAGGAAATATGACGTAGTGGACTTCATGGCTGCATGGCGGGCTGCATTCATAGATCTGACCAGGCGGTAGAACGGATTCGCTGTATTATTCCCGGAAAGCCAGAACCTACACCATTGTCAGAATTACTCATATTTCAACGGTGGAGACATACTCACGGTTCGTGGTTCCCTGGCGGTCCACCGCCTGCAAAACCTTGCTCTTGACCTGATCGTCGTGAGTATGTTTTACGCATATAGAAGTACAAGGAGCATACCATAGTAAATAATAGGTATCCCATCATGAATGAACGGCCACGTCAGCGCGTTCAGCACCAGCTAAAGACGCGAAGCTCATCAGAAACGGTCGGTACAGCGGATGGCGGACGTACAGAGAGGTCCTGTGTTCGGGAAGGAAACCTTGCCTCGTGGCGGTTCTCCGTGAAGGATCCGGCAACGAAACCGCTCTTGCTATACAGCTTTTGTGACTGTGCGACGACGTCATAGAGTGCGGATAGATTCCCTTGGGGAGAACGGAAGGCATCCACCACCGTAAACCAGACAGGGTAGTCCATCACTGCGTCCATTCCCTCTGATGGCGATGAATCAGCGCACGTACGCCTTAAATACGATTTATGAGCCCTCACCTGTGTAGTTCTTGGTGTAGTTGGGGTCACCGGTGACGACCTGTTAGGAACATACATATGAGTAATTTGGCCGAGGGTTATCGTCTCGAGACGAATCACTCACTTCGCCGAGGGCGAAAACACCAGCGATATTCGTGAACGCCTTCCAGAAATCAATCGGGATATTCTTCGCCATCGACAGTTTGAGCCCATCCACGCTGTACTTTGCCACCACACCCGCAATCCAGTCATTGAGCACATGCACCACCTCGCTGTTCTCCGTGTTCAGATCCGCGTACGGGAGCGACGCGTCCCCGAGCCAGCAGTTCTCGATAGTCGTCTGATTCGAGGTGACGTTCCCGATAAAACAGAGATCGTGGAACTGCTCCGGGTCAGAGAACGGCTTCGCCGCAATGGTGTTGTGCAAAAGCTGCGTCGTCCCGTTGGATTTAGTGAACGAGGTGACGTTGAACGGCGTGGGTGGTACGAGGTGGTTGATGACGATGTCGAGGAGGAGGTACATGCCGCGGTCGTGGAGCGCCTTGCTGAGCGCGATGAGGTCGTTGTCGGTGCCAAAGTGGGATTCGATGCTCGTCAGATCCTGGGGCCATTCTCTTCACCGGAATGAGCGATGGATGAAGGATGTTTGTTGACCGAGGAGGAGCTCACCCAAGGTATCCCTCTCCATAAAGCGTCTTTCCTTGCACGCTCGTAAAGGGTGGCGAGATTGACACAGCGTCGAAGCCCAAGGTTTGAATGTAGTCGAGGTGGTCTCTAAGGCCGAGGAAGGTGCCACCACAATACTTGCGATCATCCGTGTTGCAGGGCGGGAGAGTGCTAACATTGGATGGAGGGGCGAATCTATCTGTGACGACCTTGAGGAAGGGTCATCAGCGGCAACAGCTGAGTCTATGGGTGTGGTAAGCACCTGATAAACCGAACGTGTCCGCCAATCATCCGCCTTGGCCGCAAGCACGCCGGATATACAGTGAAACCATGTCCCCCATAGTACTATTAACGAAACGACTGTTGGCGTCAGGGTGAGCATGGGCGTCGATAGCTAGCTGAAGATAGATGTCGACGCCGCGTAGTTGGTCAAGTAGGGGGAGTTGCGGGTAATGAGAGTGACACGTAAAAATGAGCGGGCGAGTAGTAATGAGGGAACTGAAAAATGAACAAGCGAAAAAATGGATGCGTTTCAAATGAACGGGCTTCTAGCACTGTGGCTTCGATCGGCAAGCTTAATAAGCCTATTTTTGTTCGCTTCCAGGCAATCGAAGTCTAGCGAGTCGCGACGCGCAGCAGTCACGTGGTGGGAAGTTCAATCTTCCGAGTTCGACCCTGTCCATTACAGCGAGATTAACCCGAGACCAGACTGCAAGCTTCTAAGTTATCTACTGTACTGTCCGCTGCTCAAGACACCATCCGGAAGCACCTCTCGCCAGCTACTCCCAACGCCATATGAAACGTCGCTACTAGCCACTTTACGTTGGACGACCAGACTTGGGACAACCGAGTAGCTTCTCAATCGACCACTCTCGACTAGCCACGCTACCGCCTGGTCAAACGCACGAGAATACGCAAAAGGAGGATAGCTCAAGTGCAAGAGAAGTCGGCGGGCTCCAGCCAGCGATAGCACGTATCCGTGAGAGCATTTGGGGGCCCGCGAAGGATGGAGACGGTGGACCGCTCCGTCCGCAGCTGGTTCCGAGTCGTCGCCATCGGAAAAGAAGCGCGACGTAGATAGGGCAGCGTGATGTGATTCGTTCGACCAGCAGTGGCCTAGCAATAGTGAGGTAAGAAGAGGATCTCAACCGACGAGGGGTACTTACCGAGAAAGACGATATCCCATCCTGCCGGAAGCGAAGGCCACAGGTCCTTGAGATGGTGACGAATGTTCTTATCGAGGTCTATGTCGTCTTCCAGGTATACCGCGACGCCATTCGTGGTAAGGGCGTTTCTCTCCACAAAAGTACGAATAGCATGAACATGAGAGTACCAGCACGCAACCTTAGCAGGAGTCAGGAGCTTGTAGTCTGGCAGAGTTGACGAATAGTCGGGGATCGAAGTGTCTCCAGAAGCACAAGTGAGATTGCCATAAGTAGCGGAAGCGTTGAAGAAGGCCTGAGGCGTCAAAGAAGTATCACTAGTCAGAGCGTCCCAAGGTTCGGCGACTGAGGCTGAGATGGGCACAGAAGACAAAGAAAGAGCATTGATGTCCGAGGGCCAATGGAACTCGGGAGCCGGGTATCGACTACGTTCGCGCGCGACGCCGTCCATGATACTCACGACCACGGGGTCGTCCGAGTCGATAGCGTCCAGCACTCTCCAGGTAATGTTCTGTGTTCTGCGTATCCATTCCATTTGGATGCGCCTGTCGTCGCGTCTCGGCAGAGAGATGACGTAGATGTGCGTCGCGACCCCCAGCGTCGCATAGCGGTCATTATTCGAGTGAACAGCCTCTTCACGCATCACTGAGAACAGGTCAGAGTCAGCGTGAGGAGAGCTCAGGATAGTGCGATAGCCATGAGAGATGTCGAACAGCGTCAAAGTGATGGTGATCGCGCCCAGGAGAAAAACGTAGGTATGCCACGAGCGGAGGCTTCCGCGGATGCGACAGCCGAGAGTCATAGCAAGTTCAGAGGTTTCGGAGCAAATGATGTTCCCTCTGAGATGAATGCTGCCGTGGATGTGGTGAGTGAGGTCAAGCCTCGACGTGGAGATAGACAAAGACGTCGGGTTCGCCACGGCATAACCGCAGCGCGGCGGTTCGGCAAAAGCCGGACACGCCCCCAACTCCGAGTCCGCACGCTTTCGGGCATCACGCAAAGCGCTTTGTTACCACCATGTGAGCCTTGTTTTCACGCATGCAAATGCATCATGTCAGCGCTTAGAAAGGTATGTCATGCCCTCGAAGTGGTGTATGCGCAGTAGGTCATTGGGTGGCTCGTACCATAACCTCAAGCTAGTGGTCGCATAAGCTCTAGACTACCAGGCCTCGCCCTATGCACTCCTGTACTAGCCCTCTCGTCCCCCCCGCTGTGTAACGTATCACTAGTCTTCGGCACCAGCTGATACCATGGGTATCGAGGCACCAACATCTGGCCTTCGCACCTGGAACGTCGAGAGTATGCCGGGAAGTACTGAATTGTGCTCCGCGTCATTCGTCTGCCTTAGGTGGAAGAAGATTCGCGCCGAAAGAACGCTGTGAATCGTCACCTGTAAGCTAAAAAAGGCAGCCATATTATGCGGGAAAAGCCATTATTGGTGTAAGTAGATGGTTACCTGTCAATGTATTCGTTGTAATATTGCTGTTCAGCGTCCAAAGGTGAGCAAGTAGTTGATATCACGAGTAAGACCACTCACGGCTCCAATTGCCGTATTGATAATATTCGCCACAGAGAATACTGCGTATAATTACCTATAAGCATGTGTTTTGTGGATGGAGTTAAATAATGACGTACCTATCATGAAAACTACATGTATCACGGCGTCCCGGTAGAGCACGTACACGAGCTTCGAACCCGTGGAATGATAGTGGTGTAATCATCGATATACAACAAGACATGCCGCGCTACGCTCCGGCACTTTCTATCGACGTTAGCAATATTAATGGCTCGAGCTCACACCGCTACAGCATATCACAAAGTTCCCGAGGGCTTAGCTGAGGACAAAAACGCACCATGGATAATTGCACGTATCACCAACAAAGTGTTGTTCTACTATGTTCGGGATTTGTTCGGGATAAACATCGCAGGCCAAGCTCAAAAAGGAAAGCCCCATATCAAAACGTCAAACAAAGGTCAACAAAAGCCTACCATAATTTTGAAGATACGAGTTATTAGCGACAGTAAAACTAAGAGCCATCAGGAAGGGGGACAAGTTCCAGTGAGGCTGGTCACATTGACTTAGCTCGTATAAGACTAGGAACCCATATTGAATCGAGCTCGTCCTGCTCGTCGTGAAGTTGCATATCCCTGGCCCTGAGAGGGAACCATCCATGAATAACCCATAAAGATACGTATGCAGTTACTCACAGAGATCCACTCCAGGAACTAGCTTGCCTACGATGTTGGTAGTCGTCATAGACGCTGCCGTGAAAACCTGTCAAAGCCACAAGCAAATGAAGCAATGAACTTGATCCACCGCTTCCTTAGGTTCAACGGGACGTACCACAGCCAAAGCTATCATGGAGATAAGCAGCATACGACTTTAGCCCCAAAATGCCCATGTGTGTATCATGATAAGACCTACTTTATACTGTACCTATACGACCACTGTGAGGGCGGAGATACCTGAAAATCATGTACGTAAAGTATGCCCGTACGTTAGTAGTTTTCATGTCTTATTCATGTCTTCGGAACACAGTTATAATGCAGATAATCCATGATAATCATATACAAGCCTGAGATCTAACAACTAACGTTTTTGCAGGATTCAATGTACTTTCTCATGTCGAAAGAACATGATTTTTGAGGTAACGGGACAGGATCAGATACATAGTCAAGGATTTTAATGGTAACACATAGTGAGTATCACACAATTAAGCAAGCAAAATTCACTGCAAACGCGATGACATTCATGTATTTCTAACCAAGTGAGTGACTGATCTACTCGACACATAGAGCTACAACCGACCCTCTGAACCGCCCACTACCTGAAGATTCTTCGGTGGAGCCGGCGCAGAGTCGCTGCCGCCACCATCATCTATCTCGTCGATATCAAATACATGGCAAGACGTGAGGACACGCCTGTTCTTGAGCGCCGCGGCGGGAATTGTCAGTCGAGGCTCCTCTCGCGAGACTAATGTATTGACGGGAACGGGGTAACATAGACACTGATTAGATGATAGTGAACGTAAGTAAACAAAACAGTGATAAATAATGAAAACACACCGAATACGATAGATGTCCGCTCGCTCCTCCGGTCTCGTACCACTGCTGTTACCGGGGCCTCGAATCGAGGAAACGCGAGGCGCAGGGGCGGTGCAAGTGCGTCAATGTTCATCTGGTTGTAAGCGCCGCTGTGGAACGCTCACACTTGCCCGCCACGATACGCTGCGGGCATGCAGCACATCTGGCTCTCCTTGATATGGACCATGTCTGCAAGTGCACGTGCACGTGCCAGTGCCTTCGCGTGCGGCGACCGTTTCAACGCGAGCTCCCTCTGTTTGTCGCCCACCGCGAGGGCAGTCTGAAAACTGAATGAGAAGATGTGGTGCCCACCGGAACTGCTCACGAAGCGAGCACCTGCACCACAGCAGGGGGACACCGCCGCTGGAGGGCACGGGCGTGCTACCCATGAGAACGTCGATAAATCTGACGCACATCGCGAGGATCTCGATATGCGTCACACCCAATCGTGTACTTGCCCACGCCGGCGATGGTGTTCATCATCCTACGGCGGGGTTGGCACCTTGTTTAATCAGCCCGTCATCTCAACCCACGTGACCCGTGTCGTGCTCACCAAGAGTCTTGATTGCCCACCCATGAAGGTTGACACGCGTGCCCATCGCGTCGGCATCAAGTCGTAAGATATTGCGAGAAAGAATGGACCGTCGGTGGAAGAGACGAAGATGTGGATGGTGGTCACAGATGGGCCATAGTAATATGGAATCGTTTCTGCTGATAAAACAAACATGTTGAGTGACAAAAAGTCAGCATGGTGCAGTGGAACGTACTTAGCAGGCTGGCAAGCAGCATGTGTCCGGAGCTGCCATAGAACGCGAGAGCAGGAGGTGCAAGGTGCGAATGCGGTGACCAGGAAGAAGAAGTATGATATGGCAGAGGTCAACAGAGATGTTGAGGATTGGTTGAGGAGGATGAGAAGACAACGCGAGAAGACTAAGTTCAACATTTGGATTTGTTTGTTAGGTGTGGAGCCCTCTCCAAACGCCGACGCCGCCTGACGTCACCGTGAACATGGTTTCGCATTTCAGGTCCAGGTACATAGCTCAGCATAACATGTTCGGGTACATGACTTCAAAATCAGTTCAAAGGTACGTGATTCTAGCAACTCATGAATACCGAGTACATTAAAATCAGGTATATACGCGTTTGCAGTGGACTGTAGGTTCGTCACGCCTCACGCTTGACCCGTAAAATGAACTTAAGACCTGGTTCGTCACCCATCACACAAGACAATGAACCTCACTGCGTGACGAAAAATACTAAGACTCTTATATTCTGATGTAGTAAAGCCGTTCGCTGCAGCGAGTGTTTTCTGCATCCCTTGCGCTGCGAATTTAATATTTCCGAGACCCTTACCACGAGCATAGTTGACCGGAGATGGGATGTCGAGCTTCAGCGAGTCAGTCATACCCAAGCAACACCGGTGGCGAAGGTTTGAGGCACCTGTGCACAAGCCCAATGGACGAGGAATTAAAAGGTGGTCCGCGTTGCCTTCTTCTCCTTCCAATAAACATCCTCTTCACCCCCGTTTTCTTTGGCAGTGATGTTTTGATGATGTTACCGACCTGGGACCCTCGTTCAAAGTCACGCGTTCGCTGGATGTTTGAGCTTTGGTCTCGTCGGAACTTATTTTGATTCCATGTCACGCAAAAATCCCTTGAACCTATGGTCATGTAGGTACAGTAGTGTCAGTATATCTACAGCCATCAAACACTTCTGAGAAACCAACCTTCCGCAGCTAGTATGCTGATTGTATGTAGCACTTTCAAGGCGCAATTGTTTGTTTAATCCACAAACACAGTTTAAGTGCGCCTTACCATTTGAGACGTAACCATTGATAACGGTATCGTTACACTGAAATGGATGCTTCAGCGTCCTTGTACGTACACAACAAGCAAGACGCACCTGTTTGAAATAAACAGCTTGGAATGCAGCTAAGGAGGGTTCAATTTTATCAGTCCACTCGGACTGATAAGTGCGCCTCAGAACGTACCGAAGATAGTCAATGATAAACCGGGGAACGGGAAGTACCGAGCCAGCGTAAAGATACATCTGCCAGCGTCCCATTTTCGTCCCCACACCCACCTTACCTTCGTATCATAATGAGCCAATCAGCATCAGGCTCAGGCCAGATTCTGTGAGGGCGCACCTCGTCGTCGAGTGTGATACAGTAGTCAAATGCCTGGCCACGACGGTAAGCCGAAGGATATGTTTACGGTAGGTCAGATAGAACGCACCAAGACTGCTAAACCTGCTACTATCGGGGTGAGTATAGTATGTCAATACCCCATATGCCGCGCATATATCCACACTTACAGTTGGCGTACTACCATCGCAACGCCACGACAGGGTTGAGGGGTTAACGCTGTGTCCAAGGACGATCACTGCTCACCGCATCAGATTGTTTACCATAGTCGTCGATCACGAAGATACTCATGATGGCGTCTTGAGGCGAGGGCAGTTAGCGTATAGAAGAAAGAGACAGGGCAGCACCCGTCGAGGGCTTGTGAGCCACCTTTTAGATGGGACGTGATGGGACGCTTTCCACGACCGAGGGACGCTTAATAACGTAGGCTAAGACTTCCACTTCTCCCATACTTCTCCGTCGTATTTGTGGATGGGAAGTCAGCGACATGAAGGGACGCGACGAGATGCGACCTGTGCTGGGCTGTGTCGTGTTAAAGGTAGAAGCACTGCTCCAGAGGAGGTTGTGGGTGGAAGAACCCAAGGTGCGGAACTCGGCCCGAACGCGCGTCTGGCGTTTACCGAGCGGAGAAGTGGAGTTACAAGTAGCTCACGTCTAGCACGACACCACTTGAACACAACAACTTGAACAACAATGTGAAGGTCGAGGAGTTGACGTATACCATATGCCACAAATTGTTTCTCCCTATTTATAACAGCGACTTTGAATAACTACAATATCATGGAATGTCATTTACAGTCATGCGCCGTGGGACGCAAAATTCATCCTCGGGCTGTCGAACCTGGAAAGTAGACACAGTAGCAGAGAGACTCTGGTCTCTTTCAGCGGCATCTATCTGCCTCAGATGAAAGAAAAGCCTCGTAGAAAGAACACTATGAATGGTGACCTGTAAGCTGGGCGGCGTGAGCAATACATCTAATGCGCGTGGAATAACCCAGTACCTATCAGGATACTCGTTAAAGAAAGCCTTCGGGGAGTTCAGCGTTACTCCCACAGAGCAAGTACGGAAAGCCTACCGGTGCAGCAAGTGCGTCCACAACATTCGCAAGTGAGAAAACTGGATAAAAAATTCGTCAGGGCTAGTACAGTCAGTAAGAGACAAGAAACCTACCGATCATCAAGGTCACATAGAACACGGCATCTCGATATATGGCATAAACAAGATTCAATTTGACTGCCCGATAGTGGCGCAGCCACCGGTACAGAATAAGGGAAAATAGTACTGCTCTTCTCAGCAAGTACAAAAGAAGAGGAATCAGCGGAAGACGTACTGAGCTCATACGTTACAAGAAAGGCATACTGAACTGCGCTTCCTTTCCCCGTTGTGAAGTGGCACACAGTTGACACTGAAGTAAGATATAAGCTAGAGCTGAAGTTTGAATATTAATTCCTTATTTACGTGGTCCGTCACTTGCAACACCGAGATTCAGAAGCTGTGAAAGTGCGGTGGCCGCGACCGTAAATATCTGCAAGATTTGACGAGAGTAAGCTAAGCGGCCTGACGAAAGAGACGAGAAACATACACCAGCCAAAGTTAACAATACAACGAGAAGAAGGCGGTTGCACTCCCAGAATGCCCATACACGCATTCCTAAAAGCCCTGATGCAGTGTGTGAGATAGGACGAATCTACAGAGGCCTAAATGATTCCACCTTCAGCTGCGAGTATGCTGATTATATGAAGTACTGCAAAAGAGGACGTCAGAAAATGTTGCATAGCACATTGGCCCAAGGGTTAGCTTACCGTTTGATGCAAGACCGTTGCTGCCTGTACCATTACACTAGAGTAGGTAGTTTTGACACCTTGTCAGTACAAACAGATTAGTAGAGAGCTCACCTGCTTTAGATTGACTGCCTGAATCGCGGCTAAACACGCCTCGGCGTAAATACTGGATAGCTTGTCCTGTCACGGCTGTTGCTCACCGTAGTTGGTCAAGGCCAACCCAGGAAAAGGAAGATATCGGGCCAACAGGAAGATGAATCGTCCAGTGTCCCATCGTCGCCCCCATACCAAATCTGCCTAGCGAGCATAGTTAGCAAGAGCGGTGTGGCACACCATGCGTAGACGAACTTCCTCGCTGAAGGTGATACAATAGTCAAATACCTATGTCACATGAATCTTTGATTGTTTAAGAGTTCTAGAGCACGCACTAGAACTGTCAGACCGGCCACTTGCAGGCGCATGTGTGTATGAGAGAGAGATCTTCATCATGCATCCTATTGACTCACGGTTAGCATACTGCACGCACAGCTAGTGAGTCTCGAAGTATACGTAGCGGAATCATAGAACATGCTTACCGTCTCGGACCGCTCGCCGTAGATCTCATAGATAACGGTGCTCATAGTGATTTCGTAGTCTACAAAATCGGAAGACGTGTTAGCGATCGTTTGTTGAGGCGAGCCCGCGCCTGAACCGAAGGAGTGGGGGAGTCAAAGAGAAAACGCCGAGGCAATCAAATGCGTGCGTCCTTTAAAGGCCAGGATTATGACTCTGATCCTGCTAGTACGCAGTAATCATTCTAGTCTTTAAAAAGAGATGATCATAGTTGCCTCTGATTATCCAACACACCACAGCAGTGCTGTGGTATCATCCGATCAGGCGTGCAAAGTCCGAAGCCTTATACGGACCTACTGTAGCAAGCTGCCTCCGACGAGATTGGCGTGTTTGTCATCAAGCGGTAATGGAGCCTTTCGTCGATATCAACGGCAGTGGTAAAGATACGCACCAGGTGATGTTCTTTAATTTTACGATGAAACTCTCTGTTGGAGTTTCACAAAGGTCCAATACCATCACGCTATGGCGCTGCGGTGGGACCAAGTCACGGTTCTGAAGAACAGGGAGATACATGGATGAAGGAAAGTCTTGACATAGTAAGTAGTGAGGACTCTATACCTCGCCCGTGACCGTGTATCCAGTTCTCACTCGACGAAGAGGGTCATCTCGGCAGGGTCCACGCTCGTCCGCTCATTAGCCGTGAGTGGCTAAGGAACGCCTTAAGTACGCTTAAACAGTTTCACAGGGCTTGTCCAGCGTACTACAGCTGTCGCATTTCCTAATATCACGGTACAAAATTAGTCTCTCACAAAGAACATCGCCACCCTCTCCTTCAACTTCTCCGTAGTCAATGAGAACATCTCTCCGCTGCGCCTCATAGCCCTTAGCCCATCAAGTGCGTTAGCGATGTCATGCCCTAAGTAACGCGAACCCTCCAACGCCCACAGGTACACATGTCTTAGCCTTGGAAATGCCAGCGCGAGTACGACAGAGAACGCTGCAACATTCTCAAGAGAGACATGCTGCGAGTCCAGCTTCAACGACTCGAGCGTATCGCTCAATGGTAACCCATTGTCTAGCGACCCTAATGGTACACCCCCGCGCCGTTCCGAGTCTAACGCCACTTCGAGAAAGCGCAGGTGGCGGCATGCAGTAGCAAAGGCGAACAGCCCTCGATAGCTCAGGTTGCTCTCCGGACTCGGGGAAAATGGCCAGATCATCGTGAGTTCCTCGAGATTTGGCCATGCGGCTGCTAGCTGCAAGAAGTCGTCATCTGTGAGAGCGATGGGTGCGGAGAAGTACCAGATGAACGTGCATAGGGACGTGTAACGAAAGAGGGGCTGAAGGTTGCTCAGCATAACTGTGCCGTCTCTCTCCATCGTGTATCCGCGAGGGTCCATCCTGAGCGCTTGCAGATTGCATTCAGGAGGATCTGGAAGGAGAGAGAAGAATTGGTGGGATGCTTGAGGCGAAAACGGGAGCGCTGAAGTGAATGAGATCATCGGCGGGCATCTGGAGAAGCAGGGAATGATGGATAAGAGTTCGTCAATTTTCAATGGTGCGACGTCCAGGGACTCAGGCGAACCCAAATGGAGGGAACATAAGTCATCTAGCCGAATGGTTGATAGAGTCGTTATGTTTCGAGCCGAGTCTAGGCTTAGTCTCTTTATTCTAGAAGGTAGGTCTGTCATGGCTGTTCCTGTTAGATCTGGCACCCTCAAAGACTTGAGAGACTGCAGTTGCGGCACAATGAGCGAAAGTACATCGATGAATGACCCGCGACAGTGGCCATAATCATCCTCGATGAATGCAGTATCGCTATATGTCCTCAAGCGGATTACCAAGTGTTCGAGATGCGGGCAGAGGTCCGGTATTGATGTGAGTAGGGGAATCAGCGCATCGGTGTTATGCCTGTAACTGCGCACGTCGAGACTCTGAAGAGAGGGAGACATGAAGAGCAGCCAATGCGGTAGAAGAACGGGGTAGAAGTCATCGATGCAAAGTCGTGTAAGCCTTGGGAAGGTGAGTTTAAGGTTCGACGGTGGAGAGGCGAGGACGCGCAAGGCCGGGCTGTTGACGTGAACACCTGCTCCAAGATGCAGCTCCCGCACGAGGTGTGAATGGCGGTGAAAAGCGTCCCAATCAGACTCTGTGAAGGATTCCAAGTCAACCTGCGGGGAATTTTGTTCATCAATTAGCAAGAAGCCGAGTATGAGTCAAATTACTTACGATCCACCGTTCCCTTGGGCTGGGTCTGACCAGTACCTTCCTGCCTTCAATCAACAAACGATTATCAAGAGTCTGGAGCAAGCGACCTGGATCCGACGATGCCCACAGTTCTCCCAAAGCTGTATCTAGAAACGCCTTACATGTCCTGGCAAGACAAGTCAAGGTGTGGTTGCGCGATGGCCTACGCTGACGCGTGCTATACGAGACCGGCTCAAATCGTGCGAATGGCGCATCCGGCTCCGGATCGAGATAGTTGAAGATTTCTTGGAGGATCTCTGGAAGTAGGAACGCTGGGTGCATCGTGGTTATATCCTTGTTGGATGCTGAAAATTTGTCTCCAGCTAGTGATGTCTAGCTTTTGCTACTGAGTACAAGAAACAAGGAGAGAATCGATAAAGAATTCAATCGGTGCAACGCCACGTGTAATTCAAGCTCCGCTTTATCTCACTTTCTCGCATGCCTTCGCGAACATGCTCAGTGACAGCTTGCTCAACCATATGCAGCCACTCTACGTCAACGTTTCAACTGGGATGGCAAGACATGGGGTAATCAACTGATAAGCACGTAACCAACATCCATTGGACTTATACCACGGCTGAAACAATCTAGGCGAGTAGATTGGTAATTGTATGCGTTTGCTTTGATAGATCCCGATGGTTCGCACTGGTTCACGTCGGTGTCACTATAAAGCAGTGCACGTTGTACTTCAAGCAACTTCAAGGACCTGATTTGCTGCGCACCAGCGATTCACACTGATCTTTTCTCTCACTTTCATCGCACCCCCTGCACCACCTTCAGCTGGCTAGCAAGCATACGAAACTTCGCTGATGCATCCAGCACTTGCGGTGCCCGAGCTCGTCCAGGAAATCTTCACCCATATTGAGGATCGTGATGGTCTCGATGCCTTTACTACACTTATAGAGAAGAACAGGGCGTTCGCGAGGCTCGCGCGGACGTGCAAAGCTTTCAAGAGGCCTGCTATCGAAGAGCTCTGGGCAGATGCTGCCGTGTACCACCTAGTCAACAGCCTGATTCCCCATCGATTAGTCATGCGAAGACATGGGGACCCTGATCCGTACGGATGGAGTACGACATTCCGACAGACCAAAACGTGGATAGTGCGTTGTTTGAACCTCCTCTGTGTGTCCCGATTGACGAACCTTATTCAACAAACCAGGCAGACGTCGAACCCTTGACTCCTCGTGATATCGATGTCATCCGCGAATATTCGTCCTGTATTCGTACATTACGTTTCCCCTCGTTGTTCACCATCCCCATCGCGGGGCCAGTCCTTCGTGCACTCGCATCTCTGCCCGGAGGCGTGGAGAGGACATTTCCTAAGCTCCGATCCGTCGTCGTCACCGATTGGCTAGATGGCGTCATTCTGCAAGACTACCTGCCCTTCGTAACACATGCCAGCTTTCTGGATCTGGAGTTTTCAGAACAGGGTCTCACTAACGCGGGCATTGACTTCCTGTCCAAGTTCACATCCCGCCATGGCCCAGCTGTATATGGTCTTGATTTGAGCTTTGCGTCCGTACTCACGAAACCAGCGTCCCGAGAGCTGCTCCCCAAGCTTTGTCTGAATATCCTTCGCCTTGACCACCTCCGTACGCTGGTGTGTACTGATTTGGACCAACCCACTCTCCTGCACGTCTCTCGACTCCCGAACCTTGTATCACTTAACTTTAAGAACATCCTCGACCTCAGCACTACGCCGATCTTATCATTCCCCGCGCTCGAATCATTGACCACAAAACTCTATGACTTCTCAGCCGTACTGTTCTTTCTCCGAAAACTGTCTCGGTTTCCGTCTTCGATCCAAGTCCCATCATGGGACACGACAACGATTTCGGATTCGGAAGCCCTTTTCAGCATCCTTGCTAGTCGACGAGACACAAAACTACGAAGTATCACCCAAGCACACCAGGGGGGCGGTTTCCAAAATGCTCATGAGTTCCTGACCCTGCGTACCATCCAGCCACTTCTCGTCTTTACGTCTTTGACGGTCTTTGAATGGTATTCACCAAGCGGTGTTCTGATCACGGATGCAGATCTTGGCCTGATCGCGCACACTTGGCCTCACCTTGAGCGGCTTCGCCTTATTTCTAAAACCCACAACTATATTCCCGTCGCCACGCTGGACGGCGTCTTCACCATGGCCAAACTATGTCCTCGTCTCCAGAGCCTCACTCTGCCTGTAGACGCCTCAAAGCTGTCCGGTATCGCCCCCGACGATCCCGCAGACGGGCTTTGTCACAGGCGCCTGCAGTGGTTGAACATGGGCACGTGCTGCATCAACGCGAAAGACCAAGCAAAGCTCGCGTTTATATTAGCACAGGGTTTCCCGCACCTAGACAGCGTAGGCCTTGATGTGCAAGACCCGGAAAATATTGGCGGAAGCAGGACCGTGGTCGGTGTTCATATCGGTCGTGCACTCAAATATCTTCGTTGCGCTAAAGAGGAGGGTATCATTAAGTCATGGGCGGAGGACGAAAGCAGGATCCGGGAGATGCTTGTTCGGTTTTTTGGGCAGGCTTGTCGTGTTGATTCTGACTTGACCCATACTTGAGGTATACCGGCGTAGCACGAGCTTTACTTACGACTTAACGGGTAAGCTAAGTATTCGGTACGAAAGCTTCGTGCTCATGTCCGTGCACTTTCTCTGAGGAATGCATGAGATATGATGTCAGAGCGGAACGTATCTTCATTTTATTCCTCCATGCTTTATCCGTCGTTTCGGCATACATCTTAGACACGTTGCAACTTGAAAGTGGTAGCGTGCTAGTCGGAGATTGAAGTCGTTCACACGTCGCCGCTTTTCTGCCATCAGTGGCACTCACTGGCGGGGAAGCGGTCAACGTCAAACTTCCAGTATGCACCAAGCACTCACCCTGTACGAGCTTTTACAAGCCATCTTTAACCAACTAGGCGACTCGACAGAGTTTTTCACGGATCGCTCGGAGCGCAAACGGACCCTAGCCAGCCTCGCACGGACATGCAAAGCGTTTACAAAACCTGCTATCGAAGAGCTATGGTACATGATGGATGCTGTGGGCCTCTTTCAGAATTTGATACCCCATCGGCTCATCATGACACCTACGGGTCCCACCTCGGACCCGCATGGGTGGACTGTCATTTCACAGAAGGAGACCTGGATCGTAAGCATCTGTCTGATGTCCGTTTATCATCTTCTAACTATCCGGTCCGTCAAAAACGCGCCTCAGCATGACATCCGGGCTTTATCGACCGCTGAACAGGCAAGGCTCATGTTTTATACGTCATCCATCCAAAGGTTGTCCCTTCCCTCATTTCTATCAGGGTTACCTATAGCAGCACCTGCCCTTCGAATGCTTTTGTCTTTGCCTGGTGGTCTCGAGCGCGCATTTCCCAAGCTCAGGGAGGTGTATATACTTGATAAGTTCCCGGCTGCTCAGGCATCCTATGAGCCGTTTATGCAACATGCAAAATCGCTCAACTTTCAGCCCACGGACAGCACTGGACGCGCTTCCTTACTGTCGCCATCAATCTCTCAGATTATTCGTCGGCTTGGCCGTCTGCAGTCAATGAGCTGCACGCACATTGACCAACCCACGCTATTGCATCTTTCGCAACTTCCGTGTCTCACCTATCTCTCCTTCGACACTGGTCTCAACATCTCGTCTGCTACAGAGCTTATGTTCCCTGCACTTCGATCCCTCCGATTGACGTCCAAACGCTTCAAGCCCATCATCTTTTTCCTGAAGAGACTCGCCCGGTTCCCGTCCTCGCTCCACGTGCTCACGCTCGAGCAGGCGCCAACTCTCTCCGAATCAGAACAGCTGTTCGCCGTCATATCCAAACACCCTACCACGGATCTTCAGAGCCTCTCCGCGATGTATTTCGAAGGTAACAGTGACGACCCCGGCGCCTCGATGACATTCGACACGATAGTGCCGCTTCTCAGGTTCTCGAACATGAGGGTCTTCAACTGGTACTTCTCCAGCCGCATCGATCTCACGGACCTGGACATCATACTGATCGCCCACGCGTGGCCCAAGATCCGGCGGCTGTCCGTTTGCTCGAGCGTCGATGACTATACCCATAAACCCAGGATCGAGAGCCTGTTCGCCATGGCGAAGCAGTGCCCGTATCTCGAGCACCTCGAGCTGCCCGTTGACATAGCGAAATTCGACCGCGTGCCACTCGGTGATCCCGCTGATGGATTCGCTCATTCGCAGCTGCGGAGGTTGCACTTGACTTGCGTCGTGTCCTGCGCGGATGAGGACGCGATCGTCACGCTCACGATCATCCTTGCACAGGTCTTTCCTCGACTCAGGTCCGTCACCGGCGTTATGGTGGAAGAATCGTTGAGACAAGGCGGGGCGGGCGCTGGCTCGATGTGCGCGGATTCGTACGTCAGCTCCGCGCTCGGTGCGTTGGGTCGGGCGAGGGTAGACGGGGGGATACAGTCCTGGGTGGGTGAGGGCGTGAGAAGGATGGTGCGCGAGGCTTTCAAGCGTGAGCTTCGCAGGATGGATAGTTCGGCTAGATCCACTTTTGCATGGTGAAGCGAGACGTTTGAGCTCTCAATAACGAAATAATATTCACAGAATATCCATTTGGCATTTTGTCTTCCCTATTCTTGGTCTAAAACTATGGGACCCAGCCATCAGGATGTTCCATTGGCTTTTGGGTAGGAAGAAACACATTCGAGGAAGCTAGCATCGAAAGTTCCGTGGAAGATCGACCATACACCGCTCGACTGCCATGCCGATGGATTACCCATTCGCAGCTGAGAAAAGCCAATTAGTATGTTCTATCAGATTTCAGGTAAGAAAAGCGCCTTCTCTAAAACCATCGGGTCGCTGAATCATACCTCTGTGTCACTCAGCTTGTGAATATCTCCAGCCGAGGAAGTGCAGCTTTCTCCGAGACAGACCGTGGTTGAATACTTGAATGCTTTTCTTTGATGACCTCATCCTTTCCCAGGGAAAGAGAAAGAAATAACGCATTTGTTCCTAACGATTCATATTGGGCCCGGATACAATAGAAGCATGTTGCTAGCTCAGGAAGAATGCATTGCTCCTAGGAAATTTCTCTTACCGCGACCTAACGTTATCCTTGGTCAGACGTTGATCGCCCTCACTTGGAGACGCTTGATTTACCTAACGAAGTTGCCCCGCACGCGAGCGGTTGTTCGTCTGGAAGATCCCGATAGTGTGTTACGTCACACGAACTTTCGAACAGTGGACATTTCCGCCTCTTTCATAGCTCCACGAGCGACAAGTATCACTCTTCCAGCCATTGTTTCCCATCTATTCCTGTTTCTTGCTAACTCCCATCCCATAGCGATACTTATGCCAGCCCGTGCCCCTTCCACAGAAGCTGCAAACGTGCTGCATCTGAGCAGGGTCCAATTTGGCGAGGAAGGCTCCGATTCCGTCCTCGTCGGCGGACGAGGTTCGATAGATGATTTAGGCTCACTAGGTGGAAGCGGTTGGTATGGCTCCCACAGAGTACCGACATAGCGCGTCCAATTTCGTAGCTGCGAGCTGCCGCGCAACCCGTATCTTTATCAGCCAAGAGTTCGCAATACTTCTCTTTCCTGAACTCGTGGCGCATTCTGTTCTCTGACACGTACGTTTCTAGGCCATAGATCGTCTGTTTCTCTCCTAAATCCATGTAGCCTGACAGCTCTACAGAACGATCGAAATGCATCATAAATCACAGCGATGAATATTTTTCATCAGAATGTCATCGGCTCCAGTACTCGATTGCGATGAGAATCGGCCTGTCTTCCTAACTCCATCATAACGTCCACGCCCACTGCACCAGAAAATATCCGACGCCGTCGAGCACGGAGATGACCTAATTTCACTAGCGCTAATCCGGAAACATCCACAGACCCAGCCATGTTACGCCCCCACCAAGCAGTTAATTCCCCGGCCTGGTCTCGCGCTCTCATCGCCTTCGTAGGTGCACAGGTGTGTAGTATGCCGTTGCTCGTCCGTAAATCACGTTCGTCGTTGAGCTCACTGGATATTGTTATTTTGAAGCTGTTTTGTCGACGGGATGCATGTCGCCTGGACCCTTCCGGAAATTGTTGAGCAGATTTTTAGTGAACTAGACGACGGCGACAATGAGCCGCCCAGGCTCACCGGGCGACCCTCCCGCAACGGGTCGCTCACAGCCCTTGTGCGGACGTGCAAAAACTTCAAGTTGCCGGCGATAAACGAGCTGTGGGCGTCTGCGAGCGCAGATACGCTCCTTCGCTATATAATACCTCATATTCTGGTCATCGACAGCGGTGGCAAGAAAGAACGAATTGTAAGCAACCATTCCTCCTACCATTTACCTTCCTCTAACCTTAATTTCAGACCAACATGAAACCATTGTCCGCCACGGACGAAGCCAACCTCTGCGAATACTCGTGCGCAATACGCACCCTCACATTTTCGTCTGCGGTGCCTGTCGATGCCCCTGTGCTCCAGGCGCTTGTCAGCTCGCCAGATATGGTCAGCAAGATATTCCCAAGGCTCGGCCACCTCAACATCGAGTTTTGGTCTGCACCTCTGGTCCCACATTATCTCGCGTTTCTGGCCCGAATCCAGCACCTGAGCGTGTCGTCCTACGGTCAAGCTGAAGAATGTCGGGTCGCCGCCGATTTCCTAGAATTGATGGCTGGGCAGCGCTCCGATTTGCGCGGGTTGGAGCTGATGTACCCGCTCTCGCGGTTCGAAAGCGCCCACGAGGGACACTGTCAGTGCCGGAAACGCTACATGGAGCTGGTACGCCGGTTCGCGCACTTGCAGAGTTTTGTTGGCTCGGAGCTGGACCACGTCACCGCCCAACACCTCTCCTGCCTTCCGACTCTCGAATTTCTGAAAGTCATGTTTCCGGTGCGCGGCGTCGCGGCCCTGCCAAGTGTATCTCTTGCATTCCCTGCCCTCGTTGCCGTTGATTTATCCGCTACGCTCTGTTCGGACGTCCTCGAGTTCTTACATAAATTTTCCCGTTTTCCACCGACGCTCCATATTACGTCGGTCACACGACCCACACTGCAAGAGTCGGAGCAACTATTCAGCGCCATCTCAACAACAAGCTCACCGATAGACGGCGTGGAAGGATTACGTCTGGATTGCAAACAGTCTGGCTACGCATTCACAGAACTCGGCGTATCAGCTACACTGCACTCGCTATCCCCGCTCCTTACTTACGCGTCTCTCCGCGTCGTCGACTGGCGCTTCACGTGCCCCGTCGCGCTCAGCAACGCCGATCTGGCGGAGATGGGCCGCGCGTGGCCACTTCTCGAGGAGCTGCGTCTCATCGACGAACACCCCGCCACCACCGCGTCGACGACTCTGGATGGCGTATTCGCTCTCGCAAAATTATGCGCACGACTCCAGCACCTAGCGCTCCCAGTCGACGTGTCCGTGGTCGACCACATCCCGCTCCACGATCCCGCGAACGGCTTGCGACACGAGCGACTCAAGAGCCTGAACGTCGGCTGTTCGCGCATGGTACCCGGATGCTGCGTCAACCTCGCCATCATCTTCGCGCAGGTATTTCCTAGCCTCCAGACCGTCGGTCTCGTTGCGGAAACTGGGAGGTCTGGGGCAGGAAGGAAAGCGTCCCTAGATGCGCAATTGAACGACGCTCTCGGTATTCTCCGGCTGGCCCGGAAAGAGGGGAGGATAGCCTTGTGGACGGGCGAAGACGTCAGATTGATGTTGATACCATACTTCGGAGTCTCTCCAGCGCCTCAGCGTCGCATGTCCAGGTCGGGTTCGATACATAGGAGGCGGTGAGAGCATATTTCTCTGGTTCCGGTCGGATGTCCGGTGGTCCTGAAGTAGATCGACTAGACTAGACATGCGTCAGGAAACCGAAATGCAAATCATAAACTACACCCTTACCGTACCCAAAAAGCCATCGTGGTGCAACAAGTTCACTTAAAAGCCACACGTGGCTACGTCAAAAAGAACCAATACCCAACCAACGGCCGAACCGCGTCCCGCCTTCCGTTCGCCCACAGCTCCGAGCGCGCGCTCGAGCAGATCATCGCGCCCACGCTGCCCGCGATAACCTCCGCCGGAAAGCTCTCGTACACCTCGTCGTACCGCGATGCGCTCTCCCCATTAACGTCGCCGCTACCGCCGCCGGCACTACCAGTAGATTTGCGCTTCTTGGTCGACGCAGACGCAGACGGCGTGAGCGACACAGCCGACGCGCGCGAGTCGCGCACGGCGCCGCGCTCGCGCAGGGACACGCGTAGGCGGGCGTATGCGGCTGGTACGGCGGAGAGAGGGAGCGACGGGTACGGGAAGCTGTCCATGATCAGCGGGCGGCCGCTTGTGCCGCCGCCGCCGGGAGAGGAGGTGCCTTTATTGTCGCCCGCCCTGTCGGCCTTGTCCCCGCCCTTCTCTGTCGCGCGCGTGCGCGTCCCAGGAAGCGGCAGCACAACGTACGCGCCCACGAACTGCGCCGGTGTGAGCGCCACCGGGTCTGCAGGGCGCAGGAGTACGCGCCGTCCACCAGGCGGCGCACGGTCCGCCGCGCGCAGCTGAGGGCCTTGCCATCTCCCTGCGACGTCGAACGCACAAAACGCGGTAATCCACCCGCTAAGCCTCGGCTCGTCCGGGTCCAACACAACCGCATCCAGATCTGCATCCTCCTCCGCACCGAGATAGCTCCCCCTCCCTCCCAACGCCTCGTCGCCCCATCCCCACTCATCATACATCGACATCGACCCCATCCCCATCGCCGCTGACCGCATCGTCCCCGCATCCGACGACCCCCCGCTCGCCGTCCTCCCGCCCATCCCCATCGGCGGCGCCAGCCCCAGCGCACCCGCGTCCGCCCTAACAACCCTCCGCCAAAACGCGCGGTTCGCCGGCGCATGCGGATTGTCCCACGCGCTCACGAGGCGCGCAAGCACCGGCGCGAGCAGGTGCCGCCACGCCGCGCCGTGCACGCCCCACCCCCTCAACCTCTCCCCGCGCGCCTTGAGCGACTCCCAGTCCGCGCGCGTGCCCTCGAGCGTGACGCGCGGGATACCCGCGCCGAGGCCGCCGGCGGAGAGCGAGAGCCCGAGCACGGACGCGCCGAACCCATTGTCCGCCGCCAGCGGCTCCGCGTCCGCGTCCGCCCCCGCCCCCGCGCGCTCGTGCGCGGTGTCATGGTGCGACGGCGGCGGCGCGTTGCGCGCGAGCAGCGCCGCAGCGAACGCGACCCTGTCGTCGTCCGTCGTCGTGCTGAAGCGCGGCTGCGCCCACGCGCGCAGCGCCGTGTCCGGTATCCGCTGCTCGACGTGCGCCTCGAGACGCTCCGCGAGCGCCTTTGCATCCGTCACGTACCGCTCCCACGCCATCGCCTCCACCACCGGCTCGTCCCACTGTATCCCTCCCCCGTCGCTCTCCCCTCCACCACCACCGATACCACCGATACCAGCACCACCACCGCCTGGCGCACCCCCAAACCCAAAATCCACAACGCCCGGCCTGGCCCTGACAAACGCCGCCCACTGCAACAATATCGCCAACCACACATCATCCGGCCTCACCACCAACCCTCTTGCATGCGCATGCGCCTCAATCACCGCGCCCACCAGCCCATGCGCGCGCGGAAGCACATCATAAACGCCCCTGCGCAGCCCCGTGAGCGACGTCTGCAGGAGCGCGCCCGTGCGCGCGGCGTGTGCGGCGGGCGCGGCGCGCTGGATCACTGCGAGTGCGGGGTTTTGGGATGTGCGCACGTGTAGGCGGTCGTCTTCGAGGAACTCGATGGGGGCGAGCGGGAGTGGGGAGAAGGAGAGGGGGCCGCGGTGCACGGGTGGGACGGGTGGGGTGCTCGGGGGCGAGGTGGACTTGCGTGCTGCGGCTGCGGTGGCGCTGGTGTTGGCGCCTGCGCCTGCGCCTGCTGATTTGGACGGGGCAGCCCTGGATGGTGGTGGTGATGATCTGGAAGCGTTGGGTTTGGCAGGAGGTGATGTGGCTTTGGAGGTAGGCTTGGAGGTGACTGGCGCTGACGATGACTTTGCAACGGCAGGAGCCGCTCTTGAAGCTGATTTAGTAGGGATGGGCAGAGGAGTAGGGGCAGGCGAGGGTCTGGGTGCGGCAGCGGGAGATGATATGGGAGCGGGCGCGGGCGCGGACATGGGTGCTGCAGTAGTAGCAGGAGCAGGAGGTAATTTAGTAGACACGGAAGGCGGCTTTACTGGGGGAGATGCAGCCTTCTTAGACGACGGGGGCTTGGAACGCGCAGGTGAGGGTGCAGGTACAGGCTTTGCCGCCGCCGCAGGTTTAGGCGACGGAGTGACCCTCGTCGCTGAAGCTGACTTTGGCACAGTAACAGGCTTGGGCGTCGGAGTGACCCTCGTTGCTGAAGCCGACTTTGATACCGAAGTCACTCTCGGTACCGGGGGAGGTACAGATAGAGGCGAGAGTTCAGGCGCAGGTGCAGGCGTGGAAGTCGATGGAGGCGGAGGAGCAAACATCGCTGCACCCGCAGGTGTAGGTGTAATCATCCTCTGCGAAGGATACGCAGACGACGACGATGCAGTGGGGGTGATGGTGCTAGCTTGAGACCGCATACGAGACGGTGGTGGCGGCCTTTGTTCGACCAGCGCTGGCATCGCCCCAGTCGCGGGCGGCTGTATACAGAGTATACAATTCAGCGGGCGTCACAACGTAGGCCATATACGACGAAACATACCGGTTCGGGTGCTGGCCGATCGGGCTCGCGTCTGAAAATATCCTGCAGAGGCATAAACCGGCGGAACCCCGAGCGCTTTGTGCTCGCCGGCTGTTGCTGCTGCTTGAGCACTGACCTGGCTGCCGCCGTGTTCAGTGGGACTTCGATGGGGGTTGGGAGGTGGAGAGACGTCGGCGGGGGCATGCCTTGCGGGATTTGCAGGCGCATGTTGGGAGGTGTAGCGGACCGCATGGCTTCTGGCCCTTGCGGGCCCAGAGATCGGGGTGGAGGGACGGGGAGAGCGGCGAGGGACGGAGAGGAAGCGGCCATGTCGACGACGGTGACATCGATCGTTCCCCGTGGGCTGTCATGGATGGGTCTCTGGTACTCGCTATAAGGCGATGGCGCTACACGATCTGTGATATACTGTGCGCGGCGGGCGAGAGGGGTGACGGTGGAGACGTTCGAGGGCTCGGAGGCGTTCGAGAAGTGGGAGACGCGGGACATCTGGGAGTCGAGGATAGAGGTGGGGACCTTGAAGGAGCTGTCGCCGTCCTTGACCTTTTCGACGAATTGGCTGTTGGCAGCTCCTCGGGCGGTGCGGACGGCGTGAGTGTCAGGTGGATCCTGATAGAGGTCGTCCTCGGAGTCGTAGCTCTTTGGACGCGTGTATACTTGCCTCTGCCTCTCTGGTATGCGTTGTGGGGTGGGGGCGGAATAGGTGTAGTTGTGGTAGGCGTTTGGAGGACGAGTGTAGCTCCGGGTGTATGCGTGTGTGGGGTATCGGGATGTCTTGGACGGGTATCTGAGCATGGAGGCGGGAGTGTGGTACTCGATAGGAGGCTGTCGTGTCGGTTGCATATGAGAGAAATGGACTGTTGAGGATGCAGGGGAGTCTGGGATGGGTGACCTGGCTGGAGGAGGCGATGTGAGGGAGGTGAACGACGCTCCTGGCGAGTCCTCGACGCGATAATCGTTGTCCCGTCTGCGCCAGTTGGACGGTGCTGCCATCCCAAACCGTGGCGCCATCGTGGTAGGAGGTCGACGTCGTTGTATGCGTCAGTGTGTTGCTGTGGACTGCAAAAACGAGGCGACAATGAGTCCACGTCCAAATCCGGGGATGTCCTTCACGACCTCCACGACAAATCTTCAAAAGGCAACAGCCATCCACCTCATTGGCCCCGAAGTATCTCCTCGTCTTGACTCTCACAACTTTTCTAGACCCATTCTCACCATATTCTCCACTTTGATAGATCTCACCACCTGAGCAGCACCGCGTCGTGCCTTGTTCAGTCCAAAGTGCCGGCCTATGCTGCTCGTAGCTTTCTGGTTCACATAATTGGCACATCACCGGACTGCACTCGCCCCAGGACTCTATCCCCTATCGTATAGGAAGCGACGAAGCTCAATTATGCTCTAAAGTCAAAAACGACCTCCAAGCGATTCGAGACCTGCTCAAGTGATCACATCACACGGACCCTGAACAGACCTACATAGCCACACGTTCTTCGCCCAGTCGATTATCCTTTCCCCCCGTCGCTCCCGACCCCATTCTAGTCTCTGCCGGCAATGCTCCCAGTCCCAGATTCATGCACAAGCAATCCCCCAGACCCCCTACAAATCAACGCAGCAGACCCACTCGCCACCGCCATCGGCCTCGAGCTCATCGGTGCGCTCACTGTCGGCGGCACGTTCTACGGCTTCATGGCCGCCGCCGCGGCACTGTGCGTGCGTGCCCTTGTCCAGACGCGCGCGCGCTGGACGCCCAGGCGGTTTGCCGTGCTGCTGGCCTCCGTCTGTGCACTTTGGGCCGTCGGCACCGTCCTCGTAGCGAGTGAGGCGCGCTCCACAATCGAGATGGCTGCGTTCTCGATGAATTCGGGCCCGCGGCAAGGGCGGGAGGCGCCGCCGACGGATGCGACTACGGTCGTGGTTACTTCGTCCTATTATTTGATGAACGTGTTGGTGGACGGCATTATGGTGCGTGGTGGATTATTGGCTGTTCCTGAGCGTTTCAAGAACACGCTTGTAGATATGGCGCTTCAAAGTCCTCTGGTCCAACTCCCGGTTTTACCGCACCCTCTTCTCCGTCGCCGTTGTGCTCTACGCGTCGATGATTGGCAAGTAAACCTGCATCCTACAAAATATAAACACATTGCCGTAGCGAAGCTTACATGCGTTGTGCATCATCCAGCCGTCGGCTTTGTTGTCGCCGCTGTCTTCAACGTTACTCACCGGTCGCTTTGGGCCGACTCCGAGGTCGTAGAATGGATGCTGACTACCCAGATCCTGATCACCCTCACGTTCAACATCTACACCACCCTGCTCATGGCATGCCGCCTCCTACTCTACCGCCGCCGCTTCAAACACAACTGGGGTATGTCCCACATCCCCTCCACCCCTACCCACCGTCCTTCCCCATCGTCACGAAATCTCAAAACCAATCTAACCTCTCACCACCATGCCGTACTAACTCTATACCACACACACGCACACACAGGCTCCCCCCACAAATCGCACTACACCTCCATGGGCAGCATGCTCGTCGAGTCCTGCACCGCCGTCACGATCTTCACGCTCCTCTTCCTCGCCACGTACCTCGTGCACAGCCCCGCTGCCGCAGGTGCAGATCACCGCGCCGCTGCTCGTCATGATACGCGTCTCCCGCGGCATCGCGTGGGAGCCCACCACCCCGCGGGCAGTCGAGAGCGCAATCGATAGAGCGCTGGCTGCGTGTGCGCTTCTCGAGCCTGAGCCGACGTAGAGTGCTGTGCTGGGCGGGCGAGGCGAGGCTGGGGGTATTTTCCTTTTTTTTCTGTGTACGAGTGCTGAGTTTATCTCGAGGGAATGCACTGCAGACTGTACTGTCCGATATAACAACCCACCGCAAAACAGGACCCGCCCGGACCGGAACGTCCACAGTCCCGATATTCGATCAAATCCTTCAATGGATAGCAGAAACACACCCTTCCCCAAAATACCGAACAAGCACCCTCCTCGCCCTCCGCCCATGAAACAACCACACCATCCACCCTGGCCAGATGAAGCTCCGCAAGCGCACTAGGAAAGCACCCACCCACAGGCCGACGTCCACCGCCAGGCGACTGCCGCTGCACATCAAGATTGATGCGCACCAGGCGCGGAAATGCCTGCGCAAATACAATCACAATCTTTGCCAGCCCCCGCACCTCGACACAGGACGTGCCCATACCTCAGCCGCGGGTGACACAGTCCCTCCGCGAGATTCTCAACAGAAATAAGGGAGAGCTCGGAAGTCCGCACGAGCCTTGCAAGCATCTCGTTCCTTTGTGGGTAGAAACAATGGGGTCGTCAAGGACGTTGAGGTCGTCAAATTGGGCAAAGATATCCCAAATGAGCTCGGGCAAGGTGAGGGCTGGATGCATCGGCAAGGATCTATGTTCTAGGCAGCTCAATACAGACAAAAAGAGATGTTATCTGGGATGAGATTGAGAAAAAGAGGTGACGAGACGGAAGCCTTTTCCTCCGAGCTTTGGGCCCTTTTTCTCACACCCATAGGCATACTTTTAGCTTATATTCGTGTAAATTGTGCCCTATTTGGCATGTATCTTCCTTATTTGAACATATTCATATGCATCTCTGTCCCAAAAATGCAAACTCCGAAGTAAATGTTCAACATTTCACCAACTTTCCTTACAACAAAAGCATAACAGAAAAATCGCACATTATCTGCACTGTAACAATCTCAAGTTGGGAGATCCTATCGAGCCAAAGTTGAGGCACAGCTTGAACTCTTTGTGGCACTAACCGTAAACAAATTGCGATTTTCGCGGGAAAATGGTGCGATAAAGAGGGCGAGCCTTGGGGCGAGCTGGGAGCACCAGCCCCCACCTTTTCTCCAGCCTCCAACCAGCCGCCCCCTTGTTGGCGAAACAGCTCCGCTCAAAACATAGCGACTGGTTTGATACTACCTGTTATTGAGGAGAAATGGCTGTGACGACACCCAAATTTCGAAGGGTTTCTCCAATATGACATGCACTCTCGCGGCACCTGCAACAACAAGCTGGAATCCATAATGATACATATTAAATAGAGCAACAACTACACCTCATCTCAAAGGTCTGTGTCCATCCATGTGCTTGAGGATTGGAGTTAGCGTTGGATTATTGTACGTCGGCTTATGTATAAGCCAGAGCACAGCGAAGGAAAATCATATGTTTTATCTGCCAAAAGATCGTATAAAATGGTCCTTTTAAAAATGTTATCATACTAGTGCAGCGAAAGGCTTTCAGACCTCCCCTCTTTTACACATTCTTCACCAGAGAATCATAATCTATCTTCAGTGATTCATTCGGATTCTGATTTCACTGGTTTCCTCTTATATCGTTTTACAAACTTTAATTTTAACTCTATATTGTTTCCTTACCTTTATAAAACCACGCCTTTCTTTCATGAAGCATCTCTCACAGTTTCACACGGCCAAAACCCTGTATCAGGGACAGCGTCAATCTACTGCTCGCAATCAGACAACAGGGGTTTTCCACTGTCCATGCAGCAACGCTATGAGAAAGCGGAGCACTGCCTTACGCCACGCACAAGTACTCGGCACCCACGGGTCCCTTGATCGACGCTCGCGATGATCACGTCCTCGAGACACAGCGTATACTCTTCACGTTAGATGCACCAATCGCCCACCAGCGTGGCTCAGACCGAGCAAAACCCTGATGGCGACGACGATCTACTCTTGATGTACCTCGCTTCTGTCCATGATCTTAACTGAGAGTGTGGGACGTCGTCGGCGGATCACTAGTACCAACACTGCTGTTTCAGAGTACAAAGGAAACCAGTGCCGCTGCAGATGCGGCAACTTACGTTCTCTTCAAGCTCCTCTTACCGCGCGTCGGCGCAGTAATCACAATCATCGCCGGACGGGCATGGCACATGCTAGCGTGAGACTGTAAGTTCAAAAAGTGCTGGACACTCCCAGGCTTCAGCGCTTCAGCTTCAAACGCGGCGGTGGAGATGCCAGAGACGGCTTAGGCTCGTTCACAGTGGCGGTTCACCTGGGCGCCAACACCCGTTAAGACTTTGTGTCGGAGTCCGAATTTTCTCGGCGTTATGGCCTCCACGTTCTTCGAGTCGACTTCGACCCGTGGTATTTATGATGTTAAACTATGTTAAACCGGATAATAGCATGACGCCTTCACGAGGACTTGGGACGCTTACGTTCGATGCCAATATCTCCCGTAAGGTTACGCCAAGAAGGAGGATCTAATCAAAATTGATGATCAAAACTACGACCAGCTGCGAGTGCAGTATACGGGTAATAGCAGGGTGGTGTACACAAGGGACTCAGGTGTAGAACTACATAAACAAGCAAGGTAGATACAAATACAAATACGACGCGTCAATATTCAAGATAAACATCAAGCGTGTGTATGATTTCTCCTTCCTCGCCAGAGAAGAACAAAACAATTAAAAAAGAAACTGAAAATAAAATAGATAAACATGCACCCACAACCGCCAAGACAACTCAATGCGCGCAAGAAACGTCCCAAGAAACGATACCGCTGAAACACAAAAAACAAAACAAAACAAAAAATCGGTATCCACTGTACTACACACCCGCCACTCACGTCACGGGCATAACGAGTCTCCCGACCACGTAGCTCTGTGCCTTGACGAGCCCTCCGCCCGCCACAACCGGCAGCCCGCTCAGCCCACTCGACGAAACACCACCACCGCTTCCACCTCCGCCGTGCCCACCATACCCACCGTACCCCGCATCGTCGCCCGAAAACCCGAGCCCGGGGCCGGGCAGCCGCCCACGCCACTCGCTGGGGTGGTACGGCAGACGCGCAGCGCTGTCGTCCCACGAGTCGCGTTCCTCCGGCCAGGGCAAGTCCGATGCGGACGTCGGCGTGTGCCAGGGTGTGCTCGATGGCGAGCACGAGGACGCGGACGATGCGAAGCCCAAGAGCGTTCCCGCGTCCGCGGGCATGACGCATCCCGATGCTGATGCTGATGCTGATGCTGATGCGAACCCGGCAGCGCTGTCCGTCGACGACACCGAGCCAGGCGTGAGCGGCAGCGGGCTCGTGGGGAGGCTGAATCCGCTGCTGTGTCCAAGCCAGGGGCGGACGGGGGGCAGCGGGACGGCGGTGGAGCGGCATGCCTCGGACGGGGAGAGGTTGAAGGCGCGCAGGGACGGCGGGACCCAGTGCGAGGGCGAGGGCGCGCGGCGTCTGCGTTTTGTCTGCGTGGAGGCGATGCTGGTGGGGGGAAACGAAGACGCTTCGGGGGAAGAGGCGAGCGTCGTGTCTGTGAGCGCCGATGACAGCGTTGACATGGTCGACCCGTCGCTGGTGCGGGAGCGCTTGGCTGTTGTCCCGCCCTCCTGGTCGATGGACGAATGTGTCTCGGTATCGTTTGATTTCTCGTCTGATATGGATCCTGGCACGGAGGCGGGCGATGTGTTTCCGTTGTTTGCCATTGCTGCGGCGGCAGCTACAGCGTTGGCTGGCTTGAGCGAGCACCGTTTGACGTGGCGATTGAGATTAGACGCGACTCCAAATCGGCGACCGCAGATGTCGCACACATAGGCTAGATAAAGCAGGTCACGATCCATCAATTGCGAGATTCATCCGGATAGGAAAGTGGCTTACCTTTGACCCCGGTATGTACAAGCAGATGCTGGGAATGGAACAGTCAATACCAAATGCATTACGCCACAAACCACAAATGAAGAGGAACAAGTCGAACGCGTCGAGCAGCCCCCGGACTTCGAAGAAAAATATTAAAAAAAATATAAAACAGAATATTCACCTTCTTGAGCGTCGACGGTCTATCGAAACTCTTCTCGCACATCCAACACCCATGCTTGCGTGCCCGCTCTCGTGGCGGGGCCCCGCCCTCGTGGCGTGACCTGCCGCTATTAGCAGCCGCGGCGCCGTACGCAGTCCCATTGGCAGCGCTAGCCTGAGCCGCGGAGTGCGCGCGCGCCGGGAGCTGACCGTTGTTGATCTCGGATGGATCTTGCGCCGAGAGTGCGTACGGCAGCCGCGATTCGGGCGGCGATGGAAGTAAGTGGGCCGCGTGCAATGGGATGAGCATGTTGTTGGGCTGCGCGTGCGATGAGTGGTGTAGGTCATAGGACGATGGGTAGCCGGCTGCGGGGAGGAGGTGGAGGCCCAGTGCGTGCTGGTGCGAGTGTGATGGGTGGGTGTAGACGCCGAGGGATGGCTCGGGATCGGCGTAGCCCGGGACGCCAAAGATGGAGCCTGTGGCGTCGTCATCTGGGGGAGGGAGAGGGTGGATGGAGAGGTGTTGGGATTGGCTGTACAAGGATGGATAAGATGGCATGGACGAAGTGGAGGAGTAGCTGCTTGAGATGGTGTCGATCTGGTAGTGAGAGCTGGAGCCCATAGAGCTGTTAGAGTCCATTGAGCCATAAGAAAAGTCAGAGTGGGGGACCATCTGGAACAGGGCAGAGGTTAATGGAGGGAAGGGTTGGCGGGGGATTAGAGTTGGTAGCCCGAGTCGAGCTTGTTATATATAGCATCGAGTGGGGAGCATGAACTAAGGCGCCCGTGTGGTATAACTTAGTTGTGTATTCGTGTGTTTACGCACCCGTGCGAGCTGCAGTCGAACGGGACGAGAATTAAATTAAAGCGGAATGACCGCGAGGAGTCATCTTGTCATCGCCGAGGCCATGATGGCACCCGTGAGGAAAGTGCGACAGATCTGTCGGACGGAATCAATTTCGGCAGGTACAAAAGAAGCCTCGCCTACCCGGCAGTTTGGCGCCGCAGCCCTGCCTCGCCGCCCCGCATCTCGGCCTTGGCAGACCAGCTGCTCGAGGCGGACAAATTAGCACGCAGTGGGCCAACTCATGCTCATAGATCGAGAAGTTTGGCAAGGCGAACAGTTCGAAGCGTGTAACGCTGTGCGCAAAAATGGAAACAAGATGGACACGGCCAGGCTGATCGGTTCGAGGAAGTGTGAATGATGACACAAATCTTTTATGCTAGGCTGCCTCGATCAAGGCGACGAGGGACCTGATATGGGCCCGAGGGAGGGAAAACGAGGCCAACAATGCGGAGATGCCGCCCCAGGTAGAAGAACTTGGGGGCACGCGGGGCGCCTCGAGGTTTTCTTGACTACGGCTTGTTCGTTACGCGCCATCTCGAGCGACTTCCTTTGAACTTGGAGCGAACTCCCGAAGGACACGGGGTTTGTTGGGCCTGCGGTTGGGCTTCGAATTACGTTGTACCGCCGGGACGGGTGTGTTGGGAAATGAAATTGTCTTGCGAAGATCGACACAGGTGTCGTAATTGACTTCGTTGGTTTCAATTATGGATGCGCCTTGCCCTCGGACATGCACCCACGGAGTTATAAGTGGCTACTAGAAGCATCTGATCGGATGTAAGCATGGTCACCATCCGAGTCAAGCTTATATCGAGGAAGTGAATCACCAAATTGGAGGAACAAAGTCAAATTGCACCGCTCGCTCGATTTGATCATTGCTCTTCCATTTGCGTTCAACAGCGTTCAGCCGGTGCGTGTATTTGTCCTTGTTAGGTTCCAACGCCGTTGCCTTTTGGAGCTGTTTTCGCGTTGACCACGTGCCGCGTCTGTCCCCTCCGCCGAACGCGACATTCCAAAAGCCCTTTCCGCGACGTTCACACCACCGCCTCGATCCAAAGATGCCTCTGACGCCAGCACAAAAGGCGGCGATCGAGGAATTGATTGGGATCCTATCCAGCGCAACCCCTCCACGTGGAAAGCGTCTGCTTTCAACCATGTTCATGGAGCTTGTTGACCGCTCCGACTGGCCCGAGTACTACGAGGTGCGTGACGTCTCTATTCAGCCCCAACCTTCGTATTCTGACAATCATGTCCTACTTTTGCCTTTGACGTATGAATACACGCGAGTAGGTTATTCCCGAGCCACGCTGCATCAAGGGTGTCCAGGCCAGTGTGGAGAAGAACAGGTACAAAGACGCGTCAGCTGCATACACCGACTTGTCACTCGTGTTTTGGAACGCCATGTTCTACAACGAAGAAGGGAGTCAGATAGCCAGCGACGCAGAGACCCTCAAGGTGTGTTCGTCCCACTTTCCCCCTCGTCTCCTCCGCGGAGTGCTTACCACCCTCGTCTCTCATGTTCCTCCTCGCATTCCAATCCTGCGTGCACCTATGTGCCAATCACACCTTTTTGTATGCGTGATCGGACCGTGTGCCCACCCGATACACATATGACTACCTAATCGCTATCTGAATCTGAATCTGAATCTGTTCCTGTGGCTTTGCATCTTCGCCTCACTGGCCCGACACGGACTCATCTTCCCCCGTACCCGTACCCTTTCCCTTTCCCGCTCCAACCGCACATCACGGCACCACCGTCATCACTGCTGCGAACCGAACAGTCCATGCTCGTCGCAGAATGGCAGAAGCGTCCCCTCCTTGGCGCTGTTCCCCGCCTCGACCCGCCCCCACAGTCCGCCCAGAAGGTCCACGGCCCTTCAGAGCCCGAGCCCGCCCCGTCGACTTCCGCGCAGACAAGGTCTACCACGGCAATTCGCGCAAACAGCGCTCAAGCTCAGCCTCAACGAACTGCGTCTACCCCTAAACCCACACCACGCGCGGCCTCGCCTTCGTCCTCGGCCCAAGACATGGACGTCGACATCGGCGGCTCGCCCGACCTGGACCAACCCGGCTCGGCGCTCGATGCAGAAGCGGAGGCGGACAGGTCAGCAGACGGCGACGAGGAGATCGTGCGGCAGCTGGAGAGGACTATGCCCCGCTGGGAAGGGTTCGGCGAAAAGGGATGGATGGCGGAGGTCGGCCAGGTGAGCCTTTTCCTTGTTTCCCTCCTTCCCCCCTTCCCCCTTTGTGTCTTTCTCTTTGGAAGACTGTGGTCTTTGGTCTCTTCGTCTCGTGTTGTACACGCATTGCGGACTACGGTCCGATGCCCACTCTCCATCGCAGACCATTCTGCCTTTGGGCGTGAGGGCGTTTACTCTGTCCTCGGGTGCTGCGCCTAGCGCCGTACTGCACACACTCCAGAGACGGGCAGTCCCACTCCCATTTTATCGCTATCCAAAGAGAGGCTATGAGTCACCGATTGATCATGCCATCTGCGTCTTTGTCCTTCTTCTTTTCACCCTTTTCGCCCATCGCGCTTACTCTCGCATCGAACAGGACCGCCTTTTGGAAATTGTACTCGCAATCAAAGATCACAAGGACACTGCTGTGTAAGTCCCTATTCTCCCTGCTCCAGCGCCCTCGCCTCCGCCCCTGTTATCCTGCTGCACCCTCGGCGTTTTACGTCCTGCTGTTATTTTGCTTTAGGACACATCGCTGATCGTTCACAATGCATCTGCGCTCTTACAGAGGCACGCGCCCAGCTCAGTCCCTCGAAGTCATTCCCGAGGACTCAACGTCGCCCAATTTATCGTACCAGGTGAGCCCACCCGTTTTCATTGGCCCGCCCACCCAGTTTCCTCCGTGCGAATGGCCCGGGGGTACCTTGAGCGGATAGCCGGACGCTGACTTTGGCGTCTGCTTCTCCACATGCACAGGCTCCACTATCGCTGCAGCTTATTGAGGTACGCCGAAAAAGCAAATTGTATCGTCTCGTTATCGGGTGGGGTGTGTCGCCTTCCCGAAACGAGAGTATTGGTAAGGTAGCTTACGATTGGCTGTTGTTGCGCACTGCAGGGACGCGCGCGGGCGGGATCGTATGCGGGTGCGCAGGCGTTCGATCTCGACGTGATGCGCCTGTTCGAGAAGGCGCGCAGGTACTACGAGCCGTGCACTGAGCCGTACGGGCATGTGTTGCTTCTACAGGTATGTCCCGCCTTTGAACTTATTCTCGCCACTGTTCTATTTTGCCTATTTTTTCACCGCCGCGGGCCCCCATGAACGACCCACACTAACCCACGCATCTCGCATACAGCGCCTGTACCAGGCCCTCACATCGTCCTCGCCGCCCGCAGGCCCGCCCTACACCTCCAGCACCAACTTCGCCTTCGTCCGCGCTGGCCCGGGCAACGCCCGGCCGCTGCACTCATCCGGAGGCGGTGGCGGGCCCAGCGACGGAGGCGGCGGCAACGAGGGCGCGGCGGTGACGACGTTCCGCGTGACGACCAAGGACCGCCGGTTCGTCGAGGAGGTGAGCTACAAGGGCCTGAGCGTGCGTCTGGCGGACTGGCTGCACGTCGCGAACCCGGACGATCCGAGTCGCCCGATTGTGGGGCAGGTGTTCAAGTGTTGGGTTTCGGAGGAGGCGTGAGTTTTTGGTGTTTGCCTCGTTGCCCGGAAATTGTTTGAGTTTTGATGTTGTGTATGTGGTGATTTAGATCTAGGAAGGGGCAGCCTGGTGTGACAGTCTGTTGGTATTACCGACCTGAACAGGTAAGTCGAGGAGGATGCATGCGTGGTAGACCATATGCAAATTCTGGCTGATGGTGATCTTGCCGTGCTCTAACAACCAACATTTTTTTTTCATCAGACGTTTCATCCCGCTAGCAGGCGATTCATGGAGAAAGAAGTCTTCAAAACGAGTACGTTTCCATTCTGCTCCCTGGATGATGCTATCTATCTTGCTCATCAATCTGTCTCTCGAATTTTTACCGTACCCTCGACACTCCGGCTATCCATCATCCGCGACGCGATCCCATCTTACCTCGGCTAGGCCACTTCGCCGATCACCCGCTAGAAGACATCATCGAAAAAATCGCGTGCCAGTTCACAGCGCGGCACATCCGCGGGCGCCCCAAAGCGCCCGCGTGGCACCCTGGCTGCCCGCTGTACGTGTGCGACGCGCGGTACAACGACCGCGAGCGCCTGTTCGTGCGCATCAAGAACTGGAACTCGTGCGTGCCCGAGGAGGTGCGCAAGAGCGACGAGTTCATGCCGATCGCGCACTTTGAGCGCCTCGTCTACCCGCGCAAGCTGCCGAGCCCGTTCATCGTCGCTGCTGCCGCGCAGAGCGAGGCCCAGGCCCAGGAGCAGGGGCAGGGACAGAGTGGACCCGGGCAGGGGCTGCCTCAGGCGCTGGCTGCTAAGGATAAGAAGGCGCCTGGGCCTGGGGGGATCGGGGAGAGCGTGGAGCGGCCGGCGGGAGCCGAAGTGGACGCGGCGGGGAGGAGGAAGCCTAATAGGACGAGAGCGCAGGCGGCGCCGCAGCAGCCTGCTCAGCAGCAGCAGCAGATAGCAACAGCGCAGACGAGGGCGGCGGCGGTGGCTGCAACGCCGATGACGCCCGCACAGCAGGCGTATTATCAGCCGTATGTACCCACACCGGGCGCGGCACAGGCGCTCGCAGCTGCCCAGATGCAGACGCAGGCGCAGCTCCAGATGGCCGCTGCAGCTGCTGGCGCGGGCAGCGATCGAGATCGGACGATGCTCGGTGCGGCGGGGACACTAAGCACGCCGCCGGTGGTGGAGAAGCTTCCGTCCGAGACGAGTAAGGCTTTCGCATGTGTTTTTTTCTTAATCACAGAGTTGACCCCCCGTTGTTGCGTATTCACAGCGCGACACTTTGAGTGCTCTCCAGAAACAGGCGAGCTGCTCTGGTTCTCTGCACCCCCGATGAACGTCCCGATGGCACCTGGTCCGCGGCATAGTCTCGCGTATCTGCATTTTCTCGCGAAAAAGCGCAAAAAGGCCGCTGCTGCTGAAGGGAATGGGGAGGACGAGAATGAGGATGATGCCGATCGGGACGCAGAGGTGAAGCGGCGGAAGACGCAGGTGCGGCCGACGGCGATGGAGTCGATCCAGGCAGCAACGAGAGAGATAGCGCTGGAAAGATCGGCGTGATGCATTTTAAATCTTGCTTTCTCTTGCTACCATTTGCTAACTGCTTTCGCTCGTAGATTACTTTGTAGATTCCTCTATAATGTGCACTTGAATTTTCTTCCTTGGGAGTAGACCTGTTGGCCGCCCGCCATTACTTGGTGCTAGCAGCCGCCATTGTCTGCGCCCCGAGTTCGAAGTTGGCGAGCCGAATAAAGAGAAACTCGGATCAGCCAAGAAGCACCGACCCCAGTGACCATCACTTCCTGCCGTATTTTTACTCCTGGTAGCATCAAGCCAATTTGACCGTCTTGGGCAGTGCCGCCGGCAGTGCTCAAGGAACCCGGGTTCCATTCTGACAGCTGCGAATTCGTCGGGCGGGGGCGATGTGCGACGGGATCGACGTATGAGGCAGCGCGCCCCCCACGCGGAGCAGAACACTGCAATAAGGCGGACTTGAGTAGCCGAATCACCGCTCGCACCAGTCTATTATGAGCATCCCGTTTCACATACGTGTAGGATCTGCGTCTCTCTAATCTCCTCGGTGCAGGATAAAACGCTGGGTACTCGCTTCAGGCCTCAGGCCCCCTGCAAAGTGATCGGGCGACCGAGCTGGAGATGGTTTCTGTCGTCAGCTTATATCGAAGCACACCTGAGCTACCCCAGATCTGTAAACATCGAACCTTATAGGTTCAGTGCTTGCCGGCGGTAGATCGAACTGGGCTGCCATCAACATCGCTCTTCGGAGCACATGCTTCCTGTACCCCTAGTCCGTGAGCGGGTCAGCGCTACAGCTGCGGGATCAGCGGCTACCGTACAAAGACCAAAAGGTAACACGCACACCGACTTGAATCAGATGTTAATTTACACACTGTGGACCTTTGTGGTGGTCTACACCGGCTCAGGTGCATCGGTCGCGTTTTACCCATTCAGTGCATGCGTTCATGGAGTCAACTATTGAAATTCAGGACGGAAACCAACGGATGTATGCTGCTTTAGTTAATAACAGTTTCCGGTTAGGGTCTCGGTACTCTCTCGGTACTCTCTTATGACCAATGCCGCCTGCTCCAAACTATCGTTGGAAACGACTTTTTACATTAATTTGACTGCTTCTCGATTCTGTCTAGGTCAAATTCCATGAGCTAATGGCGCTCCGGCGTCTGCCTTGGAAGGTAGACACAACAAGAGTCGGGTCAGTCTCAGCAGCGCTCGCTCTTCTCAGGTGAAAGAAGATCCGCGCGGAGATGATACTGTGTATGGTGATTTGTAAACTGAGATTCTGCTCAGCACGGTAGTAGCAATGAACTATAAGTCTGAGAAACATTACCTGTCTCCATATTGGTTGAAGTATTGCTTGAAAAGAAGTGAGCATATCTCCTCGAGCGTAGTAGGTGCGTTGACGTACCACACTGATGACCTTGTTGGCAATGTTTGCGAGGGATGCCGCTAGACGCTATGCGTTGTAATTCTGCAGAGCAACGGTCAAGAATGGTACGTACTTATCATGAAGGCCAGATAAATGGTAGTGTCGCGGTATAATATGTAAGCTATTCTCGAATTGGTCGCACGAAAATGGCGGAACCAGCGATAAAGAATGAGAACCAAAAGAACTATACGAGTTGCAGAAAGCGTTATTCTTTAGTTTTTATTCAAGTGTGCGCAAGACGTACTAATTTCGTAAGCAGCAAGAAAGCCGTACTCAATAGCGGATGATTTGCTGTCTGTGAAGTTGCAAATGTTGGGCCCTGTACTCATCATAGTGAATAAGATATAGGTCAAAAGTAATCAACCACATACTTACACAGATCCTCTCGTGGAAAAACGTTGTTGTAAGAATACGTCAAATAAACAGCAGTGGCCGAGAAAACCTACAGCCAGGATAAATATGGATGAGGCAGACTAACACCACATTGATTGTCACCTACGATGGCCGCTGTTAACATTGAAACAAGCAGTAACCGATTACATCCCCAAAATGCCCATAGACGCATGAAGACAAGCCCTGACAGATCAATGGCGCATAACCAAACAATGAGACTTTGATAAAGAAACATTCAACAATTATTATAGCACGTACCTTCGGCAGAAATTATGCTGATTACATGCAGTGCTAAAAACATCCCGTCAGTATGCTTCAAGTTAATGTAAGAAACAAGCACCATACAAGTTGACGCATACCCATTCTGGGTTGCATTGCACTGCAGCAAGTCTTTTAACATTGGCTCAGTTCGTCCCAGATAAAATGACTCACCGGCTGAAGGGCAGCTGCTCTCAAAGCGGCTACAGTACATCGAGTGATAAGCTCACATTTCCCACAAGTAATCAATCAGGCTTACCCCATACCGTTAGAACTAGTCCTGAGAATGGCACATAACGAGCCAAAGTAAAGACACAGCGACTGATGTCCCATTTCTTTCCCCATACCCAAGTAACCTGCCACCGATGTTACCATCATGTTCAAAAAAATATGTGCATACGCGCTCACCTCTTCGTCCAAAGTGATAAGGTAGTCAAATGCCTAGGCATGAAAAGAGAAGAAAGCATCAGTAGGGGTGGTTATTCTGGCGACGACCGTAAGTACAACCACCTACCAGTAACGCCAAACCCGATACTGTATAGGGCATAGAGTGTGAACGGCATTCAACGACTGAACTTCGGCTCGGCAAGAATTTATCGCTCACAATTGGCATACTATGGTGATTTTTGACATAAGGCAAACGTTCGACGAAGTAAGCAGTATATATAAGTTAGTGGTCTCACCGCATCACTTTGCTTCCCGTACGCGTCGGTGGAGAAGGTGTCCATAGTGTGTTGCAATATAGATGATTTAATTCGGAGCTGTTTAATGTTGTGGGTTTTATGGAAAGCAGCGGTTATTGGGAGGGAAGAGGGACTGAGACTCGTAACTCACGTTCTGAAACGATATCTTTAAGCGTTCACCAAGCTCAAGTCAGACGCTTGTTTGAGAGCGCCCTACACCTCGCAACGAAATGCGGTTCGATAATACACCAGGCTCATGTTAGGATCTGTGCCATTAGCACTGCACTGCAGGGACGATCCCATGTAAAGGCTGTATACATTGTATCCGAGCTCACTGTGTTAGCCAGATAAAACAATAGTACTTCCATAAAAGATTAGGTCAGATATCCTTGGGTGAAGTATCCAATTGGTATCCAAAGATGGGCCACAAGATGTTTGGGAGGTTTCAACTTTGATCATCTCAGATATTCATGCTCGCGGAAATGTGTAGTGTGTCATTGAGATTATACTCTTCGTAAGGCAACAGGGAACAGCTTACAGTAGCATGCCTCCTCTAAACATCTGTGGTGGATAAACAGCAGGAACAATCGTGGTACGCTGCTGTTCCCCAGGCAGTGTATAGTCGCAGAGCAATCCGTACTATGCGGATCACGGTGTCTTCAAGCAAGTCGCACGCCAATAGATACGGAAAAGCCGCCCATGGGTATTGCGGTCCATGAGATTTGTCAACAGTTGGTATCCCAGGGCTCCGTTCATTAGCGGAGGTGCTAGCTCTGGGGTGACTTGAGACAAGGAAGCTTGGATGATGAGTCTCATTGGCAAGGTCATTGATACATTGTAGTTGAGCTGGACGACGTGGAGACTTATCAAAACCTTCTTCAATTGGTAGCGCGAGTGAAAGACAGATGGTAGGTTGAGTTTGGATGGACTCAGACAATTGTCAAAGGCACGTTCAGCCAACTGGAAGGACGAAGGGAAGAGGACCGAGTGATGTTGAAAATCCGACTGAGAGTCATCATGTAACCAAGCTTAGCCCGCGACTCTTGCATCACGGTTGCGGCTGCTGTGAGTTGCATCTTCTGATCACGCTCATCCTCCATCGATAGCGTCTCTGATACAACTGTGGGCGGCGGTGAAAGGAATAAGCAAGATCTACTAGGGATCCCGGACTAGCGAACACCTCGCAAACCCCCAATTTGCGACTTACACGATGTTGACACATCATCTATGTTCACTCGTTAACAAGGTCCCAAATCTGCGCCGATGCATCCAGCCCTCACCTTGCCCGAGCTCATTTAGAATATCTTCGCTTGTCTCATTGAGCTTGATGTCCTTGATGACCCATCATTACCACTTGTCAAAGAACGAGACGTTAGCAAGGCTCGCGCGAACATATAAGACTTTCAAGAGACCCGCCATCGAGGTGCTCTGGGCAGACATTGACGCAAATATCATCTACAATCACTTGATTCCACACTGCCTGATTATGCGAAAGGACAGCGATCCTGATCCGCATATTGTTAGTCGTTCGTTCGTTCTGCTTTTTCATTTCAACGTCCTGAACCGCAATGCTCCTTCAACCAAGCAGGTGGATATTGAGCCTTCATCGATCATCCCTTTCTGACAGGGAGACCATCCTTGAGTACATGAGTACACGTTTTGCATCCATGTACTCCGTTTTGCTCCACCGTCGACGTGAATAGCTTATACGGTGTGGCGATATCTTGGCTGTATTGCTTTCGTTATTTTATGGTTACCTACAAGCTTGTGGGAAGCACGATGTCTTCTTTTTGCGTCATTCAAGCAGGCTTTGCTCCAGACAATGTCGTCTCGTGATGGGGTGTTGTCCGCGTTTTCGCCGCTTGCGTTGCCGAAAGTCGTGGGACCCACCAACTCATTTTCCAGCCTCCTCCCACCATAGCGCGTCAGCTGTCAAGGTGTCACCTATGCATCCAGCACTCGGGCTTTCTGAAGTCCTTGAGAGAATCTTCTCCCGTATAGGAGATGAGTTAGACGACGACTATAGTCCCTCCCCTTCGAGCCGCCCTCTTCCCATTCGCAACAGCACGTTAGCTCGGCTCGCACGCACGTGCAAGACGTTCAAGAAGCCCGCTATTGATGGACTGTGGTCAGAAATTCCTGCCACCAGGATATACGAGAGCTTGATTCCACACTTGGTGGTGATGTGGAAAGAGGGTGACCCTGACCCATATGATTGGCGAGAAATAACCGTGAAAGGAACGTGGATTGTAAGTTCGTTGCGTTTGACTTTGGCATAACGTGTTGATGATCTCTTTATAATTGGTGTCTCTCCCTTGCTTAGGCGGACGTTCGACCTATGTCTACCGCCGATCAGCTCAATTTGATGGAGTACACCACATCCATTCGTAGATTCACGCTTGGTTCACCCGACATAGCGGAAACAGCTATAGCAGCTCCAGCCATTCTCGCGCTACTGTCCCTTCCAGGAGGCCTGGATGTCGTGTTTCCACGACTGAGCCGCGTGCACATCTATCACCAGCTTCCGGGCCTTCTTCAAGAGTACCTTCCGTTGATTTTTAGCGTTGAATGCATCCGCCTGGTTGCCATTTCCAGAATTGACGACCTCTTCATGGCACTCGTCGATGCCTTCACGACACGCAAAGGACCGCATGTTCAAGAGATCGACCTACAATTCAAGTCTTCAGACTGGCATAGCGATCAGGCAAACCGTGGCTCTTTCCCGACCATGTTGTCTCAAGCTGTCATGCGCTGCGAGAATCTTCGCACATTCGCATGCACTGTACTAGACCAAGCGACTCTACTACGCCTATCCGGGCTCTCTTCGCTCACCTTTCTTGAGCTGCATGGACTTGACGACATTGATACCACCCCGACGTTGCAATTTCTATCCCTGGGGTCACTCAAGTTGACATTCAACGTCTTCTCTGACGCAGTGTACTTTATTCTCAGGCTGGTTCGTATACCACCCTCTATTCACATACGGATTGCGGATGAACCGTCTGCTCCCTTGTCGGCACAACTGTTCGACGAAATATCAAGAGTTCCTGAGGCCAATGTACACGCTCTTACTCTCGAGCGCTTTGTACCCCCCATTCATCCGGAACACACCCATGACCCACCGATTTCGATAGAGACTATCGAACCTCTGTTGAAATTTGCGGGTATGCGTGTTTTTCGATGGATCTTCCTAGGTCGCGTTCACTTGACGGACGCAAACGTTGGGCTCGTTACACAATCATGGCCCCTTCTCGAGCAGTTATGGATCAATTCGGAGTCGTACGACCACGTCCCTTTCGCCACGCTGAGCAGCATATTCATCGCAGCTCAACACTGCCCTCACCTCGAATATCTCTCGCTGCCCGTTGATGCGTCGCGTATCACCGACGACGGTTCTTTGGCGGCAGAGATTCGGCACGAGAGTTTGAGGGTAATCGAACTTGGAACATCTTTTGTTGACGCGATGGGCTTGGCTACTATTGTCCATACTTTTGCGCGAGCGTTTCCGCGGCTGAAGTGGGTCAGGCTGAACTTGCCTGTGGGCGGTGAGGATACGGACTCCCAGACAAGCAATGGGCAAAGGGCGTTTGGTTGGCGCATCTGCGAAGCCATAAAGATGCTGCGTCAAGCTAAAGAGAATGGGAGGATTGCTTCTTGGACAGACGAAGACGCGTTGAAGATTCTCATTCGTTACTTCGAGGTTGCATGGGATACGGACAAAAGCCATGGTTTCGAATGACACTATGAGTTATTAGCATGTCTGTGAGTGTATCGCTATGCTCTACTCTCAAGCCATGATGTCAGAGTCTAAATTTCCGACATATACAGTTGAAGATGTTGTACTATGACCGCATCCAATCATTTGCCCGCCTCGGCCGCTAGCTCTTGCGGCCCACGGAAATGAACTATCGTTTGTAAGAAGACCGCGAACCAGCCCACCATGTCTTAGAGCTTACGTAGCTCAGATTCTTAATGTACACACGATATTATTGTAGAACCCTAAGAGCAACCACACGTTGCGACTTTCTCATAACTTTGAAGCGCGCCTCGACGCGTCGTCCTGAGTTTGAAACTCCGCTGCAGCTTGCATTCCGCGTTAACCACCGCGACGCTGTCGCTACTTGTGTCAAAACCTCCTTTTGATTCAGATATTCCAACATGTTGCCGCTGTCTTAGCCTATTCTCACCATTATCAATTCAGATGGGGATGGCTGCCCTGCGGACTTCATTGGTTGCTCAGCTTCACCCTCCCACTTCACGAGCACGTCTGAATCCGCAATGCATCCGGTTTTGAGCCTATCTGAAATACTGCAACTCATCCTATGCAGCATACACGACACACGTGATGGCACTTACAACCCTCATCCTGTTCGCAAGAGGATGCTAGCTGGCTTGGTGCGGTCCTGCGAGCTCTGGTCGGAGAGATACGCCGTCAACATTTTCAAGGGTCTTCTTCTCCATCGCATTGTGCTACGTAACAACAACGATCCGGACCCGTACGGATGGAGCAAGCTACGGATAGGAAACTGGATCGTGAGTACCATGCTTCGTGCCCCATCTATCACAGCGTGTAACGCTCCCTAGGCAGACGTGATACCGCTGTCTAGCATCGATCATGAAAAGCTGCTCGAATATTCGCCTTCCGTACGAGTTCTCACCTTCCCGGATCCCTTCATCGTTTCAAATACCCATTGCTCCACCTGCGCTCCGGGCTGTCGCTTCTCTGCTTGGGTCGACCGAACGAATGTTCCCGAGGTTCGAGTGCATACATGTCACCAACTGGCCTATGGAATTGTTTACGAGCACCTACCATTCATTTGTCGCGCAACTAAAAGTTTTGCCTTCCGCTGTCCTACTGCTTCCGACGAGACCTTCCCCAATTTCCTATCGAGGGTGACATGTGGCGGGGGCGAAGGGCTAAGAGAGCTTACCCTAGACCTCCCTCTTGTGGAGACAGACTCAGTGCAACCTGCGAATCGGAGGGCCTCATCAAGCTCGATCGTCTTCGCATGTTAATGTGCCCCGCACTCGACCAGACTTCCTTCATCCATCTCTCCCAGCTGAAGACCCTCACATCTATCGAATTTGGTGTTCTTTCTGACATCGCCTCCACTCCTGCTCTACCCTTTCCCGCATTGGAATCGCTCGTGATCAGACTTGGCAGTTTCCCGGAAACGCTCTTCATCATGGGAAAACTCGCTCGTTTTCTGTCCGCCATTCATATCGCTTCAAACGGCGTACCTTCCCTCGAGATTGCGCGAGAGGCGTTTGGTACTATCTTGATACGCCCTGGCAGTCTGACACGCAGCACCTTGCAGACTGGTTTTGCCGACATGCACCCTTCGCTCCTTCAATCTTCTTCCAGGGGAAAATTTTTCTCTCCGCTTCTGTCGTTCTCCACTCTACAAGTGCTTGATTGGTCCTTTGCAGAACGGGTTGAATTCACAGATGCCGAAATGGAGCAGCTGGCGCGCGCATGGCCTCAGCTTGAGCGCCCTAGCATCATCTTCACGCCCGCGATTACGAGCCAGTGGGAATGCTGTCCAGTGTTCTTGCCTTCGCGTGACACTACCATCATCTGTGATATCTCGCAATACCCCTGAGCGCCTCGAAAATCGTGTATATACCCATCAACAACCCCGCGGGCGGCCTTCGCCACAAATGCTTGAAGACTCTCAATATATCATCGGCACTCGTCAACGAAGGAGGGCAAGTGGACCTAGCGATTGTCTTCGGTCAAATGCTTCTGCGGCTGCAGTCTGTGTCCCTGTATGCGCAGGATTCGGTGCTTCGCAGTGACGGCACCAGGATTCATGGCTGGGACCAACATTAATGCTGCGTTGCTGTCCCTGCATGAGGCAAAGAGGGAAGGGGTGTTTACGTCGTGGGCTCATGAGGGCGCTCGGAGGTTGGTTCTCGAAGCGTTTCATAGACACCTAGGGACCATGACTCATGAGTCGCTGAAGTGCATGAAGAGAGATTTATGAGGTTCGGGTCCAGGGAGGGGGAAGAATTGTCGCCACAGCCGTTACAACGTTGATGGGGTGTCTCCGGCAGCCTAGCGTTGAGTTAACCTGTTGAATTACAACTTTATTACTGCAACGTGCATCGAGAGGTCTGATTGGCTTGCAGCAGCATATCTCTCCGGTTGGTGCACCGGACCGAATTGTCCATGTGTTGCAAGCGAAAGCCGCCTCGTGGTTGGCTAAGGCCGCGTTTTCAACAGCTGTCGACACCTTGCGCCGTCTGTCTCGACCCACGTCTTGTCTCTCACCACTGCAACATAGCTCACCATAAACAAGCCCTTCCATGCATCCAGCGCTCAGGTTGCCTGAACTCCTTGGGCAGATTTTCGGCTACTTAGGCACCTTCGACACGACACCAACACTTCCGTCGAGGGCCCCATCCGGGACTGTATCTCCCCGCCGCAACAGTACGCTCGCAGGTCTCGCCCGAACCTGCAAACCGTTCAAGAAGCCTGCTATTGACGAGTTGTGGGAGGAGGTTACTGCCCTTAGAATCTACGAGAGCTTGATACCCCACTTGCTCATCAAGCGAAAGGATGAAGGTCTTGACGTGGCCGCTCCGTCAAACTGGATCGTAAGCTAGTGTCTCCGTTACGACGCCCGCAACTACCTCTGACGAATGATTAGGCAGACGTTATATCACTATCCCCTGCCGAACAACGCAATGTGATGGAGTACACCACCTCTATCCGCAAATTAGATTTCAATTGGGTCAATAGCACAGCTATAGCGTCTCCAGCCCTCCACGCGTTGTCCTCCTTGCCTGGAGGTGCTGAGGCGACATTTTCCAGACTAGACCATGTGCGCGCCAGTTCCTACATCCCAGAACTGCTTGGCGCATATGTGCCGTTTGCTTCGCGCGCTGTGCATCTCTACCTGCACGGTATGGATCTTCACACCGCCTTGGTGGAGTTCATGGACAAGTTCACCGCCGTGGCCCGTCCCCAAGGCTCATTTGTACTAGACATTGATCTGCGATACATGGCTCCGGGAGAACGTCGTCGCAAGGGACAAGAACATCAGATGCTACTAAACAGGCTGTCCCATGCCATCCTACGTACAGGTCATCTTCGTACATTCTCATGCCCAGAAGTGGACCAAATAACGCTGCTACACCTATCAAAGCTCCAGTCTCTCGTCTCTCTTGAGTTTCAAATTCTTCTTGATATTGGCTCGACTCCCAAATTGGCGTTCCCATCCCTTGAGTTGCTCAAACTCGAGCCTTTCAATTTCCTTCATGCAGTCTTCTTCATCTCGAAACTGGCTCGCATTCCGCCCTCCATCCAGATACAGTCTTACGATGATCCGTTGGCTTACTTGTCCAACCGGCTCTTTGGAGAACTGTCAATTCATTCTACGACTAATAGCCTACAGGTTCTTGTGCTCAAGTGGAACGGATACGTCGACCAAGACCCTCATAACATTGTAGTCACGATGGAAATCATCCAGCCTCTCCTCGTGTTCACACGTTTACGGGTCTTCGATTGGATCTTCCCGCACCGCCTCCAGCTTACGGATACGGAGGTTCACACAATGTCTTCGGCATGGCCGTCCATCGAGCGGCTACGGATTAGATCTGCTTTGCACGACTTCACCCCATCCGCCACGTTCAATAGCGTGCTTACTGTCGCCCAGCATTGCCCTCGTCTGGCACGCTTCTCGTTGCCCATTGATGTGTCACGCACGGAGGAGTTTCTTGGAGAGGGATTTTGTAACGATACCTTGGAGGTGGTCGAGCTAGGAACATCTGCCGTTGACGCGAGAGGCTTGGCCGTTATCACCACCGCCTTGGCGCGAACCCTCCCACGGCTGACGTCCACTGAGCTTGGGGTTCCTGTAGGACCTGAAGATGTTGCCTCTGTAATAGATGAAGGCCGGAGAAGGATTGGTGTGCACGTTCAGAAGGCAGTCGAATCGCTACGGCGGGCCAAAGAGGATGGGCGGATCGTCTCGTGGTCGGACGAGGAGACTCAAACGACCCTTATTCGTTACTTCGAAGTCACATGGGACGCGGTAAGGAAACACGAGTATGCTGACAACCAGGAAATTTTGTCTCGTATTTGAGTGTATACTTCAATTAACATTCGTGTTAGTCGTCCTGACTTTGTACTTGGAACGTTGATACTGGTTGGGAGAGACGTTCATTTCTCTCGGAGGTCTTTCCCCGCCGTAAGTGAAAGAAAACCCGCGCAGAGAGCACACTATGAATGGTGATCTGTAGACTAATTTTCTATGATCAGAAGATAAAGCATTGGAGGGCTTAGACGCCAGTTACCTGTCACCGTACTCGTTGAAGTATTGCTGTCGATGGCAAACATGAGTAAAACCGTATGGTAATGAAAACGCAGTACATACTGGTGAGGCAACAGTATTGATAATGTTTCCAAGTGAAACAACTAACGACATAGATTTAGGCACTAATAAGGGATTTTTCAAAAGGACGTACAGATCATGATGGTCACGTAGAGCATAGAGTCCTGATACAGTGTCCGAATGAGCTGGGACTCGCTGGAGCGAAAATAGCGGAACCAGCGATAGAGGATCAAGAACATTAATACTTGGGAACGTCAAACTCACACTCTAAAATTGGTAAGAGCTCGAGAAGCGCACCTAGCTCGAACATGACAAGGAAGCCGTACTGTACTGCATCGAATCTGTTTGCTGTGAAGGGGCAAATTGACTGCTCCTCGACTAACTCCAAGGTCAAAATACGCGATACTTTTACCACCCAAATCACATACCTAAGTCAGTTCTTGGCACATGTTGTGACACATGTTGCACGACATCAGGGATTGTGACAGCAGCTACTATACAAGACTTTTGATCATTTAGTTAGAATCAACCTAACAATTATCGAGACTCACGATGGCCAATGCGAGTAACAAGAAAAGCAAAGATCGGCTGCAGTCCCAGAATACCCATGTGCGTAAGAGCAACAGACCTGGTGGCATATGCTCAGTCCATGGCCATGAATATTGTGGTTTAGATCAAAGAATAACCAACCCTCTGCTGCTACGATGCCGATTATATGAAGCGCTGTCAGATAAGGTGTCAACTACTTCCAAGTAAACATAGCGTGGAATGGCTCACCGTTTGATGAGCGACCGATTTCAGCCACATTACACTTCAATAAGGATATCATTAGTATGTCACCCAGTTGCAATCCAGATGATTCTTCCCACAGATTTGAAACCTGCAGCGTCCAACGCAGCTAAAATATCTCAATAAGATACGTGTTCCGCTTTGTTCAGAATTTGTCAAGAAACTAAGGCCTACAAATGATGGTTAGGGCTAAGCCCGGAAAAGAGGGATATCTGGCAAGGGTAAAGAGTATGCGCCCTATGTCCCATTTGCTTCCCCACACCCAGGTTATCTGTGATCGTCAGAATGAATATGAACATTTTGAATTGTCGAGTGTGTACCTCGTCTTCTAGGGTGACGCAGTAGTCGAAAACCTAGCCGAACGGAAAGAAAATATCTCAGATAAGGCATTATCAATACTATCAGCCACGGGTATGTCTGCGCACCAGAACTGCTAGTCCTGCTACTGTGAAATGCGTTGGTTGATGAACGATATACACCGTTAGCTACTCGTGAACTCACAGTTGGCATACTGCGGAAGGGATGAGCTACGTCGCAGATAATGAATTCTAAGAGTTTACTGACGGCATTGTACTGCCTTCCATAGGCGTCGACGACGTAGGCGCTCATCCAATGAGAGTAAGTTCGGGCTAAAAACTTGCTGGTAGCTTAAGGGCTCGCTAATGGTAGGAAAGCGAGCTGGTGTGAGCGGGAGCAAATGGCAACTCTAGATGGCAAAAAGACGCCCTTTGTCTGGGGTATTATGGTATTAGGATCGAAGGCTGTTGGTCGGTGTGTGAAGCTCCGTCGTAGTCTGATGAATTATTATATGCCGGTGACCAATGATTTGTGTATCTCCTTTGGCAAATCCCGTCAAACCCTGTGTCAATCCACTGCGTGCTTTTGCTGGTCAGGATATTATTTAAGGTTTTGTGCGACTTTTTTTTCGATACTGGCGTTGGATTATGTCTGGACTGACATCCTCCAGCTGCCAGAGCATGCTTCACGAATACAAGAGTCAATTTGGGTTGCGAGCTGCATTCTGTGATGAGCGAGATATCAAATAGCTGGATCCGTTCCCCATGGCCCTTCCTAGTGAAATTATGTGCTGCGGATACATCACTGTTCGAATAAGTAAGTCCATGACCTTATATACTTTTTAGCCTGATGCCTCTACTAAAACAAGGCCGGATCGCGAAATTTCCACGCTATAACCATGGTGTTGGTCACGGTTATCTGCAACTCTTTTACATGTGGCATCTTGTAAATAATCCGGGCACAGCACACCACCTCGTTATGAATTTTGACCCGCAGTAGCCTTGGAGAATCCACCATCTATCCACCAGGAATGTCCAGGGAGGATTAAGGTTACTATTGGATTCCCAATTCGCGGCAAACAGCTCATGACCTTGCCGTTAACATCGTATCTCCGCCCCAAGTGGCGAAGCCTTGCAAGCCCACATCTACAGCTTTAAACCAACGTCTGACATGAGCAAACACCACCTAACCTCTACTCAAAGTCTCAGATTTATCAAGAAGGCGTAAAGACACGCAAACGTTCGAAATGACATGAACTTGTTCCATATCTGTGCAGAGGAAGCATCCCTCACATATGTCAAACCGTGATTGCAGTCACTGTTTAACTCAAGGACATGATTAATTAATCAGCTTACTGCTCTCAAGGCCTCTAGGACGAGGCTATCCGACTTCCTATCCGGGCCGTACTGTACTCGAAGGTTCCTTCGTCGCATCCTGGTCATCGAAAATTCGACATCTATCACTTTGAAGGCTGTAGTCACCCACCCATCACCATGCATTTCTCTATCATAACGCCTGACCTTATCCATACCTAGATAGCGACGACGTCAGTTATGCTGTGCAACCGTCGCAGCAGCGGGAGTTGGAGATGGCTACGCCGCGACATCAAGCGCAGTGTGGAGCTGGAGCGGCGTGAGCGTATGGAAGATGCATCATATGGCGTTCTAGTGTGCGTATCCCGCGCTTGTGTTGGTGCCCACGGGCGACATGGCCGGGGGAGACGCAGGGTGTGCAACAGGGCGAAGTATAGTGAGTGGCTGAGGATCAGATGTAAAGCAGAGGTGCTATCGTTCGTCGTCTCGTTCGGCACAGCTCGAGCGTTTTGAGAGCGAGTTTGCCCGTGGGAAATCAAACACGAGAGCGCTGCGCCGTGAGCTTGCGAGCAAGGAGAGCAGATCAGAGCTTCGCGTACGTGGAGAGAATCTGAGAGCTGCAGCGTATTCTGGTGAGCAGGAAGGGTCCACGAGAAAGGCTGAAGACGAAACGCACAGCGAGAACCTTCGCCTAAGTTGCTCGTTCATGGAATAGGCTATGGGACTCGGGATATACCATTCAGTCTGTACCCACTTGGTTAACGCGAACAACGCAACCTCGAGGCGTCTTTTATCACATTATACGACACTACAAGCGCTTCTCCGTTCAGTACACCATATCCATACAATGAGAAGTAGATTCGGCGCACCTGGTCATAATCTTCTCTGCTCCCCTCAGTATCTTTCACAGCTCGCCTCGCTCAACCTACACCGCCTCTGTCCTCCCTACAGCGCTTTCCCAGCCCCAACCTCGAACTCGAGTTTTATTCCAGCATGCATCGTCTACCCCCTCGGATGCTGCGGTGTGTACTCATGTTGAGCTTATCTTCACTTCCCTGTTGAAACCGCCCGCGGATAGCGTAACGGCTTTTAATTGGCCTATTTCGCGGATCCTGACCATCAGAAGATCGTGATGCGGTCGCTGTACCTAAGCTGCTGGTGCCCCAGAGCCATAAGGGTGCGCTCACAGGGCAAAATTCTGAGAAGAAACGCACCTGCACCTGCAGCAAGACTAGTTTCCATCGCTGGTGCCTTCGTTGCCCGCCAGGTGATATCCGCTTATGATACGCGTCGCGCGAGGAGTTGATGACGGATTGGCAATATGAAGCCCGTAAAGAAACAACGCGAGAGGCCTTCAAATACATCTGGCATCTTTGACGACGCGAAAGCAAGAAGCAGGTTGGGTTTGTGCTGGATGGAGGTGAGACGATGTTTGGCCCGTATCTGTTTATGGCTGTATGCAGATAGCGCGCACGACGCGTACAGTCGGCCAACTGATCGTCCTCTCATCTTACTCCCCAGTTCAGATGGACAAAGCTCTCTCGCTCCCTGAAATACGGCACCAACTATGCGAACAGATCACCATACAAGGTACACTGTTCAATCTGGCCCAGACCTCTACCTCGTTCCAGCAGCCTTCCTTAAATCGGCTGTGGTCGGGCGAAATCGCACCTATACCAATATCCCATCTTCGCCACGTTGTCGACCCCAACGCTATCGTCATGGTTGAGGAAAGAACGAAGGTTGGAACGATCGTCAGTGAGGCTTCCATGATCACAAAAGATAGTACGTTGACTGTCTCTTTTCAGGTGGACTTGAACCTCGGTTCTGAGGACTGGGATCGAATCTCCATCCATACAAAACGGATTGTTCACATGTCGATAAATCATGTCCCATCCCTTGAACCCGACTTCCACCATTCGGTGCTTGTGAAGCTGTTATCGACGTCCTCAAGTCTCGAGGGAGGTTTCCCGCGACTGCGACACCTCATTGCGGGCTACAGCAGCAGGTCCAGCAGAACCGATGATCTCCACACTTACATCCGCTTCTTTTCTCCACAACTCTTGTCTGCGACTGTCGTATGCGACCCCGAAAGCAGGCCGAAGATGGTGAAGACTCTTCTGGAACGATGCCCAGATCTGCAGCGTCTGAGCGTGATAGACGAACACGAGACTATGAACTCGCCTGATTCAATGTCTCGGGTATCTTCCTTGGTCACCCGTTTTCTCTCTTTGTCGACGCTAAAATGCTACAATCTCAGCCGAGAGGCCCTGTTGAACATCTCTCGTTCATCCCATCTCCGCCATCTCGTTCTCGCAAATCAAGATTGGGATCAAACTATCAGTAACGCGTTCGGCCTTCCGTCTTTCACGCTTTCGTTCCCAGCTCTTCAAATACTCGAGTTGAACCCGCACGAATCTGCCTCTGTGATAACGTTTCTCAGTAGACTCGAAGCAATTCCTCGGATCCTCAAGATAGTTGGCTCAGACCTGTCGATCAATGTCGATGAGATGCTAGAGATCTTCATGGTTCTGTCTCAAGCTCGACGGACACAGCTATCGGAACTGACCTTAGACGCGAGGTACTCCGCGACAGACTCTGAAAACGTCATCACAATGAGTACGCTCAGGCCGCTCATGCAACATCGTGAACTTCGCAACCTTTCGATCAATCTTCCTCACGTTATATCACTCTCTGTTGATGGCATCCAGGAGTTCCGTCAGGCGTTTCCAAATCTCGAGAAGGTCCAATTCAATCCATCGTCTAAGTCATCGATATCGCTGGATTGGCTTTTCGCGCTCTCTCGCGAGTGTCCTAAACTAACCGACGTCACGCTCCCCCTGGACGTATCCACCCAGAACATGCAAGCCATTCATCCGAATGCACCGGCGGAGCGATCCCACCTTCAACATGCTCTTCTATCCCTGCATGGTACCACAAACATCGACATTCTTTTGCAGACGACTGCAGCGCACTTTCCATCGATGACAACGCTAACTTTGGATGAGCTCCGGAGCTCCGGAGACGACTCGGACGAGGATACAGGAGCAGTAACGATGGCGTGTATCGCGCCGCTTCTACAACTCGACCAGATCCGATCCCTGTCTCTTCATCTCGCGCGCGTCTTTCAGCTCACGGACACCGATGTTCTGCATATCGCCACAGCTTTCCCCCATCTCACCTGCTTAGAGCTCGGCGGCTGGTCTTCCGATATGCTGAACAGCCTCGTGGTCACCATTGACACGGTGTTAGCCCTGACAGACCTCTGCCCCAGCTTGAGCGAGCTCACGATCCGTGTCGACACCACAGACTGCTTCAACAGGTCTAGCCTTGAGCAGCGTCTCGAGGTACGAGAAGGCCGTCCCAATAAGGTCCTGAAGAAGCTCGACTTCCTTTATTCGACAATCAAGGGCAAGGACGTTGGCGATCTCGTTATCCTCTTGGCGGTCGTCTACAAGCGCCTCAGCTCCCTATCTATCGGCGGATCCATCTTCTTCCGCCCTGCATACTTTCTGGTGGAGAAATTGTTCAGAGCGGTTCGGGGGGTAGAGAGGTTTCGAGAACTCGGTGTACGTGACATCCCCAGGCTGCGCGCGGCTCTGAAGCCTATCCTTGAAGAACAGCAGAGGCCCATCGCGGACTTTAATTTCCCAGAACTAAGAGTATTACCTGACGGAGACTCGTGAGGAGCTCGAACGTAGCCATATCGTGGTTTATATTTATGTCAAATATCTGTTATCCATATTTAACCCTTATAATCCACCTGTGGCACGTCTGCCACTGCATCAGAATGCTTTGGATATTAGTGCATGCTACCGACGATATGGGAATAGCTCGTGTGCTGTAGGTTGCTAAAATATTTATTAAATAAAAAATAAATCGAAATTAGTAGAGGTCGTGGGTGTTTTGGAAACCGCGGATTTGCCGCTCGTTGCATCTTGCTTCCCTCCACGATTGCAGCACCAGGATACAGACCAACCATGCATTCGGCACTCAAATTGACAGAAATCCTTGAAGAGGTCTTTTCTTGCTTCGACGACATGGACTCCCACACCCCGTTTTCTCCTCCCTATTCTCGTTTCTTGCGCGGCAGAACTCTGGCCCGTCTCGCGCGTACATGCAAGGCCTTCAAAAAACCTGCTATTGATGAGCTTTGGTCAGATATTCCTGCTTTGACGATATATGAGTGCTTGTTACCTCATTTGACGGTCATGTGGAAAGATGGTGACCTCGATCCGTACGAGTGGCGCAGTCGGGCTGCGAATAAAACATGGGTAGTAAGTCTCTCAAATCTTGCTGGAAAGATGGAAATTTCTTAGTTGGTGTTTGTGTTGCTGTTTAGGCAGATGTCCGACCTCTTTCCATTACCGACCAGCTTAACGTGGTGGAGTACACTAGTGCCATCCGTAAATTGCGCTTTGCTTCATTCACCGAGACAGCTATCGCGCCTCCAGCTCTTCGCGCACTACTTTCCCTGCCAGGAGGTGTCGAGGCTGCGTTTCCCCGACTGAACCACGTTCACGTTGGTCATTTTTTGCCATCCCTTCTTCAAGTATATCTTTCGTTTGTTGCCCACGTGGGAAGCATCCACATAGACTCTTTCAACGTTGATGATGACCTCACCGAGTTTCTCACCGGTTTCACGACTCGGGAAGGACCGCCTGTTCGGGGGATGGATTTATCGCTTTTCTATTCAGGAAGCGATTCCGATCCGGAATATCAAAATCTGCCGCCAGCGTTATCTCAGGCTATCATGCGCTGCCAGCACCTTCGCACACTTAGATGCGCTGAAATGGATCAAGCAACTCTAGTGCACCTAAGCCAGCTCCCATCGCTTACCTCTCTTGAACTAGAGATCATTTACGACATCCGCTCTACGCCCACATTACCATTTCCATCTCTGAAGTCACTCACACTGGACTTTCGACTCTACGTCTATGCTGTATTTTTCATCTTCAAACTAGCTCGCATACCCTCCTCCATCACGCTGCGGACTAAGGACCAGCCGTCTTCTCACGTATCTGGCCAATTGTTCAAGGTTTTGTCACGGCGATGGCACTCCGAAGCTAAGCTGCAACACCTCACGCTCAGCCACACACACTTTGAGTGGCACCCCACCGATGACCAGCCAACCACGATTTCGACCATCCGGCCTATTCTGAGGTTCGCAGACATGCGGATCTTCGACTGGATCTTCCCAGGCGAGATCCACCTGACGGACGCGGACGTGGCGCTCATTACGGGGGCATGGCCGCTCCTTGAGCAGCTACGCATCCAGTCCCTCTCCAAGGACTACGTGCCCACTACCACCCTCGGCAGCGTATTCATCGCAGCGCATAACTGCCCCCGCCTGGGACGCTTCACGATGCACGTCGACGCGTCACAGTTTGCCGATGTATACACAAAGGACGCCCACGCAGATCTGTTCCGTCGTGAGCGTATGAAGGCGATCGAGCTCGGAAGGTCCTTCATCGACGCGAGGGGGTTGGCTACCATCGCTGCCGCTTTCGCGCAGGCGTTTCCTCGCCTGAGTTTCATCCAACTGGATATGCCTGTAGCTGACGAAGACATCGACGACTCGGAGGCGATAGACGTCGACGAATCGGAGGAGAGTCAGGGGACAGACACCGACGACTCGGAAGCAACAAACTCGGACATCGACGACTCGCAGGCGAGAGACACCGGACCGAGGCCGTATGGAGGACGTCTCCTCAAAGCCATTGAAACGCTGCGCCAGGCTAAAGAAAGCTGGAGGATCACTTCGTGGACCGATGAAGCAGCACTATCCATTCTCGTTCGGTACTTTGAGGCTTCGTGGAATACGGACAGAAAGGGAACGTACAGTAACTACGACGAGATTCTGTCATGTCTTTGAGTCTGCGGTTCGATTGCACTTGTAATAGTCCAAAATATATCATGGACTCAAAATCCGAACCGATCCATGTGTTTCTGTTACAATGTCAAAGAAACAGAACTAGAAACAATCCAAGAGTCTGTCCGACGTGGCACATGTGGTATCCGCTTTCGCGAAGAGACGTCCAATAGTCTATCCAAGCTTCACGCAAAACACCGAAAATCGACCACACTCTTTCAAAGATCCCATCACTTAAACTTGCTCAGCAACTTCGACGCAGCTAAAGAAACAAAAATCCACCAAATCACATCAGCGACACATCACGATGCGAACATCATAACAACAAGAACACATACAGTTCGCAAGCCCCTTCAGCTCCTGCGGTAGCGCATCCACGAGCGAGTTCCCCTGCCCTTGATTCCCATGTGGCCCTTGATATTGTGGCTGCTGCTGCTGCTGATACTGATACTGCTGGTACGACCCCGAGCTCTGTGGGTGAGCCGGCGGACGACCCCAGTTCTGCTGCTGTTGCTGCTGCTGGGGCGGATAATACGCATCTGCACCTGCATTTCATCATATCAGCATCAACACCACCGTCGCAAAGACAACAAGGGCAGAAGCGACGTACGGGGAGGCACATTCGGCGGCGGCCCGTACTGTGGTTGATACCCGTGCGGCTGTTGCTGCTGCTGCTGCCACGGCGCCTGCTGCGGGACCCCACCACCGGGATACGCACCCCATCCCCCTCCTCCTGGAGGCCCTTGCACAGGCGGACTATGCGGAGGCGAGTGGTACTGCTGATGCGGATATTGACTAGGCTGTTGCTGATGTTGCTGATGTTGCTGTGGCTGTTGCTGTGGCGCAGGCTGATACCACGACCCATCATGCGATCCCTGGTGATGCGCACCCGAGTGGTCATGGTGCCCAGACGGAGGCCCAGGAGGAGGCCCAGACGGAGGAGCAAACGACCCGTCAAGCGAGCTCTGGTGGTGCACCGCGTGATGATGCCCATGCGGCGAGCCAGGCGGAGGCGCGAATGGTGGGCCCGCGGCGGCGTCGCACGTCGCGTGCGGTGAATGGGGGCCTTGCGGGCCTGAAGGCGGTCCAAAAGGAGGCTGGTACGGCTGATATGGACTCTGCGGCTGCGGCTGTGGCGAGCCCGAGGGGCGGGGTGCAAGCGGAGGCGCCTGTGCGCCCTGAGCCGGACCCATGTACGGCGAGCTGGGATGTGAACGCGATGGCGAGTGCGAATGCGAGTGAGAGTGCGAATGGTGATGATGATGATGGTGCGGCGACCCCGGCGCCGGCAGCGGTCCCGACGCCTGAGCGGGAGACAGCGACGGGCGCGATCCCTGCGCGACGTGGGGAGGTTGTCCGGAACCACCGGGCATATGGAACCCACCACCGCTTCCACCCGGACCTGCATACGACGCCGACGCGGAATGCGCGCGTCCCAGCGCCGCTGGTCCCGCTACCTGTGGATTGGGGCACGTACCGCTGCCGCCGGTCCCAGGCCTCGAAGAAAGCGACGGACTGGGGCTCAACTGCACCGCCGGCATCGGCATCGACATTTTCTCTGAGCTGCCGTAATTCAAAGAGCCGGGGCGGGCAGCGCTCCCGCTCCCGCCGAAGCTAGACACGCGCTGGCGCGCGAACTGTGCGCTGAGCTCCGCGAGCGGTGCGTTGTCCTCGTCTCTGGGGTCTACGATCGTCGGGCCGAGCCGGGTGCCAACATTAGGCGGTGGCGGTGAGACGGAGACGGATGGAGGGCGCGATGTATGGTGCACGGGCGGTGCGGGGCGCGATTGGCGTCCGGGGATTGAAGGCTGGCGAGGCGGGAGGGGAGGGGCGGCCGATGCGGGCGGGGTGGCAGACGCGGCGGGCGTTGAAGCGTCCGGGTCCTCGTACTCGATGTAAGGCGGAGGCGCGTCTTCTTCGCCCGCGCCCTCTCCAGGCAGCTTGAAGCTCTGCCAATCGTGCGCCGATGCACCGCTGCCTCCATCTTTATTTCCACTTCCGCTTCCACTAGCCTCGCCAGCAGCACCACCCTCATCCCCGTCACCAGACCACCCAGCTTTCTCCTCATACCTCGGCCTACTCGACCAATAGTCAATCAGATCCTTCATCGGAAACTTGCCATCGCCCAGCTCCCGCTCTCCACGGAGCAGCTCGCCCGCGAGGCCCGCGCAGCGCATGTACCAGTCACCCGGGAGTGTCTCGCCATCCGCGTCGCCAGCCGCGAACGGGAACTCGTCGTGCACTGGAAGCTGCGAGGAGTGCGAGACAATGGGGAGGAAGTTCGTGCCTTCGTCGTATCTGTTCGGTGTTCGTTTTAAGTCATTCGTCACGGGGTATGGCAAAGAAGATGAAGAGGAAACACGCACTCGTCCCACATGGTGCCGTAGAAGAGCTCTACTCCAGCACGCCGCATCCCTGCAACCTGCGCCCACAAGTAGCGCCCACCGTTGCGTTTGCGCTGGTTGACTTGTTCTCTGCCCTTGGAGAGGTTATGTGCCTGTACCACAGCACCGTCAAAGTTAACGTCAGCATGCCCTCTGTTCACTTGGCCCCAACGATGACAATACAACAAATCCCAAGAAAAACACTCACACTCCCCCCAGGCAACACCGCCCCCCAATAATCCACCTTCCTCCCCGCCTCTCTCTCCCTGCCCTTCAAAAACTCCAAATCGGCCTTCCCAAACGTCGCCCAATGATTCTCCGCGCTCGCCTCGTCCCGCATGCGGCCGACGAGCCACGGGCTGATGCCGTCCGCCTCCTCGGCGAAAATGCGCAGCCACTCGGGATCCGCCTGCGCGTCGCCCTCGGACAGGCGCCACCGCGTCGCGACGCCCATCATCAGGTACGCGCCGCCGGGTGTTGCGGAGCGCAGGTGGGCCATGACGGCGCGTGCGAGGGCGGGGGTGTTGGGGCGGTTGATCAGGCCGAAGCCTAGCGCGTGTGCGATGCGATGTGATGTGAGAGGCGAGGTATGAGGAAGGATGGGAAGGCGCACCCCAGAGCCCGATAACGGGTCTCCCTCCCTCGCGCAGGTAGTTGGGTGAGTCGAGGATGCATTCGGTCCGGACGAGGAAGTTCCAGTCCTCTGTTATGAGGTCGAGCAGGCGCTCGGGTGGGACACCCGACACGTCGTACATGATCGAGAAGGTGCGCCCTTCTTTCTCGGCCGCATCGCGCACGACGCGGCCCACCTCGTCGCGCAGGCGCTTGATTCCTGGCGGCTGGCGCGTCGTGTCGACCTGGTTGAGGAAGCGCTGGAGGAAGACGCCGTCGATACCGTGCTGGGCCATGTAGTGGAAGTGTCTGGGCCGCGGTGTGGGGATAATGTATCAGCATTCATCGGATGTCAGTACACGATGACGATGTGAAGGTTATTCTTAGATGCATGGTGTACGTATGACGCATGACCCTAAGTAAAGAGGGGAAGAGGAAAAACAAGAATGAGAAAGGGGGCGGGGGAGGGATACTCACCGCTGCACCGTCTTGGGATTCCGCGACGACCACAGGTACGCCTGGCTGCCGTCTGCGAGCTTGAGGCCAGGGACGGGGTAGAGCTCCGAGGGCGCGCAGTCAGAGACATCTGGCCAGAGATCGATGGACGGACGCCCGCCGTGTTCAAGCGGACGGTCAAGCCAATGCAGCCAGCCGTGGTGGCCTGGTTTCAGTTCCACGCGTGGTGGATGGCGGGTGCGGTCACAGCGGAGACGGACATCATAATCGGAGGATGGAAAACGGCGACATTGTGATAGGGGGAGGGCGTGAATTTAGGCGAGGGGTTGGGCAAAGGGGTACGATGAGGAAGTGAGTGTATGCGTGTAGCAGGGAGTACTCACCTTTGCCTATGGGTTCGCCGTCTCCTGCACAGGTGAACCTGTAAGTGCAAGTATCCCAATCGTCATCTCCTCTTATGATAATATATGAGATTTGGAGCGTACCATCCCTGATATCCGACCATAAACTTGTTCTTGATCGTGTTGGGGTTCGCCCTGAGAAGTTGGCCCGCATGGGCTGGCGTTAGCGTCGAGCTCATGATGGTAGCAGCAAGAGTAAGGGGGAGAAATGAAGGAGACAAGTGCATTGCAGCATGGATGGAGTTCTTATTATGAACGTCGGGGCAGTGAGGTGCTGGCGATGACAAGGACGTGCGGCGCAGTAGTCACCGGTGATGCCACTGCCAGACTCCAGTGGAGAGATGTGGAAAAGGGATCGGGATGAGTAGTTTACCGTTTGATGACTCTGTTCTGCTCTATGTCGTTGGTCATCATTGTTTATGTGTTGAGCAAGAGGATCATGGAGATATGTTTTGTGTTGCAGCGAACAGTTGAAGAGGATCAGGAGTCAAGTAGCTGATCAGTCCACCGCTTGTAATTGCGCACTTGTTGACTTGTCTAACTGTGTTTGTCGCTGCTCTCGCGGTCCGATCATCCGGAGATAATCTCTTCTTCCCATCACCATCAACGCTCAATGAGTCCGACGAGTTGACAACATCGCTCGAGGTCGTCGCTGAGGACCACGATGGACGAGATCGCACAGACGCTCGCTGCGCGACTTGTCGAGGGTCTCAACAAGTACGCCCATGTCCTCCTCCCCTGATCAGAACTTTCCATCTCATGTCTCAGGAAACCCACAAACGAACGCATCATCGCCGGCCTCGCGGGCGTTCCCGCCTCGGGAAAATCCACATTGGCCCAGCTCGTCGTGCAGCACACCAACGCCCTCCTCGCATCCCAAGCGGCTGACCTCCTCGAGGTGCCACCCGCGATCCTCGTCACGCAAGATGGCTGGCATCTCCCCCGTTCGGCGCTCGACGCGATGCCAGACCCCAAGGAGGCACACGACAGGCGCGGCGCGCCGTTCACATTCGACGCCAAAGGGTACCTCGCGTTCGTGAAGGCGCTCCGCACCCCTGTAACCGCGGACGTATTCGCGCCGACGTTCGACCACGCGAAAAAGGATCCGGTGTACGACGACGTGCGCATCCGGCCGCAGCACCGCGTTGTGCTTATCGAAGGATTATACGCGCTGCTCAACGTCGAAGAGTGGGGGGAAGCCGCGATGCTGCTCGATGAGCGGTGGTTCGTCAATGTGCCGAAGGACATTGCGCGTACGAGACTTGTGCGCAGGCACCGCATTACGGGTGTCGCGGGAAGTTGGGAGGAGGCCGTTTGGCGGTCGAACACCAACGACGAGCCTAGTGAGTTTCTTATAATTGCAATTTATCCTGTATTCTGATTTCTGTAATGTAGATGGGGACTTAATCAGGGCACACGTAGCGCCCACCACATACCCGTTCATCGAGAGCTTGGAGGACACTACGATGGTGATGGTGGTGCCGCCAGAGCTGCTACCCAAACTAGGAGAGGATGTCGATGAGGTTTACTGGAAGTGATTCATGTTCATGGGTCGGTAGGCCGCACCTTAGCTGCATCACGTATATCTGACCTTGAACGATATTCTTGTCAATGCAATGTCAATGTGTAAGGTCCGAAACCTGTCATAGCACAGCCACAAGCGTCGGCCGAGCGCACAAAGGCGTTGACTCAGAGAAAGACATTAGTCGAAGGTGACACATTACAGACCACAAACATTCGAACAAGGTCTCCTTCCGCCTTTTTCTCACCCTTTCTAGACTACCTTTAAGACCATCCTCTCAGCTACAAGTACCGTGATATGTAGGTGGTTCAGCCCAAGTCCTATTCTTCAAAGTTCTTTCATGTTAACTCGCTCGTCTGACTACTCGTTCAAGATCCTTCACAAGCAATGACACTACCCCTGTGAGCTTGACTCCAACCTCGTAGCAATAGCCCGTTGCGCGATGGAATATCATACACTGTCTATACTAGTACATCACATACATTAAATCGCCCTGAATCGAATAAATATATCTACGAATTGATCAGTATCTAGCAGAATAACTCGACGTTCAAAACAAAAGCGCGTGCATATGGCATATCAAGAGAAATGCAATATAAATCATGGTCATAGAAAAGTGAGTAGTAGAGAGAGAATTGTTGGATCATGATGGAGTTTTGTATTGGGATGAATGTCTTATCTCAATAGCAGCGATGAATACACAACCTGACGATTATGGGGTGCTAAGCTACGGTCAAGCTACAGTAGCCATAATTAGAGCAGTGGGACAATTCTGAGACCTCTATATTTGTATTGATGTATCCTTCGTCTCGCTCCTACTGCAGCAGACCCGCACAAAGAGGTATGTGACCCCGAGGTACGTCGCAGAAAGCATGGATTCAGTGAACACGTTCACGGTGTCGGTATGCATGCGAAGCAAATCACACGGAAATAAGAAGAAGAGTCGATACTATCCAAGATCCAACGATTTCTATGATGACTCGCACCAAACCAATGTGGTAACAGGCGACAGCCGCAAAAGGAGGGTTACAGATCGTCTGAGCGGTATTTTGAGCGTTCCAACGCAGTGTTTTTGACATTCGTATGCACAATGAAGCTGTAAATCTTAGAACCCTGGTCAGCGATAGGAATTTAAACAATACGCCGTTACATCGCCTTTTGAGGTTGATGTGCGTTTTCCACGAGCCCAAGTTGAGTCTACTTGAGGAAGTCACGAAGAGGCTGGTATGCCAACTAGAGCCGTTGTCGCGCGCGAGAGGTTAATGGATTGCTCGAGATCCATTACCTTTTCCTGCTAAACTCGAGAAAGTGATGATTGCAGAGACGAAACGACGCGTGTGGGCGACAATCGAAGTGTCGGCCCTAAATGGATTGCGAGAAAGTGCCTCCGTAATGGGGAGCCACGTGGGATGAGGATCCACGGCTCATCGGGTCGGGTCGAGAATCCCGACCCTGTCCTCACCGACCTCCTCGTTCCTCAGATTTTCTTCTGTACTCTAATAGCGTTTCTTGTCTTCTCATCTTGTTTTTCTTCTCATCTCCTCGCATCCCATACACTCTCCTGGCTGACAAAACAGCCTCATTGTCACCTTATAGCCGCATTCATAACCTGTTCGTAGAAGGGCCTATCCAATCAACCTCAACAAGGGGTGCGAACTGTTTCATATTCTCTGGGGATAGCATCAATTGGCCGTGTCTGTGAGTGCCTTTGTTGCTCATCTGAGAGGCCGTATTTATAGCTATCCTTGTTATTTTTTCAGCATCACACAGTGTAAACGTGTCCTCATCATCTCTTCTCGCCGTTCTGTATCCCTACGTAAACATCGACTCTCTGGCGCTCCTTTACCCGAACAACGGCACCGTCCTTATCGTCATCCACGGCACGAACCCAGAACTGCATTAGAACCATCAACTTACCTCGAGGGACCTGACACGCTCTCGAACACCACTTCAAACCTTCACCAGCGAAAACGAGCTAGAACACTATGACGTACAACGCCCTCCTTGCGCACGATGAATCACCAATTCGAGTCTCTATCACACCAGCACAGGCGTCTTTCTTCGCAGGCGAGACCCTCGCTGTCACCATCGCCTTCACCAACATACGCACTCCCAGCTCGAACTCCACATCTGGGACCGCGTTTACATCTGCTAATGCCTCTACCGCCAGCCTCAATGGCACTGCCCCGGGCACTCCAGAGTCACATACGAACGCAAAAGGTCTAGGCATAAGCACACCCCAAGCCAGCGCGCCGAATACGCCCAACATTTATCCGTCCACACTCACGCCGACACAAACACCGACGCCAACGCCCAATACACCATATACACCGCATACACCGCGCACGCCCGCCTCGCGCGTCGCGGGGAGACACATGACGCATCGCCGGAATGCGCACTCTGTTAGCTCGGCGCCGCTCGCGAGGCCGCCGACGTCGCCTGGGATGAGCGCGCGTTCGGCGGGGACGAGTGCGGGGGGTGCTGCGATGCAAAGGACTCGGAGCGAGTCGGTTGGCGCGGGGGCTGAGGGCTCTGGGAGTGGGAACGGGAATGGGAAGGGAGGTGGGACTGTGGTGGTGCCGACGAGGCGGGGTTTGATTGGAAAAGGGATCAAGAGGAGGGGTGGAGAGGTTCAGGAGAGAGAGGTCGAGGGCGCATTGCTGGGAGTAGGGGGGAAGGCGAAGGCGAGGTCGCTGTCGGTGGATATTCCAAATTCTGGATCGCAGTTTGTGGAGGTGGTGAAGGGGGAGGAGTCGGTCGTGCCGAGTGGAAAGGCGAGTGAGTATGGGAGTGAAACCGGGACAAGTTCTGCTGCTGGTGAGTTGTCTCTGGTTCATTGGCATCTGGATACATCTTTGAACAACATTCGCGCCCTTTCTGCCTTTGCCTACGCGCATATATTCACGCCCCCTTTCACCCAGGTCATTCGCTCCCAATCCTTCGCCCCTCCATCTCACGCACATCCACCCTCCCCCTCCCCGCTTCGCATCCTCACGCGCGCAAACAGTCCGTCCTCGACGGCTCGCTCGATCTCTCTTCCTTCTCCCCGTCGTCCAGCACCCCATCGGCCGGACCTGCCTCCGCACACCCCTCATCGACGCCTTCCTCCTACCTCTCCGTTCAAACGCTCAACCACACGCCGCGCACCCGCTCCCCGCTCTCGCCCGCCTCTACCGCCTCCGCGTCGACCGTGCCGTCACCACTCTCGACGCAGTCACCATATCCAAATTTTACGACTGGCACATCTTCAGCGACGTCCACGTCGAGCTTGCAATCGGTGAACGGGACACATGCAGCTACGGCGGGGAGCTCAACGTCTTCGCTTGGGCGTGGCGCGGGAGGCGGAGGGCTGGATCCGATTGCGGAGAGCCCCGGGCCGAGTCCGGCAAGCGCGTCGCATTCGCATTCGCCTTCTCCAATCCCTGAAGCCAATGGAGGGTTCTCAACCGCGATCAATGGGAACACGAAGACGAATGGGAACGGGAACGGGGTGATCAGCTTGAACGGAGATACACATGGGCACACGCGGGCGCACGTTGTGCGCGGGCCACCACCGCCGGTGATGGTCCCGAAGACTGCGGCGTCTGGGACCAGCTTCCCGGCCTCGTCTTATGCGACTGCGAATGGAAATGGGGGTGTGGTGGGGAGAGCGTTCCCGAGCCCAGGGATTATTCCTCAGCCGCCGCATACGGCGACGGGCGCGACGTTTCCAGCCTCTGCACGGCAGCCTCCTCCCTCTTCGTCTTCTGCCTCACAAGCCAGCGGAATCGCATCTGCACAAACGCAAGCTCAGCAAGCACACCCCGACTCGGCGCTCATCCTCTACTCCTACGCACAGCTCGTTGGCACACTCGTTCTCGCCCCCGAGTCCGACTCCGATGGCACCACTCGCGAGGGCGTAGGCGGGGAAAGCGGTATGGGTGGAGGCGACCCCCGCGCCCTCGCCGCGCTCCGCCGGCGTCTCGCGCGGCGCGCGGTGTTAGGCGGGGGGTCGATGGACCTTGGGCGTTTGTTATCTGGATCTGGCTCTAACTCTCACTCTGGATTCGGATCTGGATCCAGTCCCTCGATGTCGATGTCGTTGCCGGGTACACCACCGGGCTCGCCGAGAAGACAGAGACACGGGCGGTCGGCGTCGTTGACGGGCGGGCTGCTGTCCCTCCTCAGTCCGTCGGCGTATGCGTCTGCGTCGGCTTCGAGCGCGGGCGGGCATGGGCATCAGAGTTCGCCGAGTTTGAGCTTGGGCGGGGGGAGGTGGGGTTTGTCGAATGCGAGTGTGGCGAGTGTGGTTAGTGCGCCGGCGTCTTCGGCTGGGAGTCGGCCGCCAAGTTTCGAGGGGTCCAGGGCGGCGTTGACGTCGAGCCCGGGTGTGGGTCTGGGGATCGGGTTGGCGAAGGCGGAGAGTGCAGTAGTGAGTGGTGCCAGTGGAGGTGGTGGATATGGGCTGTTTGGGAGGGGTGGTGGTGCGGGAGGAGGAGCGGGGGACGTGGAGGTGGACGCGGAGGCGCCGCTGCCGACGTTCGAGGTGCAGCCTGCGATGCTCGCGGTGGATCTGGCGCTCGCGCCGGGAGAGACGAGGACCTGTGCGTGTTTCTTTCTCGCCCCTCATCTTTTTTCTTCAGTGTGGCTGACTATACTCTTCATGCCCGTGCGTATCGCATGCGTTCAGATACCTACTCCATCTCGCTCCCGGCGAACCTCCCACCGACATTCCGCGGGCGCGCACTCCGGTTCGGGTACGAGCTCGTCGTCGGCACGTGTCGCGCATCCGCACCGCCCGCGCTCCCGCCACCCCGAGGGCTCTTTGCCGCTCACAATCCTCCGCCGAGTCCTGGCGGCTCGCAGGCGAGCGTGAGCCGGGTGATGAAGGTACCCGTGAGGGTGTACAACCACGTTGCCGGTGCGCTTTTCCTCGCGATCTATTCTTGCGGGCAGACACTGATACTGCGGGGCGGGGCGGATAGTGGGCAGAGTTCCGCGACCGTACGACCTTCTCTGGCCCGTCACGAACCGGGCGCGGCCCGTGGCGGCTACAGTTACGGAGCGCAGTACCAATGGCACCGGCACTGCTGGGTCCGGCAGTAAGGCAGCTTCGAAGCCGACGCACCGGCCAAGACCGTCTGCAATACTTCCTGCGTCTGCGGGACAGGGGCAGAATGGCAAGTCGGGTGCGGACGGAAAGGGTCTGGGCAGCGCACCGGGTGCGACTGGGTCGCTGGCGGACCTGAGAGAGTACGGCACGAAGCTGCTGGCGTCGTGTTCGCGGCCTTCGTCTCGGGCTCATTTGGGTGTCCATGGATCGGGCGCTGGCGGAGACGAGGAGGATGAGTCGGGTGGGAGGACTCCAAGGACACCGAGGACACCTATGGAGCTGGAGCGCGAGCTTGAGCTTGAGCTTGAAGGTGAAGCTGCGGAGGGCGGTAGGGATGGCGGAGGTGGGCTGAAAGGGTGTAGGGAGGCGGTGGAGATTTTGACGCGAAATCCGAGGAAAGGTGCGTTTAGGGAGCATGCCGCGGTTGAGTGGGCATGAGGAGCTAAGTATAGTGTGTTTGCAGCGTCGTACGACGTGACCAAGGACGGTGTCAAGGTTGCCGTGCTCACGTTCACCAAGTCTGCGTACAGGTTGGGGGAGACTATTCTTGGCGCAGTGGAGCTCAACGAGCGTACAAGTCGAGCAAAAGTTCTTTCTGTGCGTCTATTCTAGCGGACCTTTCGGGTTCATCCTGCTCATATACCGCAGCTCTCAGCTTTCCTCGAAGCACACGAAGCCCTACCTTCCTCGCTCGCTGGCTCATCAGCTCGTTCTGCTCGACGGGTACACGCAGAGCACTACGCCTCCTTCGTCGCAGGCTCGCGACGCACCACCTTCACACTCAACATCCCCTCGGACGCCTCCCCCGCCTTCCAGGTCCTCGTCGGCGCCGAACTCGCTCCCCAAACTACACCAGCTCCCCAACAGCCCAAGCCAGGTGGCCTGCAATGGCGCGTCCGCCTCTGCCTTCTCGTAGCCGTCGCCTCTCCTACATCCCAGTCCTCCCAAACCGGTGTCCGACTCAAACACCTTGTCCGCGATACCGACGCGACCGCCCACGGGAGCGACGCACGCTGGGGCGCCTCGTGGCGCGCCCCGCGCACACTCGCACCGCTCGAGCTCCCAGCCCCACCGGACCCTGCAGCGCCCCCTGCGGCTACTGCTGCTGCGACGGGCTGGACGGCGTGGATGATGTCGTCGCTGCTGGGCACGAGCGAAGTGGAGTATCACGACGGGGACGAGTACGATAACGACGACGACGTCGAGGGTGGGGAGCACGGCGGGATATTTGGTTCGCGCGCTGCCGCGGGCGGCGAGGCGCAGCGGGATGCGGAGAAGGCGGAGAAGGCGTGGGTCGAGGTTAGGGCGGAGACGGTCGAGTGCGAGGTGCCGATCGCTGTGTGGCCGGGGAATACGGCGTTTAAGGCGATGGACGTTGTGTTCGATGTTTAGATCACGTTGGAACTCTTTTTTGGGTGCCGCATGGATGGAACACCGCATAGCCTCGTACGATGTACATTGTATATCAGGGGCCCAGCCCACATCCGTAGCGAAGTGGAGTCTGTTGGGATTCAGAAAGTGGAGGGCTCGCGCTGGGTCAGCATCTCATGTCAACCAGATAATGAATACGACAGGATCCGTCATGGCACATCTTGAAGGTAAGTTTACTATGCGCTCAGTAGGTTTGGGTACGCTAGGCATGCCTGTAGACTAGCGGACAGCATTCTGGATTGTAGTATTAATATCATTGCGCTTATGGGCCCGCCGTGACAGCGTGCGCAAACGCAAGCAGGCATGTTAGCACTCTTGATCAGTTAGTTCGGCCGCCGCAGTACGAAGAGCATACTTTACTGTCAGTGCAAGAGTATCTAACAAAATTCACGAAGCACGAATCGGCCAGAAGGATGTGGTGTACCTGTTCTACATGCTTAGAAACCGGGGCTCAAAGACTGCAAAAGCCAGCATTATGAAGTAGACAAAATACTTGATAGCACAACATAATTATAGTACTTATGCCTCCACACTCTCCCAAAACCCCAATCGCAAGCACACATCTCTCCATCACACCGGGGGGCATCATAATGGAAATCTGAAACACGGTTTCTATCACGTCCAAGAGTTTGCAATCATATTATTAAAATGATGAACTCTGCGATATAAGCCAACTCTCTTCGTCGTGAAGGACTTAGAGCGCCGAGACATAATTAGGTGCCTTGGGTCATCCTATTGTTGACAACCTCATCTTCAGATTCAAGCCTCTCATATCCTGATCTCAAGCAATAGTGCGATATGACCGGGGTCGGGCCTTGAGCGAGTTTTTCTGCCGCGGGGATAGCCAATTACTTACAAGTAGATATGGCATAAGGGAGGACCCATGAAAACAGAAAATGAAAGACAGTGTTACAAACAAAAACATTAAAGCGCAGTCCGGGGTTTTGATTTCACGGATGCTGGGTATTGAATGATCATCAGAAGTTTCAGAGCACATTTTGGACCTCTATCGGATCCGAGAACGGTGAACCGTTGCTACGCTGAGCGAAAAGAATATGTATATAAGTATAATCTGGATAATTAAACCTCGAGACCAACTATCCACCTCAGCTGCTTTAGCCTCGGAAAGTCGCAAGCAAAGCTACAGCCTGCTCTCGTCGACTCTTCCTTCATGAGTATTTATATCGACGATGCCTACGGAAAGCAATCCCAAGCAGTGAGCAGACTTCTTAGCCTATATTTCATGAGGCATGGCTCATTTTCTCCTTTAGTATGCCAACTGTAGGTCCATGGGTACGATCTCACGTATATTTCTCACATGGGATTCATGCTTCATAGTAGCAGCGATAGTGATTTTGGTGAGTATGCATTTTTGAAATGCAAGTTATCGCTCCTTACCTAACATATCACCTTTTTGGTAGGTATTCGATTATTGCATCACAGTAGAAAACGAGGTAATGGGTCATACTTGAGGTCGTACTAAGTTCTTTGACTACATTAACTCCAGCTATTTGTAGGCAGCCTGGGTTTGGGGGCGTAAATGGGATATAGGACGTGTTACTTTTATGTTTGCACGGTATTCTCCTTTTCCAGCAGTAGCTCTAACCGTCAGCTGTAAGCCTCAGTTTCACGTAAAAATAGCAACACGTCTAACTTACATATTTCAGCTGCGATGAAGGCGGCAGCTTTTGAGTGGGTAAGTGAGATACTTTATTGTGAGAGATAGTCTGACTGTATTTAAAATCCCTGAAGTGCAGCGACTGGTACCAGGTTGGACAGGCATCCAATCGTACGGATTTTCCAAACACATGCAGATGAATATCGCTAATGGTTTTCTGACGCTTTCATTGGTAGCCCTACATATGATCAGCATTATAGCAGCTGAGGGTGCGCTAGTTTCCTCCCAAATATATATCTTTCTGATGAAAATGATAGGTCTGTTGTTACTACGTGTGTGGGTATTTTGGGACTGCAGTCGTCCTCTGCTCGTTCTCCTGCTTGTGATGGCTATTGTGAGCCTTTCCTCCACATCAATTTTCGCTCTTTACATCCAAATTAAAACGGCGAAGAGTTTTGTCATAGCTGCACTTATAGCTCCTAAAGTTATTCATTTTGAAGGCGAATATGTTCGTGGAATCGACCCATGTACGTGACTTTAGTACCAAATACCTTGCCTACCCTCTGATGTTAGGCCCTACGAAAGGGCCATGGGCTTGCAACTTTACCTTGACGGTTAAGTCTGATTCATTCCAGTATGTCTTCCTGGTGTTATACGAGTTAAGTGAGCCTCCAGATAATATTTCTATTTGAGTATGTCAAGTATCTGACGTTCTCAGCATTAATCTCTCTTATGATCTATCGTTGGCTTCATCATTTTCGTAGGAGCGACTCTCAGCTTATCCGGTCGCTGTATCGAGACTCGCTGCTGTATGTGACCATCATGATCTGTAAGTAATTCTTACCTCTTTCATTTATGGTACCAAAGTTATTTTTTAGTGATTACAATTGGAAATATTGTCAACATGGTTACGGCACCGGTGTGCACTAGGTCTCCTTGGATTCAATGTGCTTAAAAACTGATAAGTTTTTCAGCGATACTTCAACGAGTATGCCGACAGGTATTTTCTGTCTAGGACTCATGGAGGTTAATATTCTGACGAGTGCCTTCAGTCTTCAAGTTGTTATCCATAGTGTTCTTTCCACCCGGATTTTCTTTCGCTTACGGAGAAATTACGATTCTCGGACCAGCCAGGATCTCTCGCAATCCGTATCCACTTTTCAGGCAGTAAACCCGGATGACTAACGTGAATTCTTACATACGTGTGCAGATAGCCTAACGCATTGGTAGTATATTTCCAAGCACGACACAATATTCTTTTATTTCTGTAAATATAATGTGTCTCAGGACATTGAACGCACAGGATCAAGCCTCCAATATCCGAGAGTATAATACTCAGAGGTAAGACAGGACTTCGTCGCAGCTATTGTACTCTCCTCTTCTATCCGTATCCCACGAAGCCTCAAAGTAGCGAACGAGGATCTTCAGTGTTCCTTCGTCTGTCCACGAGGCGATTCGTCCGCTCTCTTTAGCCTGACGCAAAGTCTGTATGGCGGTGCAAAGCCGTCCGCCAAACGTCCGATATCCCACGTCAGAGTCGTCTACTATATCTTCCTCAGCTATAGGCAAATCCAGCTGTATTGACCTCAGGCGAGGGAACGCCTGTGCAAACGTGCTTGCAATGGCAGCCAGCCTCGTCGCATCAACGAAGCATGTTCCGAGCTCGATCACCTTAATGTGCTCGTGGCGAAACTCCGAGTCCTCCGTGTGGTAAAACGGCTCTCCCGCCATGTTGGGCAGCCGTGACACATTGACGGGTAGCGTGAGGCGCTCCAAGCGAGGGCACTGCCGAGCTGCGACGAACACGCTGCTCAGAGTAGCAGGAGATACGTAGTCCCTGGAAAGTGACTTGATGCGCAGCTGCTCAAGGAGCGGCCATGCTTCAGCGATATGCGCCACGTCTGCGTCCGTCAGGTGCACCTGCCCTGGGAAGATCCAATCGAGGACTCGCATGCTAGTGAACTTCAGGAGAGGCTGGATGGTCCCTATCATGATGGGCGGGTCGTTGACGGGCTGCCATGGACGTTGGTGGTGGTGAAGTGTAAGCGTTTGTAGCGTGCCTCCGGAATGCCCAGATAATATCTTGAATAAGCGGGCAGATAATTGAGAGGCCGGTTGCTCGTCGGTCCGTACCTCGATGGAAGAAGGTATGCGAGCGAGTTTGTAGATGAAGATTGGATGAAGAACACGGAATAGAGGAACATCCGAAAGTCCAGCTTGAGTAGCTGGAGAGATGGGAATTGTAACGTGGGGGTATGGCGGACATTGTAAAGAACTTTCAGCTCGAGCGAGATGAGTGAGGAAAGCTGGCTCAGGTACAACAGAGTTGCTTGGTCCACTTCAGAGCACCTGAATGTGCGAAGGCGTTGGCAGCGCATGATAGCCTCGGAGAAAGTAGATGGTAGAGTCCGGGGTTCCTCTTCTTTGTGATCGCTTCCTGCATGCACAAAGGATAGATTCATCCCTTGAACTGGCGGCCCTTCGCGAGCCGTGATGTTACTGACAAGTTCCATGACAGCGCCATCAAGGCTAAAAGAGTCCACATCGATAATTACTACGTGAGAAGTAAAGGGAAGGTACTCTTGAAGAAGCGATGGAAGATAGTGACCAAGTCGTACATGACGAAGTCGGGGAAAGGAAGCTTTGACACCTCCGGGGAGAGAAAGCAATGCGCGAAGGGCTAGTGGTGCAATGGCCATCCCACCGAAAGAATCTAAGATCAAATTTTGAATGGAAGTAGTGTACCCCATGACATTGAGCTGTTCGCTGATAGACAGAGGCCTAACGTCTGCCTAAGGAGAAACAGAGACGCCGGTTGAGAGCGGATCATAAAGGTGGCATGTCAAACGCATGAAACTTACTATCCAGGGTTTGCTCACGGCGTACCGTCGCCATCCATATGGGTCTGGGTCTCCTTCTTCCCACATGACAAGCAAATGAGGTATCAAGCATTCGAATATCATGCAGGCAGAAACCTTCGACCAAAGCTCATCAATCGCAGGTTTCTTGAAACCCTTGCATGTGCGGGCGAGATGGGCTAGAGTGTTGTTGCGCGAGGGAGGAGGGTAACTAAAAGCAAACGGTTCGTAGGGATTAATGTCGCCTATACGGGAGAAAATCTCTTCGAGGATTTCAGTCAGTCTGAGTGCCGGATGCATGGCTAGTCGATATGTCGACGCCGTAGTGATGGTCGGAAGCAAGGGGATGTGTCCAGGACGGTGATAGCGGCGGCAATAACACGGGTGGCTTCGGGGAGACCACGAGGCTGCCTCCAAGCTGCAAGAACCACGGGGACATAATTTGACCTTCACTATTAGCGCGGCTGTGCCAAGGTGATGGCACTTTGACCTGGTGGTAGATGTGCACAGACGCGCTAGAAGTAGTCGTACATTTTGGTGCATAAGTAGATAGACGAAGGTATGGGTATGTCAACGTTCTTATCAATCTGATTCATACTCGGTAGGGTCTATCTTCAAATCTGGGAAATTGAAGTCTACACGGGGCCTCTTCTGCTTTTCGATGATGGGCTCCAGCATCCCACGCAGCCAATCAATGTCCTGCACACCTATCTCTTCATACTTCGAATCCACCCTCCGAATCTCCTTGAGTAGTTCATCCACGAGAAAGAACGCTGGACGTAAGTAGACGGATGTGCCAACAGATATGGTGCCGAGATTCTTGTAGACGACCGCCAGGAGGATAACAAAATCGCCGAGGATCTTGCCCTTGACTCTCGTGTGTAGCACGTTGAGCTTCGTTAAAATCTGGTTTCGGCGGCCCTGCCGAGCCTCAAGACGCTGCTCGAGAGTAGACCTGCTGAAGGCGTCGGTGGTGTCAACGTAAATTGTAAGTTCAGATAAGTCTGGACAGAGATCTGTCACTGCAATCACTGTGTCGAAGGCGACCCCGAGGCTGGACGAGTCAGACGACCAACCGCCAATATCTAGACGATTGAGGCGCGGGAGCGCTTCGGCTACCTGTATAACATCGGTATCTGTGAGTTTGAAAACTCCTTCGAGATTAAGCGACAGGACTCGAAGCCCGCTGAGCTGCAGAAGGGGCGCAACGCAGGCTCTTGTTACTACTTTGTAATCCTCGCCCACATCGTTTCTGTAACGCATTCCTTCGTCCACAATGAGTGTCGTTAAGAACGGAAAGTGTGCTGTAACCGTTTGAGCGAGCATCCCGACATCCGCCCCGCCTGCCATGAAGAGATGGGCGCGTTGAAGGCGTGAAGGTTTATCCGGTGAATTCGAGTATGTGGATGGCGTGGTTTGGACAGAGAAATCGAGAGGAAAAGTAATGTCAGCCAGTCTGGGACACTCGCAGGACAGCGCCAGGACACAGTCCAATAACATTGAAGAGTCGGAGGACGAATCAAAGCGGATCGTATCAAGACGTGGGAAGGCCTGACCGAGCTCCCGGACGTCTTCCGGCGAGAGCGATATAGAGTGGGGAACGTCGACGGAAAGGTGGCAAAGTTGGCCATGGCGCAAGAGCGGCCTAAGTGTATCCATCGTGATTATGCCTCTCGCGTCCGTTTGAGAGTGCTTAGCGTCTATAATCAGCTCTTCTAGGTAGGTCCTGGGGGCCTGAGACAGGATGATGAACATTTCTTGCATCTCATCGACGGTGATGGACAGCTCCAAACCAAATATCTTGACCATGCGAGGAATAACTTCAAGTCTACGCAGTAGCTCTACGGCAGATTCTGCATTAGGAGGGCTTAGTTCCAGGGTTTGAAGACACGGAAACGGAAGGGTTGCGGGTTTAGGAACGGGTGAGCTCTTCTTGGTTTCGTTCCAGTCCTGGTTGGCGAGAACGAGATGGCGGAGATGCGATGAACGAGAGATATCCGAAAGAGCTTGCCAGCTGAGATTGTAGCATAGTAGCGCCGAGAGCATATGAAGACGGACGACTGTGGAGGATATCAACGTCATAGAGGCAGGCAGATCGGAAGCCTGGTGCTCATCTAGCACGCTCAGGCGCTGCAGAGATGGGCACCGCTCTAGAAGAGCATCCCTGACCATCAGCCCATTGTCTGGGTTGCAGATGATGTCAACGGAGAGAAGTCGAGAAGAAAAGAAGAGGGTTGATGCGCGAAGATCCTCGGTTCTGTTAGTCTTGCCTGCGATGATGTGTCGGAGCCTTGGGAATGCCGTATCAAGGCTCGATGGAGACGACAACAGCTTCAAGAGCGCTGGGTGACGTAAGCGGGGTTCCGTGTAGGTCTTGGGGTCTATCGACATAAATACGATGCGTTTTGTATAGAAGAGGATGCGATCCCAATCTTCGGGGTTGAGATTCAAGTCCACCTAAGTAGGGAAAAGTCCAGTGTATCCTCGGCGATCAGCATGATCAATATATGGGATGAGAATTGTCTACTGACAATCATTCCATATTGCGGGTATTCTTTACCTTCTATGATAGCGTCGGGGTCGATAACATGGCGGATGTGGGATATTGACGTGTGCGTAAGTTCCGAACCTGACCAGAGCCAGTCCAACGCGGGATCCCGGAACAAGGTCGACGTTCGGGCGAGATTGGCGAGGGTATCTTGTGAGGCAACCTGAGAGCATATCTGGAGTCGTATTTCTGGGAGCGAGAGCGCTTTGTCCATTTGAACTTGAACGTAGGAGAAGAGGTCGATCTGTGCGCGACGCCATTTGCACACAGCGACAAACAGGCCCTGCTCTCGTCCAACCTCTCTCCTGCTTTCGTCAACCTCCTTCCGACAATCGATAGCCACCCCTCATTGACCATGGCCTCATTGTCCGCACCTGCTGCACGTCTACGCCGACCTGCCTGCGCTCTCGCCACCTCACGGGAACTCGAACCTTGCTCGCTGTTTGCCACCGACTCGCGACCAAGTACTGGCATATCACAGGCGACTGGAGGTTAGGATATGACAGGGTCTATATGGATGCATAACTACTCTCTGGTGCGTTTTCTTCCTCTCCGTTGCCTGCTTTAGTAGCTAGTCCTCACACTTGGAGATTCTTTGTGCCAAGGTTCGATGATAGTACGGCCTCCTCTGGTCAGTTACACTGACTCACCGTCCAAACGATGACCAGCTTTGACAATGAAACTAAAGAACATGATGAACATGATGAACTTGGGCCGGACGCGAGAATACCGAGAACAATGAGGACACGCGTAGAATTAGAGCAAGGGCTAGAGCTCTCGTTCAAGGGTGCAGTTGCGGTGAATGACAGGGAGGGCAGCTTGGTGGAGATAGGCTGAAGAGATGGGATTTTATGGCGACACGAATTCTGGCGCGAAAACCAACAAGAGGTACGTTGCGGCTCTTTGCTGGGCACGGACGTGATCGCTGAGTAGCGATACGCTTGTAGCATCATACGATATGATCGGGGATAACGCCAAGTTCATCGTATTGTATACGTTCTCCAGATCTACGCATAGCAAGGCTACACTTCCCGTTGCGGGCCTCACTTGCTCCCCGAATTCATGGAGATCACCACAACCCTTGCCTGAGGCTCATGATGTGCCATCTCTACACTCAGCGCCCCCTGACATACATACCGAGTCCCCCGGTTTTCCAACCTTGTCGGCAACGGACTGCTCCCTGAGCTCCCCAAATCCTGTATCAATCTAGCTAAGGCAGTATACAATATTGACGCATCCCCCTCTGCTTCTGTCACACCCTTCGCCTCGCACTCCGGAGAAGCCGATTGGCAGCTCTGAAACCCCGCCCGTTACACTGAAACTTACTTCTGGATATGCTGATAGTAAACTAGGGTACATCATCCTACATTGCAAACTGTGAGGCTAAGTCGTCGAATCTCCTCTCTCATGGCGGCTTTGGCACGGCGAAGGGTTTTATTAGGTAAACTCGGGCGGCTATACATCCGGTGGCTCCATGAGATGCTGTAATGCTATTGATTTCCGCAGTGATGCTGATGAGAGCTGTGCAGCTCGCAACTCCATCGTGATCCTCATCGGCCATGAGGTGCGTCTGTACCAATCGCACGGTGCCTTTCCGCACTGATGGACTTGGAGTCCAAATTCCGACCCATGTGCATCATGCCCGTGCTTGAGCTTTCATCAGGCCGAGACCATGATGCATCTCAAGCTTACGACGAGGTCAAAAGCAGAATGTCGCGCAGGTCTTTTTTCTCGGACTCCCTACTCTGATTTCCTTGTTACCCTTCCATACAGGAAACAAGCTCTGTCCGTCGTCCATGAGCATATTTACTTTCGTTGCGTACGGAAAACAGTCCAATGCGGTGAATATTATGGTTACTAATGCGTGAGGGATATGTACTTATCTTATTCATAGTATGCCAACTGTCAGTGCTCCTTCTCTTTCCTTCTAGGTTCATGTGCGCTCAATCAAGATGGTGAACAGTAGCTGGATTGGTAGTTCTGGTGCGTACACGTAGTCATGGCAAGAGAAAGCCGCGGCACACTTACCTGTCTCCTCCACTTTTCCTCTCCATCATCATCAGGTATTTGATTACTGCATTACGTTAGACGAAGAGGTGTGAAAATATCTCAAACAGCGACATCCTCTTAAACGGCTTTTGTAGGTAAGATGGGTATGGGGGTCAAAATGGGGATTGGGGCGTTACTTGTTTGTCTTGGCGCGGTACCTACCCTTCCCTGGTTTGATTCTGACCGTATATTGTTCGTGATATTTTGAATTCACCAACCCATATGCACTCACTCAACCTATGTAGCTGCGCTGGAATCGGCCGCTCTCAAACCAGCTGCAGCAGTATGTACTCTACTAATGCGCATATTTCTGACAAAGCATGACCTAGAAAATTGGATGCAGTGCATTCGAGCCCAGCCTGCAATCTCATCAAACAGTCAGGCGAGCTCACCCGCAACCTCGATCAATGAAGCTGATCTCTAGTAACGCAGTATTACATATCATTAGCATATGCTCTGCCGAAGGTCCTGAGATTAACGCCGATGACTCGATATTGTTGACATGTGAATTAGGTCTCCTACTTCTACGCACTTGGGCGCTTTGGAATTGCAGTCGACGATTCGCCACTTTGATGGGAGTACTTTCATTGGTGAGCGACACCCCAACACCTGATTCGTGGATCGCTTGTAATAATGGTATGGTGTTCTTTCAGGCCTTTGCCGGTGCAGCTATGGCTCTGGTATATCAACTTGAAATCAACACGAATGGAGTTGTCGGAAATGTGGGCCCCGAGAAAAACTTATGTATCTATCCTTGGTTGCCAACTAAACATTGAGCTGCTATTAATATCCCTACTTTTTAAACAGGGCCCGGAACTTGCAATTTCACGGCAAATAAGACAGAAGCAATAGCATTTGGCTTCCTTGTAGCGTATGAAATGAGTGTGTCTGGCGTGCTATCTCTTATTGTGTTTTGTCCTCTTATAGCTTTAGTTTTGTTATCTCTTATCTCTTACCAGTGGATCCGTCACTACCGATCAACGAAGTCAACACTCGCCTACCTTCTGTACAGGGATGCACTCCTTTATGTGTGCACATCTACGTGTAAGAAGACACTTTCATTGGATACGAGACACGACTGAGCTGGCAATGTGTCTCATGTAGTGGTTTCTACTGCAAACATTGTTAACATTGCTAGTGGACCGGTGAGTAATGTGCTCAAAGTTCATAATGATGGCTAAACATGTTCGGTAGCAATACTATAATGAATATATTGATAGGTGATCATGAAATAGGATGCTTGGAGATTTGACGCTCGGTACTGAAATGGTATCTCAGTATTCAGGTCACATTTCAAAGCGTCATTTCTACGCGAATTTTCTGTCAACTAAAGCGCACAAACCAAGTTGACATTGAGCAAAGCCTTTCACATCCAGTATCAACATTCCGGGCTCAGGTGGCAAATAACAATTCGCTTGAATCCTCAAACCAGTAGATGGCATGGATGCTGGAAATAGCATACCGGACCATGGTGAAATAAGACCACGGCTTACATATATTGTACGTGTAGAGGTGTTTCGCTTATGTGATTAAATTACAGAAACTCGGGGTTGCGAGATAGTATGGACGTCAAACAGAAAATGTACGTTGGCAACCTTGCCTTTATGGCTATGGCTGACTCAGGTAACAGATGCAACTCGAACGAGCCAAGTCAGTATTCGAAGCAAAGTATGACTGATAGAGATTTTATCCGTTTGTGATGAAGGCTCCAAGCAGGGAGGAAGCGGGAACAAGAGGTGTACATACGGTAACGAGGCGGACTGATCTAGCACTATGTGAACGGGCGTGTGAGAATGTCCAAGGGTCGAAATAACCTGAGAAATAGACGAAGGCAACGCTGGGCCAGGCTCCCCTCATTATATCAGGCAGGTGTTCGGCGACTTTCCCATGTCGATAGGATGAAATTGCTACACCTCTTCCATCAAGGCCTTGAGCTGTTATTCAAGCAGATTCATGAAAGACCGCGCCATCCAGGTCCTCGCGTGGCTACCTGGAGGCGTGAAGACCACGTTTCCCAGGCTGAGGTATCTCCACATAAGCCACAGTGCCTTCTTTCCTCGTCTACTCCGCGAATACCATCCATTTGTGGCTTGTGTGGACCCTTTCACTTATATTATTCACGGTTTCATTTGGATGACCCGTTTTTCGAGCTCATCAGGTGTATCGCTTCCGAACATAAGGATACTCTGCGAGAAATTACCATCGAATATGAGCCTGAAGGAGGGTTGTCAGATGACGTCAAGTGGGCAGTACTAGGCTAGCGAAATGATACGTACGATACAGGAGCCTGAATATCTGTGACCAATAGGGATGATTCTGCGGATGAGCAGATGGGGAATGAGACTGCTGATTACTGTCTCGAATCGCATGTTACACCAGAGCTCGTCGATGGCAGGCTTTCTAAACATCCTGTAGGCCCGTGTAAGTCTTGCCAGCCTGCATCCCTCTACGCGAAGGCGATGTACCATTGACATTATCAAGTTTCAACCTCCGTTTCACTGACATTATCAACGACGATGAGAAGAATCTCGGGTAGAGTGAGTCCTCGATGCATGGCAAGCGCTGAGCGTTACAAGACAGTGAGCGCAGGTGAGAAGATTGCAACCTGGTGATATTATTCTGAATTCGCGAGTTTCCGAAATAAAGGATCCAATGACAAAATCACTTTACACCTTACACTGCAGACAAATTGCGATTTTCCTAGTACAAAACAGTGGTTGAAAAAGGCAGATCGATGAAAGCCTTTTCCGGACAGCTTTTGTTGTAAGAAAAGTCGCCGAAAAGTTTAAATTTTTGCCTCGGGGTTTGATCTTGGGAGCGGAGAATGGATAGTATTATGTCCAAATTTAAAAGTTTGATGCCCAATATGGTAAGCGGCACTTTTTACTAGCGCAAAATGTTCGCAATTGTTAGCTAAAAGAATACCTTTTCCTGTGTCAAAAGGGGGCACAAAACTCGGAGGTAATTTCATCTCACTGCCTCCTCCTCCCGATTTCGTCCTAGATAAAATCGATGATTTCCCGCAGTGTTATAAGGTAGGTGTGGGTTTTATTCCCTTCTTCCAGTCCATCTGTGACGTGCAGCAATAATCATGTGTTGAACGCTTTCATCTTCCCACAGTGTCCTTGTCCCCTTGTAAGTATTGAAGCCAGTGAGGGCTACGACGTGCTCGTACGAGTTCAAAGGGGTTCAAAGGAGAACCGAGTGCCAATCGTTTGCTAGGGAGTTACTACGAAAGTGCGAGTATATAAATCTTCGAAAACGAAACATCGAGGTAAACGTGCGATGGACATGCGGCGGTCTAGGCGCAGCCACGATGCTACCCTTACGCCCTCTTCATTGACGCGCGACAGGCAAAGTGTGATAATAATTGCAACTGAGCAACGTACACTCTGGAGCTGCACTAGATACTCTCGTGGCGACATGTCGCTCACTGAGGCTCTGCCGTGGCAGTTGTGACATCCAGCCCATCGGAGTCGTGTTCGCTGTTGAACCATAGCATTCGATGCATACGGGTAGACAGGATGGCATGGATGTAGATCTGCAAGCTTTACAGTTGTGTGAGGGATCCACCAACGCACTAATAATGCACGAAAGATTGACTCACTCTTGGAATATCTCAACGTCCCCGTACTAGAAAATAAAGGATCAATGTCAGCACACTGTTTAACAGAAATGCGGTGAAGATGTACATTTTCCACGACGCCCATGATCACGTTGGTGATCGTAAAAACTGCGAGAGACAAAAAGGTGAGATGAGACTTGTGTGCTCACGGAACACTCACCCAAGCCACACACGTAGTATAATACGTTATGCCTGACCAGAACTTCGATGAGCCGAGCCCGTGTTTCGCGTCTGACTCGGATACCTCTCATGGCATTCAGAGTGATAAGTTCTGAAAAGTGACTCAGGAGGTCTATATGTGCTTTCCAGCAGGAAGGAAACGCGTACGTGCCCATTTCAAGTGCAATCAAGAACGAGTATGTCAAAGCTAAGGAGACCCTTGAAGTTACAATGGCGCATCCGGTGACGCTCGAACGGGGGAGGGATATTACTATGGTGCGCCCATCATGCTCGTCAGCCCTTTTGTTCTGTCAGCTGGACACCTCTCTTACTCGTGGTCTTTGCACCAACAGGGATGTACCAGGCCGCGACCGAACCAATGGTGGCCACCTGATCCACAAGCTGTCAATAACAACTCGTGTCACTGCAGTGAGATGTGCTTACCACGAACGAGACTATTAAAAGAATGAGGACAGCTCGGCTCCGTCTCCACAGGGCGTACGTTCTCAAAGCGAAAAGGACTAAGAGGGATGAGCGAGGAATTCAAGTTAGCCGACAGACCAGGGCTATGCACACCTTCTGCAAGAAACACAATTAAGGTGGTGAGGCCTGTGAGATTTTAACTTGAGACTGCTTTCTCTATTCGGTGGATGAAGCGTACCAGTCATCGCGTTGGATAGCCTCTTGCACTCCTTCATTATGGTTAGCTGAGATTTATGATCTCACACGTGGTGCTCACAGTCAACGTTGGAGAAACAGATAGGTCATCTGGTTATGTCAATATTGTGAGCATGTATAAAAGTAATATATGAGTTGACTGCACGTACACTTGAACCTTGCGGCACGAGCGGCAAATGGAAGCAGCCGCGTCAAGAGGTAGATCACTTTGGTCTTTCTTAATCTTGCATGTCTCATAAACGTACACTGTTCAGGATGTGAGCACTCGCTATGAGAGGGACCACGCAGCGACCGGCAATACGAACTTCAGCATTGAGCTCAATCATGTAGTCATAAAACTGCCAGGATTCGTACTGTGGTTGAGTCATCCGTCCCAGATACAGTACGTGCGCGATTACGCAACCTACCCAGAATGCAGTGATGGCCACTACAATTACAAGCCGGGTGTCAGTATAAATGGCCACAAGAGACTGGCTTGCACGAACCACCGATGTACTACCGTGGTGATGATATTTCAGCCAAATCTACGAGGTGAAAGATGCATGGCATATCAGAACTTACATCTCGGGTCTGATAGCTTCGGAGAACGGCATCCGCGTCCCAGTCCTGCATGACAAAAAGCAAAGCCGTGGTCAGAACGCTCGATTCAGCAGTCGGACTCGGCGGGTGGGAGGGAAGAGGGTAGAGCGCCTAGAGTGTAACCAGTATGAGTTTATAAGAGAATAGCATCTGGGTCCATAAGAGTATAGCATTTTGCCTATAGCAACGATCAACTAATAGGTGCCAGGCGGCGCATTTTGGATGATGGTGCTATGATCCTGATCATCGTTGAAGTCCGCCGTGCTTTAGATATATATTGTGAGGTGAAGCATGCACTATGTGTCGTGTACAGTGATATTTGCGTATGACAGTTCCATGCTCATGTTGCGTGGTTCCTCGAGTCACTGGACAACCTCTGAGCCCCAAGCTCAAGGACGGGGAGTGATGTCGGAGATGGCCGTGATCGTGCTTACTTGTACACCTCACTGAAGCGTCATTGCAAGCGCTTATCACCCCCAAAAGCCTTGAACAAGCTGAACGAAGTCAATCGCCAGTTTCAAAGTCCAAGTTGAAGAACAAAGTAAATGAAAGAGGGGTTTTTTGTGCCACATTGGTGAGACTTGGCGTTGTATGAATGTGCAGTGGACAGCCGGCGTGTATGGCGTTGGGCCCGACAACGTCGAATGGCGAGCCCTCCTTTGAGTAGGATATCGCTGTTCAGATCCAGGGGGCGAAGTTTAGACTCTGATGCCAGGCGTAGGATGTGGAGCCAGTAGAGGCGAGGGCTGGTGAGGGAATCAATGTCGGGGCTCCGGATGGGAAAGCCGAAGCTTGCACGAGGAGGCAGCCCATGAAGTCCGAATCAAACGGATTGCTGCGGTCCTCTCGCGTCAAATCACCTCGACGAGTCTTCGCACAACACTGCACATTGCCGCTGTCAAAACTAGTGATCAGCTAGTAATTCCCTTTGAAGACTACATTGCATCTGGTCTTCCTGCGTGCGTGCTATTAGGTGCCATCTCCTGGGCTTTCAGGGCCGCGCCTGCCTTGATGTGAGGTCATTCGCGACATGGTGACCGATCCAGCCATCCTTCTCTGATGAGAGCTAGCTCGGACATCGTGCATTGGCGGGGGTTTCTGTGATTGCTACTCTCAAAAGCCCATGTACGTATGTTTCGTTCTCTTCACGATGGAAAAACGCGCGTTCCTTCCAGAGAGGGACACCGCTTACACTTCCCCGATGTAGCTCGCAGCTAGGTGTCATGGTGACAGCCATGAAAGAAGCAAAGAAGTCTCGAGGCCGAGGAATGCAATCAATGTACGGCGGTGCGTGCTCATTTCGGTCTTCGGTCCGCTGATGCTTTCAACTTTCACCAACTGTTCGTCATATCTGCTGCAGACGTCAATAATAAGACACAAATCAGGTTAACCATGCGCGGCGAGTGTGAAAACGCGAACGTATTGAATCTCCAATTGTCCATGGCGACCCGTCAGAGCGTGAGTTATCGTTGTTTCAGGATGCAATGTAACTTGTTTCTTGGTTATCCAGAGCGGAATTCGTTGATAGATTTGAGCATGCCTTTTTGTGCCATCATATCCTTGTCTCGGTCGGACATCATGCCAATTTCAGCCCCTGTCAACTTCACCGATGAGCGTGGTGTTTGAATGATGGTTCCATTGTTGTGTTTAGGTGTTCGTCCCAATCTCCGACTCACTCAAACACATCCGAAATCCAAACATGGGTTCGGGAGGAAAGGCATTGTGGTCTAGTCCACCCGACGGCTTCGGGAAAGCTCTGAGCTGACTTCGCTCTCAGTTTGCGTGCTGCTCGGTGGTTGTTAGCCCAATACTGGCCCCAACATGGGCAGGATGCTGCAATCAAGAGCTGTGTGGACCCTTGGCTTAGAGATATCTTGCTATTCTTATAACTCCTCGCCACTACTCGGATGTCCCGCATTCAGGTGAAGTTTCTTGCGTGTCGCTGATATCGCAACACACTAAAGGCGGTGCTCGTCAGGGCAAAGACCGGCGGTTCATAGTAAACACGCGGATTCTATTCAAACGGCCGTAGGTGATCGATCGGCGGGCGGGTGGCACAGCTTTCCCATGCCTTGACCGCTTCAGATCCGAGGAAAGACCAACAGCCCCTGGATGACCTAAAATGACCGCTGGGCATGGTGGCCACTGGATGATGGAACTCAGCCTCCACGAGTCACAATACAAAACCGGTCGGTATGCGCTTCAACAGCCGACGCGTCGCTAAGAACGCTTTTCTCTCTTTCGCCTTTTCCTTCTTCCCCCCGTTCACCTTCTCCAGTACCTAGCCCGGCGCTGGGCACCTTCAGGATATGGCCGACACAACGAAGCAGACTCTCAGCGCTCGCGATATCGCTTTCATTTTTACAGTGGCCGGCGTGCCCATGCTGAACGTGCGTGTCACGAGAGCAGAGCCCCCGGGGCCCTTCTGAACGGATGAGCGCATCAAAGGCTAACCACGACTTGCCTTTTTGTCAGGTCTTCTTGTCTGGATCGCTTACCGTTGCTCTCCCTACGATTGGAGCAGACCTCAAGTTCAGCGAGGTTCGTGACACATTCTGCTTCACCTAGCCGCTCATGTAGTCTCACACTTGGTTCTTTTCATACACGTTTTGCAGGCAGATCTGCAATGGCCCATGAACGTTTATGCGTACGTTGTTCTTCTACCGTGTTTCTTTCGCGGAGCCAGCTCACGAGCTCATCTTACCCATAACAGGCTCGCATATGGATGTCTCATGCTCTTGTTTGGTCGGGTCGGTGATATCGTTGGCGGCCGGTTCATGTTCCTCGCTGGGTCTCTTTTCTTCGCTGCCTGGTTCGTGTTTCTTGTTAGCCACGTTTTTCGTGCCAAGTTTTCATCGCAGTCTACTTTAGGACTCTCGTGGCAGCATTTGCGCCAACCCAGAATATTTTCATCATCTCCATGGCTTTCATGGGCATCGGCGCCGCCGCCAACACACCTGCCTCTCTCGGTCTTGCTGCTTTATATTTCCCTCCTGGTCCCAACCGCACGAAGGCCTACAGCGCCCTCGGTGCCGGCCAGCCCTTGGGCTGCACGCTCGGCCTCGTCCTTGGTGGCATATTGACCGGCAGCAAAGCCACCTGGCGCTCGGCGTTCTACATTCAAGCCGGCCTTGCTGTTTTGTTCGCCGTGATTGGCTTCTTCTTGCTCCCCAAGCCTACCACGCGCGGGTACTCCAAGGGCCTTGACTTTGGTGGCGCCATCCTGAGCTCCGCTGGTCTTGCTCTTCTGACATACAGCCTTTCGTATGTCGTCGAATATTCTTATGGGATCTTTGTTTCTGACGTCGTTGTAGTGACTCGACGATGACCCCGCGTGGGTGGTCGGCGCCTCAAGTGCCCAGCATTCTCTCGGTCTCGATATTGGTCCTCGGCTTGTTTGTGTGGTACGAGATGTGGCGCGAACGCAAGGGCATGTCTGTTCTGCTCCCCATGAGCATCTGGACGCGCCCTGGCACCAAGCTTGGCCCGCTCATGCTTTGTGTCTTCTTTGCCTGGTGGAACTTCAACACTTGTTCATACTTTTACACCCTTTAGTATGTTCTTCCCTTTTCTTGTGCTTGCTGCAAATGGCTTATTTGCGTCGTGCAGCTTCCAGCAAGTTAAACTTCTGAGTCCTCTTCAGGCGTCCCTGTGGTATCTGCCTCTCGCCTTGTCTGGCGTTATTCCTGCCGTCCTCGTAGCTTATTTCCTTGGATATTTCTCTGGTTTCTCAATGATGCTTGTCGGCATCCTCTTCAGTACCGTGCGTTCACCTCATGTCGAGCCTTCGCATTCACCGCTCACATTCTTCATAGGCATCTCCTCTGATCTTCGCTCTGATCAAAGTCGACCTCATCTACTGGGCAATGACCTTCCCCATGGTTGTGTGCATCGGTATGTGACCACTTCATAATCCACCTACGATATGAAAGTCTTACGTTACGCCCTGCGATCAGTTGGCGTTGATGCCATCTACCCCATCGGAAATCTGCAGATCACCGCAGAGTTCGACGAAGACTCGCAGTCGCTCGCAGGCGGTATCTTCAACGTCACCACCCGTGTAAGCGCACCCACGGCCGTCGCCCATCATCACGTACTGTACTCGACGCTGATCATATCCGCCGCTGCAGATCGCCACATCTCTTGGCCTCGCCGTCACATCAAGCATCGCCGCAAACGTGTCGCAGAAGTACAACCACGCGCACGCCGACCTCAGCTCGACTTCGCCCGAGGTGCTCATGGTCGGCTTCCGCGCGGCCGGGTGGACGTGCTTCGCTACATCCGTTATCTCCCTGATCGTCGCCGTCTTCTGGCTGCGTGATATCGGGAATGTGAAAACCGACTCCACTGGCGCGCCCGAGGAGGGCACCGATTCGGACACTGCGACGCAGGTCAATGTCTCTGTGGAGCCGAAGGAGAAAGACGTAGAGTCAGGTCCATCAGAGAATGAGGGGGGCTTGACCGCCAAGGTGATCACGCCCGCGCCGTCGACGCTATTCACGGCTACGTCGCGCACGCAGTCGATACACAGCTCTTCTTCGTGTGCGGTCTCCGTCCGCGAGGAGCAGGTGTAAGCGGGGTGAGCAGATCACTGATACAGGAACTGGATGGTCTTGAAACTCAGCGCTTACTCTCATCTTGGCACCGCGATGCATATATCTCCGGCGACCGCAGGACATACACGGGCAGTGCAGCGCGTCGCGGTTTGGAGGCGGGGACACTGTATTTATATCATTGCATTGCATATTCACTAGAACATACCTCTCTCCTCGGTACGATTTGTAGATCGCTCATCTTAATTTATTGTTATCCATCGTGTTTCCATAGATCTTCTTGAGCTCCGGCGCCTGTAGGAAAAACGAGATAAGATTAGATAAAGAGGGTCACATGACACAGTTAGCCGCCCGACGCGTACACAGCGCCAAACAGCTCTTCCCAGTCGCGCGTTCGCGATATGTCCCACAACCGCACCCCATCCCTCTCATGAAGGTGAAGATCAAACACTGGAGCGCCGTCGCCCAGTGGCGCTGGCAAACGGGCAACGAAGCCGCAGACGACGACGAAGAGGAGGACGTGTGCGGCATATGCCGCGTGGCCTACGACGGGTGCTGCCCGGCGTGCAAGGTGCCCGGGGACGACTGTCCGCTCAGTGCGTTATCCTCCCACCTCTTACTTTGCTTATGAAAACGGGACTCTGACGCCCTGATCTGACCCTTCGCTATGCTCCGCGACGCGATGCGCAGTCTGGGGCAAGTGCACACACGTCTTCCACATGCACTGTCTGCTCAAGTGGATCGGCACGGCCTCGTCGAAGCAGCAGTGTCCCATGGACCGCCGCGAGTGGGGTGCGTATTCTCCCTCCTCCTGGTACGATATGCTGACGTCGGGCTCCTACCATCCAGTGACCGCCGAGGGCAGGACAGACGCCAACGGCGCCGCGCCCACGAACGAGAACCACGATAACAGTGTTTCCTCATCCCAGTAGCCCCCGGGACGAACTTCTCATTAGAACCCCCCCCATGTTCATGTTCCCGTGTATCCCTATCGTACCCTTACTGTATCATCCACCCACGCTCGCGCTCGCATCATCTCAATCACGAAGCCTCCATCCAACACCTGGACCCCTGCACCTCGTTCGCAGCCGCCGCCACCACCTCGCCACACTACACGTCCAAAAGGTTAGAAATCACGAATATATACTACTATACAGCATGGACATAAAGAACCATCATCGTACGACCCACAACTAGTCAATCTAGAATCGATCGCGACCAGGCTCTAATACTTTTATGTGTGTGAGAAGAGCGACTCCTCTCTGAGAAAAGAGAGAAACACAAGACAATGCAAGACCAAACCCGGGCCCGCGTACAGTACAGCCTCTCCTCTCTGGCATAGCAATGGCAACAAGGCGCCATGGCGAGAGCATGAGGAAAGGAAAGAGGATGGATGAGAAGAGAGGGGAGGGAAGGAAGGAAGAAAAAGATGAGGAGAATATAGGGTTGTGACATGGAGTTCGGCGATAAGAAGCGCCTTCCGCAGATGCCGGCTCTAACGTACAACGTGCGTACAAAAGCTATAGTCAACAGGCCAGGTGTCCATCTTGGAGTATACGAGAAGAGGATAGCGCGAAGCGATCTTATAAAATCAGTCAGTCAGACCGTGGACCGTGCAGGGAGGGAGGGAGGGCATAAATAAGCAAGCGACGGCGGCGGGGTACTCGGAGGAGGGCGGTAAATCGTAAACCGTAAGACGTAAAAGACGTAAAACGTTGAACAGGGAACTAGTGGTACATCGTACACAGCGGGGGCGGCAGCAACAACATCAATAACAGAAAAGGAAGAGAGAAGAGAAGAGGGGGATATTGCAGTCTAGGTCAGCGCGAGAATCGCGGCATGTTGATTGCGTTGAGCGAGCGAACAAACGACGAAGATTTGGTTTAATGCGCGTAATCTAGATTGTGAGTGGGCTGAGTTGGTGTATTCGATGCGGCATGCGTAGTCGTGAGGCGGTCGGACTGATGAGGCAAGGGAGAGCTTGAAGAGGAAATGGAGAACAGGATGCCGACGGTTTCGTAGCGAACATCTTTTCGATTAGGACAAATTTTAGGGATGCTCGCTCAAGGCGATAGGGGTTCATTGGTCGAACCCGCCAGGGCCTTGAAGGGAGGCCATCCAGATTCGGGTTTTGTAGAGGCTATATAGAAAACGAGTCAGGCACTACCGAGAGCGACCGACATCGCGGGACGCTACTCACCGGAAGAGCTCGCGCACGAGTTCTCTGAAGTCGATGCGCTTCTCCGCGATAAAGTAGAACGTCAGCTTGCGGCGGTCCCACTGGTACTCGGCGTCGATGACCTCCATCGGCAGCTTCTTCTGGCGCACCTTGCTCTGGCAGAGCTGCAGCGCCTTCATCTCGTCCTGCATCTTGGTCATGAGCATCCTACACGAAGCCGCGGTTAGTCTTGACCGATGAAGCAAAGAACAAAAGGGAGAGACGACGCACTGCGTTTCCTGCGGCCCCGCCTTGCCATAAATCATCTTCGGATTAATATCCTTTTTCGATCCCGGAGCCCCGCCCCCCTGCTGCCCCTGGCCCCCACCAGGACTCATCGGCACCCCATCACCCCCGCCTCCGCCACCCATAGCCGCGAACCCCGCGCGCTCGCGCTGCTCCCGCTGGAACGCCTCGACCTCCTTGAGCGTGATCGAGTCATTCACGACCTTGCCGAGGTCCTTCCCGCGGTCCGCCTCGACGATCACGAGGTCGCCGACGCGGATGTCGACGCTCAGGTCCGTCAGGTAGAACAGGTCCGTGCGCCCCGCTTTGAACTCGACGATGTACAGCGGCCACGAGGCGGGCACGCTCGAGAGCGGCACGCCTTTGCCGAGCTCGTTGAGCAGTCCGCCTGCGGGGCCCTGCGCGTCCGAGGGGCGGCGCTGGAGTTGGGGTGATACCTGTTGCTGTTGCTGGTAGTAGGGACCCTGCTGTGGCTGAATAGCGCGCGCGGACGTAGGCGAGAGTGGACCAGACGAGGTCGTGCGGTGGAAAGACGGCGACGTGCCAGGCGCGGGAGCGTATTGAATCCCTTGCCCCGGGATGAACCGTGCCGTGAGCTGCTGCTGCTGTTGATGCTGCGCCTGCTGCGGGCTGAAGTACTGGTCCCCTAACGGCGTGTGCTGCTCAAACCCGTCCCCACCACCCGACACCGCCGAGACGGCAGACAACCCGCCGCCCTCGCTCGGCGACCCGAAGCGCCCGCGGCCCGCGCCCGAGAACGAGCCGGGGATCGTCACGTTGAGCGACTGGTACGGCGACACGCGGTCGTTGCTCGGCGGGCTGCGTGACAGCGGCGCGAAGATGGGCAGCGACGACGGCTGGCTCGGCGGCTGTCCGCCCGGCCCCGTGTTGCCGGAGCTCGGCCCGCCGCCGGTGAGCCCGAGCATGTTGAGGTCGGCAGCGAGATCGTCATCCGAGAGCTTGAGCCCGCCGCGGCCAAACGACTGCGTCTGGAACATGTTCGGGCGGCCCGCGCCGGGGCCCAGGTCTGCGTCGAGGTCCGCGAACACGCCGCCGCCGCCGTTGTTGCCTGCCGCGCCCGCTGAGTTGAACCCGTGCACGGTCGGGCGCCGCGGCTGGACGACGGAGACAGAGTGGCGGCGGCTGGTGGTGCCGCTGCCGGTACCGCTCTCGTCTTTTGGCGGGTGCATACCCGGCCAGAGTTCGCGGAATGCGGCGCCGTCGTCGAGCAGGATCTGGCCGACGTCGCGCACGAACGGGGACATGTTCGAGGCGTCGATCGTGCCGCGCGCGCCGGGCGTGCCGTTTGCGCCCCCGTCGAGGTCGTGCAGCGGCGATCGGCCCATTGTGCCCAGTGATCCGTACCGGCTGTTCGGGGGGCGGATGTCGCCGTAGCGCGAGCCGTTGCCGGGGATGTTGAGCGGGTTGCTCGAGAGCGAGGAGGACTCGGGCCAGAGCGGGGAATGGTTGTACGGGCTCCCGATGAGGCCTGGCCCCGGGCGCGGCGCGGTTGCGGTCGCAAGCGACTGGGAGCGGCTCCGGGTCACGTCCTGGTACTGCCGGCCGCGGGAAATGGGTGAGATGTAGCGCTCGTTGTATATGTCGTCACCCTCGTCTTCGTCGTCTTCCTCGAATGTCGACGCGAACTGGGACTCGCGCATGGCGGAAGAGAAGCTAGAGCGGGGGTTGGAGAAGGAGGAGCTGCGCGTTGGAATCGAGACGGGCAGGCCGCCTGGGCGGGACTGGGGGTTGAGGGTGGACTGCATGCGTGATGTGGGCCAGGGGACGTTGGTGGATCTGCCGAAGCTGGATGGATTCGTGAACTGTGAGGACGGGGAGGGAGGGGGAAGTGCGTCTGCTGTGCGGGGTGGCTGGCTGGCTGCACGCTCTTTGAGGAAGTGAGGTCGTTGATCAGATGAGGAGAGGGTGCGGAATCTGCTGGGGCGTGCTGCTGGGGCGTCTGGGTCGTCTACCGGCGACAACTGCGAATAGTCTAAGTAATCCATCTAGTCTAGAGTCTAGGAGCGATGCGAGGTCTAGGGGATGCGGAGAGATGGGCTGAAAACGTACGTCGGATGGGTTGAACGGCACCGTCGTGTGATCAGGTACAGATATATGAATGAGCTTCCGCGCGTAACGGGTCTAGTTGTCCCTTCAAAATCCTCTGCAGACTGTCACCGTCTGTTGCAGCCCATCAGCAAACCCTTGGGCCATTCGTCATCATCAGCATGGACAAGCGAGACATACGTTTCTCGGATCTGACTGTGTTCCGGTTCCGATCTGTCTGTCTCGTCCTCCACTCGTGTGAAAACGTGGGATTTAGCGTCTATGCGTCGGTGCCGGTCTATGTGTCGTGAAGGTGCAAGTCTAGGAAGGAAGTGAGGGAAATAAGAGAGAAAGTGAAAGAGGAGGGGGGTAGGAAAAGACGATGTACAGCCCCGCGTTGGGGCCTATTCTAACGGGGCCTTTTCGTAATCCCTGGACGCTGCACGCAACCCAAGAGACTGGCCAATTTCACCACCCTGCGGTCAGCTGAACACACTGAGCCCGTCACATGCACCATCCGTCCCACCACACCAGTCTAGCTGCGATCCGACCCGCTTCTATTCGTCCAGCGCTCCTCACATGGCTTGGCTCGCTGCAAAAAATTGACCTCTCTCTTCATCTCAGCCAATGTACGATTTCCATACTTACCAAAGCTGCATCTTGGCTGCATGCCTTGCTTTTTTGCCGCCCAGACTCCTATGTGTCTTAGCCCCAGCGCCTAATGATCGTAATCTCGGCCGGCAAAATTACTTCCGGCGCAGTTCTGATCCATTCACTCAGCCACCTTCTTCCAACCTTCGGTTTTCCCATCCCCGACCTCTGTTAAATAGCCTCCGCCTCGTCATCCTACGTATGCCCGGTGCCGGAGCCTGGCAGCATCCTGCAGCATCGCCCTCTGGGGAACGAGAGGCCACTGACAGGACCTCTGGACTTTCAAAGTTCACTTCGTGATTGGATCTAACGCCATGCATACCTGTCACAATATAAGCCCTTCAGATTTTGGCAATCTGAATACTGGGAAGTCGTCATCGAGCTCGCTGCCCACGCTCAAGATGCACTTAGTCCAGCGCTACTGTCATCTCGAGGTCTAACACACTGCATCTCTTATATGCATGATGAACTGATGCACGGAGCTGAACCTAGAGACCCATAGCATGCCAGTCATCGGATCCCCGCCAACCCATCAACTCCGCCGTGACAATGCACCCTTAAGTAGGTATGTCCCCAGTGTGTCGTCACGATGATCATCCAGTGCACGATCCCAATCGTCTAAACGACTCCGATGTCACTTGTCCTCCGTTCCGTTACTGCAAGCCCTCCGACGACATGTGGCTGTGCTGGCCTGATCTCCCGGTCCCTAAACCCGTGCTCTCTATCCGACCGCGACGACGGCTGATCATCAAGGCGCACCTACTCGAGTATTCCGAGACCATATCTGCAGATGTACCCGGTGCTTGAGGATGCTGGATGTCGCTGATCGGTCCATGTCGAATCGAACGCCGACTAATTGTGCCAGTGCTCCACCTCCATCACCCACTTATAGCTCGAGAAGCTGCAAGATTCTCAAGCAGTTGGCAATGAATGATCGACGCCGCCAGTGGCCACGCTGTTCCTCGTTATCTAGGCAAAGGATGTTTGGTTACTTATAGAAGCACCGCCCGTCGCTGTTATCCGACCATATATCTATCGGCGCATGCTGCCATCATCGCTAGTGTTCGCCTTCTTCACTTTCCCCCCCATCTCTATACCCTTAGGACAGCGCGGCGTCGTTCTATCAGCATGCAGGCGTCGGACTGGCAAGTAGACGCGTTTCGAAGTTATCAAACCTATAACGTAAGTATAGGTAACTTGATCACGCTATTTGTTTGCTAAGCCTCATCCTAGTATGTGAACGGTATGTGACGACTGAACACTGTATCAAGAAGCCATGTTCATTAATCATCTCTCGTCTTCTGACAGCGGCTGTCACGACATTCTGGGTGCATTATGTGTCTATCTATCTGAAAATACGGCACTCATCTACACGACCCAGATATATGACTACATCATAACGCTCGATGACGAAGTGCGTGTCTTCTCCCTGTGCCCTCTTTTCTTCCTTCTCTGCTCACGCTTTGCCCAGTTTGTGTTCCTCAGGAATGCGAGATTGCGTAAGACCAAGGTGATCTATGTTCTGACGCGGCTACTTCCCTTCGCCTCCCGCGCGGTGACATTTCAGTGTATGTGCGCGGCTTGTGGGAACGTTGCATCATCTGAATCTTTCTTGCAGATACTCTGTCTTCGAATCCTGCCCCTGAGGTGAACACTTCTCGCGTTATGCTGTTTTGCAACGGCTCAACTGGAGACAGACTTGTACGACCCTGATGAACACGTTTTCTGGTACATCTCTTCTCGAGTTCCGAAGACACGGCTAACTCACATTCACATCGCAGCCCTGGAAACTTTAGTGGTTTTGTTTGCTGAAGGTGCGACGTGTATTGGCTCGCACGATCGCTCTCATGACCGCCTTTCCAGTTCTCTTTGCTCTCCGGACGTACGCCCTGTGGCGACGAAACAGAGTCGTACTTGCTCTACTATACGGTGGATTTATCGTACGTCCCGGGAGTGTCCCTTATGGTCTAGATCAGAGGCTCGAATGCCAAACGTTCTCCACAGGTAGCGACAGTCGGAGGCATCGCTTCGTCTTTCTTGCCCATTGGCCCACCGATGACCGGTATGCGTTCGACAGCTGACTCAAGATTTATCTTCCTTGACGATGCATTGGATGTCCTTGCTAGTGCTCAATCTTCCGCGCTCGAGCGTCACCGGCTGTTTCGTCGTAACTCCGGGTGCATCCCTAGCCGTCACCTTTGCTTTCTTAATTGCACTCGAGCTAGGTGCGTATACATACTCAATCTCAGGAAGGAATGACAGTCTCAAGGAGTATAAATTAGAACTCGTGACTCTAAACGTCACGCGGGCGGTCTTCTCGCGGCGAGAAACGAGAGGCCGCCTGCTCGAGACTCTTGTGCGACATAACATCTTCTACTACGCTTGTGGCTTGGGTGAGTCTCTGCCTACAGAAACTTTCTGGAGAAGCAAGCTGAGACTCTTCTCCGTTCAGTATTCTCAGTTGCAAACGTTTTGATGGCAGTATCGACGAATGTGCGTGATCTCTCGATTTGAACCCGACTCATGATTGATTTCCTGACCACGGTCACTGGACCTTCAGTACGGAGGCGTTTTCATGCTAGACGAGTACGTTGCGCATCTTCTGTAACAATCTCCTGGTGTCTCACTGCCTGTCGTTGAAGTTTGCAGGTGTACATCCACGCCATTATGGCGACACGCATGCACCGCATGCTGTGGATTGACAGCGAACACGAGAGGTTCGAGGACTCTCAGACGACCATAGCGCACCCGGAATAATCACAGGCTCTCGATTCTCATAATTGCATCCAGCCAATATTGTGTCTTCGAAGCTCGAAGTTATACAACAGGACCTTGGCTGGCCTATATGGTCCCTAGAGAGCATTGATTCATGAAAATACAGATGGCAAGTGGGCGTATTCGTCGAAGTTGCAGTTTCCAGTGCTGCCCATCTCCATAAACACATGTTTCTCGGGCATCTTGTCATCAGTGGGCCGGGGCCCCAAATAGCTACGAACCTTAATGAATCCCTTGGGCACGCTCAGTAGCAGATGAATTCAATATCTCTGCTATCTGCTTATGTTACACAGTGAAGTACTGACTTGTGGTGACGGGCGGACGCGGACTAGAGTGTTTGATCATATATTCGGCTTGCAAGAAGGGTGTGCAGCGCCATCTACTTGGTCAACCGCAGACTCATGTGCGCTTGATTCTTCCTATTTTTGAGGTATTGCATGCTATCCTGTGGATTCTACGCCCGCATTATGGACCTCTTGTGAGAGGCCTGTGGCCTGCTTACTATAGGTAGTCTTCATCGCAACGGCATTCATCACCAGACGCTGGATCGCTAAACGAAAATGAAGCTTTACAGGTTCTACATTATATGGAACTCTAACCGCCACATTGTCCTCCTCCCGGCAGGTACATATGTAGCCACTTTGGATGAGGGGCTTACTCGATATTAACTAATCGTCGTAACATCGAACTTATGCCCATAAGTGATCGGCTCGCTCTTAATCGCACAACTCTCTGATCCAACATTCACGATTTACGAAGGCTTTGCCAACTACCCGTTGCCTACAGCTTACGCCTGCTATAGCGGGCCGGCTGATGTACATGCAGTGGCTCGTCAGATCTTCCGCGGCCTCGCAGGGTGTATCTACCCCTTACGTTTCTGTCAGCACCATGCTCATCGAAAGCGCCGCAGCGCTGTACACAGTCAACGCTATAATAGTCATCGTGGCCTTTTGTCTGAACAGTCCGGTACAGAATTCGGTACAGAATTTGGAATTGAACCTACTGAGCCAGATCCAAGTGGGTCCGCCCCTTGTTGGATTACGGAGAATGAGGCACTGAAATCAGAATGGCCCAGTCCGTTGCTCAACTTTTGATCATATACCGTGTACTGAAGGGCCAGGCGCGGTCGTCTGAGACACCAAGGACCTTCGAGCTGTCAGGCTCCATCGCCTTCCGTAACGGCATCCAGTCAGCCCACGGGTCCGCAACAGACGATTTGACGCATTCAGAATCGAAGCTAGAGCAGGGTGGTTCTGCAGAACTATCGACGACGCGATATAACCCCGATAATCTTGCTGTTGTCGCATGATGCCCGGGCTAGCGCTCATCAGAGAAAGCTGGCCAGATCAGTCGTCAATTCCCTGCGACTGTACTTACATGTTTAACATTGTTTCCCAGAGATAGCACATTGAAAACAAGAAGTGAATAATGCGGATTGCAATATGGCATTATAGCGGTTCATGATGCAGCAAGAAGGGGGAGTGTTGTAAGCTAGAAGCGCGACCTTGAAAACCCCTGACGAAAACACACCAACAGGTGTTTACGGAAGTTGATATAGATATCAAACACGACGTAATCTTCTCCGGTTTGATCACTGATTTCGACAGTGATAAGGTAGGGGATTGTGCAAGGGCTCGTATAGATTGTTGAGCTGAATACCGACGTCAAATCGCCGACGCGTGAAGGATGGGTCGATGGGGATTCGGGAGCAAAGAGTATTGATCCGTTTCGCTCGGAGTTTAGGGGCGGTTTTCTCTGTAGGTGCACACTTGTCACATCCTTTCAGCTGCTTCGTCCTCCACCACGTCTCTCAGAGGTTCCGCTCGACATCCTACTCCCGGTTCCGGGGATGGCAATATCTTCTTCTGGAAACGATAGCTCATTGACGGATGCTGTCTTCGTGACCAGATATAACGCAATTCATCCCTGCAAGTGACTCTGGGACAGAAGGGTAAACCGTCCGACGCGTCCGACGCTCCAGCATTCACTCTCAGGCTGACCAGGAAGATCGTCAACGGACCAAGGCGTACCCTTTCCAATCATACAATTGAATCTTATACAATGCTAAGTTTCGTCAACATGGAACAATAACCCTATTTCGCCTTTCCCTTGTTCTTCAGCTTGAAAACAGGGCGACCACTGAACCTCATTCAGTTTGGGCATGCGAAGCAGCGGTTATTCTCAGTGATGATGATCCTGTAACGTATTTAGGTGACAGACGATTTCAGTCGTGCACCAGCGGTATGCCCATGTACTACCCCAAGCAGGCATGTCTATTGCCGTCTCCGATGTTGCTCCCCGACTTCCTCAAGCTCGCTGTCAGAGGTCGCTTAATATCTCAGGGAAGCACACGGAATGAGAGTCAATCTGTCAAATGCTATTTCTAACTGATCACCGCGTACGGTGCAAGCTTCTTCGCGCTAAGGCATTCCATCTCTCGTCTATCTTAAGCACAGGGGGCTCGACGATTCTCGAGCATCACAGTGCCATTGTCCAAAATGCGCCGCCCACCGCCTGCGAGTCGATAAGGGCTATACTCTTACGACACAGATACTGCTCGTTTATAAACCCACGCTGGTTACTACCCAGCTGTCTGGGCGCTCTGCTTCTTTCCCCATTTTCCTGAACCGCTGACACAGTGCATACCATCGTTTTGTCATGCAAGACTGGGACGAGGACGCTATTCTCCGAAGCTACCAGACCCGTAATGTAAGTTCGTGGATTCCTCTCACCATCCTTTCACCTTGCATGTTTGCGCTGAGATATATTCTCATTGTGGTAGTACATCGGTGGTTCGTATAAGCTTATTATCACTGCAAACGATGCTAACATCGGGGTTGTAGTGGCTATAACGATGTTCTGGGTAGGGTGTGCTCCCCTATACTGGCTGTGGATGGCCTAGCTAAACTCCTATGCGCGCAGCTCTACGACTACCTTATCGAAATCAATGCTGAGGTATGGGCTCTTATTTTCTGTCTCCTCTGTAGGCCCTTCTCACGCCTCTGGCCAGTGGATATTCATGAGATATGCAAAATTACGAAAGACCAAAGTGATATACCTCTTGACGCGACTCCTTCCCTTCGCCGCCCACGGTGCAAGGCTCACATGTGAGTGCCCTAGGCTGCTCCCCAATTTCATGCGAAGTCATGAAGTGTTTCTCGTCAGATGACCTATCTGCGTCCCCCGCCTCTACGGTGAGTCCTGTTTTATGAAATCCCGAGCCGCAGTTGACCGCATTAAAGACATGCCATAGACTGTCTAGTGCGATGAATGGTACGCCTCTTCGCCGCTGAACGCATAAAATGTTGTCAACTCACAGTATTTAGCTTTCGCTATCCTGATTGTGATTCTCGCCGAAGGTAATTCCCCGATGCGGTTTGTGAAATTCGCACTCATGCCTTCTAGTCCTCTTCTCTCTGAGAACATACGCCCTGTGGAGACGAAGTCGGACTGTCCTCATCCTTCTGATAGGTTCATTCGCGGTAAAAACTTATTGTTTTCCAACAGTGTGCCAGATATTTGACAAACTCTATGGCCTCACAGGCGGCTATCGCCGGCGGTATTGCGGTCTGGTACATCCCAGCTGGCACAACGGACTCAGCTACGGGTAAGAACTTGGTTCAGACTCAAGTGGCGCGGTCCCAAAAAAGAAAGAGTTGACGAGAATGATGAACACGCTCCCAGAAACTGACGTTTTTCTTCCTCCTACCTCGAGCGTCACCGGATGCGCCAGCGTATCACCAGGGATATCTGCGGCACTGAGCTACTCGTTTCTGCTTGTAGTCGAAATAGGTATGTACAATTATGCGCACGTTATTGTCCAGGCACTGAAACACTCGTGTGGTCATTTTGCAGAGCTGATCATTTTGAACGTCATGAAGGGTGTCCGTGTGAGACGGGAGACAAGAGCTCGCTTCGTCGAGATTCTGATCGGACATAATGTTTTATACTACGTGTGTGGGACGGGTAAGTGTTTCAAAAAAAAGCTCGCAGACGCCCTCTGAGCCTTTAAATTTGATCCCTTATAGTATTCACGGTTATCAACGTTACCATGGGTATCCTGGGAGGCGTAGGCAATTTTAGTGACCTGCGAAAACAATGCACTAACACAGACCCTGTTTTGCCGCCATTTAGTATGGGGACGTTACAATATATCAAGAGTGAGTCTTCATTTCATATATAGCCAGAGAATTGGTGCCTTATCACCCGGATATAAAGTTTGCAAATCTATATTCACGCGGTCCTGTCTACTCGCATGCACCGAATGTTGTGGTTGGACAGCGCACAAGAGTCCAGCGAGCTAGACACCACAGTTGTCACGGCAGACCCAGAGTGAGTTACCTAGTCATGAGCGTACCTAATGCAGCGCGAGATTTTATATAGCTTCATTGTAATTATTCCAAGATTACCCCCGCGTTTAGACCATCGACAAAGGAGACGGTGACACCGTGAGCTTCTGAAAGTATTTGAGGATTGATTCTCGGTGCATGCCACAGACGCCCCTGACGGACCAGAAGGACACGGTCAAGATTTTATTGTGATGAAGGTCAGATTTGTCCATGTGGGCGCAACGTGGACTTCGCATGCGGTACTTTATTTCGGAAATTGGCACTTTACTATCATTAGCCTGCAAATAACCTTCTAACCTGCGCTCACTGTCTCGTAGCACTCAGCACTCGCCATGCATCGAGCACTCACCCTACCCCAGATTCTTCTCATATAAGTGCTAGCTCAGCCCACAGTGTGACCAAATTTGCACCTATTACTTCCCGCTTCTTTACGATGGTCAAGAGTAATATATGCACATGGTTACAAAACATCAGCACCACGACTCTACGGCTATCCTGGTATAGGCGCCGGATGCGATTGCGTTCAGCGCGCGATTCTGCACTAGTCGTCACAAGCTTGCACTTGAAATGTCGATAGCTGCTGTGAGCCGAGGCTCTGGTTGATCTCAAGACCGTTGGCACGCCGTAAGTGCATGAAAATCCGCGTTGACAGAACGCTTTGAATAGCGAGCTGCACACTGACATCGATGTTCGTCAAAATGCGACCCCTCAAAAACTTTAGAATGTTTTACCTGTTACCATACTCGTTGAAGTATTGCTGTCAAAGCCGATCAGTGTATGAATTACTGACAATGGTGATACACTACACACTGGGGCTGCAACAACGTCAAGAATATTTTCGAGAGTTATCGCTTAAAAAAGTTGAGTTTGGGTCTGCGATGTAGAAGGGTGTAAGAAAAACGTACAGATCATGATGGTCAGGTAGAGAAAAGAGTCTCGGTATAAGGTCGAGATGAACTGGGAATTGCTTGAACGAAAATAACGAAGCCATCGGTACAAGATAAGAGCCATCAATACTAAAAAGGTTAGGCACTTTTCGAATTGAAACAACGTCTGAAAGTGCACCTAGCTCGTACATAACAAGGAAGCCGTATTGGACTGAATCCAGCTTGCTTGCTATGGTGAAGTTGCAAGCTGATGGCCCTTCATCCGATTAAACTCAGCTTGGACCATATATAACATAGTAGTTCTCGAGATTACGTACATACGTCCACCCCTCCCGTATTGCTGGGGTTCAGTTTGATCAGGTCCGGTGTCAAGTAAGCTGCTGCAATAAAGACCTTTGACAGATTATTTTTACGCACCGGGGATTAGATTCAGGAAAAGAGAGCTTACAATCGCCATCACAATCAGCAGGACGAGCAAAGGCTTGTGGCAGTTCCAGAAAACCCATGTGCGTAAGACCAACAGCCCTAGCATTTGGGATGATCTCAGCTTAAGAATTATACCGTTAACAAGAATTTAATGCACCTTCCGCTGATATGATGCTGAGTATATGCAACCCTATTGGTCAAGGCAATGGCACTTTATAAGCTATGCTCTCTGTGTGCGGACACCTTACAACTTGATACATGGCTGAATGGAGTAGACTTCAACAACCATGATTGGTCAGAGTACTGTACACAGCAAGTTAAGATACCCACCGATTCGAGGGCCGCTGCTTTGATTGCAGCTGAATGGGTTAGTGAGTACGACACATCATCTGATTTCACCCAGCAATTGAAGCTCACCACTGACGGTCAGGGCCAATCCCGGGAATGGAAGATACCGCGCCACGGTAAAAACAGCACGCCCAATGTCCCATTTACTTCCCCAAACCCAAGTTACCTAAGAAATGGTGAGGTGATTGTACGTAGTGTCCTAGCCCATAGATTTTACCTCATCTTCCATTGTGATGCAATAATCAAACGCCTTGCAAGAAAGAAAAAATGCATCAGACAAGACTCGTACTCGGACGTCATCGCATCCATCTGGAAGATGTGTGTGTACGCACTAGAATTGCTAGACCAGCCACTATCATGTGGTGATCGTGGTAAGAGACATACCCCTTTAGCAACTTGAGAGCTCACGATTGGCATACTACAGAAGATGTTAGCTACACCGCTCACAACGTCAGTAATTTGAAGTAGGCTGCTAACCGCTTCAGTTTGCTTTCCATAGGAATCGATCAGATAGATACTCATGAAGGATATGTCAGAGCGAGGTTTGGGTAATTTCCATTAATGTCTAGGGTTTAAGAAATGATGGAGTGATGGAGGTGAGGCTCGATAGGCAATCCCTTACCTTTACAGACAACTTTCACTGAAGGTAGCGACGGTTTTCTCTTCGAGAGATTTGGACTAACGATATGGCTGCGCAAGGATGCATCAGCATCAATTCAGCTTTGATGGTAACTCATCTGATCTACTGAAGAAGGTTCCGAACGATAGGTGTGCACCGCGGCAAACAAGCACCCGAAGGGCAATTTTCGCGCCGTTGCTCTTCATGAGGGTCCCCCGTGTAAAGAGAATTGTCGGAAAACCCAAGAGAAGCATCTTGAAGCTTGACGGGGGACCGTGGCATTCAGCGTCTCACCGCAACTAAACAGGGGGTCCAAATCGCCAAAATGCCGTTAAGATGACGTCAAGACGGTGTGAAGATGCCAGTGGAAATGCGGCAATAGCGACGCGAGTACTAACGTGATTGGCTTCTCGTCGTTTCCGATGCATCCAAAACGTGGTTGCCATCAAAACGCGAAGTTCCAATGCGTCGTGATGTAAATCCGCTTTTCCGACATGCTGTATGGTCTGTCCTTTATCATTACCTCAACACAATAATTGCACAACTAGGAGAGTGGGCTTACAATTGGGCGTTCATCGTGATAATAATTCAACAGAGTTGACTTGAAGGTGGCTTAATGCATAGCACAAGCTCCCGGGGCTGACTATTCCTGATGTATCAAGATGTCACCGCAATGTCATTCACTATGAACTAATTCACAATCCGGGATGCTGTCCTAATGTGTGTACACTTAGTGCATCCAATATTGTGGTACTGTATGACGTACATGATATGATTATGAGATTTTCAAGAACAATCTTGCAACGTACACTGGCAGTGACTCTACAACAAGAGATACCAAGACTAGCGAGTACTCACCCCATTCCATGCTGAGTGCCACTTCAAACCTGCACTTACCAAAGCACCGACTCTCCAGCTTCTTAGCGCCGGGTGATGTCGTGATTCCGCGACCTCGCAGACGTCGAAGTCCTCCTCCAACAAGATGTCATTCAGGCATAAATCACAGTCTGCAGGTTTACATGCGTACCATCCTATCCACTCGTATGCATCGAACGCTGTGGTTTGACAGCGAGCACGAGTTTGAGGGGTTGGACGACCCAATCGCCAGTGTAGAGTCAGAGTGAACTACGTAGAGCATACTATCACATAGTTTGCAGCCTGTGCAATTCAACTTGAAGTGCACCAAACACGTGCTAACGGGAAACGGAGATTAATCGTCTTTTGTACCTTGTGTCTTTGCCTTGTATTTTTGACCCGGCACACTAGGTGACAGAATGTAAACATACTCCAGTCAACTGCGTCACCTGCGAATCGAAAGACAACAAGTGCTGAGACTCACGCCTATACAGTACATGACGAGACGCTCCCAAAAGACCAGCGTCAATCCGTGCCGGGGCATCCGTATATCGCGGCCGTTGTAAACCCTCGAGTTTACGCATAATGGGGACTATGAGTTAATGTACGTTCTAGTTGAGAAAAGCAGAAGACTCCTGACTCACCGGTGTGCGATTTATCATACCAGCGGAGTGAGTTTGGCTTTGTTTGCTGAGGGCCTTAGATCCAAACAACACCAAGCTGACTTACCATTCTTGGGCCAGCACCCCCTCGTAATAGCTCGTAATCCTACGCGTACCCACCGCACTCGCTCTTTGGCAGAGACAGAGATCGCGATCCTTCTCATCTGAATCCACTTTCTGCACTGTCTGAAGATACGATATGAACTCGGTCGAGTTGAGCGCCGCTCAAGCAGCGAAGTTGGAGCCTTTCCTGTTGATGGCCAAGTCGGCGAGGGGTGCTGGTGCAGCCAAGCTCATCGAGAACGCTACGTCGGCTCCCGGCGTGTTCGTGTTCTCGGAGCTGCTGGATACACCATCGATACAGGATGTACGCCCTCTATCCAGGCTCAGTTTGATGTTACGCTCACTGCGTGCTCATGTGATGCCTACGCGTCCTTGCATGGGTCGTGCTGCGAACCCTTTCCCCGCTGCCCTCAATGCACTGTCCATGCTCATGCCTCTACCATCGTCTTTATGTATCAATAGCTCTCTAACACTCCCCAGCACGCACCTCACTTCGCTCTCCTCGAACTGTTCGCCTACAAGACCTACGCCGACTACGCACGTATGTGTCTCACCCTTCCGTCCCTCGCATGCGTGCTCCTACTGATTCGCTTTCTGTTTCACTGCTCGCTTTTTGGCCTACCTACATGCAGAAAACAAGGAGGCCTTTCCTCCACTAAACCCCGCGCAGCTCACGAAACTTCGCTATCTCTCCATCGTCTCTCTCTCTACGCGACAGCGCGTGAGTCATGCTTGTCGTTTCGTCTCCGTGACATCTCCGCTCACTGTGCCTACAGATCCTCTCTTACTCTACCCTCCTGGCTGCTCTTGATATTGGTTCTGTTCGTGAACTAGAGGATCTCATCATAGACGCCAACTACCTCGACGTTCTCCGTGGCCGTCTCGACCAAAAGCAGTCACAGCTCGAAGTTGAGTACACCATCGGCCGGGATGTTCCGCCTAGCGACGTTCAGCGGCTGCTGGACGATCTGAAGAGCTGGTACGTGTTTGCGTGTGCGTCCCAGCGTGCCACAGGCTGTCCCTTACATCTACTCTCATAGGTCACAAACGACAGCGTCCGTTCTCTCAGCTTTGGACGACAAGCTTGCTTCTCTCACGGCTGAGAGCGCCAGGGCCGCCGAGGAGAAGGGAGCACATGAGGAGGCGTATGCGTCCGCGCTTAAAGAAGCACTCGAACGTTCCCGTAATGAACGGGATCGCGACCGCATGGGACTTGGTAACATCATGGGTGAACGGGGAGGACGGAGAATCGGAGGCATGGCACGGCCCGATGACTCGATGGACGTTGATGACGACATGGCAGGACCCAGAATGAGGAAAAAGTACGTGCTTTTCGTTGATGACTTGCTCCTACAGCTCGCTGATGTGACCACTGCAAGAGCTGGTGATGCGATGAGGACTCGTATGACCAAGCGAAACAGGTTCTGAACGTCGTCACATTGTCAAGCTCATGGTGATGATTCATTATATCGCCCAGCGGGCTTCCGTTGTAACTATAGTAGAATGTGCAACATGCTTGCACTTTTTGTCGTCTCCTGATGACTCCGTCACTTTTACAAGTCCTGATTAACCAATGGAAGAGACACTGAAAACGTTGCGTCCATTTCGTTCATTCCTGGATCTGCGACCTTTTTCAGGTGCAAAATCAAATGAGCGACGAAGGTGGAGTGCAGCATGCTTCCAGGTATGCTAATCATCAAGGTGAGGTCTAACTCAGGTCTCTGGAGTGGATCGGATTAGCCCTCGGTACGCATGGGGTCTTGTCTGGCTTACCGTCTGCGTTGGTATGAGCATTGTTAGGACTAGGACTGGCATCCAGGTAAGACCAGGTGAGTATTCTACTATATATTAGTTTATCCGTTAACTCACCAACGATAAGGATCCAGTAGAAAATGCCTTCAAAAGCGATAGTCAGTCCGGCCCTACTAATGATAGCTTCGTGATACACACCATCGGTGAGTATTGCACGAAACACTCTTGAGAAGGTCAAAATTCCCCAATCTGAGACGGAACAACGATGAGCTCTTCAGTTTGAATGGTGGATATTACAGTGAAAACCACTGACAACTCGTGTATGACTTCAGCAGCAGCAGGATAAGACAAACTGATGACCGGAGCCTAGGTTAGCATTCATGGTATGTAGAAACGCGAATATACACACTTGACTCAGATGCAAGAAGCAAACCCCAACTTGATTTGAGTAAGTCTCCTCGAGTAATTCCGATGCAACCAGCGATGCCCTCAATCTCCACGACTCCAGGATTCCTTAGACAGCGCACTTCATGGTCTCTAAATGAGCAAGTACTCACTCTCAGTGGATTTCGCGAACTGCAGTGTCGTATATATCGCTGTGACGACACAGATGAGGCCTTGGATAAACAGCAAGGCAGCTATGGCTCGTTGCCTCCCCCAGACAGCCCAGGTTCGTATGAATAAGAGGACTACGGACCTCAGCATTCGAGGACATTGTTTACGGGAGGTAACTGCTTACTCTCAGACAAGCAGATCCCAAAAAAGACAATCCCTGAACACCTCATTCAGCCCATGACACGAAACCCATCATATGCCGTCTTGACCTACATATTGTCGATATCACCGGCCTGTAGCAAGCAGACGCCGTCGGCCCGCCTGGAAATACAACTACAGAAGCGAACAAATCATCATTCCCGCTCTGGAGGCCATTTAATAGCTGCACTCACGAAACCATAATTCTAACGCAGCGATGACGAAGTTCTGGTACCTTGTCCAGAGGTATAGAATCTTTATGAGAGACCAACGCGAGTGCCACATGTATAAGACTTCTTGATCGAGGGAAATCAATGTATCGAAGATCTACGAGGGAAAGGTTCAGCGGCCAGTGAGATATACATGGAGAGGACGAAGGAGGCAAAAGGACTACTCACGAGCACTGTTGCAGTCGCGGCTTCAAAATCGCAGAGAAAGTTGGTCGTGAGTAACACTGTGCAATTTCATAGAGCTTCCAAACTTACACGATAGGTACTAGAGTGGGTACAACAATGAGATAAAGTTTAGTTGTCTCGATCACTGCAGTACGCACCTGACAAAGTTGTTTTTGGTACATGATAGCGACAAGGTCTTCGTAAGACAGCGAGGCAGACATGAAGGCCAGCTGAGAGGTAGAAGATTATCGCAAACGGTGCGTGAGCAAGTTCTGTTATATAGTTCCCCGCGCTTATTCCGAGCACTTCTTCCGCGTGTACAGGGCATGGTGTACTGGCAACGTAACTGCAGACATGATTCCTCTGTACATCGGCCATAGCCAACATACCGATAACAATGTGCCGAGTTGAGATGTGGCTACAATTTTCAGGACCGACGTCTGCCGAAGCCGAAGGTTTCGGTCCATGAAGGCGGCGTCCGTAATCTATGAATGTCTGAACCTTAATCTTATAGATTGGTAACGTTCTCATTGGAACTACTGCATCAATGTGGTGCTTCCCGCGAAGCATTGTCGATTGGCCGGGAACGTTCTCGTATTCCTATCGAGGGTAGCAGGCGCATAATGGCGATGGACAATCTCACACCTTCGTTATGTAGAGTACTGGTGGTCCATGTTGGCAATTCTTCGTGCCGTAAAGCACGGCTATGTTCGCAGCTTAAGAGCGGCGTCAAGTGGTGTTTCGAAGACCTTCTCCACCGTAAATGCGCTGGAGAAACAAAGTACGACAGTATCGCCTTCTTGCTCCAAACAACTCCGATCCAATCAGATGCCTCCGACTCGGAAAGGATGGGGCGGTTGATGATACCACCGAGTTATCAGTTCCGAGCAGCCTCGAGTGGCTATATTTCGAAGTCGAGGCAATGCCGGTCCCGCTTCCGGTTCTGTTTGACAAATGGGGTTCCTCTTTGAATATATATGTTCATATAACCGCGAATGGCAACATTCGTCGAAACCCGAATGTTACTCGGCGACTCGTACGTTCAGCGTCGGTGATTGCCCCGAAACAATGAACAAAGTGGCGTCGCAGGCGGTCGATGGCATGCGCCCTCGTGTATTCCCACATCCCTGGTTGGCTTACCCCACAACCAAACCCAATGCATTCGCCGGACCTCCCAGGACTCCGAGTCAGCGCCTGCTGAGTGACACCCAGCGCCCTTTGGAGCTCGAGGTACGCGCACTTTAATCAATAGCTCTCTGAGAGCCGTTATGGGTTGACACGTAGTGAGGAATCTACACACACAGGCTTGTAGTGTCAAGAAGCAGTATTGTAGATTCAGACCGTTCTCATCCATCGACATAACCATCGCGAGCAAATTCCTAGCTCAGTCAAGGATGAGGTTCAGCTATAATGAACACGACGCAGCCAGCTGTCTCTTGTATATCATAACTTCAGGCATTTTAGGTCAGTAGCTGCCAAAACACAGGGATCGCGTGATGGTTACGTCGGCTTCGCTCCTTTCTGGATCTGCTATTTTTCTGAGATGCAAGACCAAATGTGCAACGAATATTGAGTGGAGCATGCTGCCGGGTATGCTTAACATGAGTGTCAAGTCAAGCTCGGGTCTCTGTAGTCACATGCATCAGTTGTGGATCTTATGGAGTATTGCTTCACTTACTGTCTGAGTCGGTATGAGAATGGCCATGACTAAACCTGAGTAGAAAATGAGTTCGCCATCACTTGTCTTTGGTAGATCGTTGTGACTGACAGACCATGAGAATGAAGTAGACGATACCTGTGAAATCACCACATTTAACACTACTATTCAGAAACATGAGCGATGGCGTATGTACCGTCAGTAAGAACTGCGCGAAACAGTTTTGAGAAGCTGTAAATATGTCTATCTAAAGTAAGAATGATGGTTAGTCCTTGACGTTGATGGATAGTTGTGAGCAAAGAGACAATTACAGCTTTTGTACGATTTCAGCAGAAGGAGACCGAGGCAGCCTGATCACAGTGCGACATTAGTAACCATTATTGAGAGAAGGCTGTTATGAGCTTACTTGACTCAGAAGCAAGCAACATTCCCCAGCTTGATTTGAGCAAGTTTCCTCGAGTTTCTCCTAGGCAACCAGTCATACCCTCAACCTCCCAAACTAACCCAGGTTAACGATTGAGAGAAGTTTACTCGAGAAAAAGAAAAATGTATTCACTGTCTGTTGATCTCATGAACTGCAATATTGTATAAACCGCAGATACAATGCAGCACTGGCCCTGAAGCGCCAGAAACGCCGCAACAGCGAGTTTACGTTCCCAGACTGCCCATGTTCGTATGAACAAGATGACTGAAAGAAATCAACCTTACTGAGCTTCGGGCAAAGAGTTATCTTACTTTCGGAAAGACAGATACTGAGCAGGCTAAGCCCTTTTTGTGTAAAATATTAGTTTGTCAGATAGGCGTACATGCTATAAAAGAAGGACGTACATATCGTGGCAGACATTGGCTTGTAACAGGCAGGACCCGACGGTCCACCTGGAAAAGCGACTGCAAATAGTGTATCAGCTCGTTGCCAAAGCAATCCTGTATCCCACTCACGAAACCACAACTCCATAGCGGCAATTGCAAGGTTTTGATATCGTGTCCAGAGGTATAACACCTTGACTGGATGCCATCGTGACTTCCATACATATTTGATCTCCTCGTCAAGGGAGGACAAGGTATCAAAGACCTACGACAAATAAGTCATGATGTTATGAGCCGCTGAGCCACACACATTGAACAGTGATCGCTTACTAGCACGCTCGCCGTAGAAGCTTTTCAAAAGTAAATTGGAGAACGGTCAGCGGGTCAAATAAGCGCGTATAGACAATCGACCTACCAGCTAAGTACTGGCGCCATATTGATGTGAGCTATGAGACAAGGTCTTGTCCCTTACTCAGAGAGCACGCACCTGGTAGAGCTGCTTTTGGCGGACAGCAATGACCAGGGTTTCGTAGGACAAGTGGAGAGACATGATATTGACCTGATAGGAAATAAGGGTGGGGTCATGACCGACGAATGTAAAAAGAGCTATGTATATATCCGCTTCAGTCTGCGCTTCTCCACATGTACGGGGTCTTCTAGGGCGTGGAACGTAACCAGTTGCCGTACGAATGGTTCTTAAGGTTCAGGAATAGCATTATGCCATTAATAGGATGCACGGTTAGGATTCCTCCGTGCTCTCTCGGAGGCGCTTCGAAGCCGTGTTTACTTGACACGTGCGGTAGTCGAGGTGTTGTTTCCGTATGGTGCTTTATCCGGTCTTTGTCACGTCGTAAGTCATGACTTCGTTCCGAGGATACATTTCAAGGGAATGGGTACAGAAACGGAGGTCACTTCCCGAGAAACGTTGTCATCCCACAAAGCGCTCATATGAGTGTGAAATAGAATACCGCAGCATGATCGATCGATCAGAGATAGTATGGGATGAAGCGCTCACTTCCATCAGTCAGACGAAGCTTGTCGCGGTCTTCCGACCGTCAAGCGCTGGCTCCGGGTTGCATTACTACGTGTGTTAACATCGGGTTCGTCGAAATGCTTCTTTCTTGTGAGGGCGCGCGCGGGGGGGTACCAATTGTGGTGGCATTGGCTCGCTCGGGTAGCCCAATGCCGATCCAATGACAGTAGCCTTGAACTTGGGAGTTGACGCCCGTGACTAACATATGTGCTGTGTACGAGCTTCTAAACGTGTGCGACAGAATTAGCCTCAGCGCGCCTTCTGCTACCCGCGAGGATGAGCATTCATCAAGATCCGAAGAATGTTGGAGCTTGTGTAACCTCGTCAGAATTAGTACTAAGTCGTGAAGAAAGGAAGTACGTCACGGGTAGTCGTCGTTGAGACTATATGGGTCTCCAACGTCATGGGTTCTGTCAACTCCACGTCGTCCATAAATAGTACACATATCTCAACGTTCGGACCAGCGCTAATGGCCAACTTGTCACATAAGGCGCATGCATCGCAAACTGTTAGCTATATTATAGAAAGACCGTCCCTTTCCAATGGCAAGGAAAGTATCTCATTCAAATCTAACCTTAATTCCGAGTCCGCTACTTGCCTCAGATGCAAGATCAGGTGTGCGACTAGAGTGCAGTGTAGCATGCCTCCGGGCACGCTCAGCAGGAAGGTCCAGTCAAAGTATGGGTCCTGCGTAGATTGAAACGGATGTTTCAGCCGACCGCTGTTGCATTAACTTAGGTAACTCACCGTTTGCCCCGGTGCTATTATGGTCAGGATGATAGCTGCGTTTGAACTCTGTTAGCCTGCGCTTCTAGAGTGGCTCGTTCAAGATACGGACCAACTATGAGGACGAAATACAGGATGCCTAGCAACTGTGAGACTTTGTTGCCTGCGAAGGAATGAAGAATGGATACCATCTGTGAGGATAGCTCGGAACAGCCGAGATAGACCCAAGATCTCGGGGCCCCTATCTAACAAGGATAGTAGGTTAAGGTTAGACTTTTAGCTCTAGTCCTCAGTCCATGGGTGGCATGCAGCTTACAGGACTTGTATGTTTTCAAGAGAAGCATAAGTAGAAAGGCTGTCAGCATGGTAAGCACAGAGATTTTGTACGGCTGACAAGCTTGGCTTACTCGATTCTTCGAGCAAGACAACGGCCCAAGCCAGCTTCAGATAACGAGCTTGAGTTGTCCCAAGACAACCATCGATGCCTTCCTTATGGAAACCTGTCGCCAACACGTCAGTGGCTCTGTCCGAGGTATTCAGATGGTAGGTATAAGGCTCACTTGTACCTTCTTTGAAGAACCTGTTTGAATAGTAGAGAGCCATCGGAGCTAGGGACATATACTCGAGCGCCAACAAAGCCCCTATTAACCGTCGTCCGCCCCAAACTGACCATATGCGAATCAAGAGAATCACTGGACTCGAGTCAGCACTAGAAGATGGTGAGAGCGAAGAGACTACGGACACTCTGCAGTTGCTATGGCACTGGCGTTGAGGTCTGCGATGTTGTTAGACCCTAACAATCGCATTCATGCATTCATTAGCGCACTCACAAACTGTAGCGCCTAGAGGCCGGTGACACTCTATGGTGTTAGTCTCAGGCTGAAACATCACTAATAACGATGAGCTTCACGCGAAACATTGCCAGATAAATCCTTACAACACCACATTTCCAAGCCTGCCATCACGCAAGTTTCGTATCTCATCCACAGGTATAAGATCTTAACAGACGACCACTGCGATTGCCAGATATACTTAACCTCTTGATCAAGAGACGTCATGACGTCATAGACCTACATAGAACCATCACGTCCATGAGCCACTACTTGAAGTAAGGGCTTCATTGCTCACCAAGAGAGTCGCTCCAGCAGCTATACAGTAGTCAGCAAAGCATTCCGTTAGGTCTCGGAGAAATGATATCGTCCATGAAAGGCGTACCGGTCGTCAACTTAATATCGTGGGGTTAGCTAAACAATCCGAGGAAACAACTCATAGAAGTGATGTGTACACGTACTCGGCTGATAAACTGCTGCTCCAAGGCCAGTGCTAGCCTATCATTGGCCATGCCACCCGACATGGATGGGAAAGAAAGACAGCAAAGCTCGTGCTGCTGAGAGCCTTTATGAAGATCCGTGATGTCGCCAACTTGGGCTTCTTGGACTCGTACCACCACGTACGAGAAGGACTCCTCCCTCTAAGAGGAGTCTGCCGCCCTCGCCCCCCCACAGGCGAGGCGGATGGTCCACTGAGATCGCGGCACACCACCGCGTCCAGGAGCCCTCAGCCTATATAGACCATGGTAGTGCTCGACGTAGGGCGTAGTGAGCGGGTCCACACCACCGCCGCCGAATGTACACACTCTAGCCACCTAACTATTGTACGACACCATGACCGAACCTATAACTACGGTGGACGTTCCCCATCTACCCCGTGGCCCGTGAAAGGACGGCGCCAACACCGGACGAGTAGCCTTGGGACAATCGCTCTCCTCCCCCTAGTGAAAAATTTTCGAGTGAAACGGGCGACGCCCTGTGCCCTGGCCGGATACGGCCCCGAGCTCCGACCCATGCCACGTCGTCGCCCTCCTCCCCTCACCGCCATCACTGTCTACCACCTTCAAAATCTGAGCCCTCATATCCAACCGGATCATGCCCGCAACGCTCCTGCCCACCCTCATTACAAGGATCCGACGCGATAGGCCACTCTCCCATCGATATCGCTGTCATCCCCGAGCCCTGTTGTCTCCACCACACTGCTGGATGGCCAAGCCGCACCCCGGCAGTCCACGACACCTAAAACCTGAAGTCCAACCGATGCCAGACATGTCACTCCTGTGCCATACCACATTGTACGACATTGCCCACCCAATCATGAACCACGAGGGTGACTAGACACCACATGTAGTGAGGAAAGCCAGGTCCGGGCCTGCCGAAGTAAGCCCCAAAACTACCCTCTCCCCGCTGCTATAAAGAAATCACCCTACGCACGATACCTCAAGATGTCGTCCCTCTCAGACGAGGAATTCTTCGCATCCAGCACGCCTCGCCCCCCTTCTGCCCCACGCTCCTCTAAACGAGCCCGAGACCAACGCCGCTCCCCCGAAAAGCCGGGCACCACCGCTTCCCCATCGGCCACCCCGAAGGGCCCCCAAAAGAAGTCCAGGTCTCAGAGTTACGGGCCCGAGTCCCAACCGGTACGCTACACACCATAGGAGGAGGCGCCCCCACCCCTGACGAACCCTTCCCCTCAGGCGTCCGAGACGGAGGACACCCCCACCCCCGCAGCGCGCAGCCCCGCCCTGCCTGACCCCGCGACATCAACCGTCCCACAAGCAACCCCTCTTGCAACACCCCGAGCTGTGCCCGCCTTGCCCCTGTCCGCGAGCCTGCCGACCCCACCTACGACGTACTCTCTCTCTGCTCCGCCGCTACCCCCCGGTTCCCCCCCTGCACCACCTGGCAGCCCATCCCCCCTACCCGTCATGTCCCACCAGCCCACCCAGGCTGCCTCCACTGCCATGCCCCCGCAGACCACCGGGCCGCCTCTCCAACCCCCCTCTGCCCCTGTAGCTCCCGCGACCGTAACATCTCCTGGAGGACTCATTCACCTGGCTCCCCCTGCCGGAGGGTGGCCCCGCGTCGAGCTTGCCTACCCACCTAGGTTCGGGGTCAAGGCTGACCTCTTCGAGCTGTGGGCTCAGAAGACGTGGTTCAAACTCTTTGTCCGCGTGTTCCTCGCCGCCCATGCGGTAAACGCGCAACACACCGTCGCCCGCATCAAGGACACCCTCATGCGGTTCCTGGATGCCCAAGCCTCCGAGATCACGGTTAGCCAGCCGATCCCTGATCCTGACCGACCCCCGATGGGCAACTACCCCCACCCGTGGCATTTCCTTGTCACGACGGCCTCCCCCCAGCACGGCCAGGCCCTAGTGCAGCAGGAGTGTATCAACACTCACGACATCACCCTCCTCCTCGTCCCGTGGACCCCCGAGCCCATGAAGTACGTCGGCACCGTTGGCGACTTCTCACTCACGAGCGGACGGGCCGATTGCGACCTCGCCTGTGAAATCATCAAACACGCGCTCGACCTCAACCACGCGCTCGCGTCCTTCGTCACGCAGCATAGCCTTAGCGGGAGCCCCTTCGCGTACAGCCAGGCCATACACTCCATTCGCGTCGAAGGATGTGACCTCCTCGTATCCGGTGGACGCTCCGAGGCAGTCTGGCACGTATACTGTGAAGACCCCCCCTCCCTGACCCCAGCCCACTACAACCAGTGGGTGTGCATGATCCGCGGGCTCTCCTTCTCGCACGTCGACCACGGAGTTGCGACCTTCAGGAACGGCAGCCGACAACTCAGCTGTGTTGGCTGCAAGGGGTCCAACCATCCCTACGCCCTCTGCCGCTTCCCGCAGATCCCGGGATGGCAGGGCCCTGTCCCCAACAACCAGAACAACACCATCTTCGCAGCAACTGGCATCAACAACGGTAGGGGCCGCGGCGCGAGCCGCGGTCGCGGGGCTGGGCGTGGGCGCGGCAGGGGCCGCGGCAACTAGTCTTATTCCTAAAATCATCATCGCAACGTCGAGTACTCCCCCCCTCTCAATGCAATATATTCCCCTACCTGTAGCACCGGTCTTTTGTGAGGAAACGACGGCTAGTGTCGGCATGACATTAGTGGTGTGAAATCCCTCGTCACCGGGGGCCCAAATATACTGACGTGAAACCCAGAGCCTTGGCGGAAGCGGACAGGAAAGCCCCAGACGTAACGACGCCGCTGCTTACGCAGCGGAACAGCGGTAACATATTCATGTTGGACGAGCCGCGGTCGAGAGACCAAAGCCGACGAGACGCCGCCTTTGTTTGCCCTCACGCGAACCTAGGCCGTGTCCAACCGGCAGTCCCTCCCGCCCGTGTGAGGACACGGGATCGGCTGCTGTCGCCCTGGCCAGAGACAGCAGTCCAGGATTACTGGCTGCGAACTTAACCCCTGCAGAACACCACCCCTTTGAGTTTACTGACGATTTTTTTACAGATCTCGCAATGCGTGCCCGGGATGAGTCCCATGATACGCACAACGCGCCGGGCCAGCACGCTGGTAACCCCGCCGCCCCCCAGGTACGTAGTTCCACACCTTCCTCTTGGGCATTGTCCCCGCGACCACCACCGCCCCCCACACACCGTGAACGCCCACACGCCGTGAGTGAGCCCCGCACCGCCGGAGCACCGCATTCCGCGCCCGCACCCACCGATGGTGCCCGAGAGCAACCGAGCTCCCACACGCGTGCACGTCGCCCAAGAACCCGGCGTCCCAACAGCCACAATAGCGAGACCCCTATGGCACGGGTAGATACTACAGTGGGGTCGCTTAATATACGAGGCCGATACCATGGAGGCCACGACAAATGGCGGGACATAAATAGGATCATGCGAGAGCAACGTATAGGGATATTGTCCATCCAGGAAACTCGCCTGAGTGACGATGAATGCCTATCTCTGAATGAACGATACCACAACACCCTTGACATCGTCAACTCATCAAACCCCGAAGACGAAAACAACGGAGGCATAGCGATTGCCTTCAACAAGACTGTGCTCGACACGTCCACGGTAAAGTACACAACCCTGATTCCGGGCAGAGCCATCCATGCCACCCTCTCCTGGCACGGCAACCGAAAACTGTGTGTAGTGGCCGTATATGCACCAAGTGCCGGCGGCCCGGACAACGAGGAATTCTGGATGCTATTGCGAAACAAGCTAGCTGCACAGGGAAACAACCTACATAAGCCAGATATTCTTCTAGGGGATTTCAACCTTGTAGAGGACGCGCCAGACAGACTGCCGCCTCACAACGACAGGATCGGGTCCGTGATTGCGCTACGCGAGCTCCGGGCAGCACTCAACCTCAAAGACGGATGGCGGGAAACATACCCCGACCAGAACGCATACACCTTCTTCCAAACGCACCGCCAGGGCGGAAGAAAATCCCGCATAGACCGCATCTACATACACTCATCCCTACTCCCCTTTGCAAGAGACTGGGATATAAACTCATCTGGGGTGCACACGGACCACAAGCTTGTTACGGCGAGAATATCGGCCAAGGACCTACCGTACATCGGACGAGGCCGCTGGTCAATGCCTGTGTTCCTGATAGACGACAAACGACTCCAGGCAATGATAGACGTGCTGGGGAAGGCTCTCCAAGGGGACTTAGAAGCCTTAGCAGAATCGGGACGATCGACAGAGGATAACCCACAGCGTGCTTTCAAGCGCTTTAAAGACAAGGTCATAGCCCTTGTGCGTACCGAAGCCAAACAACGTGTGCCTGCCCTGGAACGAAAGGCACGCATACTAAAGGACAAAATTAATGCGACCATGAATGATGGCACATTGGACGAGGAGGAGAAGAGGCTGACCACCTCTGTATTGCAAGATAAGCTGGACGACACCCTGCGCACCCGGTTTCAGAAGGACCGCGATGCCATGGACGCAAGAATGAGACTCGAAAAAGAGAACCCGGGTAGTAAACGCTGGGCACGCCTCGGCCAGAGTAGAAAGCCAAGAGACACAATCTCTGAGCTACGGATCCCCGAGTCCTCGCCTGCGGCCCTCGAGTGGAACACAGAGCGGATGGCAGAAATTGCGAGACAACACCATGATGGCCTCCAACACACCGACATTGCACCCGCTGACTGGCAGCTGGAGGCAATGGAACAGGTCCTGCGACAGGTAGACATCGCCCTCTCACCAGGCGAGACATCAACGATGGGAGCTCCTATCCAGACGGCCGAAATTGAAGCAGCCATTAGAACCCTACCAAATGGTAAATCATCAGGCATCGACGGTGTGCCTTACGAACTATGGAAAATGTTAGCCAAGAAATCACCGCCGCCCGCGAAGTGGGCAGCGATGACCAAACAGGAACGCGAGAAAGCCCCGTTCTGCATCTACAGCACACTCACAATGGTCTTCAATGACATCGAAATACACGGTGTTGACCCCACGACCGGGTTTTCGGAAGGGTGGATATGCCCTCTGTACAAAAAAAACGACCGCTCTGACATAGCAAACTATCGACCCATCACTCTACTCAACACTGACTATAAAATACTCACAAAGATCCTGGCAACCCGCCTCGCTAAGGTGGCACCATCCATCATTCACCTTGACCAGGCCGGCTTTGTCCCCGGACGGAGCATCTCTGCACAAACGCGCTTAACTGCAATGGTCACCGAGTTCGCAAAAATAGAGGACATTGATGGTGCGATCGTAGCCCTCGACCAAGAAAAGGCGTACGACAAAATATCGCACAAATACCTCAGAAAGGCACTGGAGTCGTACGGGTTCCCTGAACACTTCATTAAGCTGGTGGAGTCCCTGTACGCACACGCCGAGACGTGCGTTGCAATAAACGGTGTTTTTAGTAAAAAGTTCTGGGTGACTCGAGGGGTCCGGCAGGGGGATGCGATGTCCTGCCTCCTTTTCAATATAGCAATTGAGCCGCTCGCGAACATTCTCCGAAAATCAGACCTACTGGGCTACAGAACTCCCGAGATGAACTCGAGGGTCATCGTATCCATGTTCGCGGATGACACGACGGTTTTCCTACGAAAGGAGGATGACTTTGTCATACTTCAAATGCTCCTGAAGGTTTGGTGCACTGCATCTGGGGCTAAGTTCAATATCCACAAAACGGAGGTCATACCTATAGGGTCCAAAGAACACCGTGCCGAAGTGGTACGCACCCGCTGCCTTCGTAGAGGCAGTACACCGCTCCCTGAGAATGTGCGGATCGCAGCAGATGGCACTGCTGTCCGCATCCTGGGCGCCTGGCTCGGGAACGACATCGACCAGTGCGCAGTGTGGTCGCCCATCATAGATAGTATCAGGGAACGACTCAACCATTGGGGACGGCTCCACCCCACTATTGAAGGACGCAGCATCCTTCTCCAGTGGTTCGGTTGCGGAAAGACGCAATACCTCACACAGGCTCAAGGTATGCCGAAAGGGGTGGAGGCAGAGCTCTCCCGCATCTTCCAGGACTTCACCTGGGACAATGCTGGTAGGTCCACGATAAACGCGGAGACTCTACGCGCCATTTACCGCCTCGGAGGGAAGAACGTAGCAAGTATTACCCACCGAAATGACGCCATCGAACTCACGTGGCTGCAACGTCTGCTCGCCCCCCGCGGCGTACCCGAAACATGGACCTACTTTGCGAAGAGAATCCTGAACCACTTCCCGAAGGTTAACCCACCAATCCCAGAATCGGCGAGAGTCGACTTCCTCTACCAGAGGTGGGCGCCCTCGACTCGTAAACTGCCTAAACTTTTAGCTAGAATGATAAAGGTGGCACGAAAATACAAGCTCACCGTTGATGATATCCAGCTGAACCTCGCCACCAAGCGCGCCGTCCCCTTGTGGTACCACCTGGCGGATGGCGAGGACAGCCGCAACAAAAATAATACCCCTACGGCGAAATGCCTGCGCACACGCCACGGCCTAATACGAGTAGGGGAGACTGTTGACTGGCTGGGACGTACAGACCCTGGCCACTCCAACTCCTGGCTGTGCTTATGCAGCTCGTGCCTCCATGACAGGAACGCACTTGGCTGCTCAGACCCCGCAAGATGCCGTGAGCACGCCGACTCCCTCCTCAGGGACATCCCCCCCAAATGGAGCCCCTTGGTGGAGACGCACAGACGTCCGGTGCCGCCCCAACGTGTGATCAATTCCATAGGCAACGCCATCGCGGTGCTGGACACCGACACCGACCCTTCCCGCGCTGAACTATACCGAAACGAAGTCAGAATTTTTGCCGAATCAGAACCCCACACAGGACCGGAAGCCACAAACCGTGTATACACAAGCCTAGAGCCAGCCGCGACCGTGATAATCTGCTCGGCCGGGCGCCAAAAACTGGAAGGGGACGGCGACAACATCCGCTCTGGGGCTGCCGTCTTCCTGGACCTTGATCGTCAAGCGGTCAAGTACAGATCCACGAGTAGCCTCCACGCGCCGCTCCTCGGTGAACTTAGTGCCCTGGCAGTAGCACTCACACGCGTCGAACCTGAGAAAGCCGTCCTCCTAATGATTGAGTCGAGGGCGGTACATAGGGCCCTAACAACAGACCTGGATAGGCATGAGAAAACAGGCTGGATAGCCATGATGGATGAGGAGCGCACCATGTTCAAGACAATCCTTGCCGTGGCCAGAGGGAGATCCGGTTACACCCTGGTCCAAGAACAGCGTGCGGTGCAGGCAGAACACCGCTCCCTAGTCGAGCTGACCTTCGACCTGGCAGAGGACATAGAGGACCTCTACGATGATACCCCAGTGGTCGCCTGCCCACCGAGGGGGTTCTCCCTGCTTGGTATCCCCCTCAGAGCAGGGAAGCAAAGCACCTTCTACAAGATAATCCAGGATCAGCACAGACCGAGCCAGCGACGCCGGACCAACACTCAGGTAGCCCGTGTCCGTCACGCGATAACCGAGGTCAACGGAAGTCCCCCAACAACTGAGGACATTTGGCTCTCAACGCGAGACAAAGACTCACCTGCAACCCACAATAACTTCACCTTCAAAAGCCTCCATGATGGATTCCGTCTCGGAGACCACTGGTCCACCATCCCTGGCTACGAAGACAGAGCCAGGTGCAATCTGTGTGAAGGCGAGGTCGAATCCATGGAGCACATCCTACTCGAGTGCCCAGGACGCCTGGCCCCAATCCGTACGGTGTGGGGGCTGGCAAGATCGCTCTGCGAGATGAGAGGTATAATCTGGCCGGAGATGACATATGGCCTCATCCTCGGATGCGGCCTAGTTAAACTCAAGACGCCGAAAGGCCGCCACCTGGCAGGGGCCTCGCGCCTCCTCAGGATAGTGGTGCGAGAATCGGCCCACCTTATCTGGTCACTCAGATGCGAACGGGTGAACAGAATGGCCCAGAACCCACCCCAGGCGCACGATACGGCCGAAGTCCGTAATAGGTGGATTAAACGGCTGAACCACCGCCTCACGATGGACAGGCTCCTCACCTGCAAGTCCCGTTTCGGGACGAAGGCGCTCGACAAGAAGCTGGTGCTGAGGACTTGGAGCGGCACGCTCCTGGAGGAGGATCGCCTCCCCGCTGACTGGACCTACGAGACGAGGGTTTTAGTGGGTATTACCTCCCGTCGCCCTCCGGGGCGACATAGGTGAGCCCCACACTGCCGCGCGTAGCGGCGTGCGTAAATGCATTTCCCTCGGGTGGGCCTTATGGTTATGGTTATGGTTTCTCGTATATGTTTTATGTCCTGCGCAGGCTTGCCTGCACCCCCCAACAGCCGGATAGTGGCGGCGGGCCGTCGCCCGCCTGCCTTTTCTGGCAAACGTTCCAACCAAAAAAAAAAAAAAAAAAAAAAAAAAAACGTAGATGTCGCCAACTTTGTCCCTATAGTAGCGGTAGAACCACTGACACTTAACCTGACCCTGCTCAATGTTACTCCATTTCGAACACAGTAAGGGATGACCCTAGATAACCCAAGCATCTTGCCTGCAAACTTTGAATGGGCTACGGAGGTTATAGCCCAACATGTCACATATTGTATGCATTTCGAGAGCCGGCGGTCGGACACGGCATGACCATGTATGACCCGCAGTAAACCTTGATTGGCAGCCGCTCGCAACCCAAAGGAGTGCGCAATAGAATAAGGCGTATTAGAGCGCCCATTGTGGTCAACTTTGACTAACATCTTCGATGTCAGTATTAGGGAAAGATGATTCCATAAATCATCAGCAATAGGGACAAGTTGGGTCGGATGGTATCGGTTATGAGTTCGCTAGTCCGTCCATCCTCCCAGCTCGACAGCAAAACCGACTGCAAGTTTCGCAAATTCTAGTGCGTGCTATTCAACGCAGTAAGCAAACAGACCGAAGGTAAAAGGCAAAGATGTTTCACCTCGAAGGAGAACTCGTCCAAGTACATCGTGTCATTCACAGTGTGAACCCAAGGATCGAACTCGTCCTTGTCGGGGTCGCCCTCGGCCGCGAACACGGCTGGGAAGCCTGCACGGTGCCATGACATGTGATCCGAACCGGCGTTTGGCCTTTCAAGACATAAGTTGGTACGAGAAGATGCGTGGACTATATGCGCGAAAAGAACTGACCACAGCTTGCCTTCCTTCTGTGAGAGCGAACAATACTCGGGCACGAGAGACAGAGTCCAGTTCGTGAGTGACGGGTGGACGTCGGTCGTCATGAGGGTAACCCCAGGTTCCGAACGGGGATCAACATAGGCGGTCATATCCTAGCATCACAGGTTCAATGAGCATCCTTCTAAGCGAGTCAAAGAAAAGTGGTAAACTTACAAATTGGATCATCGCCCCAACCTTCTTCTCCAGCGCAACATACTCCTTAACAACCTCCTGACTACCCAGCAAACCTCCTTCCTCCGCTGCGTACCAGTGGAACTCGACCGGAGCTGCGGGCGTGAATCCGGCCTCGACGAGCGCGCGGAAGGCGGCGAGAATCGTGACCGTGCCCGAGCCGTCGTCATCCGCGCCCGGAGCCGGGAACATCGGGAACTTGTAGTTGGACGAGTCTTGGTGCGCGCCAAGAATGATGCGCGGGAGGACGTCGCGCGGATGTTTGGGCGAGGGCGAGCTGCGCCCACCGGAGGGCTCAAAGCGAGCGATAATGCTCGATTGGGGGAAGGAGTGAGTAAACGTTTCGATGGAGAGCCGGGTGCTGGGCGGGGCGGAGGCAACAATCTGGGGAGGCGCGTGTGAGGAGTGATATACGGGCTGAAGTCGTGACGATATGAATCCGACAAACCTGGAGGACCTGGTCGAAGATCCAGCGAGAGCTCTTGACACCGTAGTCCGAACGATAGAACCGGTTGTAGAAGGATGTAAGCGTTACGAGGTCCTCACGCATTGTGTCCACGCTGAGCAGCGAGATGACCTTGTTGACTTGGTCTTGTCTTTGGATTTCCGGCCATGCTTGAGCTCAAGTTGAGAGTTGGTGGGATGATAACGGGCAAATGGGACGTACATTTCTCCGCGCGGACGAACGACCGGTCGACCTCAATGTCCTCAAAATCCGTCACATCCATAAACGCCAACCCTGCCTGCTTCAGCTGCAGCTTGTCCCCCTCGGTCATCCACTGCCGCTCCGCACCAAAGACCTCGATCAACCGCGGTTCGTCAAGGATAGCAGCGTACGCTGGATCCGCAACCTGCATTGCCTGGACGGGATCATTGTTGTACGCCGCGAGGAGTTCCGTGTAGTATGCTACGGGATCCGACGAGAAGGCACTTTGTGCGGAAAGAGACGCGACAGATGCCGACGCGAGAACGCCAAGGAGAATGAAGGACTTGAAGAGCGCAGGTAACTTCATGCTTGGTCGAGCCTTTGCGGTACTGCACTGTGAGCGGGGACTCGAGGGACAGTACTTAGATAACCCACTTGTATTTATGTCCGTACGTGCCGGAGAGCGCAGCAGAGCGTGTGTGCCTGCGTCATGAGGTGCATGTGGTCCGTGTTGCTACGAGATACTGCGCTAGGGATTGGTCCGCTGACATTTGTCCAGAACCTTTCATGTTCATGCAAGTACGGATCAAATGTCGAAAACGATAAGGGCGACGAGTCGTGCCGACTGCTGGGCAATGTAGAGGGTGATAATCGATGATTGATGAAGCAAGGCTCGAAGCACCGCAATTATACGCTAAACATCTCCCGATGACGCTTAGCCTTACCGAAGCCTTACCACACCCTTACCACCTCTTACCACCACATTATAAGCCTTTAAGCTTCAAGAGAAATAAACTCGAGCAATACCTATCAAGTTTGGAGGACTTTCGTGTGTCTCTGTAACGTCGATATTTTTATTTTTACGAACGATACCGCAGCGTACTCCCAGACTCGGAGTGCACCCATCAATGCAATGATCAAAAACTATACAGTAATGGTAGGCACATGTCTTGTCGTAGACAATGTTGATATCAAGAAATTTAAAACGTGACTACATAGACAAATAATATCATCTTATTGGGCGTGATGGAGGCGGTCTTAAACGACCTGCACCTTTCATGGCGCGAGGTGCTCAATGAATGGCTGGATCGAGAGCAACGCAACGGTAAACCCGTTGGCAGTCGTGTGATCAAACAAACTCCTCTTGTCTGACGGTCGTCAAGACAAGGTCGCCAGTTGCTGGTATCTCAGGTTCAACCACAGTCTGCAACGCCGAGAGCTGTCGCATGTGCAGGATGAGGTGCGAGGTGGCGACGGAGTGTACCATTGGGCCAGGTCTAGATCATGGAGATGTTTGGTCAGTCAAGCCCATAACAAAGGTGACATGAAGGTAGTTAACACATACACACTAACGAGCAAGGTTAAGTCGAAGTTGTTGTCAGATTGTCCTGCGCATATGATAAGGAGCACAATAGCTAGAAGGACATTGTTAGTGGGAGTGGGAGAACTGTAAGGACCTTTCTGACCAATCAGGAGGACGTAATAGGCGATCCCTAGGTCGCTGTCAGATGTGAGTAATAGAGAGCACAGAAGGCTAGCTCACCGTCCATCAAGATCATTTGAAGGAGCGAAGACAAACTTCGAACATGCCTCCCTGTGTTTGCATGAGTATTGAAGAAACGCGCGTCTCAAGCGTACTCACAAATTGAATATAATTTCCGTAGGGCGAGGAATAGGCAGACTGCGGTGCATCAGGGGCGCATCCATCACCGGAGTAGCGGAACACTCACTGGACTCGGCGCATAGCAGCATGCTCCAGCTTAGTTTGAGCATGGAGCCGGTTGTCAGCATCAAGCACCCTTGGAATCCAGGTAACTCAAACACTGTTTAGAACAAGTAATGTTTCGTGTGTCTTAAAGTGAGTGGAAGTCAGGTGAAATGAAGACCCACGTTGCATTGTATTAAGGAAGTGATGTGTTAGCACTATTGCTGCAGCAAAGCAACCAGCGAACACGACGAGCATAAAAGCTCCCACTGTGAGGCTTCGATTGTACATGGCCCATGTTCGAAATATAAGGACGACTATTGAAGATTGTGGATGGCCTTACGTTAGGACATGAAAACACGAGGAGGAGGAGCTTTGTGCACTCACGCTCGGATACTCCCACACCAATCCCATTGAGATCTGCCATCGGGTCAGCACCGGGAGATTCACAATCAACGGGTAACCTACAGAACACAGCTAGTATTGGGCTATAGCACTCGCGTGGCTCTGGGCCGCCCTGAAACTCAACTGTGCGAGAACGACGACCCGTAAGACCATCTATCAGGCTCGCTATGCAAGTACTCACTGTATGCCATAGTGAGCACTAGCTCAACAAACGTCTGGTATCGCGTCCAGAGATAGAGGAGTTTGATGATTGACCAATTGGACTTCCAAATGTAGTCTACCTCGAGGTCAAGGGATCGAAGGCAGTCATAAACCTGCGTATCGTCAGAAGCCTGAGAGTTCATTCTGATGACTCTGACGACGCACCACTACAGTCGCGCCGGCAACTCCAAGAATAAGGTCCCTTTAGAATGCACAACTGAAGGCAGTGCACCGACAACATACCTGTGAGATACTAACAATTGATCAAAACATTCTGTTAGATTTATCAACATCACTCTCAGGAAATCATCACTCACCGAGCCAAGCAGCCATTGCTCCTTTATGGAGACAAGGTCGTCAAGCGTGAGCCCATCGGACATAGCTGAAGCTTTGCGGGGCTGCGAGGGGGGGAGCAAACAAGGCGAGCGTTGAAGGTTAAGCCATAATTAATGACCGCATTTAGTCCCGTACCTGGTCCCGCCGAGCGCTACATGATTATCGGAACAGGGTAAACAAACGCATCGTGGGTTTTTTGATGGGAGGCGCGATGTGGCATGGTTAAACCTAGCCTGGCGGGAACGTCCGTTGGGTATACAAGCGCTGAAAGACCTGTTCTCGGTCTTCGTCGGACAGATCATCATCGTTCTGTGCGCGCAAGGTCTCGTCTGCATGCAAAAAAGGGTAAGGGGGCGGTCTTTCCTCCTATAAAGACAATGTGGAGCGGAATGCGGTCACTCAACGTTGCAACTAGGGTTAGCATTGCATGCGAAGCGGCGAGGGAAAAGTAAGAACCGCGTCCGCGGACGTGAAAGTATCACTGCAAGCAATTCTTGATAATATCGGCAGTATTACTTGAAATTTATTTTAAAGATTAAGGTGAATGGGTTTCAATAACTGGTTCCTCATTATTTATCATCTTTATCAAAGACAGGGCTGTTCAGCTGTCAATAACGGGTGCGTTCCTTTCCTGTATTTGATAAATTCTTAAATAATGAGGAACTAATTATTGAACCCATTCACCTTAATCTTTAAAATAATTTTCAAATAGTGATGCCACTATTATTGAGAAATGTTTGCAGTGTATGTTAAAGTGGCAGCATTTGCCTGACAACATGGAGTGCTCAGACACGTTAGCTCTCTCGGGAGCACTATGTGCTATCTACATTGGTTCGCCGCTCCAATACCAAAGTCGCGGCGATGTAACATTCCGCTCTGCTCTCCCAACCACGCGCGCAAAGACAAACATGAAGGTTGCCTGGTATACATCTATTCATGACATACTTCACAGCTCGAGGTGTCAGTTCAAAGGGTCTCAGCTTGTACTCTATTCGAGTTGCTTGCACAAACCGACTTCAAGACCAGCTTACCCCTGAATGCGATCACCGCAGTTGACGAGATCAACCATATCAGTCAAATGCCAGTCCCCAGCAGCTGTCTTTACCGGTGAAATCACTATACTCTGAGTGTTCAGGTGGCTAGCGCATCAGCAAACAGACATTCTGTTTCTCAGCGGAGACCTGCATTTTACCAGAAATGCCGCATATGCCGAGAACGTTCCGAACGCTAGGCATATGCGTGCGGCGTGGGTGGTTGTATGGTAAGTCTTCTCCATCACCAGGTTTACCTCACTTCATCAGAGCGCTGATGCAGCACAGCAGTGGAAGATCACCCAACTTGGATCATGAGCAAGGAAACTTCCGTGTGCTCCCGCGTCCGAGGCAAGCACGGAGAAACCAGTAGCTACAGGTGTATATTTCGCGTTCCACGATTGGGCAAGTGATTCTGACGATTGCTTGTTCCGTCTAGGGGAATGTGCCAGGTGACTAAGTGAATAGCAAGTCGAACGTCATATCTGTGATTCTCGCCGAAAGTTATCGGAAAGAACGCATTACTGACCTTTCTTGTATAAGTTTATGCTCATATGCGGGTCTGCATCTAATATTGAATGGACCGTGCACAGCGTCTAACAGTGGATACTCATGCAGGCAGAGCAACACGCAATCTAACGAGAATGATCAATGTTATTGCCATCGAGGGTGAGTTTTATTGAATCTTCTCGCGAGCAGATCCTAACCACATCATAGGAATCAATCACTATCTAATACATAATGATACATGGTAAGCTGCAGTCACTCTTGCTTCCGTACGATCATTGGTCTAATAGTTCATTCCTTTGAAGCCGTGACGCTCTATATTCTAGTTGAGGGTCAAAATGTAAGGATGGCCCTCCATCGCATTATCATATGCCGGAATTAAATCCACCAAACGAGAAAATAGCCCTGAATCTTGTACTGTATGCCATGTATACATTACTATGAAGGCGGGCCTAAGCATTGCTGGCCCAGACGTGTCCTGCACTCCATTCTTGTAGCTCATTTGATCGATGATCGTCCATACCAGACAAATGATGGATGTTCGAACGTCTGCAAACAATGAGTCACCGGCCCGGGATCTTCCAATGTCGACCTTGAGTTTAGATCAAGTGGACCATCGTGAAACCCGCATTAATATTCTGTAGATGTACATGTAAGTATCTAGTAACGTAAGGGTTTTCCCATACCACATGCTGGAACTAATAGATCAAACACATAGCTAAAAGGATACCATGTCGTGCATGTGTATGTGCCTTCCATGAGCTTGTAAATCCCGACATCTGTTGAATGTGCACGGACGGGTTAGCGCTCCGCATCTGGTGCCGATAGCCCCTATTCCTTCGGGTGAACGCGAGGTCGCGTGGGGAAGGCAGGGCAACATGGAGACCAGTCGGGGACCTTATCTCCCTGCCGTCGTCAATATGCAGTCTTTGTTTTCTTCCCCGTGCCATCCACTACTCTGCAGAACCCACGTACCTAACGCGCGACATCATGAAGCCCACTGAGCTAGTCTCCTTCGTGACCTTAAGCCTCCTCGCGTCCAGGTCATTCGCATTCTCCTCACAATCCCACGACCAGAGTGTGTTCTCTGCGGACAACGGTGCAGCAGCGGAGATGGACCACAAGGCGTATGTGGAAGGTCTTCTGGCATTCCACGACCACGATCCTGTTGCTGCTATGAAGGTTGTGGACCCTGTCTACGGCGCTATGTTGGACGAGCCTCGTTTGCTTGAAGTCTTTGGCCAGCCAAGGCAATGGATGACGGAAGGAGACAAGCTGCGTCTGAAGCAGGAGGGGTTGTCCTTCATTGACCTTACCAACTTCGAAGTGTTTGAAGTGGACAGCGCGGTTGCGAAAGAGGTGAAGTGTGAGTATTTCAGCCGTTCGGTCTGTCACTGCTCTCTAACTTTGAAAGAAAATCAGCCTGGCCTGACATTCACAAGCAAACGAAGGTCAACGAGGCCATTTCTTTGCTTAACGTTGATAATCTGAGAAAGAATCTTGAGACGCTCACGTCTTTCTACAACCGATTCTATCGGTCAGAATACGGAGTCAAGAGTTCACGTTGGATTTTTGACCAAGTGCTCGAGGTATGTTGCTGTCGTAGCTGAGCGCCAGAGAAAGTTAACACATCATACATTCTAGATTGTCGCAAATGCCCCACCTTCCACCCGCCTCTCTGTAGAAACTTTCCCCCACTCCTTCCCTCAATCCAGTATTATCGCGCGTTTTGAGCCTGCCGGCGGTCGCGCGTCTTCCTCATCACACCAGGACGTCCTCCCGCGGATCATCATTGGCGCACACCAGGACTCTGCGAACTACAAGTTCCCGATGCTCCCCGCACCCGGCGCGGACGACGACGGCTCGGGCACAGTCACGATCCTCGAGGCATTCCGCACGCTCGTGGAGGCGGGGTTCAAGCCCGCAGCGCCGGTTGAGTTTCACTGGTACGCAGCTGAGGAGGGTGGACTGCTCGGAAGCCAGGAGGTGGTGAAGGAATACGTAGCTTTGGGCAAGAAGGTCGGCGCTATGGTTCAGTTCGTGAGTAATCCCAGTCGATATCACTATTTCTTTCCTGACATCCTTCGTAGGATATGACTGGATACGTCAAACCCGGAACAACACCCACCGTCACCCTTATCACGACGGATGTTCACCCATCGCTGACGAACTGGACACTATCATTAGCCGAGGAGTACTGTGATTCCGTCGTCCAAGGGGCCAAACTCTTGTCAGCTCCAAGTCTTTTTGCGTCACCTCAAATTTTGCTCATGGATACTTTCTAGCCCCGGAGCCGGTTCGGACCACATGTCATGGCACCGAGCTGGATTTGCGGCAACGGCTGCGACAGAGGCGGAACCGTTCAAGGATCTCAACCCATATATCCACACAGCTGACGACCGATTGGACCTAGAAGATGGCTCGTTCTCATTTGAGGTAACGTTAATCCATTCATGCATGTGGATGGTCTCTGACATTGCATGATCTTCATAGCATGCCTTGGAGTTTTCGAAGCTCGCAGTTGGCTTTGCTGTTGAGCTCGGCGGCTGGATGGACTGAAGGTTGTCGACGTACAACCTGTCGTAGGGTAAAGCTCTCAAATGCATTTATTAATGCACGGGACTGCCGTTCGGTTGCCATTCGTCAAGTTTTCACCAGGTATTACATAACGTACGGTCGTCACATCCACAAGTAATATCAGAAGAATGAACGTTATGGTATCGATTTGTTGGTTGGTCGATACTCATCAACGTCGCCCATTTCAGTAGATAGGAAGCCGGTGGGCCATCTAAAGGTCATGTTTAGTTCCATGTGGTGCGTCTCATTCCTGAAGCGTGGGTCCCGCCCACGCTTATCTCCCGCTATCCATAGCGAGCGTTGCATGCGGGTCGCAAGGGTGCACTGTAGCACAATCTGCAAGCTAGTCAAGTGAGGAAACGAACGTATTAAAGGATATGAAAGCAACGTACTCCTGAAACATGAGGCCATATGCATCCTACGGATCAGTTTATCAGTGCAAGAAGTCGTCTCATTTGCGAGCAGGGCTTACAGGCGCTAACAGCAAACCAAGGATATTCACGACTGATAATGCTAGACAGAAGCAATGCGTTGAGACTGACTTTAGCCAATGTAGCGTCGAGTCAGAACTCACTTATGCTGCAAAGAACGTACAAAACACTATGTTGGACTAGTACCTTGAAGAGACGCGCTCCAGTCTCTCTATACGTCCGAAAAACACGTATGAGTGTCAGGATGAGTATCTCTGAACGAAGCAAAATGTCAGAAACACTTGCACTGGCGAGAGAATGAAACGACGTACGTATTTGGCAAGCGATTGAAAAGACAAATGGGATCACCGTCATCGCTCCTGGCTTCTCGTGAAAGCAGCCAGTGACAGAAGTTCTCGAAGTCACATTCACATCTGACACATTAAAGTCAGCTTCACGTTTCTCGCACGATGCATTGAGGCAAATGCTCACGTCGATCCCCTGATCCAGGCGTCAAGAGAGTGACGAGTACAGTTATGACAAGGCCTGGCTACATGGCAAGCTCAGCAAGTAATCTGCGGTGACCCAATACGACTTACAACGGCCAAGGTTAACATTGAAAATACAATGATTTTCTTGCGGTTCCATAGGGCCCAAGTGCGGATTGCAAACAGCACTACCACAAAGACATGAGCGAATGTGTAAATCTTAGAAGCGTGAAGCTCACCGTCTGAGAAGACAATGATGAGGATGCTAATAACTGGATGGGTCGTTCATCAGTACTATCTTTGATATCAATTGCGCTCAACGCTCCGACGTGACTCACGTGTTGCTACATTATCCAATAGTATGCATCTCTGCACCAAAGACATAAGCCTGTAGGTGTCATAAGTCGAGAACCGTTCTCACCGATTCATTGTCGGGTGGTAAGCTATCATCTAGGGTGGTGAAATCAGCAAGCGCACCAAGGGCGAGAGAGGCGGTGCATACAGTACAGATGCAGAGGCAATAGCATAAAGGGCAACGTCCTTGTAAGCATGTACCATGCCTTGACCTTCCTCCCCGTAGCATACCGAAGGTACGAGAGCTACAAGAAGAAGCTGAGCAAAGCACGCGTCATTAGTGAGCTATGCACACACCTCCTTATCGAACGTGATGCAATAGTCGTAGGTCTGACGCACGGGATAAGAACTCCCCCGTTTGGACAAGCAAATCCTTATAACACACCCAGAAAGTAGCAATCGCGACTTTGAGGATAGGTTGAGCTGAAGAAGGAGCGCCGGTCCGATAGCAAGCACGCACCATATATGTACTAGACAGAGAGCGCAAGCGCAATCAGTGTATGCCTGGTACCTCTCAGTTTACTTCACAGACGCGAGAGACGTACGTTGTAAGCCTGGAAGCTGGCCACGAGCTCAGATAGAGATGTCTCCGAGTGGCCCGACAGCTGAGCCATAGATAGTAGTCAGGACCTGAGGCAGGCGACATGGGGGTGCCAGTGAAGCTTAAGACTAGAGGAAAAGCTCGTGTTTGCCATTGCGGTGACTAGTGGACTCTGCGGTCGCAATAGCCATCCTTGGAGTGATGTCCGGGCGGACGGATATCACAGCTTTGGTTGTTGCTCTCGAGAATCATTGGCAGGCACATGGGCTGGTAGATCATCTAAATCATCACATGTCTGATCGAGCCCGAAAGTTTGTGCCTCCGTTGGCGAGCAGCTACGCATGGTACGCTATACAGTACTTATCTCTAAGAGGCGCAGTGGGATGTTGTGCTATGCGTTTCTACAAATTTCTGCTGAAAGAATAAGTGGCAGATGTGACGTAGATAAGTGGAAGATTCATTGGAGGGGGAAATGCATCCACCTCAATCAGAGCCAGCATCAGAGCCTTCTTTGATGCCTTATCGTTCTGAACGTTTTTTGAACCTAAAATGCATGCATATGGCGGCATTCGTGAGCCGAACTCGGAGTTTAAGAAGCTAGCGTCGGCCGATCATAGAAGGAGTGAGAGTTGGGTTGGATGCGGACCACTGCAAACGCGTATATACCTGATTTTAATGTATCTGACGTTTGATTTGCTAAAATCACATACCTTTGACCTGATTTTGAAGTCATGTACCCGGACCTATTCATCAAGCCATGTACCTGGGACTGAAATGCGAAACCATGTTCACGGTGACGTCGCGGTGGTGTCGGTGGCTCCACTCCTAACAAACAAATGCAAATGTTGAACTTATTCTTCTCGCGTTGTCTTTTCTTCCTCCTTGACACCTGTCGGCCTCCGCCATCTCTCCCTCTTCCTGTCCACCGCCTTTGCACCTCACGCCGCCTACTCACGCTTTCTGTGGCAGCTCCTGGATCAGACTGCCTGGCCTTTTTGTCAGTTAACATTTACATTCCACCAACGGACACGACACCGCTACTATGGCCCGTCTACAAATCATCTTTAACAACCGTCCACGTATATGCCTTCTCCGCTGTCAGCCCATCTCTCCTTCTAGCACATTACTACTCAACATCAACACCATGCATACATAGGTCGGCCCTCATGGTTCGTGATTAAGGCTCTCGCCGAGCATGGCATAGTTCACGTAAGTCGATTTAACGGGCCGCTCAAACAAGGCGCTGATTACGTCGTAGGGATGATCAACGCCATCGTCAGTGTGGACAAGCGTACAATCGGATGTGACGGCACACTGAGGTCCTCACGGCGTGGATCAACCTGCTCGACGTTTTCATGGACAATGCATCCATGCCCTCCGCTGACGGCGTTCCTTCGTTGTAGTATAAGTGCTCGCTTTGCAACCATCATCGACGCACGCCGCACCTTTACACTTGGTGCAGATGGCCTTCACGGTGGCCAACACGCAGAGGGAGCACGCGTGGCAATGGGCGCCGCATGCGAAGGCACGCACGTTCGCAGACGTGCTCCGTCTGAACGAGAGTCAGATGGATCATGTGCCCGCGGTATATTTAGGTGGGCTCACGTAAGTGTCCCACAATGACGCTTGTATTCTAGGGAACTTTGACGCACTTGCTCCGCTTCCACGTATGAGCACGCTCTCGAAACGAGCCGAGTCCCCTCCCGGAGATCCCGGTAGCGACAGTGGTGCGAAACTAGGGGAGAGAGCAGACATCGTGTCTGGTATGTTTTCGTTAATTCACACTGTTTCGTCTACTTACTCTCATTGGCATCTGGTTAGTATCTACTTTGGCCCGTTCCCACAAGTAGGTTAGTTGCGCGAGAGCCTCGGCTGGCATCCCTCGCCGCGGCGTTCAAGAACATTTGTGTCTGCACCCCTTGTCATGCATTTGATGGAGACAACTCGGATGATGATAGCAGCAGAAACTTTGCGCCGAAGAAGTTCCAGGCGTTGGGCAGTTCAAGGGGTTGATGGTAGTTCTGTGTATTGAGTACAAGTCACTCCCTGTGTAGATATCCATAGATATCCATGAATATCATCGCGTTTGCAGGGAATTTTGCGTGCTTTATTGTGTGATAATCATTGCATTTTGCCATTAAAACTATTGGCTACGCATTCAATCGTGTCTCGTCGCCTCGGAAATCATGTTCTTTTGACATGAGAAAGTACATTGAATCCTGCAAAAACGTTAGTTGTTCGATCTTGGCCTTGTACATGATTATCATGAATCACCTACATTATTATGATGTTCCGAAAACATGAATAATACATGAAAACTACTAACGTACGAGCACACTTGACGTACATGAGTTTCAGGTATCTCCGCCTTCACAGTGGACGTTCGGTGAGGTCACTACCATTTCACAATGTGGCATGGTGGAAAGACACACTGAACCAACCATCGTCAGTCCAAGGCAGATCGGAGTCCCTTGTAGTTGCTTAGTTGCTTGTAGTAATGTCGAGACTCGAAGACGCGTCGGGTTCGCTTGAGTTCGGACCAACGCAGGGAGTACGCAGGGTTTGGCGCGTCCCGGCGCTGGCCGAGAGAAATCCCACGATCCTATGCTTCGAGCTTCGGGTTCGATCCGGAGGTCCCGGTCGGCGCTTCAGCGAAGTGCGTAGTGCTCTCTGTCTGCCTTTGCTCTTGCTTTGCTCGTCGACTTCAACAGCTTGGGCACACTTACGGTCCACCCGAAACAGGAATGCAATCATCAGAACGCTTATGTAATTGGGTTCCTCATGCACCTCTACTCAACTACCCGCATCACTCAGCCTTATCAGGATTACACTCGTGCTTCGTGTCGATCAGACTCGAACTGCCGCTCACCAATCCAAAGAATATCCAAAGAATCCAAAGAATGTGACCCCAGCAGATGTCAGCTGACTTTCTGCGTTGTGATGGTGACGGCAGCCACTGGCCTCGTCAAGCTCGCGCTCTTCCCACCGGACTAACTAGTGTCCAATAGGATCAACACCCTCGATCTACTCTTCCCTCGTTATCCAGGAACCGAGCTTGGGCCTTCCCAGCCCTCTTGGGAAAATCGCTTCTATCTTGACAACGTCAGAATTCCTCCATGAAACTTGTCGCAAACCTGGGGAGAAAAATTTAAATGAGGTCGACGAGTTGTTCAAACTGGTTCGTTGTTTTCGAGATTCTCCATCGTATGCCGGAGGGATCGGCTCATAGAGCCAGTCTCCCATGATGTCGGATTGATGATGTACTTAGGATAGCCCATACTGGCGCATACATATATCTCGAGGACTGTTGCGGGCGTCCAAAAGATCCTTGGTCTCGCGTATCATGACGACCCTAGATGGGACCGCCCTCGTAGACGCGGCGACTAGCTACCAGACGTTTAACGTAAGTGCAGTATTGCTGAAACTTGGCCATGGTCATGGATCTGAGGCGACAAACGCTCTAGTATGTCTACGGTACGTAAGCATCACATTGTGGTATGCCCCAGCGTGGATATTCAACTTCCTCATTGCGTCCAAGTTTCTGTAGCAGCACTTTGGGTGCGTAGTCCTTCTTGCGAAGAGATTTGTTTACGAGCATGATCTAGGTGTACGATTACGTAGTCACCCTTGACGTAGAGGCGAGTGGTTAGCCTTCACGCACGCATCCAACGACCTGAAGACGTGCTACACAGATCTCTTTCCTCCGATATTCATATGTACGACGGATCAAGGCCCTCTACCTGGCAACAAGATTTCTGCCGTTTGCAATGTTGGGCATTCACCTATTCCGTGTGTTGCCAGTATGTAGCGCTGCGCATAGGTTATTCACGGCTCGCACAGTCAACCTTGACCCGGGGGAGTCGGAAGCGGTCAGTCTTCATCATCAGAGTGGTCACGTCACAAACCAATAGACAGGCCTGGCAAATACTAGATGTGCAACCTATACGACGATGTGTCTTCGGGTGGGTTCTGCCTTTGAGTTGACAGGCCTATGCTGAGCGTACGCGGACCTTTTGATCAGGCTTGAGCTTGTTAATCGTCCTGTGTTCCGAATGTAAGTAATGACTTGTCAAGGCCCGAACGCCACTAATGCTCTCATCAAGCCCTCTTTATCCTCCGAACTTATGCGGTGTGGAAATGTGACAAGCGGATCCTAGCTCTTATTTTGGCGAGTTTTATTGTAAGTGGTTACATCACAAGCCATCGGCCAATATCAAATATGTTACCATGAAGATTGCCATAGTCTTGACCGTTGTGGTCTCGTTCTTGCCTTCTGTACCAGGATCTAGTTGTGAGTGCATCTATTTCTTCACCTGTGTCAATCTCAAGGCATCAGACATTATTCTTCCTGGTGCACAGGTCACAGGGTGCTTCCTGTTGTATCCGGCCGTCTTCACTTCGATTCCGTATATACTCCTCATTGCTTTCGAGATAGGTAGGGATATACTCTAATCACAATGGGCGATTTCTGAACAAGAATTTCTGGTGTTAGAGCTCATTATCCTCAATATTGTTCAAGGATACCGGGTTAGACGAGAGACCAAGGGGCGACTTTTTGGCATTCTGCTTCAACACAACCTTTTCTACTTCACATGTGGCCTATGTGAGTATACTCATTTCCATCGCCTCGGTGACGTTTCAGCTCATATGGCTTAGTATTTTCTATCCTGAACGTGGCAATCGCTTTGACAACCCAGGTAAGCATCTTTGTAGTTTGCGGTAATAAAATATGTCCATCTCAACGCGCCATCTACAGTATGGCTATAGTACAATGTTTGAAAAGTATGTACCATTTCGCTCCCATGCATACATTCCCGTTTGAACGAGAGCGCAGCCTGCAGGTAATCATCCACGCCATCCTGGCCACGCGGATGCACCGTATGTTGTGGATCAGGAACGAGAACCGCTCCAGTCATTCGCGGTGGCAAGATTCAACAACAGTAGTCAACATTGAGATGCTCCCTATGACATCCGCATGACCTTTCTTTCTAAATAAACTACAGTCACGTTATCGTATCAGCACGCCATTTTTGTGGGGGCGGGCGCCCGCTCCCAGAGCGTACGGCTCGCTTAGTCTCAAGTTGCCTTATCGGGCGTATAGGAACCATCCCGAGTGACACAGTCAAACGCGGTCCAAAGAAATCATAACTCCTCCTGCACAACATACGCTATAATGTTCTAGAGACACTTAATGCATAGCTATGATGCATGTGTACAGTTCTCAGAGATTATATTCTCAGAAAAAGACATAGTAGACTTTATATTGCCTTCGAATGGCAAATCTTCCGCCAAAAGTCGATAAATTTCGCATTCCCTAAAACTTTCCATCGGCACACTCTACTGCTTCAAAATTTGAGATCTGATATATTTGGTCGACTGGCCACAAGTCTCAGTGACTACTTTTTTAAATTACGCCCTCATTCGATGGCACTCGACATCTAGCCCCATCTCTCAGCGACAGGGGCTGGGTCATCTTAACGTCTCCATATAAGGTAGCTTGGTCTAAGCGACGGGCACGCCCGCGGGCTTTGCCCGTCCCCAATTTTTGGGATCGACTCGTGGACAGCATTCATTCACTCACGCAGTGCACCTGTAACAAAATTTCCAGGGCTCTGATTCAACGGCAATTGAGGACCGGTGCTGAATATTGAGATCTCGCATAAAACTGTGCGTAGAGGCGCCGCAACTTGGTCAGACATCAACGCGGGGGCGCCACCTAAGTAATTGCACATGTCATAAGAGAACTGAATCGGATCTAAGGAAGTTCTAGCTGAATTTCAGTTGCCGGTATCTCAGATCCGTCAGTAAAGAGCTAGGACCGCTGATCATTCTCCCGACGCACTCGACTAGCACTGAGCTAAGTGCATGTACTTATCACTCTACAATAAATATCCTTAGACTTAGCTTACTGCTTGAGCTGGGACCTATTTGCGTCGACCGTCCTCGAGAACCTACTCCCCCCCGGTGCTGCACATGCAGGCGGCGCTGAATCTCGGGTTGGTGGCGCTGGTCCAGATGTTTCCGAGCTTGATAATTGACCTGGGACAAACGAGAACTCGGATGCCGTTAGTATTTGTACGTGTCGGCTGCGAAGATCGCTCGATCTGGAACTTGCTGGACGTATTCCTCTGTAGTGAATCAGAGGCGTACAAACGAATGTTATAGAGCGACTTATTGAAGAAAGATAGTCACACATGCTTCATGGAAAATGTGGAACGATACAACATACCACTTTAAACGCAAAGAACTGGATAAAATTGAGCCAGGAGAGTGTGAATGAGCTAGCTTATCTCTTCTCGAGTGCTGCTATCAACAAGCTATTGACATGTGAAGAGCACGCCGGCCTCGAGTTAATAAGTTATCCATAGTAGATCAGTTCCGAATCAGCGCTGTCTCCTGTTCCCACAGCCATCGATGTCTGTGGATGCTCGGGAACTTGAAGTTGTCAGAACGAACGTTCATACCTGTACGATTTGATGCTCAAACTTGATTTTTTGGACGCGCTTAAGCCCCCGAAGGAAATGAGGGTACAGCCGATCCGGAAAAGCTTGTCTGAGTGTAAAGTAGGCCAAATAATGTAAATTAATTCCGAAAATTCGCGTGAATGCGCCGAACGCGTCGTCGTAAAATGTCGTCCGCCGTCTGACGGCCATAACACCTCATTGTCCTCTCAAATCGAACATATATCACTATGGTCTACCGAACGATTAGTGAAGATATCAAGATCCGGGCATTGGACCTCGTAGAGCAAGGTCACGAACATGAGGAGGTCGCTCGCATCCTCAAGGTGTCTGAGAAGAGTATATCCCGATGGTTCAACAGCATCGACGAAAAGGGATCACTTGCACCGGCTCGTGAGCTCTGTGGACGTCCAGCTGCACTCAATGAAGACGTCAAAGAGAACCTCAGACAGCTCCTGATCGAGAGCCCGAACCTATACCTTGACGAAATCGTTGAGTGGCTCGCACTATTTCACCACACTCAGATCTCGACCTCTGCACTAAGCAACACCCTCATTTCTCTCGGTCTCACTCGCAAGGTGATGGGTCGAGTTGCTGCTCAACGAGATGAGGCTGCCCGAGATGCATGGAGACGTGATGTAGCTGCCAACTTCACGGCAGAGCAGCTGGTCTTCACTGACGAGAGCAGCAAGGATGGTCGCACACTTTACCGACGCTACGGGCGTGCCCAATGCGGAGTACGACCAACAGAGATAGCACCTTTGGCACGGGGTGTGCGTTACAGTATACTACCAGCACTGTCGCTTCGAGGCTATGAGGTGGTGCGCATTGTGGAGGGTTCGGTTGATGGTGAGATCTTCTTCGACTTCATTGTGAATGACCTGGTGAGTCTTATCATCTTTGTGCGTCCGAGTCTCTCCTACTAATGCTTATGACATAGCTCCCTACTATGAATAGATACCCAGCCCCACGAAGTGTTCTTGTCATGGACAACTGCGCAATTCACAAGTCCGAGGCTGTCCGAGAGGTGGTTGATGCGGCAGGTATGTCCCTAGATTATGTACCCCCACAAGCCTGTACCCAATGTCGTGCTGTTTTGCAGGCTGTGTGCTGCTCTTTCTTCCCCCATACTCGCCCGACTTCAATCCGATTGAAGAGAGCTTCAGTTGCGGTAAGGCAGTACTCCCTGATTTGTACATTTGACTCATCTGTGGACTTAGTCAAGCACTACCTTCGCCGGAACTGGCACCTGTTTCGAGACAACGAGTTCCCGGAGCTTGACTTGCGTGAGGCTTGTTTGACTGCAGTAACAGGGGATAAGGCTTGTGGGTGGTATAGGGACTGTGGGTATCATTAGTTCCGTCTCTGTTACATCATCAAAACGCCCTTTGATATTGCTACCTAAGACCCTAAGCTAGAACGTGATATTTATCTACAAAATATCCAGCAAATTATGATAGTTCTACTACTAGTTGAATAGCAGCTACGTAAATGCAAGGTGTGGTTCAATTGAACCACTGGTCAGGCCCAGTCCCCACCTCGTAATTACCCGAGTTCGCCTCGTAACTGAAGCCCGAATTACCATTGCCATCCTGGTGATAGGGGTTACCGGCGTAGTGCATCTGCGGTGCGCCATGTGCTCCGTAGCCGCCGAGATGGTAAGCCTGTGGCATCATACCGTGACCCATGTTCCATCCTGCACCATACGGCATAGCAAAGGGTACCGGCGCACCAAAGCCAGGTCCTCCGTAGCTGGCCCCTGGGAATTGAGCTCCTCCGAAGGTTTCGGTGGGGGCTGCATGCTTTGTCGGAGTCCCAGTCAACTTCCGACCATCCTCCTTCTTGAAGAATGGAGCACCGAAAGGGATCCGGTGAGCATCAGTCTCCTTCCGGCTCTGAACAATTAATAATCCGATGAGCACATTATTAGATGAATACGTAAAAATAAAGAGCTTACAATTGCGTGAGCCCACACCCGGACACGCGCGGATGTCAACTCATAGTGGAGGTTCAGTGGTGCGTACAAGAAGCAATGAACGTCAGGGTGCGCCGGGCATTGCCCAATTGGATACTGTTCCTGCAGCTGTTGCACGATTGGCTGCAGGGTCTTGTCGAGCGAGAGCTACGACTGAATTGAGCACAGCACGATTTCAGCGGCGTGATTCTCAGGGGTCTCACCTTTTTATCAAATAGCTTTGCCGGTACCCTTGCAGCCTTCATTTCCGTTTTTTCGTTCTCACTCTCACTGCCAAACTCATCCGGCTCGACATCAGAGCTTCCCGCCCATGTCGCAAAGTTTACATATTGGTTGCAATGACCCTTCGCTTGTAGTTTAATTACAATGTAATCCCAACGGACACGAGGCATTGCAATTCATTGCAATGAAGTCTCAAGAAGCTTGCAATCAATTGGATTCGTTCGTTACCATTGCAATTAGGTTTCAACGGTTACTCAATCAAGAACTCATTGCAACCGGAAAATGAACTTTGCGACACATGGCTAAAACAGTATATTAGTATAGCCAACGCGAATGATGAGGTACTTACTGCTCTTGTGGCCTTTAGGAGCTTCGCATTTTTCTTTGGGGGATTCATCGTCACAACCACCACGGTAGAAGGAGTGGCATTCGCTTTGATTTGCCCCACCATGGTCGTCAGACCATCCGGACTGGTGAGCGGAAGCCCACTACCCCTCTCTTTCAGCCATTTCCAGGCCATTGACGCTACGATCAGGTTGTCGGGCTTCGTTTGGACCAAACGGGCTAGCATTTCGAGAAAGCCCTCCCACGACGCAGCCGCCTCCTGAGTGATAACTTTAGGACCATACCTAAGGGGATCCTGCTCCTTAAACTTCACCCGACCGCCCCTCCCCTTCTCCTCCTTCGGATACAAGATGACCTCCACCGTTAGCGAAACAGTGAACGTGTCTGGGGCCTTCACTGCTGAGCTGAGAGCGGCTGTGCTTGGGTTCGGGGGCCGTCCGCGACCCTTTCGTGTAGACGAGACAGGTTTTGAAGCTGGGAGCACTTGGTGCGTGGATTTTTGAGGTACGACTTCAGTTTTCGTCTTTTTCTTGATCGGGCTGTCGTTCTTAGCATCTGGCAGGGCTCCGGAGGTGGGCTGGGGCAAGTGGGGTGCTGTACTGGCGTCCTGGTTGTCCATTATCAAGTTCCCGTGCATCCGTTTCCTGGTTGAGAGTGAGGGGATGCGGAGCACAAGCCGCTCTGAGGAGACGAGCAGAGGCAAGGGATTAGTTAACATCACGGTGTTGGCCTGATCTCACACCTTTGGCAGTTTTGTCCGCTCCACCTTCATCGGCAACCGACCTCTCGGTAGTGTTGGTGGGTATCACAGCAATCGCAGCTCCATTGGTGGGAGCACGGGTGGGGTCGTACAAGAGAAACTCACTGAGACTGTCAGGTGAGCCCTCACGATTGCTGTGGCCATCTCCATCGGTGTCATCACTGAGCTGGATATCAGCAGGGTCGTATCCAGCAGCGAAAACAGCATTCCAGTAGTCGTCGGCATTTGCACAGTGCTGGCGAAAATTTGCATGCCATTCTCTGAACGTTTCGTTTGACATGGCCTGGAGTTCCTCCTCAGTGTAGTCGGGGAGGGGCTCGGGATAGTCGGGGATGTGTTTTGAGTGCATTGGCATGGTTTTGTCGATGTTTTGAACGGAAGCGGATGAATAGCAGCGAGGACAACGCACGCGACGATGCTCTCGAGGGACTTTGATTGATTTTTTGGATATTTCGGAATTAATTTACAATGTTTGTACTACTTTGCTTCCGGACAAGCTTTCCCGGAGCGGCTGTACTGTACTTGTTATATCCCGACGATGTGCGTCAAGACTCTATATCACTGACGAGACTAAAGTCAGTTTTAAGACGGAGGTGATCCAGACCACGACGTTTCAATGCACTCGAGGTTTACCAACAAACACGGGAGCAGAAAAGGCAAGTACATACCGACGTCGGGCCTCGGGAGTCGGGACAGAAGACCATATCCCAGATTGGTAAGTGGCTATGCTTCTATTCTACTCGCTTCATCCGAGACCGTGACCGAGGCGATCAACCTCCTCATATCCCCCCACACAACATACAGAGATCGAATCAGCCATGCCTCGTGTCGTCAGTCGAGACTGGTCGAGGAAAGCTGGGAGGTAGCGAAAAGAAGCTATGGTGGCGGCAGCGACAGCGGAGAATGGGACCAAGATAGCCGTAAAACGCTGAGGCGGCAAGCGACTAGGATGCCGTAAGTTTCATCTTCGAGCCTGACGAGGCTTTTTCATTGTTGCTTTCCCCTCCTCGTTCGCCCCGGACCTCCGCCTTCTCTTACCTCCCTCGGCATATATAACTCTTCCACTCGTTTTCGTAACCTACCTCGCATGCTAATATGCCTTCCGTAGACGAGGCCCCCGCTTCTCCTTTGCATAAACTGTTCCACCGCAGCCCATCACGACAGTCCAGAGTGCACTTGAGGAATGTCAGCGCCAGCAACCCTCTTTCCTATCAGAGAACATGGCTCTTCGGTCGTACACTCAGGAACTCGGGCGAGACCTCCCAGGTGACGCTGTCCTCCCATATAACCTCTTACACGCGTCTGACGCGTCCTACAGGATCCATCGTCTTCCACCCCTGTCCTAGAAATTACCGCCCAACCCCCTTCACCGTCGAGCATATCCTCATTTGGGTCCGTCATCCCACGTCAAGATCGTTTACATGTTTCCTCGCCCGAGGCGTCGGCGTCTTCCCTCGACAACAGCTCTCCGCGTTCCAAGGATGCCACTCGGGACGTCCTCGACATATCCGATGTGGCCTCGTTCTCGGAGTCTGATGCGGAGATCCATGTGGAGCCACCTTCCGACAATGAAATCATTTACGAGCCTCAGAGTGCTCGCTGTAGTGCATTCTTTGACTCGATCCTCACAGATGTCACAGCTCAGGCCGATGAATCCACCGAAACTGCGCTTTCGTCGGACAATGACGCGGATGACCAGAGCGCTGAGAATGGAGCGACTCCTCGAGCCACAATGCTTACCTTTGCAGGCTTTCTGCGACCGGCGTCTCCTGCCTCTTTAGCTTCCTCGGCCTCGGGGGCGGCAAACACTCCCCGTCCGCGCTGTCCTTCCCTTCCTTATACTGACCCCCGTATAACTTCCATGGTAACTCTGCGTCAAACGTTAGCTAGCAAGAAGTCAGCATCCACGGTTCGCTTGTCTGAGTTCGGAGCACTCGGCTTTGGTAGACAAGCGGCTGAGAACGTGAGTGTTTAGATTACTTTGTATGCGCATATACTCATATAATATAGGCTCGTCTGGCAGTGACGCTTCAAGAGGAGTCGAGTGGTTGTGCTGAAGAATGGGATGCTCAACGGGAACTGATGAATGCGAAAAGCTCACCGGCCCCTATGCTACGGGCGAAGAAGACGAAAAAGCGACCGCATGCGTTGAACCTGAGCACGATCAACACCCAGCTGCTTCAGCCACAGTCGGCTGAACCGTCGCCTGCACGGTCTCCTGGTCGCACTCGATTTCTTGTTCCGCGGGCCGAAGAGTCACCTCGCTCGTCCCTCCCTTCTCCTTCCCTGGCTTCACCGCTTGTCCATCAAGGCCCTCCTGAGCCCGTATACAGCCACTCTTCCCCAGCAGAGAACTTCCACGACACCCTGCAAGTGAAGATCTCCCCAGGGGATCCCGAACTCATGCCTGCCGACTCCGAGCTGGGATTTTCTGCCTCCGTTTCATCACCCTCAGAGTACTCCCAACTATCCGTCAATGCCTCCCCTTATTCTACTATTTCTCAGAAGTCCGTGTACTCCCAGCCATCGTGGAATGAGCAAACGCCCCCTGTTCCCTCTTCCCCTGCTGAACCCCAGGCTGAAGAAACGGCGTACCCATTCCCTGATGCATCGACAGCCTCGCCAGTGGCGGCATGCACCACTGAGCAGCTCATGGCGTGCACGGAGGAAAACATTAATACGGTTGCCCCCCAACTAGGCATAAGGGGTCTGACAATCCTTGAAGACGTCCCTTTCGAGCCTTCACGATCGTCCAGTGAGAATGCGTACGGAACTGACGCACATACGACGCGTCAGAAGACGCATACGCCTACGCCTCCTGAGCCCGTAGCCCGCCGCCCGTCTACATCTCGTCCAGAGTCGACTGAGAGACTCTCGCCCGACTACGGCTCCAACCTCGCATCCTGCGGTCATCGCTCCTCTGCGTCCGCGACCACGAACAACACGAACTGCGCGCTGTGCGATGGCGGCAGCAGCCGGACCAGCGGTCTTCCCAGCCCGCCTGCCACCCCTAGTTCCCAATCCTCCAGTTTGCCGGCGCGCACCGAGACTCGGCGGAGGTACGGCTCGAGGCGATCGAAGTTCAGCACGATCGAGGATGACCCTATCCCAGGCTACGTTTCTACGCCCCAACCGGCGCCGGGCCCAGAGGTACGGCACACCAAGAGCATTTTGATGCTGAACACGTCGGTGCATAAAGATGCAAAGCGCGTGCAGATACAGACCCCTACTTCTGAAACGCCTCACAACGCGTTCATTAACCGCCCGGTCAGCAAGCCGCTTTCGAACAGCCAGCCTCAGATGTCGTCGATGGACAAGCCCCCTACCAAGCCTGGGAGATTGCGCTCTTCTCCGATACTCAGCGCTTTGTTCACTTGTGAGTAACGTCGCCTGCTCTTATCGTTCTTTCGCTAACGTCTGGTTGACGTAGCTGCTCCTACCAAGGCTGACCACGATCCTGTGGAATTGCCCGAGAATTCTCCGCAAAAGGGCAGAATTCGTAGATCATTCTCGCTTTCCTCTAGAAAATCCAAGACATCTCCCGCGGCGCGGTCGATGAAAGCGAAGTCAACAACATTCACCGGACAACAAACGCTGTCGGAGCCTCTCAGAAAATGGAAACGCAACTCGCTCCCGACTCAGCCTCAGTCAACGCCCTCGGGGCCTCCGCCATCCTCGTCCAGGCCGAGGCGGTTCTCTCTCTCTTCAGTGCCAGCTGGCTGCTGGCCACGCAATATTTCGGCTCATTATCCCCCCATTTCGACGTCCTATGTCGACCTTTCCTTGCCCGAAGAAATCCAGGAGCCCCAAAGACCCCAGGAGCCCCAAAGACCCCAGGATCCCCAAAGAACCCATGTACCCCAAGAGTCGAAGTATGAGCCCGATGTATTATTCACCGGGCCTACCAGGCAAGCGTTCATCCCCGGCCCGGTTTCCACCCCTCCATCTCCCAATTCATCCACCACGGATTGGACGCTCTCGCTCAACTCTTGCGATGGGAATGCATTGCCCCAATTTCTGCTCGGGACGCAGATGGCGAACGCACAGCCCCCTTCTGTTGACTGGACACTCGACATGCCGCTCCCGCTCAGTCTGCGGATGTCTGTGCCGATCAGCATCTGGACGGCCAAGTTCGTCATTAACAGCGAGCAAACTACCAGGCTGGACCCTTCCGAGACTTCTACTGAGAGCGATGCCACAGAGAGCGATGGCGAGCTCACAGAGGTACCTGAGCGTGAGATAAGGGCAGGGCTGGGTACGTCGGTGCAGCTCCCGACGCCGTTGCCTACGCCTATCCCATCGCCCAAGTTCACCACTGGCTTCGTCCAGTCTGTACGCTCTTCGGAGAAGGAGCATAAGAGAGTTCGCTCTGGTGGATACTCCGGAGGTCTGAACATGGATGGCGGACGCGGCAAGCGCGGATCGGGGTGGGACGTCTGCGGGTGGTTTGAGGACTATACCTCGGAACATTCGGACTCTGACGAGTCTGTCGTTGAGCCTGTAAAGAAGAGCGGGTGCGAGACGATCAAGGAGGCTGGGACGGGAGACGAGGGCGACAGCACAGAGGAAGAAGAGCAGGACAGCGAGAGCGAAGAGCAGGAGCGCCGGGACGGCCTCGGCGCGCTTCAGAACATGCTCAAGCGCGGCGAGGAGATATTCTATCGGCCTCCCTCACGTGCGCATAGACGCCAGATCGGCAGCGTGAGCACGTCCGCGTCGGTCGAGACTAGCGCGTTTGTCAGTGCGAGGTCGAGCTTCAGCGCTCCCATCCGCGCCTGACATGTCGGCATTTCAAGGGTTTGGCTTTCATGACACGATGGGATACGTTGGACTCATCCTTACGACTGACGCTATGAATATCACATCCGGAACCATTGGACACAGGTTTATACCCCCAGTTGAAATCGGACATTCATTTGTCGATATCTCACGCTCTTTTGCACCCTACGTACCTACCCAGATTTCTCTTAATTCACCGCTTACATACGCCTGGCGAAGCACATTACTCTCAGCCCTTGCTTTTCATGATTGTTTACTTGTACACACTTATCTTCTGGTCCGCTCTCGTTGAACTTTGTTCTTGCTCATGGTTGTCTTTCTTGCTCTTGCTCATGCGTTCAACGTACGTCGTAAATACTCGCATATATCTGAATCGACAGGGTGGTACAGGTTACGGGCTACTTCACACAGTTAGGTTGGATGTATAGTACTTAGCCAATCGCTTAGGCTCGCGATGCCCCAATACAACTATCGCTTTGAAGGTCCATCTCGGACTCGAATCTGACACTTTTCGTACCACCATCTTCAGGTGCTCCTTCAGATGTCACACCTTGGCTGTCGCTTGCTCCCGGGGAACACCGAATCGGAGGCCGGCGAATTCCCCATCTTCACAACAGAATAGCAACACGGAAATTGGACTAGGTGTTCCTTGCCCATGTCAAAATGGCGTTCAAATGTATCTTCCATGACAGCCAATTAAAAGGGAGCAAAGCCGACTTGGAAATTTACTCTTGGGCGGCTTAGGCGACATACGCGTTCCGTGTTCATCACTAAATGGGCGGACCGAATATAAGTACATGAGCAGTAGTAGAATCCGTTATAACTGACACCGTACCTTAATGATATTTCGAACCTCCAGCACGAGTGGAGCGTAAAGTCCGTTTTTAACATATGGGAAATCAGACCAAAATTAGATGGCGAAATGGTCAGATCACGGATGATATTATAATATTGATGGCTGTCTTACCGCTGACGGTGCCTGCATGATAATTACATGATAAGATCAGCTGGTGTTTTATGCTGTATGATAAAAGCTCACGCCATATGATGAGGACTCGCAATCTCGCCCATGATTCCAATGACAAGACATTCATTGTGAATATTATATAGTACATCATGTAGCATTATTCGAGGTTAAAACGATGAATGAGGTAAATACACGAGAGCAGCAGCAATTCACGAGAGCAGGTATGGCACGAGAGCAGCAGCAGTAGACGAGAGCAGGAAGTCTGAGCAGAGAAGCAGAGCTTATAGACCGTGAAGCCGACAGTCGGAAGGGAGTAAGAAATAAAAACATACGTTTGGGGGAACACAGGCCCAGGACAAACAATCTCGGGGAAGGGAGGAGACGTGAGCGAAATGACGCAATGATACACTGATATAACATACCTAGTTGCCAGTCCTCTTCGCCGGTGGTTTTCCCCCTGTACCATTAGCAGCGTATATTGTTGTATTAGTACTATACACGAGTAGCGAGAGCAATGGTCAATAACAAAGTTTGCTAAGCAACGTACCATCTTCAACAAGCCCCCGCACAGCGGGGGAAGGTCTGAACAATCACTTCTCTAACTCTAGTGGCACCGAAATGCACTTTGAGCCTTTCAAAAAAAGAAACAGTCAGAAAACGTCAGGAAAATTGTAGGGGACAGATAGTTACGCCCTTGATCTCGTGAAGGGTCCCAAGAAGACGTGGATTGAGAAATGAGCGGGCCCCAAACAACTGTGACCATTAGAAGGAGGGGTTGCGCTGGCGGCCACGTTGGATGCTGACTCGTGAGGCAATGGTGGTGGCAAGAGACAAACGAGGGCGGGAGGAAAGCATCTCAAAATCCGTTAAATAAAGAAGGGTCTTGACTCTTGCATTGCAGCGCGCGCACGGGCCAGCTGCTGCAATTGGTCAAAGGAATTCGACTGAGCTTCTTTCTGCGCGTCATCGATAGCTTATGCCTTCCAAGTCAGTTCTTCATCGCCGCTCGCCCCAAACGGAACTTCTTGAACCTACTTTTAGGAGAGCGACGATCAACAGTCTTGGCGGTGTTTAAGTCCTGCAGCAGCCTTTTCACTTATCTGATCATGATATAGCCTTGTGTCAGAATTCATGGTAGTACACTGATCGTCTGGTCACTGGTGAGTAATATTACCATGTCCGTAATGTCTGTAACTCGTCGTCATCCCCCTGCACGTTTTGTGATGTCCGCGACACATAGGTCGCATTCACTTTGGACCCAAAAACCCTGACAGCGTCAATGAGTGTACGTTTTATTATGTGAACATGTATGTCTTCCAAGTCTCTTCTATTCTAGAAACTAATTTAACATTACTTTAGTTTCGTTGATAGAGACATGTTCATGCGTTTCCGAGGCGGTGCGATCGGTCACGATTTGCCCCCATACTGGAACCGGAAACTTCTGGATGCCGCCGCCGCAATTCCCGAGGCCGAGGAATACGAGCTACCAACCGATTCGGGTCAAGACAGCGACAATGAGGAGGGAGACAGTGATGAGGAAACGGACGGGCATGAGAGCGGTGATACCAGTGATGAAGAGGGAGACACAGCAGAGCTTGCTGAGGCAGAGACTGCAGCACGTACGGATGAAGGGCTTTTTTGGGTGAAGACGAGGCTCTCACTAACGCGACCGGCTTCGCATCATTGTAAAGGTCAGCTGGTATTCGAATCTCTACCGTTTTTATTGTTCGTTAGTGTTCGTGTCTACCTCAAGCGGTGGCTGCCATATGCAGTTGAACTTATAGCTCAATGATAATTTTGTTTCTGAAATGGTCTCCGTATTTTATATTCGACTAACCAATGTACGAGCAAGATCATCAATTTCGATCAATGGTAAAGTGTCCGCGACATGGTGTTCGGCCGAAATTCACTGCCACACTGTAACGATATGTTAACTCAATGGGAATGCGTCACCATCCGTGATCATACACAAATGTCTCGACGACGATATTATAACGGTGATCACTCGGTATAAAGGTCAAACTTTCCCCACCCATTTAGTGATGTTGGAGAGCTCGCCAGACTAGAAGACATTCACACTTAGGAGATCATCATAGTATAATATGGCCATTGTTGCTAGTCAGTAAACTGTGGAAGGAGTCAGCAATACCGCTAGAATCTCTTTACAGCGCGGTAGATGAGCAAGTTGGAAAAAGAAAAAGGAAAAAAAAAAAATATGAAACTATGTACCCTTGTGTACCGAGCGGCGAGGTACGACTTCATGAGGACCACGTGGCATGCCGGTCTGGATCGATTTCCTTATCCCCGAACACGTGTGGACGATGATCGAACCGCTGAAAAGGCTCCAGACTCCGTGTCGAGGAACCGCGGGGAAACCTCAGAACCCGAAGTAAAAATCTTTCGAATCAGGCGCCGCGGCACCGCCAACGTCCACTGCAATCCACACCCTCAAATCTCAAGTCTTGTCCAACCAAGATCTTACACCGTCAGTACTACTCATGGGTGCAATTTAGTTGGATATATCACATCACCTCTCAAAAGCATACACGTCGCTCACGCATTGGCCAGTCGATTACCAAGTTAAATAGAAGTATTATTCGAATGCGAGACTATAGGTATCAAGCCAAATAATAACCACTCTATACCAAATCTATCTCTAGAGACCAACGTTGATGGGGGAGCAGCCAAGGTTGACGAGGCCCTTCTGCAACGGAAGTTAGCAGGGGAAGCGAACCAGAGTTAAGTGAGGATACGTACGAATGTGTTGTTCGTGCAGCAGACGGGGTGCTGGTTGCACTGACCACCGCCGGAGGAAAGAGCGCCGATAGGCGAACAGTCAACGCCGACCTGGCCAGTAACTTCCCCCACGACGATGCCGAGGAGGCCAAAGATGCCGGTGAGACTCTCGTCATCAGCCTAGATAACGGAAAGGAAGACTTAGTTCGCTGCTGACAAAACGTGCGAGGTGGACACGCACCTGCTTGACTGAGTTACAGCACTGAGCCGAACCGGTGTTGCATTGGTCGGCGGCGACGACGGCAGCAAGGGTGAGAGCAGCGAAGGTGGAGGCGCGCATGGTGATGAGTGAGAGTGGAAAAGATGAAGAACAGAGGGCAAGTGCTGGTCTGAGGGAATATTGGCTGATGCAGGCAGCATTTTATATGTTTTCGGATATGGGTCTGCTTTTCCCCGTCCTCCGCCTCATGTCAGGGTCATGGAGTTTCGGCGCGATTTGCCCTAGAGACCCGCTCTCGACCACTGGTAGCCAACGGATTATCCAGGAACACCACAGTGACCCTGTCAACGCATGTCAGGTAATTCGGAATTCGTGTGCTGGGGAATATCGCCGTCTTATTCGAATGTTCCACGACAGAGCCTCGACTTGGCCTCGACTCTTTGGCCCTTGGGGTAAGCCGCAGCTTTATTAGAGGAATGCTGTGTTTCGGGAGGCTGAAGCCCGCCATCGCGTTCAGTTGACGGTGAGGACTAGAAATCTTCATCAGTTCAGCCAAGGCAAGGGACCTTGCTGGGTTCTCAGAAGTTCAGGAGAACACTCGGCAGATCAATAAAAGGGAGTTCCGGAAGGATACCCTATTCATTTCCGCAAGGCCACCATGGACCACCGTGAGGAAAGCAAGCGAAGCCCCAATACGAAAGGCACGGAGCAATCCTGATTGAATGCGAGAAGCAAACTTCTTAAGCAGCTTCCATTGTGTTCAAACATGATGCTTCTCTCGAATTGAGCCTCAGCGGGACTTGTTCTCGGTGCTCCTCGGGACTGGCCGGAAATGATCAGAGAATGTGTGCAGAGACTTCAAGTACGAATGGAGTTGGAGCGACAAGGGCAACCATGCCAATCTACATCATCTTCCCTGTCAGTATCGACCTTCAATAGAACAAGGTGAACTAGGGACGTAATGAATGACGGAACGAATATCTCGCGAAGATATTTCTCTCGCAAGAAAAATGGTTTTGTTTGGAGCGGCCGAGAGGCGGAGTGCGAGAGACGCCTTTCAGAGACAGCCTTGCATTGGAGGTCCTTGCACCTAACCAGTTCCAATGGATTAGATTTGAATGATATGAAAAGCTTCCAGTGATGCTGTTTAGGGGAAGACAAGGGAACACTCAGAAAGGTTGAGACGCCAAAGAACGCGACAACAAACAGCGAATATCTCCGTAAATAGTCGCAAACAAGGAGTCGAAACTTTCCTCAGGCTGCTGCCGCGTCAGTTCGACTCAGTTGCGAACTGAAGCATTCACATACTTTTCCTACAAGCCAGGGAATCATCAGGGATTACCTCAGTCACGATCAATCGCGTCCTGAACGTAGAACGGGCCCGGGCAGTACCTACTACTAGCAGTGACCGACACTGATAGCACCAGACCTATCACGGCCAATTGTCTTCTCAGAAATACGTTCTTAATCCCCGTGGACGGCACAAGGTCAGGGGTACCAGGCGACTCGTCCAAACTCCGTATGCCTCTCTCGATTCCTGACCGCGAGATGTGGCCTGGTCATATCCAATATACGAGGGGCCTTGCTTTAGCGCAAGTCGCGGTGGACAAATGATCATATAAACAGAAGGGAACTTGGTTATTCTGGTCCTGACTCCTAGATCATGAATACTATGCGCTTTATCTAACAGGCTGTTAACTCAGCCAGCGTTTAATTAGTTGGCGTTGAGCCAGGCTTAATGATGTAAACGTCCTCGCATCGACGCGGATTTGTGGATCGGCTGGCGGTTGGGGCGCATTTAGGGAGCGCACTGAACAAAGGCGCCGGTGTTCCAGAGGTATACCGTGCATATCTAAGGCAAGTCCTGGAGGTCTTCCATGCCCTTCTTTACATCTGTTGTTTTACCATGCTCACCACATACTAAACTGCCATCACGCTCGCTGTGCATGTGGGTAGCTGTTACATCGATGTTTCGTGTTCGGATGTGATGGTGGCTTATGTGAAAGGAGTGGCGCGAAAAAAGCCGAACGACCATTGCATCTTTTATGCTACTTTGCCGCTGTTTGATGGTTTGGCTAGACCGGCCACACTCCGCGCATTGATACTGATCCCTTGAGCTTTAGCTGAAGCACTTAGCTGGTTGCACAGCACAATATTGCTAGTAGTACACCCGACAAATTAATAATTCACTGCTGAGCAGAGGCCACGCCGCCTTCTGTCGAGACCCACAGGCCCATACAGGGCGGCGAGCGGTTGCGATAAGTGTCCCTTGGACGGAAGAGCAATGAACACACCGTATTATCTGTTGACAGCAACGTCGTTGTCAGCCGTGCTCATCACTTTGCATTGCCTGCATTACTGCATGCATTATGATGCACTATCGGAACTCATCACTAATATCATGCTATACGTGCAGACCAGCGTCACGCATCTTTGATAATCTTCTTTCGTGATAACAGTAACACTACCATCAATCTGCACCCAAATGGTTCAGCGAGCGAGGCTAAATAGATGATTGTACAGCGATTGATATCGGTGCAATTCTCATCTAGTTACGAGGGCAGGATGGTCTGAAGATAGCCCGTCAAAACTGCGCCTTCCTGGCGTGAACAAGTGACGTAAGAATTGCATGGCAGTACTGGAAAAGATCCCTTATAGAACAGCACATGTTATTATGTAAAGGGTCTTATTGAGCCTACCAACTAACTAGCTACGCATAGATCACCTTCGAGGCCATTACACGCACTTGAAACTTTTCATCAGCAGGCCTCTATTCTTCCTTTGAGTCCCGCTACGTCAACTTGCAGGGAATAACACAGTCAACATTGTTGACATCGATGAGTACTTGCCGGAGCTCCCACCTCCCTCTGGACGATGCTCCAGAGTCTGAGTGGTGTTGCTATCCCTCGGCGCGCGACCAGACCCACGCGTTATGTTCCCACTCGTTGTGCGTGTTTCGACCCGCAAAATGACCATGTAGAACGTGATAGATATTATGGGCATGATCTTATTTTGTGTGGTAAGCTTTCCAAGCTCTGGTGAGTAAAAGGTGTGAAAGAGAAGACGCACAAGGTCGAGGGTAACATACAGTCCCTGGTTTTGCGTGACAAAAGTCAGAAGCACCGCGAGCAGTGTGATGGAGTATAGGAGTCCGGCGTCAGCAAAGATGCGGGCAAGCGGGGCTATCATAGAGCGATGTGGGTATCCTATGCTCTGCCGCATCAGGCGTTCAGCCCGGCGGCCGACGACCCATAGGCGGTATACTAGTAGCGCTGCAGAAGATATTATTGATGAGTTTCGGGATCATCAACCTATATACCAATAGCTCACATGTACTGAACACGTTTGCAACCAGACTCGACACAAGAAAAGGTGTAATCAGTAGTCCCGTTTCGGACGCGAATATATCGTTCTCTCCATCCTTGTTATGAATGAGGGTATAAACAGTCCCTGCTCCCGTTGCTAGAAGAAGCCTTGAGCACAGGATCCGCATGCCTTGTCAATAATCATATCCTACCACTCACCAGCGACGATAACCCAGAGTACAAGTGGTAACGCGACAACCTTCCATGATTGCCACGCAACATAACACCGGAATATCTGATAGATGAAGGCACGCACCGAACCGGAGGAAAATAGACGAAGGTTCGTTGGTTAGAGAGTAAGGTTGAGAGCTCGGTGACTTACCACGACGCCATCTCCGACAAGAGTCTGAAGTAAATATAGCAGGTTCTGGACCGCAAACGTCCATTGCGCCCGGTCCGCGAAGAACGCATTTGGCCCGCCAAGGTAGGAGTCACGATAGAGGACTAGCCCCTCGATGCACCGTATCACATCCACGATCCAGTACTGAGGAATGGGGTGCACACGGGCCGAGGTTTGTTAGTGTACCGCAGACATTGCACATGGCTAACGCCAGCCAGGTAGAAAGACACGCACAGCGGTACTCAGAGCAAAGAGAGCGAGGGAAACGACAAGCTTACAAGCCAGGACACGCTTTGGGCTGTCCCTAGTGAAGAGAACCCAGATGGTTCCAGCGAACAGAAGTAATGAAATCCCTTTGAAGATTTAAGAAGGGTGCCCGAAGAGAAGAAAATGTATGTGCAAACCATAGAGTACGCTCTCGAGCGCGAGTCCTAATATAGAGGCCATGTCGAGCGAGATACCGTTGGGAGTCATCGAATGATGTGGTCAGGCAGGCGGTATGACGGAGTCTTACCTGAGAAGGGCTCACAACTTATACCACATAGCTCTTGTGATGAAGAGGCCTGCAAGAAAAACAGCTCATTGGACGCATGCAACACCAGTGCTTCATCATTCCCCAAAGAGGCGAGCCCGGCGGGACCAGAAGGCCATGCAATATCCACGGCAGTAGTGAACGTTACACTCTGAGATCTGAGAAAGGGGCTTTGAAGGGCTAAATATGCGTGATGAATGACCAATTCGCACACAACATCACTAAATGAGGGGATGAATGATAAGTAAATGACCTTGACCGACATCACAGATCATGACAAACATACACCAGGGAAATGGTGAGACTCCGACACGAGTAGCATGTAAAGTCCGTTTTTAGCATGCAGGAAAGATCACAGGGATATGATCATAGCAAAGAATCTATAATCTACTCGAAGGGGCGTGTTATCATTAGCAGATACGGCATGATAATAACATATGGTACTCACAGCTATTATAACTCACAACACGTGCATTATAACGACTTGCAATCACGACAAGGTTTTCAATACCAAGAAATTCATTGCAATTAATATAGTACACTCTGCAGCAGACAATACAGTATACAAGAGAATATATTGAGGCTAGCATCTGCAAAGGATGAGTACAGTATGAGCAATATACGAGAGCAGCTCTTATTAAGCCCAGGCATGCGTCGCCCGCGAAGCAGCTTGCAGAAGCGCCAGGCAGGGAGAATGCGCAGCAGCGTGTACAGGCTCCTGAAGAGCGGAATGCCGTGCTTGTACGTCGTCGACGGAGCCACCGCACCTCCCTCCGTACCACCAGCCGCCGACCCGCCTCCCTCGGTCTCGTATACGCTCGAGGTCGTGCTCGTGTCTCCTGTTCTCGCCGAGCTGGATGATGCCGCGGAGCTGGCTGCGGATATAGATGGCGAGGAAGACGCAGAGTCAGGGGAGAAGGCGAGGGTCCAGCTCTGGAGGAGGACGAAGCGCCTAGTGGGCTCGACGCGCACGCGGGACGAGTCCAGGGCGTGGTAGACGAGCGCGTGGCTGGTTGCATGGCCTGTGTGCTCGGGTACAGCGAGGAGGACGTCGAGGGCGAGGGTGGATCGGGCTGGCGACAACAAAGAGGGTGAGGATGATAAAGGGGCAGAGGAGATAGACGAGCGGAGGAACAAGAGGTTGAGAAAACAAATGAATTAAAGCGAGACACTAATCGTACAGAGTACGGACAGAGGCTGATGTACTATGTAGTTATACGGAATCTTGCGACATAATCACGTGACGGCTCCTCACGCGTGTCACTTACAGCAGCAGGGTGTAATCCACAGGCTGCCAGGGAGAGAAAGGGTGGCGAGGGAGGTTTGGGTGGAAAGTGATGTATGGATACTGCAGAACAGGTAAACGAGGGAGATATCTTGGATGAGGACGAAGCAATAACTGATGAGGCTGAGTTTTGAAATTTGATGCATTGTAGTCTTCAGATAGTAGCTAACCGGTTTATGAACAGTTTCTTATAATCGAATGTTCATATTACATTTGATATGACATTCGGATTATTATGCTTCAACATATCGCGATAGATTTTATCTTGAATTTTGGTCCATGGTAAGCTCACTGCCATATGGTACTTAATGATAAGATCCCTATGATATGATAATCCCGTTATCAGATAGTGGGCTAACACTTAAACGATGTTGAATCGTCGCCAATTACGATCATACACAATTCTATTAACGGTCATCTTATAATACTCATAGTCTCCATTATGCCCCGAAAATTTTCCCCCGATTTAGTGATGAATGACATTCGCCGAAACATACCTTCGAGCTTCGCCAGGACAGTTCTGTAGGACGTCCTGGCCTTTCCTTATTCATGACTAAGCTGTACTCACTGCATACGCCGGGTCTCCATCATGTTTCCTATGTCTCTCGGATGTATTGTCGCACCTTGTGGTGTGAGGTGTTGAGCGGACTCAGTTGTAAAAAAAAACAGCATCACGGCTTTTATGATACATCCCAGGGGGTATTTGGTGACAATGCTGAAACCGTCACACGAAGTATCGTTATAGTACCTACTGAGTACTGAATATTGAATGCTGACGGTTTGAGCCTACCTGTGTGCGCTGTTGGCTCGCATCATGTTTATGACAACTTGGGGAAGATGGAAGAACTGATGCAAACGGTAGCAGATGCAACGACGAAAGAAGATCTTGAGCTCCTGGAGTCGGTACAGCTCCACCCATCACCGCCCGGGCATCCGAGAAGACTTGAGCGGTAAGAGAAGGTCCCGTCGAACTCTTGAGATCATGATATAGCAGTTGGCATCCTTCAAGTGACTGGTTTCCCCCGAAGGTGTTGTTTTCCAAAGACCGAACCGAGGCTAGTGTAAAAGGCTGTGGTTACAGGAGGGAAGGTAAAGCGGTATCAGCGATTGCGGAGTGCGATATGTTCTAAGAAGCAAGGTATGTAGATGGACAATTCGAGGGAAGGATTTGATAAAAGGTCTCGGTATGACTCATGCTCATGAGCCGAAAAGGGGAGTAAAACTTCCGGAATTAGCCCCTGTGAAGGATCTCACACGTCGAGTCAGAGCAGATGGTTCGAACTGAGACTTTTATGGCTGAACAATGGACAAAGAGAGTATTGGTCCGTGTTTGTGGCAGCGATTCAATTTCAGCCCTCTACACGCGATGGAACGCGTCTTCAAGATGTTATCTCGACCATTCCTTTGAGCCCGAGCACCCCCTCTCTTGTGCCCCTCGCATACAGCCAGTTTCAAGTGTCTCTTCCGCATATACACACATTCGCACCAGATTACAAGCCTCAACTGACCAAAAACGTGACATCCTTTCAGAATGAAGCGTGGGTTTCTCATCAATGCCCAGGAGAAGAAGGACAAGGCAAGAAAGCGTGCTGCTGCTCAAGCTCAAGCTCGGGCCCACGATGCCACCCCCCCTACGAACCCCACTAATCCATCCACCAGCTCTGCACAGGAAGATAAAAAGGAAGAAACACCTGCGACAAAGTAAAGCCACCCGACCATTACAGGTGCTACATGCTAATACGCGACCCCTACACAGAGAAAACGCCGATGCCACCGACAGGAGAACAGATGATCTGGCCCGACTAGACTTACATACTGTCCCCAAGTGGTTCAGAGACGAGATGAGGCCCGACGACACGCGCAACCGCGTCATCTTCCGCTACTGGCCGCGCGACCCCAACGGCCAGGTCATCAAGCCCTCGCCCCTCCGTGGCAAGGAAGCGCCCAACGGCATGAATCTCTGGGGCGCTACGCTCTACGACTTCTACAGGACCCGCCGCATCCCGGACAGCCCGTACCTGTCCACCATATCCACGGGCAGCCGGCTCGCCAAGACCATGCGCGAGTTCGGCGAGCTCGAGCACGCCAAGGACGAGATCGCGTGGGCGGACGAGGAGGCGGACCCGAAGGAGCTGCCGCCGTGCGACATCGGGAGGCTCGTCATGGACCACGATTTCCTCAATGCAGGCTTCGGCGGCGTGCCATTCGAAGGGTTTCGCCCCAGGCCCAAGCTCGAGCAGCGGATCCCGTTCCACTTGTTGCCCAAGAAGCTTATCGTTCATGATCCGTGGAACCTCTTGACTGTCTCTTCCGAAGACTTCGACTCGGATTCAGAACAGCCCGAGCGTCCGAAGCGTGAAGAACCAAAGCCGTGGACGGAGATGAAAGATATAACGCGCATATACACACTCAGTCTATCCGAGGCAGGCGAGGCCAAAGTCCGCGAGTCCCGAGACGCGGCGGAGAAGGAGACCAAGGAGCTCGAGGGATCGCGCGAGATATACCGGTTCATGGCTGGAGAGGTCAAAGAGGGCAGCACCGACATGCCGCTCGTCCATGCCATCTTGCCGCCGCGCCGCGCGCCGCGTATGGAGCTCCCCGAGGCCCACGTATATATCTCGCCGGTTGCGCACCTCGGGGAGGGACACCACTCAGCCGTGTACAAGGTCGAGCTGGAGCTGCCCAAGGACATGCTGATGGAGGAGAGAATCTGCGAGAACTGCTTGTCGAGGAAGGTACACGAGGCTGTCGTCAAGATCTCAGAAGAACGCGTCGAGGCCAAGCGCAAGGCGAAAGAGAACGCGAATGAGGCCGGTGCCTCGGAGACTCAGCCTGATGACGATGTCGAGAGTGTGTGGAACAACTGTGGCAAGTTTAGTGTGGAGTACGAGAGTGAACCGCGCCGCACGTTGGCCTTTGTGGATGACGAGACCGACCGCTGGGAGGAGGACGGGCTTAGCGCAGCAGCGAAGGCAGAAAGAGACAGCAGGACAAGTCGTGACGCAAGCCGCAACAAGCCCGCCGAGGAGCCCAAGGATGCCCAACCCACGCAAACGGACAAAGGAAAGGGCAAAGCCAAAGAGGCTGACGCCTCGCCTGCGGAGAAGACCAAGAGCGCCAATAAAGAAACCTATCTCATCAACCCGTCCGTCGTGCACCAGAAAGTGACGTACGAGGGCCACTGCCTGCAGCTCCACCCCGACATCGAGTGGCAGTCCGCGGGGAAGCCGCCCGTGTGCGAGCACTTCGAGTCCGCGCGGGGCTTCTGGCACGCATACACTCGCGTGCTCGTCGCAGCGAAGCTCTCGAAGCAGAATGATGCACACCTCGCGCGCGAGGCGCGCAGCTATCAGCTGTTCCCGGACCACTTCTTCCAGCACTGGAGCGGGTACAATGTCATGGCGCCGCTGCACGACCCCGTCCCGGTTATGGCGCTCGTGCCGCAGTTTTATGGGTATTATGTGCCTGATCCCGCACCAGCTGCCGCGAAGGGCAAATCAGAGGACGAGGACGAGGACGAGGACGAGGACGAGGACGAGGGAGGAGAGAAGAAAAGCGAAGACGGAAATGAGGCTGGAGACAAGGAGGAAGGACAAGGTGAAGGTAAAGAGACGACCGAAGATGACATGAACATGAAAAGCCCAGGCGCAGAAGCCAAGGAGCAGCCCGAAGACCCGCTCCCAGATTATCTGAGTCCCATCCTCCTCCTCGAGCACTGCGGCGTGCCCATCGACGTCGACACGCTGTGCGCGGACGACAGAAACGAGTGCGCGTCGCTGCTGCTCCGCTTCCACCACGAGGGCTGGCTGCATAACTCCTTCGCGGAGCGCAACATCCTCGTGCAGGCCGGCCCGATCACGGACTGGCCCCTCGGGCGCATGTTTAGCGACAAGTACTCGTTCCGCCTCATCGACTTTGGGCGCTCGGCCAAGTACGAGCGGAGCCTCGACAGGGCGGCGGAGGAAAGCGAGATGGCGAGGTTGCTGAAGCTTATGCATTTTGCCGAGACCTAAGGACAATGTTTGAAGGAGACTCTAGGAGATGGAGGGAGCGCGTCAGTGCTTTGAATGCGACCCAGCTGCGAAAAAAGAAGTTTCTCGACGTGTATTGTTATACCTCTTTGATACCACACTGTGTACCCCATAGATCCTGCTGTGAGGAACAAAAAATGTATTACCTACAACCACACGGCTTGGTACTATACATGCAATCATTTTGTCCCTGATACATCGCCTTTCATCTTGGCCTTGGCCGAACGAGCACCCCAGGTATAAGCGCCGGAGGCGGTGGCAGCGGTGAATCATGCCTCGCAAGTTCTGCGAGACCAGCTGCAAAACCATTGCTGCGCGGCAGCCGCGGCGTGAGCGGGACATCGTCGAACACCTCCCTCTCCTTCTCAACCCTACCCTCTTTGACGCCCGGCGCACCCCACGTCGGATGATAGATGCCCAACGCGTCCGGGTGTACCCACCGTGCCGGAGGCTCGTCGTGCTCGTACTCGTAGAGACTGACGATGTCGTCGAGCTCCATTCGCTTCTCGACTCGCCTTGGCACCTCGATCCGCGCGGCCCGGAGCGACTCGTGCGTCTTCAGTGCGGCAGTGGCGGCGACGAAGCTCGCGCTCCGCTCGAGCCGGTCGCGATCTGCGTTGCGCGCGCGGACCATGCTGCGGTGGTGGTGGCATGCCAGGATCGATGATGCAACTAGGATGAGGCCGAGGAGGGAGAGTGGGACCGCGAGGATGGCGACGGAGGAGGCAGATGGTTTGGTGAGGATTGATTGCGGGCTGTCATCGAGCGGTATTGAAGAATCGGGGGAGGAAGTTGGTGCCAGTGCAGGGCTGAGGGCGTCAGAATCAGGTTGACCAGAGGAGTCAGACGCGGGCGAGGTGGGTGAAGAAACTGGCAAATCCGCGGTTTCGTTGTCGGAAGCCACAGTAGGTGAGGATGAGGAAGGGTCGGCTTTGTCGTCAGACACCTCCGAGTTGGTGGCGGAATGTTTCGGTGAAGGTTGTCCCGTTTTCTTGGCAGAGCTGGATGGCTTGGATGTCGGGCTATTGGAGGATGGGTTTTCTAGAGACGTGCTGTTACTTCCACTATCCGTTGATGCGTCCGAACTCGCCGGAGCAGCAGCTGAATAAACCGGGGAATGGGCCATCAGTAAAATGAAACGTCGAGACGACGAGGCAGCACTCACAGCTCAGTGTGAAAAGCGGAGAAGTTGCCTCTTTCCCAAAGTCATCACGCAATTGCAAGTACATCTCCAATTGGTCTTCAGTGATGTTGGGGGCCATACTACAATTTTCATGAGAAGTTGTTGAAACCGCAAGATGAGGGACAAGCTCACAGCGAAGCCGTATAAGAATCTCCGTCATGCTCAACAGACGGCCAAACAGAGTCTCCGCAATCGTCGTCATCGCCTTGGGACCTCCTCGAATTCGAGTCGTCTGAATCATTATCGCTCTGTACACAAAGGCGAAACGATGGGGAGACAAGGGACTTCTTGGCTGTCCATTCCGCCTGAAACACGTGCCCAGCCAAGTAGCTGTGGTTATGCTTGGGACTTTTCCAAGTGAGGTCGAGAGACGTCGAGCGGGTATCATGTAAGAAGCCAGCCATGATCAACATGGAAGGAAAGTATCCGCGGTGGAGATTACCCAGAGCCGAGAGCATAATGAAGAGTCAGAAAAGAGTGGACAGCGACGGAGGGTGCGAGATAGGTCTCTTCCTAGGCCGGCAGGAAGTGTGGAGGTAGGGCAGCCCTCAAGGCGATGGTGCAAGTCAGGGATGGGGAAGCCTATCAGGACGATTGCATCTAAAGGCTGCCCGACACACTTGGGTAGATTTGAAACGATCCTGCGAGGTTCACCGTCTCATGTTCAAGATGCGACTGGAGTCGACGCGGTGGAGTCGATGTCCATGGTACCCCCTTCTGTACTGTCCGTGGGCTGATCCGACCCAAGTGCACGCGATGAAAACTGAGCAAGCTGCTCCCTGGTTTCAGGCGTTGACCGTCAGGCTACGGGAAAGCACCTAACTGCTTAGCGCGAGCGCACCTCTTATGTTCTTTGAGTTTCGTCAGCATCTCAATGACCTCATCCTGATCCATCACGGACAGCTCGCCTCCAGGTAAGCTCGATGCGTAATCCTTGGCTTGTGAAAGGGCATTCTTGAAGTCGTTTGTCTGTAGAGAAAAGGTGATGAGATGGAGAAGCCTTGGCGACGGGATGACTGACAGCTTGGAGGAGTGCTTGTCGTGCTTGCGGTGTCGTGACTCCCTCGGATGACTGAGTGAGCTGTAAGACCACACTCAGCTTTTCGTAGAGGCTTTCAAATAAGCTGGATGGGATAGTAGAGGTACTCATAAGTATGGGATGGTGGATCGTAGACGCAAACTTAGAGACGCGACCTCGCTTAAGCTTGTCGCCTGCCGGTCGCCACAACTTGAACTCATTACTCAACGTACCAGCACTGACCTCGAGCTTTGTATGCCCCACCCCACAGGAAAGCTCTAGAATCGACGTCTCTCCGTACGACAAACCCAGCTTCCTGGCAAGGATACGCGGCCTGATTGTACTCCATTGTCGACTCGAAGTCTCATCGGCCCTAGTCTCTCATAGGCAGAAATCCCTATAATTCGGAAGGCCCCAACAAAACTAGTCTTAGATAGGCTATGCCTTCAGCCTCAGCTAGAGCAAATTGAACCGATTGCGGCCTGTTGTTGGCAGCTGTAAGCATGAAGTCTGGATCTGAGAGCCTGGGTATCGGATTTCTCTCAAGGTCACGATAACGATTTCGTGCCTCAAGGCAGTTCCACTATCAACGCACATTCTCCAAATTTTCTCCGTCCATTCCTCATTACGACTGAATGAGTCGCGATCGACTAGTCAACGTCAAGCAGCCTTTCCCTAACGAAGGACATGTTCTGCGCCTTGTACATGCTGGACCACGTTTCTACGACGTTTCATTGCAGTGCGACCTAGTACTGCCTCCTCGAGCGCAGATCATCGTCGTAAACCCGCTATTTTCCCATCAGAAACCACCAGCTAATTATTCCCAACACGGGACGGTCGGAACCCGCATAATTGAACCTTAGAAAACCTTTCTCTAGGGGTGCGACAAGCTGTAATGCGGGTCACAAACCTGGGCGGCCCGCAGCTCGACCCCATTGGCACGGCCAAATGAGTCCCTATGGCGCCGAGGGTCTTATAAGTTCTCTTGCCTTGATGCACGCGCAGGCTGTAATGGGCCTTTTGTATCTCAATGGCAACGCTCACCGACAATGAGCTAGCGTATGCTGCACAGTCCTTTCAGACGGCAAATGTGAGTTCTCCGATAGCCCTTCGTTCATCTTATATGGCGGCTCTGATCGCCTGGGCACGAGGCAGTACTCGTATGGTACGCATCAACTGTACCACCTTGTGGAACCGAGCTCGTTGACGACTTTGGACAGTCTCGGTCATCACCATATGGGTACGTAGTTCCCTGGAACACTGACACTAGGGCTAATTTGTCGAAAGCTGTACGACTACTTCTTAACGCTTGATGATGAGGTACGCAACAACGCTGCTCGCACCGCGGCAGTGATACGGACGCATGACCCGTTCAGATTCGATACCTTCGTAACTCGAATCTTACCAAAGTCAAGGTGCTGTATATCGCTACTCGTAGCTTACCCTTTGCGATGCTTGGAATATGGGGACCCAGTGAGTCTTCCTCCATATGCTTATAGTTGAACCATGATTCATCGGGTTAAAGAGTACTTGAAGCATAACACTGTCAATGTGAGGACCTTTTGTGAACGATCAAGGCGTCGACTGACGATTGCTCTAGCAATGCAATGTTCTGGGCACGCCAGCCGGTGGTAAGCCTTTGTTCTCCAATTTAGGGGAAGCTCACCAGAATCATGACATGTGCAGCTGTTAACGCGCTCATGATAGTGTGCGCAGAATGTAAGTGTGATTCCGACATAGCGTGTCCCTTTTGGTGACCTCGCTTCAGCCATGTTCATAGTCCGAACTTACGCATTATGGGGCTTGAACAAGCGAATACTAGACCTAGTGTTAACGACGTTTATTGTGGGTTCTCATAGTACGTTTCGTCGTTTGTGCTGAGCTATACTCTTAGACTGTTGCCGCTGCTGCTATAGGCATCGTCTTCGTGCCCGACGGCACTACTGTATGTAAGAGCATCTCCCTCGGTCGTAAATGGGTGTAAGTTGACTGATTGTCTGACCAGTCGTATCGCTTCCTATATCCATCACGGGCTGTTTCATGTTGAAACAAGGAAATCTATTCGCGGTTACATTCGCTCTCTTGATCGTGTTCGAGCTAGGTAGGAGCAAGGTTTACATGGTTCATCTTCGTGGATCTGATTTAGGATGCTGAAATGAAGAGCTTGTTACCCTCACCGTCATACGTGTAATCAAAGTGCATCAGTATGCGAGAGGTGATCTAGCACGAACATTGATCCAGCACAACGTTTTTTACTTCGTCTGCGGTCTATGTGCGTACCTTTCCTAGAGCGTGCTTCTTGGCGCATTTAACAAAGGGTGCTACTAGTCTTTTCTATACTGAACATCATCACTGTCGTCAGCCTGAAAGTAAGCAAACAAAGGTCCCGGCTCATTTGAATAGCTCACGCATCATCCACAGTATGGGTACAGCGGAATGCTAGACAAGTCAGCCGCCATTTGCACCTCCTCTTAACTTAACGAAAAGACTGATACCGTCCTTCTAGTCTTCAGCTTGTAATGCACTGCATTCTTGCTACTCGGATGCAGCGGTCACTTTGGCATGCGCACGATCACGAAGGGTTAGAAGATGAGACTTTAATCATGCAACTCTCTGACATGCGTTTTGGTTCGGTGCATATGTGAGCTCCTATCCGCTCGTACTGCCGTTCGTCCACGCCAACTGACGTCAGATGCAGTAGTGCAGCGCAGATCAGTAGGGATTGTGTGAGCTGAGAGTTGTAACTAACAATGTGTCGTTCATATACTTGGCCTGATGTGTAATTATGGATCTCCGCCGTCGTCGAATATGGTGAGATTTCCTCGCAAGTCCAAAACCCATGATTGATAAAACATGCCCAAGCTTAATGGGACCTTTTTCCTGTTCAGCCTTAAAGATCGCTGTCTTTGTTACCTCTGCAGTCCGAAATAGACAACAGCTGTGTTTTTTCTGATGTGTGGCATTTCGGAGTTTACTACGAGGTATCTGATGTGCAAAAATCATCCGTCGCTGCTGTCTGCTTGATTCCTCCGGCGCAACATCTAACCCTTGGTTTGAAGACTCTTCCTTCCGGCAATGGCCGTTCAAAACGTGACCAGCCTATTAGCTCCCGTTGGCTTTGGCTGAGCCAATACGCGATAACATGCTGTAAACCTTTTAATATCTCCAACATCATCGGCACTGACTACTGCGGTTGATACATCGCAGTGCATGAGCCTCGTTTCTGATCATCAGCTCTTGTTTCGTCCTGGCAATGTTACAGAGCACTGGATACCCTATAAGAGGCCCTTTGTAGGCCCGTATTTCAGATAGCACCTCTCACCATGGCAGAGCTCTCACGGGAAGACTTTGAGTACGCTTTACGAAGTATTCAAATAGCCAACGTGGGTATCATGTTTGTATATTCTCTGGGTTATGCTTCATCGTTATCTCAATCTAGTATGTATTCGGTAAGTGCATGCAATCGTTGCTGCTGAACCGCCACGGTGAATACTGCATGGTATATGTTCTACGATAGTCTCAACAGTCTGCCTCTGGGTAAGCATCCAAAGTCAATCGTTATCAGAACTTTCATGCCAGCATTTGATATCTTAGGTATATCATTATTGCCTCAGCTTTCATGAAGAGGTCAGAAATAGTGATCAAGGGTATGCGTTTGGTTTCACCTTCTCTTAGGTCTTTTTCCTCCACAAGGCAAAGAGGGGCAAGCTGAAGCTCTTGTACGTCATCGTCCTTGGTTCAACGCTGTGCGTGATTGCAATAGACGGATATGGTACGTCATAGCCTTCGGTAAACAGGATGATAGATCACGAAATCTACAGTGAATCTCAAAAATAGCTCACCTCAGGTGACGATCGTATTGTATCAAAGAGTCTGCGATTTTCTTACGGGTTGAGGCCTTGCGGGCCTATCCAGGTTTGTAATACGATTTCGATGCCAGAATCAGGTGAGGGCACTCAAGCTGTCGCAAAACATGATGTGTTCTCCCAGACTCAAGATCATATCCTTTCTATCTTATAGCTATTTCTGCATTGTTGGTTGTCTGCACGCAAAGTCAGTAGTTACAGAAGCTCACGTTCAAAATGGCCATTTCGTGTACTGAAAGCCACAGCTATGTTCATTGTCCGAACTTATGCCTTGTGGGCCTTGAGCAAGAAGATACTGGTTTTCGTGCTAACACCTTTCATCGTGAGTTAAACACTGAAGTTAGGATATACTGTAGTTCTGATGTTTGGTCTTTTTGCAGGTTTTCCTTCTTGCCTCATTGTCTCTGCTTCTATCTCCTGAGCCATCAGGATTTATGGTCGGATGTTTCCCCGAAAAGCAAGGGAACTATATCGTAATCATCTTTGGCCTCTTACTTATCCTAGACCTAGGTAAGAATCATCGGTTTCGTATTGAGAGGCTCTACCAAAACACTAAACCTCTGTAAGAGCTTGCAGTCTTTACAGCAATCAGCACCTTTGGGAAATATAAGCACGCCAGGGGTATCCTTGTTCGCATACTGGTTCAACATAATTTCTTTTACTTTGCGTTTAGTTCGAGTACGCCCAAATCATCCCATCTTTCTGCGAGCGGGGTGATAACATATGCTCTTGCTCAGGTTTAGTGACTGTGAACATTGTAATGATGCTTTCGCTCAAGGTTTGTTAAGTTTATTTAGTCATTTGGATTGATTGCTCCATTGATTGATATTAGTACGGATACAGCGGATTGCTTGGCGAGTGAGTTCTAACACATACGATGACTTTTATGAATATAAAAACCTCCCGTAGCTCGCAGTCCATCCTTCAGTCTTTACTCGCTGCTAGGATGCATAGAAATTTATGGATGGCCGATGCAAGAGACAGGGACGAGCCTGGCGATACTACTATACCCGCACAATTATCTGAGCCACGCTTTCAGTCTCCGTGCGTAAATTCTACTTGGATCGAAATAGGCTCATCCATTATAGCTCAGTGACCATTCGGACAACTCCATGTGATAGCTACGCCATTCCCTATAGAGGCAACTACTGCTTGGAGCTTTCAGTAATATAACTTCGCCTTGTTTGCAGCTTATTTCGATCGTACAAAATGATTCCGTCCAGGGGCACTTTCATTGCCAGCGTCCGAGCTGTCTATTGCAACGCCCTGATCTTGCCATTGTCAAGCTATGATCGACCGGAGGTGCATCCAGTCAACTGATTTACGGAAACAAACCTTACAACTCTGAATTGAAAACGTGTTTCATAACAATGTGCGTCATGGCTAAGACACATCAATCAATTCATATAGATTATCCCATAGTATCGCACGCCATTAGTAGCGATCGATCTAGCACAGCAACAATCAGCGGACCTCAAATCGAGATGCGCCGTATCAAAGCGGCTTCAACTTGCATGCAACAGTCACTTTGGTTAAACGCACAGTCGGAAGATCAGACCGTAAACATCATTCCGCCCCGCCCTTTGGCTCTTTGACCACACGCGTGAGTTCCTGCCCGTTTGTGCTCCTCCTCTGCTCCGCGGACCAGATAATACCTCGTGAAGTACTTGTCAATGTATTGGAAAATTGATGCTGGCGGCCGTCGTGCGGACTTATCGTACTCAGCAACTATTGTCTTGCATTGCCTCGAGGTCGAGTCAGCTAATTAATCGACTCGCTAGATCTCATGTGCATACTGCCTTTTCCTCCTTACTGACTCGGTGCCTTGACAAGGAAATATCGATGAGATCACTTGCAAATAGACCCGCTATCTTTCCATGCGGTCAGACCAAACGTAGCCTCTTCGTAGACGTTATCCGGGCCGCCCAAGCCCTGAGTGTTGTTTCCACGAGTTCTCTGGGATTAAACTGCTTCCGATCAGTACCTCGCATCTCAAGTTCACTCCTCCGACACTGCATCGAGTTCTCGGTGAGAATCTACTCCTGACGGCACTGAGCTCGAACTTCATGTGAGTGGTCAACCAGTTCCGTTCGGTCCAGAATCGTCCAGCGGGATACTCCGTACCGTGGTACGGTCCTTGAAATATGTCAGTTAGTACTGGGATTGACTGCCATGAACATGATAGAAGCAAGCTGTACGCCCTATACATAGCCTCTATTCGAAGATGCGCTTTTGATCATCTGCATCAGCGCTCGGTCTAAGTTAACCAACGCATTCACATCTATATAAAACGAGATTCGCCGTGCACTGGCGCATTGCGCTGCTACTTATATTGGCAGCGCTGTCTTATCTATTATACAAAGGTCTCATTCTCTTCTTCCAATTCGAAAATATTGCTCTCATGACGACCACGCTTTCACCCGAAGAAGCTGAGTATGCTGCTAGAAACACACAGGTGTCCAATGTAAGTACCAATCATTGTCATCAGTTCCGTCTCAGATTAAACTCTAACGCCATCTAATCCAGTATACATATGGTAAATCTAAACTTGATTGGTTATTAACAACGAGGTTTGACGGTTGATTGAAGTCGCCGTAACATGTTTCTGGGGAAGTACACTAAACATGGCCGTAACGCTTCGACATGCTTACCTGCAGTCGTATCCAGGTGTATCATCACTGCCTGGATTTTGACAAAGAGGTGTGTAACGTTGATTATGATGAGAGGCGATCTTGTAACAAGAGTACCGTTATTCTTCCCCTTCCTAGGTCCTCTACCTCATTAACGCCAAGATGAGCAAGCTGAAGGTTCTATATATGATTACTCTTGGTTCAACATTGTGGACTCTCGTCGGAATGAATTACAGTAAGCCAGCGTCCTTGAAGGTGATATAATAATCTATTTATCAAGTCTACAGCATGCGTTAGAAATAAACCGTTTTTAGTGAGTTAACCAGGTCATTTTGCTATGTGGATAAAATGAGTAAATCACTCGTCCAGTGCGATGGTGGCCGTCCACAAGTAGAAGGTGAAGCTCATGATTTGATTTACGCCTGCTGGCTCACTTGTGATCAACGAATCCTATTAGTTCCCGGCGTACTGATGGTTTTTTGTACGGAAAGTAGGTTGCTTTCTATACAAAGTTTCACACCGTGGCCTCATGGGACAAATGATCTAGCCATGCTCATTGCGCGAATCTACGTCTTGTGGGGCCTAAAAAAGAAGATACTAGCCATTATGTTGACGACTTTCTTTGTGAGTTTTAGTTATTGGCTGTAGTGAGAAAATGACTTTAACTGTTGGACAATGCAAGGCTACTGTTTTAACCTCGTTGTTACTACTCTCTTCAAGGTGGTCAGTCGTGAACAATTCCGGGCATTTCTTGGGCACCAGCAAACTCCTGCCGATTATTTACATTCCATTCGTTGTATTAGAATTGGGTATGTACTTATTATACTCTAACGTTTCCTTACAGTGTCGTAACCTGTAGAAATCCTGGACGAGGAAGAGTTCGTATTGTTGACAGCAATCAGTGCCTTCTTGAAGTACCGCCAAACCAAAAGCCGGCTTGCCCGTACGATGATTCAGCACAATTTCTTTTACTTTACTTGCAACCTGGGTATGTGACCCTCTCTTGTTCCGTGGCCTCGAAGCTAATCTGTTCTATCTCAGGTTTGTCGGTCACAAATATCATATTGATGGTTTGCCTCAAGGTCAGCTGAGTCTTCTATCTTTCCCTTAGCATTAATGACAAACTGGATGATCCCAGAGTGGATACAGCGGAATGTTTGGCAAGTGAGTAGCCTTACATGCATTGCCGACTGAGAATGTGAAACCTCTACTTAGCACGCAGTTCATACTCCATTCCTTGATCGCAACTAGGATGCATAGGTGTTTATGGATGACAGACAAGGAACTAGGAGGTGAGCTAGAGACAAGGACGAGGGGGATGTCGAACATACGCTTTCAGTCACCGCGTATACTTTCTCAGCAGTCTGGAGAATGTTCAGTGAGTGCAGCTTTGATATCTGTCGCAAAATATGTGACAAAAGCTTACACGAACATTATGCTATAGTAATGTTCGCCTTGGTTCTAAGCCAGCCTGTACAGTGTTCATCAAATCGGGGGTTGCGTTATGAATAGCTTAACGATCTACTATGCATCAGTCGTGTGCCAATATGAGTTTCCCAGGCTATCTCCAACTAAGGCCAGCACTGGCTATGCAATTTGGTCATTTCTTGTCGAAGCGGAAGCATCGCGCTCGTGCGTTGTCGTATTTACCCGAGTAAAAAGCCGACAATTACGCAGGACATGTGTTGAATGTAAGATAGTTATTAGGAAGATACTGAACGAAAGCAGTATCACGACAAGTACAAGTGGTGATACTAGAAGGTGAAGGCGTGTGTATATGGTGGAGAGTAGCTCTACAAGTATGGTATGTATATGTTATAGAGACAGCTTGATAAATGCAGTCTGGGCGATGCATTGTCTCGATGCATGTAGTTTGCCTGTTAGGATACATTAATTTCTATGAGTGAACCCTGCGATCGAAGCAAGCGGGGTTAAGACAAAATGTTATCATAAGGCAAGATGAAAACTCGGACTTACTATTATGTCATATGCGGATTAGTAACAAGATGATGGTGGGATAACAGTGGAGAGGAGAGATGCGGGGAGAGATCGAGAGAGATGCAAGACGTCCATGCGGGGGTAGTCTAGTCGGATTCGGAGTCATCTGAGGACGAAAGCAATTTCTCCTTGATGGCGGTGGAGAGCGCTTCACCGAAGGTTGGCATTGGGAAGTAGTCGGGGTCGGGGAACGAGTCATGTTTCGAAGGGAACTTCACGTGTCGTTCGATGTCTGCTATGCGCAGCGAGTACTCGGAGATTTTGTGACGGATAATGTCTCTACTGCTTTCCGTTGTTTCGCCTTCCTCGAGATATCAGCGGCTTGAATTAGTGTGAAGACATGGAGCGGCGCAAACCTTCTAACGCAGATGCAAGACAATCAATCGCGTCACGGTATAAGCGGAGAGCTTCGGGATAAGAGTGATTGTTATCCTCGTCAATGGCCTGAAGCACCAGACCGAGCCCCTTCTAAAACCAGGATCGATCATGAAGACCACTGAGAGTCGAGGCGGCAGGACTCACCTCAAGAAAACAACGGTTAGATAAAGTTACCATTGGCCCTTCCAGACAAGTTGGGATTCCCGAGACCGAAGAATGCAAAAAAGAAGGTGGATGCGAACAGACAGGAACAGACAAGCCGCCAAAGTACTTATACCTTCGGGCATGCCGCGCACATGTGTTAAGGGTCGCATCAAATTCAGTGCTCCGCCAGCACACTGGCTTACACAGCAAACTTTGTCGCGTCGAGTTCTGTGACTTCTGTCAACCTTGACTTCGTTGAGTCCGTTGAACACGGCGTGCGGGATTGCGCCTACCGGACACTCGGCCACAATTCGGGATCGCCTAATGATCGCGTAGAAAATGAGCGTGTTACATATAGGGGCCAATAGGAGTTCGCTCACAAAGCTGAGTTCCTGGCTCGGCGCTACGGACCGACAGATGAACATGGCAACGCGTCAATCTGCTTTGCGGGTCATCGTAGGTCAACGCTGGTTGGCGCCGACAGCGCAAGCAATCTCTGAGCGCGCATGATGTCAGTTTTTCGGCCACGCAAATTTTGACACCGGCTAGCCCTGTCTCCTCGCTTATACTTGATGTCCTCTAAGACGGGTGCGATTCTGTGCGATTCTGTGCAATTGCTATTAGGTGTGATTAAGCGTGATAGTAACATTATAACACTGCTCGGATTATTACCAACAGAATGCGTAGTACATAGAAAACCTGAAGAACTTTTTCTGCGGCGCAGTCGCTAGAAAGATCGGTTGCCGAGAGACGCAGCCTAGGCAAGAAGCTGCACGAAGGGGGCCGTCGGGCGGTCTTCTCAGGGAAACATTAGCGTCATAGAGTCTAAATTAAAAGACAAAGTCCAGAAGAAGAACCCATTCGAAGCGTCGATTCTTCGATCTTGCCGACGCACGGGCCCTGAAGGTCGCGAGGCGTCGGAGTGATGGGACCATCAGACTCTTCCGGGGATGAGCTCGAGCCCGAAGCGACGCCGGGGAGACTCCATGAGGTGCCGTAGATTTCACGCATGATGTTGATGACCTCTCCCTCGGTGGGAGAGTCACCCGTGGTGGTTGGATGCATCGGAAGCTCAAAGTCTGGTTTAGAAAACGAAAATTTGCGGCGAAGAGCGGGTAGGCCACCTCGGAACATGGATCGGCATCGACGTATAAGGGTTAGCGGCTTCGGAGGTCGTAAATGAGGTTCCACTGGGTCTAACCCAATGTCGTGGCCGCTTTGTACCGCTTCATCAGAGACCGGCGAGCACCCACGACCCTCGGAGCGCAGAACGGGAGTGCTGAGAGGATTCTTTCGCAGTTTGTTTCTAGCCCTGGTCGCCACTGAGTTCGTCGTCATGGTCGTATAAGAGTCGCGCTGCCGTAGAGTCAGTGTGTCCATGATAGGCGATTGTGGCGAGTGATCAGAACGCAAGCGAAGGCCGAAGTTGCTTTCATGTGTCCAAGATGAAGAGCAACGAAGCGACTTCGTTTCGGGTTGCAAAGTCGACTGAATGGTCGGTACCAAGTTCCCGAGCTGTTCCTTGGGAGACGTGCTGGTAAGGGTCCTCCAGTCCTGCTTCCCGGTCGCGTTCTCGGTTGGTTCGTCCTCTACAGACGCTTCCGGTACGATGTCCAGCCGAACAGCGTTCTTGTCATAACTGAGGGAAGACTTGCGGTGTGATGGTTTGAGGCGCTTCGCTGTGCTCGTAGGAGCTGCTGCAGCCGAGACGCCTGAGGTGACTCCAGCGACAATAGATCGAGGCCCTTCTACAAAACAGGCCGACGTGACGGCCTCTGACCGATGATCGCTATCGATGTTAGGAATGGAAACAATGCTAGAAGGGACTGCGGCGAGGTTCAGCAGTAAAGCGTACCCAAAAGGTATAAATTACCTGATGTACTTCTTGCGATCACCTCATCCCATTTTCTACGAGTGTCTTAGCGAAAGAATGCGCTTCTTTCAAGGAAATACTCACACGGATGAGAAATAATTGTGATTTATGAGCTCCTTTGCCGTATGTCGTAAAGCTGGGTTACGCTCCATGCACTGATCACAGATTTAGTGACCTTGTCTCGTAGGGATTTGGGACCGACCTTTAGGATGATATCCTGGGCCTCAAGAGCAGACGGAGGTGACGACGGAAATGACACGCCACAGTGAACGGTCTTCGTCCGGAGAACGATGGCATTGTCGTGATCCACCTCGGTCACCAATGGATGCTACTCAAGCAATCAGCCAGCCATGATGTATGAAACACCCTTCCGCACTCACGCATCCGAAGAGCATCGTAAAGAGCACCTCGCCAAAGCTCCAGCAGTCTACGTGGGTGTCGTGGCTCCAACCCAACAGTTGTTCCGGGGCTTGGTAAAGCATGGACTTCGTCGTCTCCCCAGTCGTACTCGGCGATGATGGTAATGTCTTTGTATTCGAACCAAAGCCAGATATGACGACGTGGCCGAAGGTGTTGAAGAGGATGTTGTCGGGCTTCAGGTTTCCGTGAGTTATCTTGGCCTCGTGCAGGGCCTTGAGCCCTTGGATCTGTTAGGACTTTCGTCAACTTATCGTCAGTTAGAAACCTGAGACATGACCCACCATCTCGCAAGCGTAGAAGCGAGCGCGTTCCGCCGGGAGAGTGCCTTCTCGCGACATGAGCTCTGAGAGGTTTCCTCCGGGGTAGAAGTCCTAGCTTTCCGTTCAGACCACATTAAACTGCGACAGACAAGGGAAACTTACCGCTACCAAGTACAAGAAGACCTCATCCTGGAAATACCAACGTAGCGGAATGAGGAATGGGTTCCCCAATTTGTCGACAGACTCGAGAGTCTTTAAAAGGGTAAGATACGTTTTGTCCGCAATCGGGGAGTACGTCGGGCTGCAGTCTTTCGTAACAACCTTTACAGCGTACAGCTGGAGGTTGTCGCGCTTCCTACAGAGATGCATGCTGGATTCGTTCCCGTGGGAGAGAGCATGGAGAAACTTGAACGATTCGAGGGTGACTTCCCGCGGAGTTGCGCGGCTAGAGGAAGGCGTTTTCGGCGTTTTGGTTTTGGGAGAAATGACCATGACTTCCTACTGGAATAAGTACTGGAGACAAAGTTAATCATTTCAACGCACCTCAACAAGACCATTATTATACTTTGGCGATAATTCATCCAGTGCTCGGATCTGTGTTGACACGTAAGGCGCGCATACATGCATGCATGCACTATATGATGACATATTTAGGGAGAACTATACCTCAACATTATAGCTCTCGTCTGGTAGAGCCGCCTCGGGTTGCATTGAACAATTGCCAGGAGATAAATAGAGGTCCTCCATCCCAAAGAGCGGAGATGTCTCGTCTTCGACCATCACGCTGAATGATTCCTGCATTTAGATGCATCAGCGACCAATAACGTGCAGTCAAAAAACCAACCGAAAACGGCGAAAGGTCCCATGCTGTTGCCGAGAGCCGCGGAGGCACCGGACTACTGGGGTGCTGTTCTGTCTTGTCGTGATCCTTCTGCATGTTCTCGAAGTCACGGAGGATATATCCAAGTTCAAGAGTAGATGGGTAGTCAAAAATCAGGCAAAATGGAGGGCGACGGATGAAAAGGCGGTCGAACAAGAAGGTAGAGACAGAGCCGATCGCCCACGCTTCGGTCGCCAGGTAAGGCGCGTTCCATCACGTCACGTTCTCTGAAAGTCAACCAGATCGAAGTGCCAAAATCAAACATGCCATTGTACTTTTCAGTCAAAAGGGATACAGGGAAGGTCACCGTGGAATAGCCGTCTTAAACAGTCTCAGATATCTGAATGTGGTCCATCGAGTCTATAGATACATTATATAGGGGTGTACGCCGGGGGAGGTTCGTTATTTTCGTCCACTACAGAGGCCGTGTCCAAGCGACTCGGGGCAGGATGATTGATGGCGATGCGAGGTGGGCGGACAGATATGCCAGTCAATGGTCCCATGCGATCGGGAGGAGGGAGTGAGGTGAACGAAGGAGGTGGAGGAGAATGCGTGCGAAAAGCGGCGGCCGACGGTGGAGGCATAGATCTAAAAGAGAGCGGTGGAGAGCGAGGCGGGAGGCTTGGAGGGCGGGGGGCAGGAATTTCTGAGGCTAAGGATACACGAGAAGCTCTGCGTGGCGTGGGTGGAAGGGCTGTGGGGGAAGGTGGAGACGCTGCTCCACGCATACTGTCATGGGTTACAAAGTTTGGAACAAGGTCGGGAGTGTGAGATGAAGACGCGGCGAGAGCCCGAAATGGATTGGCAGGTCTTGGAGAAGGGTGTGGTCCAATGGTAGAGAACTGGTTCTGCAACGGAACTGCAGGCACTGGGAAATCAGGCGATGCTGGCGAGGGCTGTCCCGCATACGACCGACGTGCCAAGGAAGCCGCAGCATGCGGAGGTGAAGCCGAAGAGTTTGTCAACTGTTCGACGTATGACCGGCGAGTAAGAACCACTCCAGCACGAGGAGGTAACGCAGGAGGCGATGATGTTCGCTGAGGAGAAGTCACACTACTTGATCGACGAAGCGTTTCGGGGCGGCTCTGGGAGTGCCTCGCCGCGGATCCTGGTTGGGCCTGGGGCTGAGATGGCCATGTGTAGACAGTCTCAGGCCGCCGGTGCATATCATTCCCAAGTTGCGCAGGACCTTGGGGCCAAACCGGCTGCTCCTGAGAACGAGCCCTACGGCGTCGTCTACAGCAGCAGATGCAAAGGAGAAGGAAAGTCAGGCAAACAACGACTGAGAGAGCAAACGGTATGTTATATTGGCAGTCGGCGTTATACGCTATCTCAAAACGTACCAATAGCAACAACCACTCCTATGATCACATTTCGTGATGTGATGCACCTCACGTTGAAGCTAAAGGCAAGTGGCGTTATGCAATGTATCAGTAGGGATGCTCATGCACTCACCCCGTGCAGCTGTCATCGTTACCCCAGTCTGCCATGTTGCCCGTTGCAAAGGTGAGGAGGCTGAGAGGTATCAAGAGCAGCGAAAACGGTAGGCCGGGTGCACCTTAAATACCGCAAAGCATAAGATCGTGGTATACTGAACTGCAGGGAGGCGGTGTCCTGGCCTTCCTGCGCAGCGAAAGAGGCACATGGCTTCAACGTCAGGTGTCATGTGCCCCACACAAACCAAAATGTTGTTCCCTGCGAAACTGCCCTGTCGTCGTTTGAAGCAAACATTTGAAAGTCTCCAGCCTGGTATGGAGAGTTTAGTGGCATCTTGCTTGACGTATGAAGCGGGTCTGAACCCGCCAGCAGCTTCATAGGCACCGAAACACTGTCTTTGCTGATTTTGCTCAAAAACCTGACTAAATTGGGCTCAGCGCAGTACGGTCCCAAAACTCCGCTATGGGATTTTCGGACCAAACACAATATTGGCAACTCTTCGACTCTGTCACTGGTACATAATTGCGGCGATCTCGTCAGCATACATACAAGCTCTATGTTGGTCGCGGACGTGCACGAACGTTCAATGTTTACCCTTGTAATATTCGTTCGCTTGACACCGAGCTCGAAGCTCGTCTGAAGTCCAACTCTCGGTTGATTGTTCAAATTTGTCCGCGTTCGGGGCGGACGGCGCTCCCTGAATATCGTCGCTGTCAAGTCGGGGCTCCTATCTGGTCGCATTGAACTCCTCAATGTCACGTTTTCCTGGCATATGATATCTATGAAATCCAACAAGTCAGCTATGACATAGATGCTCTTCACCGCGTCGTAATCAAGTTACGTCAAGCACTCGTCCAGCCTTTGCCCCGTCAACTATTAGTGATGTCAAAACATCTGAAACACGGGTGGGCGTGGTCCATTGACGTCCAACGTCGTCGTGGGCACGACGGTTGCAACCTTCGAGTCCATCAGTCGATGGTGTACATGGCACCTTCGCGCTCTCGGGGAATAAGACGTGCTAACGCCTATGTTCGCACAGGAAGCGCATCGCCATCGGACTAAATATTCCTAGTACCATCAAACCCTTCAAGAAGCCCATTCAAGTTACCAGTGGGGAACCATTGGACGATGTGGACCGTCATGTATATAAATGCGAGTGAAACGGCCACGCATTCAAAGTGAATTCCCTATGTCTGCCTCCTTCGATATCGCTCATGTAGAACAATGGAAGGCCAGTTTTTACAGCCTGAATGTAAGACATGCCTTGGGTCTTCCCATAGTTGCTGCTCACAATATTATCCTTTGTTGACTAGGCAATTTACAGTGAGTCGAGACGTTCTACTGGATGTATAGACATAAGACTGAACACCGCCCTAGTTTGCACGTTAGCTATATGGGTAAGACGTTAGACTATGGACAATGAGGCGCTATTAACTATTACCTCGTCTAGGTGTATGATTACATCCTAACGCTTGACGATGAGGTGCGTCCCCAGGGCTGCGTTGGCTAGGCTGCCGTGGAGATATTGATAGGGCTCTAGGTTGTCTACATGCGAAAAGCTCGCTTCCGGCTAGCCAAATCATTTTATGTCGTTGCCCGCTATATGACGTTCCCTATGCTGGGCCTCCACCTCTTCTGTGAGTGGACATCGCAACTTGTGCGCGCACTTCGTGATGTCCGCCGACGAATCAGATAATTCTTTCTCGGGAGACACTCCATCAGTACGTATATCTTCATATGATGCACATTGGAGTACAGGCCTTGAATCATATCCGCGGACAGCTTTGCCAGAAACTCGTCACTCCAGCAACTGGTGAGGTCTTACTGTGATGTTCATATCAACTCCATATCACTCACTACAATGATGCGGTAGTGCTGAGCACGTCCGTAGTCCTTGGATCAGAATGTGAGGCCATCCCCAACGTAACGACGCAGAAGGCTGTCTGACTGCCTAAAAGCATTATTCATTATGCGTGTCTACGCCCTATGGGAGCGTAACAAGCGGATACTGGTTCTCATCGTGACAAGCTTGGTGGTAAATTTGGGCCCATGTCATCTTATACACGTACCGGAACTTACGATAAATCAGCTTGTTATCCTCGCCACTATCCTCGTCACGTTCCAACCGCCGACGTCGGTCGTTAACTGTGAGTGTCGTGCCTACCCTGTTAGACGTTGCGAGATGCTCAGAGACGCTAGACATCGAGTTTAACGGAACAAATGCTTCGAGTTGCTTCATCCTTTACCCAGCTGTCCTTTCAGCTTGCCCTTACATCTTCCTCATCGCATTTCAGGCAGAGCTACTAATTCTCACGTTAATACGAGGGATGCAACGGCTTCACGACACAAACTGCGATATCTACGGATTGCTGATACGACATAATGCATTCTACTTTGCATGCGGAGTAGGTACGTGCCGAAATCTGCCTTTAGATCGATCCCTCCGCTCAAAATGAGAACAATATCAAGTCTGCTCCGTGGTCAACATAGTCGTCACATTCGTAGCCGACGTAAGCTGTCTCAGTTCCCCGTATCGACATCCCACTTAGTCTTCCTTGCCTCCCACCAGTATGCATACGTCGCCCTCTTCTACAAGTACGTGTGAGTGCAAGGTATCGATTCACATGCTAAAACTCTACGTTGTGTCTGCGTAGTTTACAGGTGGTTTTACAAGCTCTACTTGTAACCCGGATGCACCGCATGTTGTGGCTTAACGAGGACCAGTGTAACTGGCGGCCAGGTCCCACCTTTACCATCACCGTGGCGGACGTTGAGAACTCTTCGTTATGGGATGATTAGGTTTAATTTATCATGAATGCATCATCCCGAGGATTGCTTTAAGCTCGAAATTGGCGAAAACTGGGTTCTGATGTGATGGAAAACGATGTGTGTACCCCGTAACACATATAGGCTGTCATCTCCTCACGGCCATGCTTGTAAAACATGGCGATAAGAGCAAATCCATGGATACATTAATCCCCAAAGCAGAGGCAGGAGTAGATGAAGCATCGTATAGTAGGAAAGTAGCATAGCATTGAGTTGAAAAGGTATAAGCGTCCATTCGGTCACAGCAACACATGCGCCGGACTCAACATGCATATAGGCTTGACCTTCTTCTCCGCCGCAACGGCCTCGACGGCCTCACGCGTAATGACTACCATCAGCTGTTCCTCGTTCCTCAGCGTGCCGACCTCCTCGGTCTCCCCATCCACTTGCGACGGCGTGGGTCTAGCCGAAGCTGGTTCGCTATCCCTAATCACAGAAGCGGTGGTAACTCGTCGCCGGACGAGGAGGCCGCATTCGTTGAGCGCAAATGCGCAGTCTTCTACGCGCATGTTCGTCGCACGGGAAATTTCCTCCAGTGTGCAGCGAACGACGACATGCGATGTCACGCTTCCGTCCAAATTTGGGGTGCTTTCAATTGTGCGGAGGGAGTTGATGGTTTCTGAGGGCAAAATGAAGACGAGAGGCATCGAGGTTGATGAGCTGCGCCGAAGTGACAGCCGGAGAACGGGATGCCCTTACCGTCGGACCACCAGCCTGTGGTAGATGTACCGTCAATTTCGCCTGCCCATCCTTTAAGCTGCTTCTTTTTCCGCTCACCATTCGGTGTTACGGTAGCAAAGCTGTTAAGGTTTGGGAGGCCTCCAATGGAATTAACCTGAATATCGGGAGGCAAGATATTCAAGAGACGTCTGAGAAGACACATATCTCAAAGTTATTCACCATAATAGTAAAAAATGACGCGCACCTGAAGAATCGGATGAGAGTGCCGACCCAGTAGGTGAGGTAGCTTCTGAGACCCAAATCTGACAAAGGCCGTTCTGGCGTGCCGACTTTACCAGCCCTTCGCGAAAGTTCGTAGCCTATCCGTGAACTCAGGAATGGCTGACGAGACTTAATCAGGTCAACTTACTAAATTCAATGAGGAGCATTCCATAACCCTTTCGCTGATAGGGAGGAAGAACAACTATGCATGCGAGGTTGTAGTCATCGTACGAAACCTTTTCCTGCACTTCATGCCTTAGCAACACCATTTTCGGCGTTTATATCCTGAAGACCTACTTTGGAGAAAAACCCGATAACATGGTCGCGTTGAGAGTCGGCGTCGGTTAGGATGTAGAAGAGGACTTGATATAATTTTGAGTATTATAACAAAGCCAAGTTTTCTGCCATGGAGCGCTTACAATTATCGCAGTCGAAGAATATTGTCTTGACGTCAATGAAAAGTTTCCCAAACAATGCAAGGTTTTGACAGTACAGCTTAGTGTAATTGCAACGTTAGAAGTTTTGAGACGGTTATAGTGGGCAATGCATACCTTTTCCTTTGCCCCGTCTACCTCCCAGATTATATGCGCGCCTCGTTGATAGACTTTCTCGCCAGGAGGATGCCGTTTGTCGCACCGTTTCTTCAGATGCCATCGTAAGCACGGTAGGGAGTCGGGTATACTCAGCAAATCAACTCACGGCGTGTAGCTCCCATGAACCTCCATCCGACATATACTTGAAGCACCTATCGCACACCCATAAAAGCGAATTTTCGCCTTGAAGATGCGAGCGGGTGAGTCCTCCGGCAAATAAATCGGAGGTGCGGCCATGTGTTCGGACACTCGTGCGTGGTACGCCGGGTATCTTGGAGCCAACGACACTCTTGCCCGCCGCAGCCAGGCCTTTGGTTGGTGCTTTGATAGGAACGGTAGGGTCGGGTGAGCTTTGGGAAGATTTCGATGGGTTTGTTGAGGAAGAGGTAGCAGAAGGACGTCGCGGGTAGGAAGTCGTTGTCAATGGATTGAGTTGAGCTGGGTCTTCGAGTTCGGAGTCGGTCAGGGGGTATGGGGAGAAATACCTAGGGTGTGTCGTTCAACACTAGGCATAAGCTGCTCAAAAACATGCGGACGCACCATGTCTTGATCTGATACCCTGCGAAGTTAACCTTGTCAAAGTTGCGTTTTGCGGTGATTTGCTTGTGGTGTTGGAGGTCGAATTCTTCTTCCGTCAGACCGCTATCGGCCAGCGACTTGGTTCCCTCCATAACCGCTTCTGAGATGTCTTCAAGGCTCTCCGAGACATACTCCATCGTTGAAGGGCCGACGTTGCTGGAGAGAGGTTCTTCTAGTATTGGAGGGTTCTGACGCAGGTCAACATGGCTGGATTGGCGTTTACGCTTCCGAGCGCGGGTCTGGCTCTCGGGGAGCGTGTCAGGGTCCACGAGTTGCAGGTCTTCTCCAGGTAGCCATTCGTCCATGCGCTTGTCCGCACCTTCATAGTGGACGTAGACCTGGCCATCAGGTCGTCGTTGGAGGACTTGGGCAAGTTCTGGGGGTGGAGTCGTGACTTCGGTTGGTCAAACGCGGCAAATGTAGCGTGGCTTACGACTGATGCCGTTCCTCTCCACAGCATACAGCACCTGGTTGCTGGACGTCATGTTGCAATGCCTTTGGGGTAGTAATCAGACAGAGAGATGTCTCAGCGCAATGGGTAGTTGAGGTGCTGTGTATTCGGCCTACAACCTCGGGGAGGACGCGAAACGCGTCTCAACCAATTAGGTAAACGGATGTTTTCCAAACCGAAACGCCGCTTCCAACGCTGAATCAGTTCGTAACTCGTTCACCGAGGTCGACTGGTCCAATCTTGAGAAGGTACATCCTGGCAAGGAAGTGCGACCTTCGTAGCAACTCGACGCCAACCCATGTCATACATACATTGTGATAGGCACTAAAATTGTTTGCGATTATTCACTGACAGCAACATCTTATTGAGACGGTATTCGTACAGCTTTGAGCGCCATGTACTCATTTTTGCTTCATCCACTTTTCAAAACTCTCCTGCAACTCGTTATTCCTTGAGACAGTCTGGATTTGTGGGAAGGCAAAGGTGTTTTCCAGCCTAGAGCAATCGTATACTTGTTTTCAAAGTATTTGCTAGCCATTCTGGCTCGAGGACTGTTGTCATAGAGAAGAGAAGTCTCTTAGGAAGGTCGCTGGACTCCAAAGGGCAAATATCCGGTACATGCTCTCTTAGTACCACTTGCGATATGTCCAGAATTCTCCAATCCTCTCCAATCCTGATGATGGAGCCAAGAACGGTCACGAGAGCTTGCTCTGGGCAAATGTATTCAAGCTTCCAGCTCAGCTCACAAGACGGCCAATGTCAAGGCAGTGAATCGCAATCCAGACGTTAGAGGTGCATTGAGACCAACAATGACGACATTGCGACTAGCCACGATTCTCAAAAGAGCGAAAGGCTGTAGATGGTGGCGGCACAACTTGGAATGGCTGGAGGTGTGTCACTCGAGGCAATGTAAGCCTTGCATAAGCCTGCAAATTCAGAGAGCCCATGGAGCTAGCAGCGGGAGTTCTCGATTTAAAGCGTTGGCTGGGTAGCATTCCCTCGCCACATCCATGTGGTCCAACGCAGAGCTAGAAATCGCTTTAACAGAGATCTAGCATGATACCCTAGAATCAAACAAGGAGACTTGTGTCCGTCGTAAATCCGTGATATGAGGTGGACCAGCTCAATGAAGAGTTCTTCGCCTGATGAGCGTTTGATGCAACGACAGGGCACCATAGTAGGCGCATGCACGAGGACATTGAGGCGTGTTGAGGATAATCGTGAAACCAAGAGTAGTCCCTTTCTCGGCATCGGGGACCTTGTAAGCCAGAGGATGTCATGAGAATCGCCGCCAGCGCCTTGCGATTTCGCAAGCAAGAACTTCCAGCAACTGACGGCTGACCTCGAATGATTCTGTGGAAAACCTAAGAAACAACAAGAAGCGGAAAGCTCAGCGGACGTCGGATGTAGACTAGCCAGGCATTTTTTTAGCAAAGTCAAACTCGGCGATAGACAGTCAAAATACGAGGGTAAGGCGAGAAATGGAGATGGAGGTAAGGGGCAGTGGATGCGATTTAGGTTCAACAACTCGATGTCGAAGACTTCAAATTTTCAAAGTCAGCAAAGCCAAGTGCCTCTAAACCTCTGCTTCGGTCCTAGCTTGAGTATACGTTGGTGGACCTTAGCAAATCAAACAAGAATGACCTTCCTTTCTCAGCAACCACCAACTGTTTGGTCTGGCACCCCTAGAGGACCCCGGTATTTTCGGCAGCCTCGTCAGACCTTGCATAGCTCAGTGACGTTGCACAAAGGAATAGAATATCAACTCCCGTACCTTAAGTACAATCCAAACCCAACCATAGACGTAGTGATAGCCCATCAACATGGCACCGGTCCCGCCGGAATCACTCAAGCCGCCCTCGGGCACACGCAGCACGCGGAACTCAACGGGACTTCGCCCAACAGCGACGGCCCCAACCCATCCCCGCACAGCAAAAGAAATCATAGAGAAACCATCCAGGCCAACAACCATCACAACGTACACGGAGGCCTCCGGCTTGATCACCCCCTCCCTCCCGAAGTCCCCAGCCAATAGCTCAGCAATCGCCATCCTCACCCACGGACTACTCGAATACGTGGACAACAACCCGGACATCCCCCAGGGCGTCTCCGACGTGCTAAGGGCCTACGCCATTCTCATACGCCGGTCCCGAGCGGAAGAACAGACGACCGAACTAATGGAGGCATGGAGAGAACGACTGGAAAAAGAAGCGCCCGCCCCCCTGGCACTCCTCCGGACGGCCAGCGAGACAGCTCACGACGTCATGTCGGCGAACGAAGACGCAAAGATAGCTTTAATAGACGCGACCACCACATTCCAGAAAGAAAGCAAGAAACTAGAGGACACGGCGGCTGAGCTGGAGAGCAAGGCAAAGACGCTCTCCATGGCCATCGACTTGAGGACGAACGCGCCTCAACCCGCCCACCTCAACTACGCGTCAGCCGTGAAGACTACCCGACCCCCCAAGGAACAGGCCCGAGCGCTGGCGCGCCGCACCGCCATTTCGAAGAGTGTGCTGGTCGCTCAAACCAACGAGCCGGGGTCGGAGTGGAAGACGATGGAAGAAAAAGTGCTGGTAGAGAAGGCGAAGGTGGCATTGGAGGGCCTGGAGGCGAAGGGAGTCACAGGAATACAAGGTGCGTCGATCATTTCCGCAAAGAAGCTGACCAGTGGAGACGTATCTTTTACCCTCTCCTCGGCCGAAGCGGCGGAGGCAATCAACTCAGAGGACACCCGGAAAGCGTTTGCAGAGGGCTTCGCCCCCAACGCGGTGGTAAAACCCCCGGTTTTCGTGGTGATCACAGAGTTCGTGCCCGTCTCTTTCGACCCGAGCTCGAAGGAGGAGGTCGAGGAAGTGCTAGCAAGTTCAGGCCTCCCAGTAGGAGGGGTCACCTGGGCCGAGTGGATCAAACGGGTGGCCAGACGCAAGCCGGGGCAACGCACGGCCCACCTAAAAACGGCCTTCACGTCTGCGACGATGGCCAACAAGGCCATCGAGGAAGGAATGATGGTCGAAGGCCGTCGGGTTTATTCTAGAAAATCACTCCCGGAACCACCACGATGCTTCAAGTGCCAATCGACAAAGGGTGAACACATGGCAGCGACGTGCCCGGCTCTGGGATGGACGTGCGCGTTCTGCGCGGGTGCACACAGCACGGACAAGTGCGACGCAGTGCCCGGCTCCGCCCCCAAGTGCACGAACTGCGCGAAGGCGGGCAACCAACATGACCACATGGCCTCGGACTGGAACTGCCCAACGACGGAGACCAACCGCACCAAGTACCAACGCGCCCACCCCGAGGCGCAGTTCCGCCTCTTCCCGACAGACGACCCGGCGACCTGGGAACGCGTCGACGGAACTAACCCCCCCCAGGCACCCCCAGCGCTCACCATCACAGAATTCCCGACGCTGTCGCAGCCACCACCCCAACAGGAAGCAGTGGGCGCCACGATGCTCCCAGCGACACAGGGAACGAAACCGACAAGCCACCAAGCCATCCCTCGACCCACCCTCCCCACCTATCCGGCGGCGCCGACAGCCCAGCGGGGCTCAGTCCCTAACCCGGCCATCCAAAAATCGACCAAGAAGTACAGGGGCGCCCAGGCCAAGGGCGGGGCGAAACGGGTGAAGTCAACGCGAGACCCGCCGCCTCACCAAACTCTACCGGCGCTGTTCGCTAGATCGCAGACTCCCTCTCAGGCAGGAGCGCCGTCCGAATTCGGAGACATCTCCGAAGGTCTCGCGGCTGACGAAACCTGGAGCACCGCGTACGAAGGGGCGAACACAACACAACACAACACCAACTTATGATACACACACCAACACCGCCCCTCAAGTCGATAACGCTCTGGCAACAGAACCTGAACAAATCCGAAAAGGGCCAACGGGAGTGGCTCCATTCACTAGACCCCCGCAGATACGCCATAGCGGCGATCCAGGAACCAGGCCTCAGTCCCTTTACTAACCTAACCCCGGCGGGGTCGCACTGGTCTGCGATCTACCCGCCGACCCACCACGTCAGCGGCGGGGGCCGCACTCGTTCTATTCTCCTCATCAGCAACGACCTTCTATCGAAGAAACACTGGACGATAGTCCCGGTATCACACCCGGACATAACGGCGGTAGACGTCGACACCGGGTCAGGTATAATTCGATTTTATAATATGTACGTCGATGGAACTCACGACGGGGCGCTGGACGCCCTCGAGACTCATCTCCAAGCGGAGGAGGAACGCAGCCCATCGGCTTCGGCCCCGGCACCAGACCACATGGTGTGGCTGGGTGACTTCAACCGCCACCATCCGTTGTGGGATGACCCAGCCAACGATCACCTCTTCACGGCGGCTAACATGCGGGCGGCCGACCGCCTGGTTGCACTACTAGCCGACTACAACATGGAGATGGCGCTACCCCACGGAATACCGACGCTGGAGGCGTCGACGACGAGCAACTACACGCGCCCGGACAACGTTTTCTGCAACGCAGAACTGACAGACCTTTTCACGCAGTGCGACGTACGGCCGGAGTTGAGGCCGATAAAAACTGACCATCTCCCGATCATCAGCCAGCTCCAAGTCAAGACGGTGGCGGCACACCCAATCTCACGCAAGAACTATCGTGCAATGGACCAAGATAAGCTCCGATCAGAGCTCCGCTCCCGACTGAAACACCTCCCCCCTATCGAGAGCATAATTGATGAAGAAACTTTCTACAGATATCTTGAACACGTCACGAAGGCCATCGAGGCCGCAGTTGAGGCAGCAGTACCCCTAGCAAAGATATCCCCGTTCACAAGACGATGGTGGACTGCTGACCTCACGGCGCTCCGAGCGACGTACAGAAGCCTGCGAGGTCGGGCCTTCCGCCGTCGCCATCAGCGCGGTGACCCGATACATGAGGAGTGCTCGCGAGCGCACACCAAGTACGCGGACGCTATCGACGAAGCGAAGCGCGAGCACTGGGAGGACTGGCTCGAGAAGGTGGACCCCGACTCCATCTGGACGGGCCACCGATACGTCAGCCAACCGCCGTCGGACGGCAGTTACCAGCGCATCCCAACGTTGGTGGAAACGGGCGAGGGGGGCGAGCGGGCCCCAATCAACGACAACAGAGCCAAGAGCGACCTGCTCTTTAGAACATTCTTCCCCGCCCCGCCGCCCCCTTCCTCTCAGCCTCCCCTGCCCTCATCCTCTGCGGATCGGCCGGAGGTGGAGTTCACGCCCGTCTCGGACCAACAGATCAGTCGAGCGGTGCGACGACTGCAACCATACAAGGCCCCAGGCCCGAACGGCGTCGCAAACGCGGTGTTCACGCATGCTGATGATATCCTTCTACCCTACCTAGGCCCGCTCTTCCGAGCCACATTCGCCCTGGAGGTCTACCCCCAGGAGTGGAGGCAGCACATCACGATAGTGCTCCGGAAGCCGGGTCGTCCCGACTACTCACAGGCTAAAGCGTACCGCCCCATCGCTTTGCTGGACACAATGGCAAAGTTACTCTCGTCATGCGTGGCAGAGTCCCTTGTCCATATGGCAGAGACTCACAACATGCTCCCGGCCAACCACTTCGGAGGAAGGCCGGGCCGCACTACTTCTGACTCCCTCCACCTTTTTAGCAAGTTTGTTCACGACGCATGGGCGCACCCCACCGACCACCACGTCTCCGCGTTATTCCTCGACGTCAAGGGAGCCTTCCCCAGCGTCAACGTCGACCGGCTCCTCCGGGACCTTTCAGACAAAGGGGTACCGGGGGAATATGTAGGATGGCTACGAAGACGGCTAACAGGGCGAGTCACCCGCCTGGCCTTCGACGACTATACGTCAGCGGATTTTCACGTACAGGGCGGTCTTGATCAAGGCTGCCCACTCTCACCCATACTATACGTACTTTACAATTCCCCCCTCCTGACCCTACCAGACGAGAAGAATGGCGAGTCAGGCCTAGGCTTCATCGACGACATCGCGTACCTCGCGCGCGGCCCAACCATCGAAAAAGCCAACGACAAGCTGCGGGACCTAATGGAGCGACGCAACGGCGCCCTCGAGTGGAGTCGCTCCCACACGTGCCAGTTCGAGCTCGACAAGACAGCGCTACTCAGCCTCACCCGCCGAACAGCTCCCCACCCAGACAAACCGCGTGCGCGAACACAACTCCCTCGACCACCGATCACGATAGATGGCCACGAGATCAAGGCCTCAACATCACACAAGTTCCTAGGCGTCATCATCGATGACCAGCTCCGCTGGAAGGAACAAGCAGCCCACGCCTTGGGAAAAGGCATGAAGTATGTACTAGCATGCAACCGACTGGCCAACGCCGGTAAGGGTATCCGGGCCGCATTCATTCGTAGATTATACATTTCCGTTGTTATTCCGAAACTATTGTATGCCGCTGACGTGTGGGCCACTTCATCTTTAGCGCAGGGTTCCAGAGGGCTAGTTTCGAATCAGGGCGCCGCGGACCAGCAAGACTCAGAAGCAAGACCAACACGTCACAGAACCCCAGCCATGCGAGGCGTCGCTCGCTCCTTCCCCCGGGTCCAATGAATCGCCTCCCGCCAGACAACGGGAGGCATGGGATCAACGGCGACGGACGTCTTAGACTATCATGCCCATCTGCTACCGTTCCCACTCCTCCTCCAACGCGTATGCGCTCGGGCAGCGCTCCGCCTCGTCACCCTCCCACGCTCCCACCCGCTGAACAAACACGTAGCGCAGGCAGCGACCAGATACAGAAAACGTCACCGCTCGCCACTGCACGAACTCCTCCATCACTTCGACCTCCACCCCCGGGAGTTCGAAACCATCACCGCTGTCCGCCGCGACCCCCAGTGGGAACCCACCCATACCACCATCATCCCCCCCAACAAGGAGGAGGCAACGCAACAGCACGCCGACGACCGCGCACCCATCCGAGTGTACTCCGACGGCTCCGCCCACGACGGGGGAGTCGGGGCAGCGGCGGTGCTAACCCGCGGCCGACGCACGCACGTGCTCAAATTCCACCTGGGCCAGAGCACCCACCACACGGTCTACGAAGCAGAACTCGTCAGCATGCTCCTTGCGGCCCACCTCCTAAAACGCGAGCTAGCAAGGCGACAGGGCAGGGCCTTCCTGGGAGTGGACAGCCAGGCGGCGATACGAGCGACAAAGGGATGCTCCCCTACCCCAGGGCATTACCTTGTGGACGCCGTAACGGAGGCGTTCGAAGACCTTCAGGATCGTGGACACCATGTCAGGGTGCGCTGGACGCCGGGCCATGTGGGGATCGACGGGAACGAGCGCGCGGACGAGCTCGCGAAAGCGGCGGCGGAAGGGAACACGAGCCACGTCAGCCGGCTCCCCCGCTTCCTGGTCAAGAGGAAGTGGAAGAACCGCCCGGCAACACCACGGCAGCTCCCCACCAGCCGATCCGCCGCGAAGCAGCAGATCAACGCCTCTCTCGCAGTCAAAGCGATCACGGTGATGTCGCAGTCCCCCAGAGCACCACTCATATCCCAATACGACGCGGCCTTCAAATACTCTCATTTCCTACACGCCACGAAAACACTCCCCCGCCGACAGGCGGTCACGCTCTTCCGCCTGCGGTCACGCCACATAGAACTCAACTCGCATCTAGCGAAAGTTGTCCCCGGAATAGACAAAGGATGCCCTCACTGCGGCGACCCGGAAACCGTCGCCCACTTCCTGCTCCGCTGCCCCCACTATCGCTCCCAACGCGCACGCCTCGCGCGTCGCTTCAGGTGGTTACGCATCCCCCCTATAGGGGAACTCCTGGGCCTCCCGATCCACCAAGAGGCCCTGCTGGACTATGTGAACGCAACTGGCCGCTTCTCGAAGACTGCCCCCCGCGCCCCGACGAACTAGCCCTCGCCCTCGCCCCACACGTCAGGTAAAATTTTATTTTCAAAAGTAAACTAACAACCCCACTCCCACACCGCTTCACCTTCGCACGTTACTCTCGTCTCTCTTGGTATCGTCTCATGGACTTCTAGTACCGTACATGTCAGAACACCTATTCACGACACGGACAACAACCACGCCTCCCACCAACGCGCCCCGAGCTCCCTCTCGATTGCTTTCTCATTTCATAACCACTAACATACTCTACTCTACTAGCACCGTCTATACCTTCACATTCCCGCTCTGCCCCCTGGGGCCATTGTTATATGTCTCTCTTCTTCGGCCCGGACCCTCGAATTCCATACAGTACACTCATAGTTAGATACCTCATGTCTACCATAGGGCGAGGCCCTGCAAGACTTAAAAACTTTTGATTTAAAAAAAAAAAAAAACAAGAATATCGCGAATTAATACTGCGATATGGTTTCTTGCCTAATATCTAATTTCTAGCTAATATACATCTGCCGGAGTGATCTGCAGCTGCAGAGTCTACATGGATTGACAATGGCCCTACCAGGTATCGTACATTCTCATCCTTACCCTATCAGTTTCATTCGCTTTTGCCTGGTCACCATCGACTTCATCTAGCTCCCCAGATAAAAAAGAAGGGAAGCACTGCAGCCGCTGGATCCATTAATCGCGCCACGCCCGCGCCGAAATTCGATGCCATGATCAATTTCGCAGCCTCAGCCGTCGTAAGCGCAAATGCCGATACGGTGCGGCCTTGTCGTCTGAAGTCGTTGAAGTATCCGTCCCTTAGGCTCACTAAGGCAAATTCAACTCGCTATGAGACGGATATGTCTCATACGGAAAGTTACATGAACAAGTCCTAGATTTCCTTCGTTGCATTTGCCATGTACTTAATATGCGTAGCGTAAATCTTCGTGCAGTCCGAATCTGGATGACAGAACCCAAGGAAAAGGACACAACATATGACGATTCAAGCTTCATTCAATGAAAGCTGCGGAGCCAAAGCACGTTCTATGCCTTCTGACCACAGAGAGACTCGCGTTGGAATGAACAGTTGCTGGCCATGAAGAGCATCTGATATGATGAATATATCTGCACCTTGAAGCCACCCAGATGCACTGCACTGTTACGTATGAAAAACCATCGTATAGCGTAGAGGCATGCATGCATAGCATAAGAGATACAGAACGGCGACCGGATGAATAAATGGATAGGTAAGGCATGACCTGTACGCGTATGCGTAATTTACTGCTGCACTGGTGCCTCGTGCTCCACAGCGATGATAGCAGCCCGCTTCTCGGCGATCCGTTGGGCACGGCGTTCCCGAGCAGCCTATACAGAACGGAGACATGAGATGGAGATGTTTTACGAGGTGAAGTATACCGACCTTGTTCTTGGACCGGCGAGCCTCCATCTGGTCGGTGAGGATCTTGGTGCGGTTCTTCTCGGCCTTGGCCTTGTGGATGTACTCCATGAGAACACGCTTGTTCTTGAAGACGTTACCCTTCGATTTTTGGTACAGCGAGTGGTACCTTTATCGTGCGCCAATCGTATGTGAGATCTTCGTCATCCGGCGCAGATGACTGTCTATTGACTCACAGGTGCTTGTCGATCTTGCCAGCCTCTCTGTACTTCCTCAAAAGTCTCCGCAGCACACGCTGGCGGCGCATCCATTGAACCTTCGTGGGCATACGAGCCTCCGCGGTACCCTTCCTCTTACCGGGACCAGTGTGCCGACCCTTCCGTTTGGCGGCAAGGAGGTCCCGGGTGCGGGCGCGAGAGTGGATGACGGTGGGCTTGATGATGACCCGACCGTCCTTGATGAGCTTCTTGACGTGCGAACGGGAGTTGGCGTTGCCGATCTCCGCCTGCTCAGCGGGGTCGAGCCATATTTTGCGCTTGCCAACGCCAGCGACGGCTGCGGCGAGCCGTTTTTGAGAGCGCAGGTTGACCATGTCTGGTTTGATAAGGATTATGTTAGGGCTGCGACGAAAGGGCAAGAGGACGAGGACGAATGGACTGACCTTGATGCCTTGAAGTGTCGAGAGGGTGGGGGCTGGCGAGTCAGCAACCGCAGGAGCCGATACGATGTTACGTAATTCAGCCACATAACTCTATCCCTGACAGCTGAGCAGCACTTCGGCTTCTCCCGAAGCTTATGCTTGTCTGTGACTAAGCCTACGTAGGGAGCATCGTTAACGTCGACGGCGACTTCAAGCTTCAGCGCTTCAGCTTCCAGGGATCAACCGAATGGAACTTTTGCTGCGCATCAAAACACCGCTGCATACACTTTACTATGCACCTTTGCTACTTGTCAATACAGCAAGCTTAAGTTAACTACCCGCGTAATCGTTGGCGTGACTCGCTACATGTAATGCACGCGTAAACAGCACCGGCTACTGTTATGTCAATTACAATGGAGATTGAGGTAAAGGAAAGCGGTACAACTACTACAAAAATCATGAGGTATGTATGCGAAATTAGACGGTACCGTCATGGCGATACGCGGTCAAGAGAGCAGCTGAAGTGTCTCGTATGATGCCTAAAGCTGGTAGAGACCAGAGGGTAAACAGGATTGATGGGTGCTATGCGGAGGGGAGAGCCACTGATGGGCTAAGAGTCATTACCAGCTTACGCCATCACCTGGATCTGTGCCTCAGCGAGGGCCATCGCATGTCCATGGAAATGCCTGGGCTTCTCGACGGCGTGGCAGACCTCTATGCTCTCCAGCCACGGGTGTGCCATGATCGTCTCAATGTTCGCGCGCTGCTTCGGGTCTGGCTCAAGCATCTTCCGGATGAGGCTGCGGCAAGCACGGGGCGAGAGGTTATTAACGGTTGGAGGGAAAGATGCCGCATCTTTCTGCGGAGCGGAACAAGCTTGAGCATAGGCCGCATACAGCGGGTCTGCCTGCTGCGCGACTCGCCACGGCATCTCCTGAAAGTGCAGACAGTAGTAAATAATACCACAGGCCCAGATGTCAACGAGGCGGGCGTCATAAGCTGTAAGGAACAATGAAGGAGTCAGGAGAAGCTGAGAGCCATTGGCGGATCGGCTTACGTTTGCCTAAGAATTGCTCAGGTGCAATGTACGGCTCGCTGCCGCACAAACCCGTCGACATATGGATCGTCGTCTCCCATGGCAGGCGGTAAACGGTTGAGGCACCGTAGTCGCCAATCTAGCCACGGTGTGAGATGCACAGACGCTGACTAGGCAACGCATTTACCTTCAGGTGGCCCTTGGTATCGAAGAAGAGGTTCTCCGGCTTGATATCCCGATGAGCAACACCCTGGCTGTGCAAATAGGAAACCCCATTGAGGATTTGTTTGAAACAGCATTCGACCTCGCTGGGTGACATTCCACCCTTCTTGATGGCGGCGTAAAGATCCCCGCCGGGGCAGAATTCCATGACCTCACACCAACGTTGAGACTCATCTTGTACGAGGTCCACGGTCTCAACGATATTGACGTGGTGTAGAGTCGAAGAAATACAGAATTCGGCAGTGAGTTTCTTAACGTACTCCTTTTCCGACTCGTTCTTTCTTCGTTTACGGAACTCCTAAACCAGGATAAATCAAGGGAGTCGGGTTGAAAGATATTATGATACATACTTTGACGGCATAGAGCCTCTCTTCGCTTCGATCCCACTTGTGAGCGAGCCTGACGACGGAAGTGGCGCCCTTGCCAATGGCGATCTTCTGGCAAACACCATATTTCTGCGTGAGGCTGACTGTACTGTCGCCGGCAATGCTCTTCCGGTCGCCATCGGAATCGGACTTCTTACTGCTTGCATTGGAGCGATTGGATGCTTTGCGAGTGAGCTTGGGCCCAGCCGTAATGAGGTCCTTGAGCGTGAATTTTTGACCCCCATCAGAATGTCCGAATGATGGTCGTCTTGATGGCGGAGCAGATTTTTCCGAGGGCGCCTTTTCAGAAGTGGGCTTGCTCTTCGAGCCTTTGGTAGAGGGTACCGTGAGTTTGTCGCTGGCATTGCCGTTGCCTGCAGAAAAACTCGGGGCCCGGCTCGGGGCCCGGCTCGGAGGTCGCGTCGAAGGCGCACTCCAACATTCACTTTCTGAAGGGGAAGGGGAATCAAAGACGGACGGCGCTGCAGATCCCGGCTGAACATTAGCTGAGACTGCGGAAGCAGGTTGTGCATCTTTGGCGAAGTCTTTGGCAAGAACGAGATGCTCCAAGTCCTTACGAGAGCGTTCTGGGTGTTTGGGAAGAGAGCCAGATTCGGGGGGAAGGAGGGGGATGCCGGTATAATCCTGGGCTGTCTGCGGGGAAGCCTTGGAAGGTCGCTGAGGCATTGGAGGTGATTTAGGAGACCGAGCTCCGTTGACAAGGGTGGTCTGAGTGGAAGAGGGGTGGGGAGGGACGTTGTGGCGGAGTGTGACAGTGCTATTGCTGCTATTTGCATGTGGAGGTTTGTCTGAGCCATCTTTACCTTCTCCCTCGGTTTGGGCAGTATCCGGGGAATCAGGGACAGATTGGGTTGCTGCCATATTGAGTATGCGAATGGGAAGTAGGGGTGGTGACAAGAGCGAGGGTTAGGCGATGGAGCAAATGCACGAGTGAAGCGTGGCGAGTACGAGAATGTTATGTCAGGTGGAAGACCTATAGCATGGCCATGGATCGTCAGCAACAGGTTGCCGAGGTCTATAGAGCCATGATGCTAACAGCAGACGCGTTGCAAAGGGGATGCACGTTCGGAGAAATGCAGGGGTCTGGACGCGGATTTGAGACGGTTGATTCCAGTTCAGGGGGCTTGGCCGGAAAAAGCGGCCGAGGGAGAGAGCGGCAAGCGCAACGGCTTGCTCGCTGCAGGAGACAGCGACGGCGATAGAGGACGGAAGGAAGGATGATGGACAGAATCAGAGGCGATAAATAAAAGAAACCTGTCTCCAGAGCCCGCTCGCTTAGTCATCGCTCAACTCCAGCTGTCGCCGGTGTCGGTACTCGGAGCGTGAAATCTTCCAGCCACTGCCTCCGCCGCAATCCATTTCTCATCCAGCAACGCTGATGATTTATTTAGCTGCAAACGACAGTGCCAAACACCTGAAAGCCGCACATACCACGTTCTTACTTTTGTATACTTAGGTGAGACGGTGCTGGAGTTGTTTCGCAACCGGTCCACGAGGCGTTCATCTGCCAACGTTTCATCTCGCATACTGATGCTGTATGCACGGATGATGCATCGATTCACCTAGAAGAAGATCTGATATGCCAGGACACACCTGATAGAAAAGGATTCTTGTTCCGTTCTCATCTGACACCAAACCTACAATCTCTCACCACTAAACTGGCCAGAAATCCACTCAGGGCAGCTCGCTTTGAAACCCCGAGCAAACACGTTCCTCGGTAGCATATGGCGCCTCTCAGCTGCTATACCTGCCTTGGCCGTCTTTGCAGCTCATCTGCGCCTCAAGATACCTGATAAATGCCCCCTCTTGAAGGTCACTGGTCCAAATCGCCCACCCTTCGGACCCCGGGGAAGGACAGGAACAAACCTTACCAATCTCGGTGACGTTACCCGACTGCTTGGGTTTGTTCACTCCCCAGACCATAGCTGCGAGTCGACGTCCCAGGTGATCGGACACCGATATGCGTCCAGAAAAATGCCGCCAGTTAATGCATCAGGAGTCATCTAATCTCATGTGTCGTGTCTGTTCCATTCATTGACCTCGTCCTGGGGCTGCCCTTGCGTGCGGAGAGGAGCCTGAAATAAACGATCCTAACCGCCCTCACCGGGAAGCTTCAGGAAGAACGAAGACTTCCGGATGCTGACTTAGACATCGCACCACTGTTTAGATCGCGATCAAGAAGGGGGCATAAAGTCTCCCTTGATAGCTATACAAGACAAGTGCGCTCCGAACAGACTCTGAGAAGTTCTGTGCCATCATACCTTAGCTATCTTGTACTAGCCACCGGAGGCAATGTTGAGCACGAAAGGGGCAAGCCAAGCGCGTCCGTGGCGTCTTTCGCATGGCAAAAATACCTCGACGAATAGCAATATAGGCGGATGATGCGCAAATTTAGCAGAGTCTAGCCTGCGCGCTCCGGAGATTTGATCAGGACAGACACGGATAGAAATTCGTATGTACGAGTACTTACACGAAACGCCGGACTCATCACGACGGGCCAGTACAGTACTTACGTACGCTTCAACGGAGGCGGTTCAGTCACCAAGGGAAGAGGCCAGGCTCGTTTGATCTTTGGATTGAAGGGACTCACGGTCGAGATAGAGGATCTGGACTTTCGTTTCCCCAGTTCAGATCTACCACACTGCGAGGAGAATGTCCAAGCTGTCCAAGTACGTTACAACGAATTTTGCACGTTGGCATCCAACTACTAACAACTCGAGGAATATCAATACGGTTATTGCCTACGATAAGACGAGCGCCGTGCTGCGTCGAGAACGCAAATATTGGTTAATCGGGTGCGCGGTCACCAAAACGCAAGAGAAAACCCGTACTGCGTGCCAATACATTCGAAAGAAAGCCAAGTTGTTCACGCTTCGTGGACAATCCCAGCATCGACTGAATGGGTTTCGAGCGATCTGTGCATTGTAAACCTTAATGGCTTTTGATATCGGATCAGCATCTGCGTCAGACCAAAGCGTCCTCTCCAATATCAACGGAGCAAGAAAACGGAGCTTATGTTACTAGAGCCGATGAATTGAACGGCCCGTGGCAATGCTGCGTATGGATCCCGTCGGGTGCTTCAGTGTTGAACGTTGAACGACTGCATGCGTCCATGCGTCCAGCTTTGGTACAGCGGAACACATCGTATTGAGGACCAAACCCAGAGAATGGTGACGTTTCAATCCTTCAGCCAAAACGAGCTTCATTCAAGTTACGGATCATACACTGGAACTCCTTGCATGGTGTGCCGTAGTGTTCACCTTGAGCTGAATGAAAGATGGACTCGTGTATGTTGATCCAAACCATCATGAGACTCCGTGACTTAGAACTTACAGGATTATGGCACCCCATAAAACATGGCCGAACATGTTGCCAAAGAAATATTAGGAGGGGAAATTCAACCACCGAGCTAGGCCCAAAGTTGGGTCAACGAGTAGTGTCCAAGATGTCCTTGAGGGGTCCACAAATATTATTGCAAAGAATAAAGAAAAAATTGAAGACGGTATAAATATACAACCATCGAGGACAAAAACCCGTACAAACCCAATACAATCTCAAGTGTCGTCATGCACCGTCATTGCCTGTTGTTTGTAAAGGTCCGTTTTAGCGCCATGTCGAAGTCAAATTTGCCACAAGAATGAAGGCGTGACGTACCTGACTCTTTCGTCCAGTCGTCGTGCTTCTTGATGTCTGCCTCCGTGACGGTCGGCCGCACGCTTGACAGGGACTTCATGAAGTCCGCGGCACGCAGCGGCGGTTCAAGCAATTCGTCTGAGTCCACCTCAGACCACGTTTTCTCCACCGCGTCTGGGTCACCTGGCGAGCACGGCGTCCACTTGGGGTCTGACGAATCTTCCACGTTCACTTGTTTGAAATGAGTGGCGGATATAACCTTGCGCACAGGCTGCATCAAGGCATCTCGAACTACAATCGAAATATCGGACCCGGAGTAGCTACAAGAAGGACGCTGAGTTTGACCGATTGAACGCTGCCTATAACAAATGCTTACCCGTCGGTCATCTCTCCGAGCGTACGATAGTCCTTCGGGGTTAGCTCGCAGGGTGTCGATCCGACATGAATCTCAAACATGCGTTTCCGGGCATCAGGGCCGGGAAGTGGGATGTAGATACGCTTTTCAAACCTGAGATACAGGTGAGTGCTAGTAATAAAGCAGGTGCTATAATTGGCGTACCGTCGCTTGATGGCAGGATCGAGTTGCCACGGAATGTTGGTCGCTCCAAGCACAAGCACACCAGTATCATCGTGACCAACGCCATTCATTTGCACAAGAAACTCAGTCTTTATGCGTCGCGACCCCTCGGATTCGGACTCGTTACGTGTACCAGCGAGCGAATCAACTTCGTCGATGAAGATAATTGATGGCTTGCTCTCTCGAGCCATTTCGAATAGGTTCTTTACGAGCCTATTATTCCACGCTCAGTATTATGCTTCAATGGATATAATAAAATGCGTACCGTTCTGAATCGCCCTGCCACTTGCTGACAAGATCACTGGAACTGACGCTGAAGAATGTGCTCTTCGCTTCAGTTGCGACCGCTTTTGCAAGATACGACTTCCCCGTCCCTGGAGGTCCGTAAAGCAGAATCCCTCTCCATGGCGTCCGCTTGCCGGTGAAGAGGTTGGGGAATTTGATGGGCAGGATGACGGCCTCTTTGAGTGACGCCTTGGCACCCTCCAGACCTGCGACGTCGTCCCACTTGATGTTAGGTTTCTCAGACAGAATGGCGTTGGAGAGAGATCCACGAAGCTTCTTCAACTCGGGATCTTGGTCTTCGTCGTCTTTCCTGCGGGATAATTATGTATCAGCTGCGGGAGCTTGCGGGCACAGGGTTATTCACTGCGACGCACTCTTTGCTTCCTCCGCCATTGACTGCGCCTACTGCCTTCTTCGACTGCTTCTCATCCTGTGCTCGTATGTGCTTCTTGAGAGTTTCTGCACGATTAAGATATTCGGCAATCTTGGACCGGATTAAAACCTTGACTTTGTCATTCTTCTCGTCTAATGAATCCAATGATGAGCTATGAGGTAGAAGCCGATAGGGCAGCATGAAGCGTACACTTCAGCGCGAGCATGAAGTAATCAAGCGCGTTCATGTACTGTTGGCATGCCTCGGGGTATTTCTGATGTGTGTCATCGTCTATGGCTTGCTGAACGATTGATATAGCCCTCTAGGGTTGGAAACAACGTTTGTTAAAGATTTCCGCCCACAAAGGTATGCAGTCAAAGGCTCACATCTAAGTTTGTCGACATGAGAAGCGTAGAGACGAGATGGAGTTGGACGGAAACAGGATCAGGGCTGCGCTGGGGAGTTCAATCCGTCCAATTGGGCAGTGACATCGAGGTACCTGGGGTGATGATGTAAGCGCCAGATAAGGAAGGTTCCTCAACGCGTCGCTCTTCAGCTTCAGAACCCGCGTTTGCTTAGACTCGGCGACCGCGCCATTGATTATTTCTCTCAGTTCCACCTGTTCCATGACCTCTAATCGATAATCAGTGACAGTATTCTCAGGATGCCGACTATCAAAAACAGGAAGAGAAAACGATCCATAGCGTTCACCTCCGACGACGTGGACGAGGCTAGTCGTGCTGACGAGGTCGAGGTCAATGGAGATGAACCGGAAGAAGAGGTAGAATCAGATGCAAAGACAGAGGAAGGTGCTGAGGGAGAGGATGAACAAGCTGCCACCGATGACCAGCAGAAAGAGATTGCCGTCTGGGACTCGTTCAAGGAAGAGCATCATGAAGGTGAGCCTCCCCGACCGGTGTATGAGCTTATTAATAGGCGCATCCATCACACAGTCCTCGAACAACTCCCCCTATCAATACACCGACAGTACACTCTTCTGAAAGAGCTTGATGATCAGGCACAAGGTTGGTCAATGACCTTTTCTTACTTGCCCAGACTGACCCACCGGTTTTGTAGCATATAGTCGCCAATTGCTCAGCACCACACGTGAATATGTTGATCTCAGGAAACGCCTTGCCCTCTTGATCGCGAATACGCGACGTACGGATGACAATACTCATCTAGAGATTCCGATGAACAATGAAAGTCATCATAATACACCTTCATTCGAGGGACCCTCACCCCTGGTGAACGGCGACCAGACCGACTCGCACGAAGGTATTGGCAAGGATGCACCTAATGGTCAACGACTTGAAAACTCTCCTCCCATGCGTCCAAAACCTACTGAAGACCCTCTGGGTGCCTCTAGTCGAAGCCTCCTACATAAAATTGCTAATCTAGACGAAGAATCTCTCCGGACTGCAGATGAGAAGGTGAACATAGCGCAAACTATCCAAGAAACGGTATGTTTTAAATATGGTCTGGTTGAAAGTATCTCACCTAGGTTTAGGTGGAGCGTTACATTCGTCTTATTGATCAGGAAATTAAAGAACAGGAGGTATCTATTTCCCTCGGCATGCGCCCGGGCACGCATATAGCCCCCATCCTGTTGCCCGACCTCGTCGTCCCTCGCTGGGTTCGCCCTCCACGCGCTGAACAAAGTCCCGTACCCTTGCTTCTCCACGAAGATGATTCCGACGCAGTTGTTGTCGACGAGCCCGATGATAATGAACTTCTTAAAGAGGACCAGCAGTCGAAGAAGAGCAAGAAGAGTAAGAATGGCCCATTCAAGAAGGAGGAGTCTACGTCAGAGCGATCGGAGGCCCCGCCAAACAAGAAGAAACCCCGCGCAACGATTAGGTTGACGATACCGGTTCCGCCCCTCCATTCTCAGGAGGATTCAGATATATGGTGCTACTGCCAAAAGCCGTCTGGTAGTGGAGTCGTACGTTGGTTTATTGACTACTACCCTTGCCGGCTAACGAACGTGTGCAGATGGTCGCGTGCGACAACGAGAATTGTCCTTATGAATGGGTAAGCGGAACTTTTATTATATGAGTTATTGTCCTAATAATTTCGACAACAGTTCCATCTTGACTGCACCGACTTGACTAAAGCCCCGGAGGAAAAAGACAAATGGTTTTGTAGGGAATGTGAGCCAAGAGTCTCGCGAAGTGGCAGGATTATCACTGTTCGGACACGTTGATAATGTACCACTAATCTTATTCGTTGTCCTTGATACGCTTCACCGTTTGCATATGTGGTCTTGTTCATATACAAGCTACCAAATGGCCGTACAAATATTGTACATGCTACATTCTGATCGTCTAATCATCTTTATTTTTGACAATAGTACTCCGAACGAGACGCCAGCCATGAACTGTTGCTCGAATATCTTCCTCCCCAGGATCTTCCGGAAACATCGGCTACCAGTAACAAGTCAAGAAATAATTTGCTGTTGTCGACGACAAAAGAGCATACCGGGTATTTCTCCGTCACAATCTCCTCGCATATCCAACCTTGGTCTCGAGCCTTCTCGAAGAACTTCATGTCACGATGGGCGAGATGCGGGCGGTGATGAGTGTAGAACACGAGGACACATGGTTGCACCGATGAACCCGAGTCTCCGCCCAATCCCTCATCTGAGCTCAGACAGTATGTGCAGGTTTTGAGTAAGGCATCGTGCTACTTCCGTCAGTGAGGACTTGTGCAACATGTAAGCTCCATACTTGTGAGTGATTAAAGATGAGATCGGATAATATGATCACATCGTATTTTCTGTGAGGAGGGCGAGCTGATGGCAACAACTGTAGGAGTCGAGTGGCCGATTGTCCCCATATGTAGCCCTGTTTATGATGAGAATGCGCCCACATATGTGCACCATGGGTTTACAACATACCTGAGCCGTGACATTGTCGCGGATACTGTAGGGGATGTTTTGAGAGATATTGTGCTCAATGTTCCGGATGAGTGCATCATCGGGGTAGTCCGTAAGAACAACCTGGTCATGGCGTGAGTAGTGGCGGATTCGTTCAGAAAGATGGTCGCAACCTTCTGCGCACCGTTAAGTACAGTGATCATGCCAGGCAATGCACCTCCTGCGCCGAGCTCAAGCACGAAACGATCGCGCACTATATCGGGGTTGGCATCGAAGTAGGACGCGAACGATCGTGCTGCATTCCATCTGTGTCCTTGTAAGATCAGTAAGTTGCGCAATTGACGAACTTGCAGCACCTACAGATGATGAGCCCATAGAGGATGGGAGCCTACTAATCTAATCTTCAGCTCGGATGGCGCCCCTGGAGAGCTTGATTTTCGAGGATAGACCTCATAGGTTGGGTCGGGCGACGGCGGTCGCGAGGGCTCCTGAACATTAGTTTAGTTCTTCCAAGGTTGATATATGTTGTGGTTGTCGACTGACAGTGAAAACGGAGTCAAGGGAAAGTTCACCGTCGTCCATGTTGCTGAATGGCTCAGGTGAAAGAGGGGGCAGGCCAAAAGTAGGCAAAGACATACCAAAGACAGCAATTTTTCATAAGTTTAGACTTTTCGGGAAATCCCCTAAACGTACGCGACAAGCTTGGCTTTGAGCCACATTAATGGCCTCCACAATAGCACCTCGCTCCGCTTATTACAGTGCAGTTGGCTCTGTAATGTCAACATCGCGGCCGTATACAACCCAGTCACGCCCTTTTACTGCTCAATCACGTCCAGCTACGGGTCGTCCCAAAACAGCCGCGTCAACGAGGAATGAAGGAAACTATGTCGTCGCGTTGATAGAGAGCCGCGGTGTCGCCCACGAAGTCGGAATCGCAGCTCTTGATAGAGACACGGGAAGAGTAATGCTCACTCAGGTCTGCATCACAGTCTGTTTATCGCGCTGGCTTGACGAACGCTGTTCGTGCCGCATATAGCTTGCCGACTGTTCGACCTATGCAAGGACTCTTCACCAGATGCAAGTGCATACACCTTGCATTATCCTCGTTCCGGATACCTTCTTTTCAGGCCTCGACTCATCCTCGGGTAAAGCATCTTCTGGGTCTCTGCTAGTGCAGTACGCTATGGAAGAGTTTCCCGCTACTCCGATCGAGCCTGTTGCCCGAAAGTACTGGAATGACGGCTCAGGTTGATGTTCAAGCTAATGGCTTGGCTGAATACAGGAAACTCACCTCTTGAGCAGGAATGGAGTTCATCTCTCAGCTATGCGTTGAAGACGACGACAGAGCAGCTATTTTAGTCGCAGTTGCCGACAAGTAGGCGCATATACCCAGCTACAATGACTTGTCGGGTGGATATTCATTATTCGCAGATATTATGCACTCTCTGCTGCCTGTGCGCTCTTCAAGTACGTGGAAATGCGCATGAACACTCGCTTCGCTGCCTCGTCGGTCCGCATTCGCTATGTGCCCACTGAGGGCACCATGATGATCGATCCGGAGACTGCCCGAAACCTCGAGCTGGTCAACAACATAACCTACAAGAAATCTTCTCATTCGCTTTTTGGGTAACAGTTCACGGCCAGTTTCACTGTTAACGCAGTAATGACAGGCTTCAGGGTGATGAACCACACGTATACACCCATGGCGGCTCGTCTTTTGCGCGCAACCATACTTGCGCCTATAACAGGTAAGTTTCTGAAAGTAATATCTGATGACCAAATACTCAAAATATACTTCAGTTGAAGCCTCGTTGGAATCGCGCCTCGATGCTGTAGAAGGTATACCCCGATGTTCCGTGGTCGGATTCACGTTGAACTTGCCATATAGAACTAGTCAATAACGAGGAAAGGTTTTCTGATGTTCGGATTGCTCTGAAGACGCTCAACAAGTTGGACCTTGACAAACTCATATCATCCGTGCGCTAGGAATGCTTCTTTGGTCCGCACCCGCTGATAGAACGGGAATAGCTCGCAGCCTACGAAGTGACTATTTCGTCAAGTGCTAGACCGGCATCAGCTCGGGTCCTACAAATGCTCAATTTACGAAGCCTCGTTCGCAATATCCCAAATCTGCGAAGGGCATTGCATGGGAGTCAGTCTACCCTTCTGCGCATTATTGAGAAGGTGAGCAGTTCCATTGAAGTAGCTTTTGCAAATTTTCGTGACGCTAGTCAGATGATCTCGGATACACGACTCGATAGGATTGATGCACTTGTAGCCGAAAACCTCAATGACGAGGCCGGGCCTGCCAAGGTTGGGTGGAAACTCCTGGACATGCTCGATTGGCTGATGAAACGTTACTTGCAGACTGGCATAGCTGCCGTGAATGCGCGCGTATATGCGGTGAAGGTTAGTCCCAATATGAATGGATGACTTCTTTGTTCTCACATGCGCGTCTTCCAGGCCAACCGCAACCGCCTACTTGACGTAGCCCGCGAAACTTACAAGGAGAACGTCGGAGATATACACCAGCTCTGTGCTATGCTGTGTGAGAAGCATGGTTTACCTTTGTTCCTTGTCTACCAAGAGTCTGGTTACGTTTTTTCATCAAAAAAGGAAGATCTCGAAGGAGAGCTTCCTCCGGGGTTTATCAACGTTACGATGCAAAAGGGACGCTGGCTATTTAGTAGCTTGGACCTCGTACGTTATAACCTGTATCTCTGATTATTTTCTGACTAGTGAGATAGAAGAAGATGAACGCGCGGATGAAAGACGCTCTCGATGAGACGCTTATGCTGAGCGATAAGTGAGGCAGCGTTTTGACCTAGTGTATCTCGTCCAGCTAACATTTTTATAGAATTGTTCAAGACATGGTGGGCGCAATACAGGGAGATTCCGGAGCCCTCTACAAAGCATCTGACGCGGTATGTCTCGAGTCTTACACGACGACGCAAAGTACTGATATGTGAATATGAAGATTGCTCTCGTGGATGTCTTGTGGTCATTTGCACATGTATCTATTAGTACGCCGCTTTCTCCTCTGAACAAAATTCTAATCGACGATCCTATCATGTATAGTCCACAGCTACGGTAAGGATCTTTGGTTCTCAGCCGATCGTTTCTTTCTCAGTAATTCTGGTTCTAGTACGACCCGAATTTACCGGAACACTTGCCATCAAGGCGGGTCGTCATCCGATTCTTGAGACGGTGCAGTCAGCCGGAACACTCGTTTCCAACGATGTCTACAGCTGTGATTCTTCACACTTTCAAATAATCAGAGGACCCAAGTGAGCAAAACTCTTCACCTCAAGTTCGACCCTCGACCGCTGACCAGCGGCCTGCAGTATGTCAGGCAAAAGCACTTACCTTCGGCAAACTGGACTGCTTGCCATCATGGCAATGTGTGGCTGCTTTGTTCCGGCGGAATACGCCAGTTTTCGGTGCGCCCTCTCAGCTTATTTTAGCATGTAATTGCGCTGAATTTAAATGACGCAATAGCGTACACGATGCTCTCCTCACTAGACTTTCCAACGATGATAACATGGAGAAAAGCCTTAGCACCTTCGCGAATGAGATGGTGACTTCGGCGATGATATTGGGTAAGTCAGTCTTTCTTATTGTGTCGTCAAATGCAAACGATCGTCCAACAGGCCTTGCGACATCTCAAACCCTGGTTCTTGTTGATGAACTCGGGCGTGGTACATCTTCTTCTGAAGGTGTTGGGATTGCTCACGCGATCGCGGAAGAGTTGATTGACATCAAGGTTTGCTTCTTGTCAGTATCAATGACATTAACTGTAAGCTGATGACATTGAAGTGTTTCACGTTCTTCGCAACGTAAGGAAAAGTGGCTTGTGGTTGTCTCTTTTACGTCATCTAACGTGAGCAGACATTTCGAGGTGCTATCAACAACACTCTCGCGTCAGCCTGGAGTTGTAAAGTAAGCATGTCAATCTGACTGCAGGGCGCTAATCAACTCCACGCTTCGTAGCCTTCATTTGTCCGTCCAGGTGCGTAGCTCACCTATTGGCCGTAAATTATCTCCATCTTCCCTAGCGAGCACGGTCATCCGCCTCTAACATCGGAGTGACCTATCAATACAAGTACGGTCTAGCGCTATGAAGGGGATCCGGCTGCTGACTACCCTAGAATCCTGGATGGCGAACCGGACGAGATGGAACACTATGGTGCTTATCTCTGCCTTATTGGCATATCTTCTCGTTCCGTGTTAATGGGTTCGGGTCACGACGGACAGGTCTCGAGCTCGCACGGCTCGCCGATCTGCCCGCCGACGTGATGTCGGAAGCCCACAGAGTGTCTGAGGCCCTCGTGGAGAAGGAGAATCAGTCCAAGGCAGAGAGTCGATCGAGCAAGGTCTCTATCCGGCGCCGCGCTTTATTAAAGGTAATCTTGGACTGCTGTTCATGAACCCCTTCGCCCCGTCTCTGGAGTGCTGGTTGTGCTGGGATGCTGACGCGACATGTGGGGGTACGGTGCGACTCGGACAGCTCAAAACGCAGCTGACGCAGGCGTATGAGCACTCGCAGCTTCCGGACGAAGAGCTGGTGGCTTATCTCGCGAAGCTCCAGAGGGAGATGGTCAAGGTGCTGCACGATACGCTCTGAGCGCGTGGCTTGCTTGATGCCTGATGCCGTCACGGTTGGAGGCCGGCGACCTTGCGTTCTATTCTATTCTTGGTGCTCGAGGGACTACGATAACGGTGCTCGGATCCTCGAAACCCCTTGTCTTCGTCCAGCTTTCATGACTCAGGACAGAACTGCGTTCCCATAAACCTTGTCTCGTGTACGGTTTCTGATGACATCGAGGGTGTATTCACGTTTCCTGCGACCAATACATATCGTTGCATCATATTTTACATATTGTGCACTGCCGGGCCATGGGCTATTCAAGCTCGCCGTGTGCCACCGGATCATGTTCACGTTCTCCGACAGCACGATAAGGCAGACCCCATACAAATGCGGGGTCGCCCTATACGCTGCTTGCACCACCAACTGTGTGCCATTAACGCCCTGATTCCAAATTCCCACCACTTCACAGGCTTCATTGCTTGGTTAAGAAGGTCTGTTGACTATTGGGAATTAGAGATAGGCTGGGCAGTCCAGCGGCGGAGTGGCCGGAGCATCACACAGAAGCTATGTAGATAAACCATGGGTGACGCAGCTGTAGTATGTAGTAGAGCTAGTGCATTCCGGGGGTTCTCAAGGCGGGAAGCGGTCTGGATGGTCCATGGGTATAGAAATATGGTTATAAGAAGGAGACTGAGCTTGGGCCCTTGGAACTGTACCTGCCTCCCAGACACCCTCTTGCAGAGAGCGCCCGCCGATATGGGGAACATTCTGTCATTCCTGAGCGGGCCAGGCCCAAAGAGAGAGGGGGGTAAACCTTCCGAGACATCCAACGCCAACGTGAAAGCGCAGCAGAGCCCAGCGAGGCGCACACGGGATCTAGATCCGGACTCGCACTCGGATTCGCACCCGGAGCCCAGTGCAGCGCCCTTGACGTCGTCGTCGCTGCTGCCCGCCGCGAACCCGACGACGTCCTTCTGGCTCGTCCCGCCCTCGCCCATCGCGACGCACGTCTCGAGCGAGACGGTGCCCTTGCAGGCTGACGTCGGTGCGTGCCCTTGGGGGTTACATTCCAACCCCGTTGTTCCTCGCAAAGCCTGAGCGTCCCGCTGATGCGAATGCGACTGAAACAGTGGTCATCGGGTCCGGGATAACGGCCGCGTCCTTTGCGCGCACGCTGCTCGACTACCGTGCCAGCTCCAGCGGCGGTGCTAGCGAGGCGCAAGGATCGCAGACGATGAGCGTCGTGATGCTCGAGGCGCGCGAGACGTGCTCCGGCGCGACTGGGAGGTGCGTTGTGTCTCTCCTCGCCTTCGAAGGAGGAGGAGGGGGAGGACGTTCGACTGTGCTGGAGCGACACTCGAGCGACACACGCTAATACTAGCACACACAGAAACGGCGGACACATCAACCCGCCTTTATACCACGACTACGCCGCCCTCAAAGCGCACCTCGGCGCGCGCACGGCGCAGCAGATCGTGCGCTTCCGGCTGTCGCACCTCGACGCGGTGCGACGCGCGGTCGACGACGAGGAGCGTGTGCATGCGAACAACGCGGGGCGCGCGCAGTTCCGCGACGTCGAGGCTGTGGATGTGTTTTTTGAGCGGGCGACGTTCGAGCGCGCGAAGGCGCTGGTGGGTGTGTATAGCGCGGATATGCCGGTGGAGGGGGCGCGGTATGAGGTGTGTGAGAGGGCGGAGGCGGTTGAGGTGGGTGCTGCGAGAATATTCATGTTGCGGGAGGTGGATGCTGATGCGGTCTGTGTTTTGGCTCTGGATAGAAGTTCGGGCTGTCGCCGCTCGCGGTGGGGTGCATCGCGACGCATGCGGGCGCCGTGCATCCGTATAGGCTCGTGACTGGGATATTGGCGCGGTTGCTGGAGGACTATCCCGAGCGGTGAGCCTGTTCCCTATCTCCCGGTGATGCAGAAACGCAGAAACTCAAAGACGGCTTTTCTGCGGCACATGCGCAATCGCCAACAGGTTCACCCTCTACGCGCACACACCCTGCACGTCTATCAGCGGTCCCTCTTCCTTGTCCTCCTCTGAAAGCGCACATCGATACACCGTGCACACGCCCCGCGGACGCATCTCCGCGCGCCACATCGTGCACGCGACGAACGCGTATGCGTCCGGGCTCCTGCCCGGCTTCGCGCGCACACGCGCGATCCGGCCGCTGCGCGAGACGATGAGCGCGCAGCGCGCGGGGACGGGGAGTGCGCTGCGCGAGGGGGCGCTGCGGCGGGCGGGCGGGCGCTCGTTTGTGTTTTTTGATGAGCGGAGGGTGGGGTTTGATTATTTGACGCAGTTGCCTGGGGCGGGGTGGGAGGAGAGTGAGGATGGGGATGAAGATGGGGAGGGAGAGGGGGGTTATGTGAATGTGGAGAAGAGCGACGATAGTAGGGGCTGCGATGAGCGGAATCGTGGAGGGAAGGGCGAGAGGAGTGTCAAGCGTAAGGGCGGCGAGCTGATGTTCGGCGCGGGCTTCGATGGGGGAGGCGAGCTGGACGGGCTGGGCAATGCGGACGACAGTGCGTATAGCACGCGGAGCGCCGCGCACGTCTCGGGCGCGCTGCCTGTGTACTTTGGCGAGGCGAACTGGGGCGCGGAGGCGCTCCCTGGGCTCTCCGAGTCTGAGTCCGAGTCCGAGAGTGACGCGGATGAGGACGATGCCGACGGCCAGGTCGACTTGAAGGTCGGAAAGGGGAGTGATAGGAAGCCTAGAGAGAACCTGAAGAAGAAGAAGGTGCGATGGCACCAAGGGCGCGTCAAGGCGCTCTGGAGCGGCATCCTGAGCACGTCTGCGGACGGTCTGCCCTGGGTCGGCCGTCTCCCCCCCGCGATCACGGGCCGCGCGGGCCCTCAGGATCATGACCAGGCGCTCTCGACGGCGGTAGAACCAGTCCGACGCGGCGACGGCCACCTCGAGAACGAGAAGCAGCCGGAGCACCAAGAGCCATCGGACCCGGAAAAGCACTGCCCCATTGCGACTGTGTCCGAGCCAGGTGCAGGTGCAGGCGCAACAGGCACAGGCACAAGCACAAGCGCAAGGACGGGCGGCGAGTGGATCGCGGCGGGCTACTCGGGCGAGGGAATGGTGTACGCGTGGCAGAGCGCACGCGCGCTCGCGTACATGGTGCTCGGCGGGGCGGTCGTGGAGGAGGAGCGCGTGCGCGAGTGGCTGCCTGGTGTGTTTTGTGTGAGCGAGGAGCGGTTGCGCGGGTTGGGGGCAGTTGGGCTTGGTGCTTCGGGGCGTCGGCGGCTTGGGGTGGATGCGGATAAGGGCGAGGAGGCCGGGGTGCAGCTGCAGCAGCGAGCTGGAGGTGGTCTTCGCGATGGGTGGATGTTTGGTAAGAGCGGGGTGTATGCCCAGGCTGCTCGGACCCAGGCCTAGGTGGCGGGATAAGCAAGGATGACTGCAGGACGGGTGCTCGGAAGGTGCTGCTTCAAGTTCGAGTTCGAGTTTACGGCCGAGAAGCACGTCCGCGCCGATGCTTACGAGGTGGAAGTGTGTATGATCTCCGGGTCGTTTGAATCTCCGAGATTGAACGGGCGGTTGTCTAATAGCTCTGGATCTTTGATCGACAGCGTGCAGCAGCGGTGTTGGGCGGTGGATTGGCCATTGGGCGTCTGGGCGGTGTGCCATTAGAACTAGCGTGCACATGCAGCGATGGTCGAGCACTGTTGGTTCTGAATTGTTCAGCCTCTGAGCTAGCTATAGCGTGTGGAGTGTGATTTGTATTCGTGGAGATGTTGGAGCTGGTGCCGTCGCCGTGTCGCGTCCACTAGGGCTTGTATTATTAGAAGTCGAACCTTGTGCTTCTTGTATGATATTGATACGTGTACAACAGAACTTTGTCTTTTTTGGTACGAACCTTGGTGAATCGCGTTCAAGGAGACTTCTGAAGTTCGGTCGTTTCAGCCTTCCAGAAGCGTCCTTTTTCTCCGTGCAAACCCCGTGCCCCAGGCTGGTTGGCTGATCGGGGGGTGGTCCGGGTGAACATGTCGCTGGCAGATGCTCTGGAAATGAGAAAAAGAACACAGACTAGAGGCTGAGGACGGAAATTGTGCGCCGCGCCCACGACGCGCAGTTAGTTACCGGCGGCACGCTCGCTAAGCTCAGGCTAGCTCAGGGGTCTCCTATCAAAGTTTCATTCAATGTGCAACGAGGGGGCGAATAACATGTATGTATGTTGTGATATATGTCAGGCACATAGCGGAAGTGGACGGCCGTCAAGGGAGATGTAAGATGCGGAATGAAGGGGCGAAGACTAGGTTGGGTGCCTGCAGATTCGCGTCCGTTGCAGGATATGTACTGGAGTGAGGATAAAGACGGGCTAGGGTTGTGATGAGGGTGAAGATGGGAGGGAGTGGAGTGAGGCGATGTGATGGAAATCCGCAGCATGAGAAGATGAAGGTGAGGCTTGGGATTTGTTGTCGGAGGCCAATTGGGATGTGTGTTACGGCATGACGCGACGATAAGGGGAGGCCGTGCGCCAAAATAGCGACGTGGCCCATCAGGATGTGATCCCCAGTTCCCGTGTATGTTGGCTCACATAAATCGAACTAAAGGTATGGTACTTCGTGTTCGTCTTGCCTGGTACACTCGCTGCGCGCGACGCCAGCGGACGCGGGATAAACGTTAAAAGCTTGACGAGGGCGGCGGCAATCCGTCAGCTGGGCAGCACCGCTGTGGAAAGCAGGTCAGGCTAGCCATCTTCAGCTGACCCCGTTGTCACCCGCTGTTACTGTTATAGCCCGGTTCCACAGCGGCATGAGAGTCCCGGCACGGACGAGCGATCTGATTATGAGAGTTATCATGCACGGGCGCGGCGGCCCCGCTGGCTATCATGGCCATGGCCCTCGACTCGCGAGAAACGCGTCCGGAAATCACGCGGTGTTGGTATGACGAACTTGGATAGAAGCAGTGATCGTTCCTTGCTGTTGCAACCTCGATTGCCATGTCCAGGTGTCAGCACAGACTTTACAGTAGCGTGTAGGGGAGGTGGGAGCAGGAGTGAATTCGAAGCCTGGGGTGGTGGGGCGCGGGAGAGGAGCGGGCAGCGTGGACTCGGCTCGCCATCGCTTGGCAGATCCGTGCTTTGCTCGACGACGAAGCGAAACAAAGTGGTGATAAATAACGAGCTCGGGCTATACACGATACTGTACAGTCTGAAACACTAGTTTGTGTGCTAGCAGGAACATCATTTAGTAGTAGATCTGTTGTGTTGTCTGGTAACAGAGCGAGTATCGAAAATGGTATTTTGGTGTGTTTGTCCAGGGACCTTGGTTGCATCCTTGTCCACCCAGAGATCGACCGCTTCAAGCTCCCTCAGTCGAGCACCCGCCCCTCCTCCTCGTCGCCAACACGATAGCCGTCGTCGAGGCAGACCACTCAAACACTCCTTTCAACGCTGCTGCTCGACATATCCACAATCATCATCCACAATCCACCAGCGCAGCCCCTTCCTTTGCCACGTTTCCTCCCTCCCTTGGTGAGCCCCGCTTCTCCGCATCACTCCATTATCGCTCGACAACCACCCGCTCTCTCCTCGCCACCACCAACTAGCATATACTCTTCCTCTTTCTCACTCTTATCTTCTCCTCAGTTTTTCTCTTTTCGGTCACGACCAGTCCATGGCCGTTCTTGCACCACAAGATTGGCATCCACCCAGAGATCACCAAATGGAACTGAGCCCAAACTCGTCTGTCTCCCCCCGCCAGCGCACCTCCCCCGCCAACGACCCCGCAACACCGACTACCCCCTCCGCACCAGGCCCACAGCACCAGCAGCCCTACGCGTACCCGCACCAGCAGCCCCCGGCAGGCTGGCCCGTTTCGGGACAACCCTACTACCCTCAGTTCTACCAAAACCAGCAGCCCTACGGTATTCATGCACACCCAGGTCACGTACCCCCGCAACCCGCCCACCCGGGTCCTTACTACGACCACAACGCCCAGCTCGCCCAGTGGGCCTACCAGCAGATGATGTACAACCAAGCCCATCAGATGCAGCAGCAACAGCAGATGCCCCCGCCCCCGCATCAGCAACACCACCCCCCGCACACGCCCCAGCGCAGCGCGTCGAATAACCCCGCGACACCGTCCGAGTACTTTGGGCCCCCGAACCAGATGTTCAGCCCCTTCCCGAGCGGCACGCCCCCGCCCCATCAGCAAAACGGCCAGTTTCAGCAGCCACCGCAGCAGCAACAGCCGCCGACACGCACCGGCTCGGCCGAGGGGCAGCAGCACAACGGCTTCCACCCCTATCGCCGGCCGAATCGCGGTGGTGCTGGCGGCGCTGGCCCGGCCAGCGAAGACTGGCGAGCAGGCGCGCAGCCGCCTCCGCCGCCCCCTGGGGGTGGCGCTTTTCAGCCGCCGTATGCGCGCGGGGACGCTTCGGCGTCGTCGTCCTCGGTCAACTCTGGCTCGAGCGCGCGGGAGCACAACAACAATAACAATGGCAGCCCGCGCCAGCGCACGAGCAGCACGCAAGGATCCGCGAATGGGCATGGCCCCGGCAACGCGGGGAGTGTCCGCGGCGCGCGCCCGGGCCAGTCGCCCACGCCACCGCCGTCGCTCCCCGATACGCCGCGTTCGCGCACGGGCAGCAACTCGTCGGCGACGAGCGCACATGCGCATGCGGCTGCGCACGCCGCGCGGCCGCATCCGCACCACCGGACGGGGTCGTCGTCGTCGGCCACCTCTGCATCGGCGCCGCGCCCTTCTGGTGCGAGCGCGAACGGGTCCTCCTCGACGGCGATGGCGACGGCCGCCGGCGGCGCGGGGGCGGTGGCACCCGCTGTGGCGCGGCAGGCGCGGCCGTCGCCGTTGTCGCAGGGGAGCTTTACTGCCGCGGAGAAGCGGATGTCGCGGGACGACAGCGATCTGCAGGGGATGATGGCGGATGAGCGGGGCGGGGAGCGCGCGCACCATGGGCATCGTGGGATCAAGGGCCGGTTGAGGCGCGCGTTGTCGTTGAATGCGACGCAGACGCTGCAGGACGAGGACGAGGATGATGCGAGCTCGACGAAGGCGAATGCGCCGGGGCGCAGGCCCGCGAACGGTGCTGCTGCTGCTGCCGGCGGCGGCGGCGGCGGCGGTGCTTCTGGCGGGCCGAGCACGGGTGGGAGTTCTGTGGCGATGACGAGCACGACGGATGCGGCGGACGCGGCGTCGACTGCGACGCGGCAGACGAAGAAGCGGTCGCGCGCTGCGTCGCTGTTCAATCCGAAGCTGAACGCGTCGACGGACAATATCTCGCTGTCGTCGACGATGTCGTCTGCGTCGATGGTGATCCGGAAGCTGGGGTCGATCGGGAAGCTCGCGCGGCGCAATTCGCTCGCGGGGATTACGAGTCTGTTCAAGGACAAGGATAAGGATAAGGGCAAGGACACGATGGAGGATCTGGATAATGATGATACGCCGATCGGGGCGGATCTGGATGCGGGCGAGCGGAAGAAGGGCAAGAAGATGAAGAAGAAGGGCGGCGGCGGCGGTGGCAAGGACGTGGGTGGCAGTGGGAGCAAGGGGAGTGCGGCGGAGCCGAGTGTGTCGCATGCGCAGGCGGAGCTCGATCGGTCGAGCGAGTGGAGCAATGGCGGGGAGATGACGGGGCTCAGTCCGGCTGCGAAGCTGGCGAGGCAGCATACGCTCAAGAGCAACGCGGAGGCGGCGGCCAAGGCGAAGGCGCAGCAGGAGGCTGCTGCCGCTATTGCTGCTGCTGCTGCCGCGGCGGGGGGGAAGCAGAACGGCGGGGTGCCGGTTCCGGGGCCGTGGGAGCGGAACACGACGACGGGGCGGGACGGCGGGGGGCATGGGGGTGTGCGGGTGAGCGAGGACGGGAGCCGGATTGTGGAGGAGGACGAGGAGAGCGATGATGGGCATTATTATGGGTCGCGTTCTGGGGGCCCGCATGAGGGCTGGGACGACGACGAGTGGCCGGAGGATGAGGACGAGGACGAGGCGACGATTCGGATGGAGCGGACGCATATTGGGGGGAGCGATGGTGCGGAGGACGGCGAGACGGTTGCGTGGGCGCAGAATATCCGCCGGAGCGTCGAGCGCAAGAGGCAGCCGACCAAGGGCATTTTGAAAGGCAAGAATCGTATGCAGCGTTTCTTGTCGAGTTTGTGTTTTACTGACCTCTGCTTTTTTTTTTGCTTTGGGGTGCGATTTGTGCAGGTGCCGAAGGGTTCAACCAGGAGGTGTATCTCGCCGATTCAGCGAATGTGCAGACGCGGGGTCGCGCCAACTCGGAGAACACGCGGCCGGGGCAGGCGCTCTCGGAGACGCCGTCGCTCACGCATATTCCGTCCTCGGACCCGGACCAGATCGACGGGCTGCACAGGCACTCGTCGACGTCGTCGCACCGCTCTAGCGGTGCCGGCTCTGGCGCGGCGTTCCAGCTGCCGCCCTTGACGATCGACACCGAAGGGCTTAGCGTCGACTCGCCCAAGGAAATCACGGGCAGTGCAACTACCACTCCGACGACGGCGACAACGACGACTCCGGGCTCGGGGCGGTCCTCGCCGCAAAAGGGCATGTTCACGCTGTCGAACTCGTCTGCGCCCGTGCTGTCGAGCATGCCGCTGTCGCCGCCCGCGGGGCTGACGCACCGGTCCGCGACGACGCCGGCGAAGCGGCTGGCGTTTGCGAACAATCTGTCGGTGTACGACACGTTTTCGCCGCAGATGTACGACCGGCGGAGCGAGCCGGCGACGTGGAGCCGGCTGACGCCCGCGCTGGCGCAGCAGATTAAGGAGGAGCTGAATTCGTTCAAGATGGAGGAGATGGAGGTGCATGCGTCGAGTCGGATGCAGTATGTTTTTTTTTTTTTTTGGTTTTGGGTTTGGGTGCGAGTGCTGATGGGTTTCTTGTAGCACTCAATTTTTCATTTGAGGATGGGTATACTCCCTCTTCTCCCGGCATACCTCCTATCGGATTTAGCGTTCTCAAGGATCCCCTCATTCACCCCCATCTAAAACACACCCGCCCAAGATATATCTGACACTCCTTTTGGCTGCATCGTTGTCTGGATCACAATTTATCGTCCATCGTCCTCTCATACGCATTCGCCGTTGTTTTCTCTCTCTCTCGCCTTCTCGCCTTCTCGCCTAGTCTCTCGTTCCGTCCATCTCCATCGACATCTCTGTTATAGTTCGTCCAACTCCCCCATCAATCCACCCATCCTTCACAATTATACCCTACACCTGTAATCATACCGTGGCAGGCGCCCCGCTTCACCTCCTTCCCTTCTTTTTCATGCCCTTCTTCTGGTCGTTGTCCAGTTCTTTTTTGGCACTGCTCTCTGCTCTCCGGTTTTCTGCTTCTCTCCTCTCCTCGTTGCTCGCTGTCGCTTGTCCAGGAGCGAGGATCCGTCATTCGAGGGATATACCCGGGGTATTCCAGGGGAATTTAGAAGCAAGATGGGAGGCATGGGACGATGAACGATCTCGCCCTGATATCAAGCCAAGGACAGTCAAGTCCAGGACAGGAAAGAAGAGGAGAGGAGAAGAGAGGAAAGGAGGGAGAGGGAGGTATATATGTTGTATATAACCCTTCTCCGGGGCTCTGGCAGACTCGACGAGACACAACGCTCACTTCAAGTTTTTTTCTTTCTTTTCTTTTTTCTTTCTCTGTTTCATTTTTTGTTCACCTTGTTTTGTTTGTTATTCGGGCGTCTTGCTCTGCTTGGCGTTCGAATGGACTCTTCCGCTCGTTGTCTCTGTTTTCATCTCTTTTTCTTACCCATTTCTTTCTTCTCTCGCCCCCCTTTTTTCTCAAAGGAATGCAGCCTGCCCGCTTTATACGCACACACACAAAGAGGAATCGATCCCCTTGCTCCTATAGCTAACGTATATGCTTAGTACTTATAACCATAACCGCAACCAACCAACCAACCAACAACAACACGCAATCACCCATCCGCCCATCCAACCCACCACACATACACTCACCATGTGCATCTTTTCCTTTTCTTTTTCTCGTTCCATCTGAATCTCTCTCTCTCTCTCTCGCCCTCTCTTTCTCTCGTCCAATACAATCTCCCCAGCCCCTCTCCTCCTAACGTTATATATGTCCGCCCTGTCCACTTTTTCTCTCCCGTGTCGTCGAGCATTGCACTACTTGGAATTACCCGGAGTAAACCCATCTCAAAAAACGCGAGCGACTGATCTGATCTGATCTGATCGGGGAGCTCAGAGTTTACATATGTGTTGTTTTATACCTTAGCATCTTTACAATAATATGAATTCGTTTTTGAGTCTCATTCTCAGCGTTGGCCATGGAAGACGTGTGACCATGAATAATAATACGGGGTGCACAAAGACGTGTATTCATTCACCATGACATCGTCTAGCTGTATAGTGTAAAGTGCGATTATTCTACATAAGTGTTGCATGGGAAGCGAGGACTGGGTTGGGCAGTGGTAGGTGTCAATGGGGTTTGCGAGGGCTAGTCAAATGTGTACGGAGTTCGTCGTCAAAGGCAAAAAGACAAAAAAAAAATGGGCAAGAGCAACAACAACACGCAGAAACAAAAAAGGAATAAAATAGCCTAAAAGAAAGGAGGAGGAGCGTGTGCCTTTTGCGAGAGCGCAGATGACACTGCGCGTCTCTGCGACGTTCATTGTCACCGACCTTAATCCCAAGACGGCGAGGAGCTGTACGCATGGTTCCTCGTAGTGTTGTTCGCTGTCCCGTTCTGGGCAGGACTCGAGGGCGACCACTGGGGAGACGTCGGGCTATAAGCCGGAGACGCAGGAGCTGTTGAAACAATATCAGTAAAAGAAGGCGCTGAGCAAACACGCTAAACGCACAATAGGCTGGGGCTGGAAGAGTAAAACCGTCAGTAAAGAGACATCAAGTAGGATAAGCAGCGAACTCACATGCAGGGGAATAGGTGGGGGAAGTGGGAGCTGTATCCAATTTAGTACCATGCCTTGAATAGGGTTAGAATAATACGTACAGTATTTGGGGGATGACGGCGAGGTTGGCGAGGTTGGAGAGTACCTCGGCGACGCTGGGGACATCTGGGCAGGAGCTAGAATAAATCAAATAAGTAAACGTATTTCGTGGCATGATATGAAAATACATACAAGCTGTGATAGAAAGACGAGAACGATTGGCGGTCAGCATACAGACATGGTATATATTTTATACACTTACTCGGCGAATCTAATAGATAGCTCAATTAGCAAAGGTTCTACTAACACGATCAAGTAAAGACACTTACAGCGTGGCGAAGCAGGGCTGAACGAAGGACTCGTGGGAGAATACCTCGGCGATGTAGGACTGAACGAAGGCGACTGCGGGCTGTACCGCGGCGACGTTGGCGAGAACGACGGCGACGTTGGCGAATATCTCGGGCTCGTGGGCGAGTACCCCGGGGATGTCAGGTTGAGCGCCGGCGATGTGGGCGAGTACGTCGGCGACGTGGGCCCGCGAGAGCGGTCGAAGAACGGTGACGTCGCGTATGGCGAGGTCCCAAAGGGCGAGGTTGCGCCGCCGAACGGCGACTGCGGCACGTAAGGCGACGTTGGGGAGTAGGCGTTGGGAGAGCTCGGGCTGTATCCGGGGCCAGCTGGCGACATGGCGCCTGCGCCCATTGGACTCTGTCCATACCCCAGGTACGAGTTGAAGCTCGCTGCCTCCTCGCCCCCGTTGGCTGCGAGCGGGGAGAACGCCGCCGATTCGCCCTTGAAGTTGGCCTCGGACCACGCAGGTGAGTTGGTGTCGTAGGGCGTCATTGCCACTTGACCTGGTGTCATGCCGCCATCCGCCTGAGCAGCCAGCATGTTCTGCACCGGCAGACGATGGTCGACGATCGCATCCTTGAGCATGTCAATGTCGAGCGCGACATCAAACGCTCCCGTGCCCATAGGCGCCATTTGGCCGAACAAAACGTTCTCCGCAACACCGTGACAGTCATCCTTCTCGCCGACTGCGGCCGCCTCCATGAGGATTTCGACCGTCTCCTCGAACGAACAACGCATGAGCGCTCCCGTATCCGCGCGGTTGATACCATGGCGAGTAATGGCCATGAGATGACCACGTTGCGTCATCAGGTCACAGAGGAGGGAGAGATGGCGGTAGTTGACGTAGGAACCGTCGAATTCAATGACGTTGCGAAGCTCCTTCATGATGGCCGCACGCGCTGCCTCCACGCCCAAAACGTCGAACACCTCGGTACAGTTGTTCGAGTATGTCCGGCGGAAGTCAACACCGCTGATGGTCATAACCGTCTTCAAGTTGACACCGTCCGTCTCCAGAACCCATTCCTTCTTCGTCGCAATGGAACCCTCATCGTTGATGTAGATGTCGTCCTGCTCCTGCAAGAAGACACGGTTGATGCCCTTGACACCGCGCAGCGAAATGGAGTTGAGCATCGTCGTCTCGAGTTGCCGCAGGAAAATATCTTCCTCGACGCTCTCCATGCCGTCGTCGTCCTTGTCGGCACCACCCAGAACCCTGCAACGAATAACGAGCTTGTCCGAGTTGTCTTCGGACCAGATGACGAAAAGATCCGTCTTGAAGCTCTCGGCGATGCGACCGGCGACGTACGCCATCGTGAGCTTGCGATCGAGCATCTTGGCACGATCAAGCTCGAGACGAAGCAACCAAGGCGACTGCAGGTGCAATTTCGACTCCACCTCTTCATCAGGAATAGCGAAGAAGGCCTCGACGAACACCTGATCCTCCTCGATAATAGTCGAGCTGGGATCAGGGTCGTACCAGATCTCGACGGCAGCCGTGACAGTGCGCAACGACGTATATGCCAGCTCCTGCTGGACATTCTTCGCCGAGTCGGGATTCCGGGAGATTTGGGGGTCGAGATAGACGGTCAACGACGGCGTCTTGATGTTCACCGCCGTGTTGATAATCTCCTTCAAACGCGGCACACCAAGCGTGACGTTCTTGGACGACACACCGGCATAATGGAACGTGTTGAGCGTCATCTGCGTCGCCGGCTCTCCGATAGACTGCGCAGCGAGGGTGCCGCACATTTCACCCGGGTGCACCAAGGACTGGTTGAACTTCGTCTCGATTTCGCCCAGCACCCACTCGAACGCCTCCCGGTTCAGATGGAACTGCTCGAGAACACGGCGGGACGCGAGCGTCGCGCGGACGTGCATCCGGAACGTCAACGACGCATTGAGCTGCGCCTCGCGCGTGAGCTCATCCTCGCCGTTGATCACCACCAGCCGCGAAGCAAGCTGCTGAACCGCTTCGACAATATAGGCCGGCTCGAGGTCGCTCGCCTTGCGCCTGTCGATGTGGAAGATCTGCGATGCGTTCTGGAGGATACGACTGAGGTTGACAGGGAGGTAATGGGGCGTGAGGTTGTTGCTCTTCGGGAAGACGAACTGGCGGAGGAGCCGTCGGTCCTCGAGCAACTGGTTGTACTCCTCGTCAAGCTTCGACTGGAGCTCGAGCGAGCTGTCGTCGAGACCGACTTGGAGAACACCGGGCAGGAAGCCACCCTGCGGGTCCGTGACATCAACGCGGTAGTTGTGCTCGAACTCGGCATCGCTGAGCCCGAAGGTCTCAATCTTCTGCCGCTCGATGAACGCGCCATCCATGCCGTCCTCTCCATAAACGAACTGCAACAGATCGCCAAGCGAGTTCCGGACCGTTCCGTCATAGTGCACCATAACGTCCTCAAGCGCCTTGACAAGACGCCGCTGGATATAACCCGTCTCAGCGGTCTTGACGGCGGTATCAATGAGACCCTCTCGTCCAGCCATAGCGTGGAAGAAGAACTCCTGGGGCGTCAGCCCACGGAGATACGAGTTCTCGACGAAGCCTCGTGACTCGGGACTAAAGTCGTCCTTCGTGAAGTGAGGCAGCGTGCGATGGCGGAAGCCGAACGGTATACGCTTGCCCTCCACACTCTGCTGCCCGACACAGACCGACATCTGCGAGATGTTGATATAGGAACCCTTGGAACCGGCCACGACCATCTGCTTCACGTTGTTATCGTCCGACAGGTTCTTCTGCGCATACTGACCCGACTCGTCACGGGCGCGGTTGAGCTCGCGCTCGACCTTGCTCTCGAACGATTCACGGATGGTCATACCGGGCAAAGCCTTCAGTCTATCGTGGTACGCGTCCTCAACGATCTCCGAGACCAACTTCTTCTTGCCCTGGATGACATTCGTGATGTGCGTCATGACCTTGGGCCCGGCGACGGTGTCACCGATACCGATAGAGAAGCCGTTGTGGAATAACCAGTAGTTGACGACGACCTGGATGCCTGTGAAGAGGTCGCGAGTGGCTTCGGGACCCTTCTCTCGGAAAACGACGTGGATGAGACCACCCTGCGAAGCACCGACAGTCTTCTTCTCGACGATACCGTAGATGATCTCGCCGTTCTCGATCAAGATGCCGTCGTCGAACACAGGATTAGAAGACTTGGGCTCCGCGGCACGCTGGATGTTGATACCACGAGGAATGACCATGGAAAGGATCTGCTTGCCGGTCCACAAAGGTTTCGGCTTGAAGATTGCTGGTGGCGGGACATTGCCGTCCCAGTCTGGCACCCAGAGCAGGATGTTCTGCACCTGGTTCCACTCCATGAACGTATCGCGAAGGGTGAACTTGCGGATACCACAGAGCGTGTCCTGGACGATACCCATGACGGGCTTGTTTGCTTGTGGCGAAATAATCTACAAACTTGTATTAGCATACGCAGGCCGAAACTAATTTTTATAAAACCTCACCTGTCGCGGAACCCAGGCGATCTGACTCAACTCGGCACGGGTCTCCTCGCTCTGGGGAATGCTTCACCGGATTTTAGTATGGGTACTATATTTCTATTGACTGGGAATACTTACTGCATGTTCATTTCATCACCGTCGAAATCAGCGTTGTACGGAGGAGTCACGGACAAATTCAGACGGAAAGCTAGAGACACCATCAGACCATGCTCGGATGCAACATCCAACTGCACTCACTGGAATACGGCATGAGCTTGACACGATGGCTCATCATACTCATCTTGTGCAGACTAGGCTGCCGGTTGAAAAGCACAAAGCTGCGGAGACTCTTCAGTGCCCAATCGTGAAGCATACATAAAAAGAAGACCCACTCTCCGTCCTTCAAATGCCGCTCGACGATCCACCCGTACTGCAAAAACGCGTCCGCGCGCTTATTATACCGCAAGTCGATACGCTCGCCCGTGTCGCGAACGACATATCGTGCACCGGGGTACGTCGTCGGCCCGTTCCGCACGAGCTCCTGGAGATACGCAATATTGTATGGCGTCACTATAAAAATGAAATAAAAATTCTGCGTCAGCACGGTTGCCTCCACGAAATTACATGACAATTTCCTTACCTCGCTCCGGATACGTCAGGTTCATCGCGATACTCCTCGGCACGCCGACCTCGTCCAGCTGCAAATTAGGATCGCCCGTGATAACCGTGCGCGCCGAGAAATCGACACGCTTCCCCATCAGGTTACCGCGCAGACGCCCCTCCTTGCCCTTCAGACGGGCGCGGATGGCTTTGACCGGGCGTCCAGACTTCTGCAGCGCCTGCGGGATGCCGGCGATGTCGTTGTCCATGTACGTGGCTACGTGGAACTAAACAGATGCAACATTAGACAAAAAGTCATCTTCGAATGCGCTGGTTCGAGCGCTTTACCTGAAGGAGCTGCTCAAACTCGGTGATGACGTGCGCGGGAGCACCCTCCTGCTCGCATCGCCGGACGTTCGCAGAGGCCTTGATGATATCCCCCAGCTTGTACGTCAAATCGTCCTCACTCCGCATGACCCCTCCGTCGACGGCGATACTCGGGCGGACAGGCGGGGGCGGAACAGGCATGACCGTCAAGATCATCCACTCGGGGCGCGCATACTCGTCCGACAGACCGACCAGATGGAGGTCCTGGTCGACCATCTTCTTGAACGTGGTGTACACCTCGCTCGGCGTGAACAGACGCTTGTCGATCTGCTGCGACTTGCCCTGGAGAAGGAGGAGATGAACTCGGCGATGATCAGCGTAAAAGGCCGTCTCATACGAACCTCTCCGTCATCCTTGTCGGCCTTGTAGTTGACGAACAGCTTCAGGCCCTCCTTCCGGACCTGCGGCTGCTTGTGCCCACACCCGCCGTGGCCTTTCTTAGGCTCCTCGGCATCGTCGTTGCCCTCCTCCTTCGGCTCGTCAGACTCGCAAACGTTCTTCGCCTTGCAAAACGCCCAGACAGCTGCGAACCGCTTCTTCGGATCGCGGATGTGTCTTATACGGTCGGCGAAGGTAGGGTCGGACTAATAGACAAGTATGATATAACCCAGAATCAAGGACATGGAAAACGAACGGGTCAGCACTTCGCATTGGACGGGCCACCCGCAACAGCTACAACAACAACAACATCCGCTCTCGACATGAAAACCACGGGGCCAAACAACGGTAAGAGGTCATAGTGCTGGTTCGCGACCCGAGCCGTTGCCTGCTTGACAGGACGGCCGGTCCGAACCCAATGCAGCAAACGCGCCTTGAGCGCCGCTGGCATGCATTCACGTAGCACTCCTCGTTCGGCGCCCCATTTCACCGCGCGCCTCGCGCCCAGCCAGCTCTGTGCGTCTGGATGGCTTCTGCACGGCGATCAAGCGATCGAAAACGCGTGCGCGCCACGCTACAGAGGGTTGAGCGCCTCGATAGTCGAGGGACGGACGAGGCGCGGGTTTGGGGTTCTCCATGTGCGTGGAGAGAGCCCCCAGAAAATTGGGAGGGTGGGGTGCTAAACGAGTAGGGCAATGGAGACGCGACTCACGATATCCGCCTTTAGTTTCCCACAGTTTACGCAGATGCACTCCAGAATCTTTTTCACTTTGTTGATAAAACCTGTAGGAGAAAATGAGTGACTGACCCACCGGCATTAGCGATGAGGAAGTACTCACCAGGATGGAACACGGGACGAGCTAGCTCTATGTGCCCGAAGTGACCCGGGCATTCTGACATACCCTCACCGCACGTCTGACACTTGAAATTTCGGTCGATGGTGCCCATCCGCGGGTCCATCAGCCCACCAAGCTTGGGTCGGTGCGTGGCCTCGTCCATGACTTCGGGGTGCTCAATCTTGGCGACCGAGTACGCTTTCTGTGGTGGACGTGGCGTGCTTGGTAAGCGAAACGTAAAAAGACGACAGGCTCGACACGCACTATTTCTTCGGGTGACAACACACCAAACTGAACCTCCTTCACTCGTCGCACCGGGGCGGCGGAGTATGCGAACTGATGACCTAGCATGGCTGGAGAGGGTGTTCAGGCGAGAAAGGGCAGGGGGGTGAGAACAAAAAGGCGAAGACAAGGGCGGGGGTGCAATGTCGGTATTATTCGTAAATTGTCCGGGAACGTAACGTATGTGCCGAAAGCGAGTTAAAAACGGGAGCCTGAGGGGGTGGTATTGAGCTGTCGACCAGGGAGCTTTTTGAAGCGCTGGCGCTTGGGGGTGACCCAGAGGAGGAAAAACGCCGCGAAAAAAGACGGGTCCTTGGTGGGTTGTCTTGCTGGGTGGGCTCGACCGTCGACGTCGGTGGATGAGTGGTGCTCGGTGTGTGTCTCCGCGACGCGAATCGGCTCGGGGAGTGTGCCGGACGGTGTTGGGGACAGCAGACGAGATGGTTGTTGAGAACAACCCGTGGATGAGTCGTGCCTTCAAACTCCGACCCAATTTGCCCTCTCCCGGCTCCGGGCGCACACCGCGTTCTCCTTGACCCTTTCAGTCGGACAAACAACCGTAACGTCCTCGCTCTGTCTGCATGCTCTGGTGTCTCAGCTTGTTATTGTCGACTCTTTCGATCACTTTCGACTTGGGATGTTGTTGGTCTATGCAGGGGAGTGCTCTGGATTCCCTCAAGGTCCGCTTGGAGTAGAGATAATATGCCTCGAGGCCTCCAGGCGTCTGCCGCACCCTACGATGACAGCATCGACATTGCTTGTGCTCTAGTTGTTCAACGATCCGCTGCTCTCTTGTTCTAGTCGACTCTGAATTACTTTTAGATTGCGCGAACCTTGGAAGCGGAACTTGCTGTGAGGATACGATCCTAGGTCCAAACGTGAGATGACTCGGGCACATCGATCATGACTCTGGCCTCTTCTAGAAGACGCTATCGCAGCGACTGTGCAAATGGACAGTCAGATGACCTGGCGGCACTGCCGATGCTGATGCTCCGCGAGTTCCCATCGGATTCACGCACTAAATTCTGCTCACTGGGGCAAAGTTGGGCTTTACTACTTGTGGCCTGTGTCGCTCATGAAGTGAATTTATGGTGTCTCAAGTTGGACTTGACAATGTTTAGACATAGTCTGGTTTAATCTCTTTGACCTTTGTCATCGCGTTACTTGTTATCCTGTAGAGTTGACGTACGGTTGTGAGCAATAATACGAGGTATTTGACATCAAAATCGTCGTGAAATATATCGCACAGTTCGATTAACCATCGTCAAATAATGCGTCCAAGACGTCGAGAATAACAGATCGAATAAACCCTCATAAAACAAATGAAACATAAATGTCAGTCGGAGTTTAAAAACGGCAGTAGCCGATTCGTCATCCGCGCCTGGAGGTTTCCAGCGCAGTGCCCAGCTGGGGGCGAGACGACCAGTGCCAGTTCCTCCAACAAACACATCTTCATCCTCCTCCACTTTCCCATTTCTTCCCTTTCTATCCCTCTACCGCCCACCGCAACACTCGCGGACGCAGGACGAGTTAATTGATAAATGGCGGCTATCAGCAACTGGCTGTGGGGCACGTCCCAGCTTGACGAAGCTGTAGGTAAGCAGCCTCCGTTTTCTATGGGCGCAGTGTGTTGCGAGGGAGCGCGCAAGGCAAGGCGAGGCGAGGCAGAGCTGACGTGGTGCATAGACAAGGCGACGTCGGAGCTGATCCCGAGCGGCACGGAGGACGTCGCGCTCAACCTCGAGATATGCGACCAGATCCGGTCCAAGTCCGTCTCCGCGCGGGACGCCATGCGCGCGCTCAAGCGCAGGCTCAACCACAAGAACCCCAACGTGCAGCTTCTCGCGCTCGGGGTGCGTCCTTCCCTTTCCCCCTTCACTCCTCATGTGAACAATGGAACGAGTGTGCTAAAGCGATGCATGCATTTGCGGTTTATGGGATGTAGCTGACGGATACGTGCGTGAAGAACGGCGGGGACCTGTTCCTCGTCGAGGTCGCGTCGCGCGAGTTCATGGATAATCTCGTTTCGATACTGAAGATGCCCGCGCTCAATCACCAAGTCAAGGGCGACATTCTCAGATGCGTACAGAATTGGTCGCTCGCGCTTGAGGGCAAGCCGAGCCTCAGCTACGTCGGGCAGGTGTACAAGAACCTCAAGGCTGACGGTACGTGTGCTGTGCTGTGCGCCACTGCGGCGCACGTCCACCCAACCCCTTCGAACTCCACGCTGACAACAAGATTGGTTCTGCTCGAGCAGGCTTCGACTTCCCGCCGAAAGACCTCGCGCTCGCCAACGCGGCGATGGTTGACACCGCGGTGGCGCCCGAGTGGATCGACTCGGACGTGTGCCTGCGCTGCCGCGAGCCGTTCACATTTACGAACCGGAAGCACCACTGCCGCAACTGCGGACAGGTGTTCGACCAGCAGTGCTCGGCCAAGAGCGTGCCGCTCCCGCACTTTGGCATCCAGCAGCCCGTGCGCGTGTGTGATGGGTGCCATGCGAAGCTGCACCAGAAGGCGGAGAAGAGGTGCGATTTCGTTCTTTATCCCCCTTTGTGCGATTCTGATGTTGTGGGGTGGGCTAGTGATCGGGTACATCGACATACAGCGAGCATGTACAGTTCGCGGCACCGCAACGCGCGGGATCTCCAGGACGCGGACCTGCAGCGCGCGATCCAGCTCTCGCTCGCCGAGGTCGGCGCAGCAGGCTCGAGGCGCCCGGGCTACGTTCCCGCGCAGCCGTCCCCGTCCGCAGCCGCATGGTCCGAGCCACCGCTCGTCGACCGGAGCACGCACCCCAGCCACGCCCCGGAGGAAGAGGACGACCCGGATCTGAAAGCTGCGATTGAAGCGAGCCTGCGCGAGGCGAGCGCGCCGCGGCCGAGTGCGCCTGTGGAAGTATCCGTGCCCGACAGTGCGTCGCTGTACTCGCAGAGCAACGGCAATGGGTTGTCGCAGAGCTATCCGCCGACGGTGACGCCTACGCCGGCGGTGCCCACGGCGCCGAGGATACCGAGCTACGATCTGGAGCCGCTGGAGGCGGATGTGATTATGACGTTTAGCCAGACGGTGGAGCATGTGCAGGCGCAGGGCGGGGATATGTCGCGGTATCCGGCGGTGAATGAGTTGTATGATAAGGCGAATGCGCTGAGGCCGAAGATGGGGATGAGCTTGGATGATACGGGGAGGAAGGAGCGTGAGTGGCTTTTTAGGTTTCGCTTTAAGGTATTGGGAGCTGACTGCGTCTGAAGAGATGCTGTCGGAGATGCACGACAAGCTGTCGCAGGCGGTGAAGCTGTACGACAAGTTGCTCACGGACCGGATTAATAACCCAGCGTGGAGAAGTCAACCTGCGTCGGCGCACCCGGGCGCGCCGGCTGGCGCGTACGGCCAGCCTTGGTCGCCTGTTCAGCAGCAGCAGGGCGTGTACGCCCCTCCCCATTCCGACTCGGCTGGCTACGCCTCCGTGTACGCACCCAGCTATGCGCCTGCACCACCCCAGTCGTACCCGTCGCAACCACAATATGCGCCCTCTCCCAGCGCCAGCGCGCCGCACGAGGCGATTCAGCCGACACAGACGGGCCAGTCGCAGGCGTGGAACTATTCGCAGCAGCAGTACGCGCAGCCGCAGGCACCACCGATGTCCCCGCCGCCTGTTCAGGCGCCGCAGCCCGCGCCTGCGCCACCAGTGGGCCCGGGCGGTGGCTACCAGTCGTTCGCGGCTGCGATGTCTCCGCCGTCGGCGCCGACGCCTGCCATCGGGTCGCCCTACACATCGTCTCAGCCGCTTTCGGCTCCTGCACCGCCACCGCCTGCTTCGTCGCTGTCGAGGCATCACACTGTCGCTGCGGGCTCGGGGTCGGGGCACGCGTCGTTCTCGCCACCGTCCGCGCCGGCGCAGGGAGCAGGGTTGGGTCGGGCGTCGACTGTTTCGTATGGGCAGCCGTATGGGCAGCCGTATCAGCAGCAGCAGCAGCAGCAGCAGCAGCATCAACAACAACATCAACATATAGGTGCGGCGCCGGCGCCGCCGAGTGCGCCACCTGGGCCTGCGCAGCAGATGCCGCAGTTTCCTGCTGTGCCGACGGGGGCGCCGCAGGGGTACTATGGGCCGGCGGTGCCACAGATGGCGCCGCAGCAGGAGCGGAGGGAGGAGATGTTGATTGAGCTGTGAGGTGTTGGTTAGGATTACTGGAAGGATTGTGAGATGTAGTGATTATTTGCTGTTAATGTTATGCCCGTTGCATGATCTTGTTTATGTCTGAGTAAATAGCTGGAGGTGGGATATGTTGCGAGATATGTTGCAGGGTCAAGGGCTTACGTCAGACGGAGCAAACAAGCGCCGGCGACCGAAGCACTGCAAGGGAACAAAGTGAAGCTCGTCACCGTCCACGCCGTTCCACTCCCTCCTTTTTATTAGCTGCACGCTATCCGCTACAACAACGCGACGTGCTCAACATGGCCGCGATGCCCCCTGTCGAAGAGGGCAAGCTCCTCAGCGAGGCCCTGGGCACAGTCAAGGTCCAGACGGGCCAGATGAAGCGTCACCTCGTATGTCTTCTGCGTCCCCACCGCGAGGCGTGGTCCTGCCTCGCCCGCGTGGGGTGCGGTGTGGTGTGGGGTTGTGCTGATTGAGAGAATATGCAGGATAACGATGATATTATGGATGCGCTCAAGAGCGCGAGTCTTATGCTCGCCGAGCTGCGCACCTCCTCGCTGTCGCCCAAGCAGTACTACGAGCTCTGTGCGTCGTCTTTCACCGTCCCTGCATGATCTCTAACTTCCAAGTTCACCCCTATGATCCCCCGCTCTACATAATATTACATATCACACCGCAGACATGGCCGTGTTCGACGCCCTCCGGCACCTCTCCAACTACCTCTACGACGCGCACACCCAGTGCCGGCACCACCTCGCCGACCTGTACGAGCTCGTCCAGTACGCGGGCAACATCGTCCCGCGCCTCTACCTCATGATCACCGTCGGCTCCGTGTACATGTCCGTCCCCGAGGCGCCCGTCAAGGAGATCATGAAGGACATGATGGAGATGTCGCGCGGCGTGCTGCACCCCATCCGCGGCCTGTTTCTGAGACACTATCTGAGCGGGCAGACGCGCGACCATTTGCCGGTGGGCTTGGACGACGGGTGCGTGTGTGCTTTCTGTCTACCACTATCTAAAGGGGTTGCGCTAACGGCATATGCGTGCGTCTGCGCGACGACTAGGCCCGGCGGGAACCTGCAGGACTCGATCGCGTTCGTGCTGAGCAACTTCATCGAGATGAACAAGCTGTGGGTGCGTCTGCAGCACCAGGGGCACTCGCGCGACCGCGAGAAGCGCGAGATGGAGCGCAAGGAGCTGCGCATCCTCGTCGGCACGAACCTCGTCCGCCTCAGCCAGCTCGACGGCGTCGACCTCGGCCTCTACCAGCGCACGATCCTGCCCAGCGTCCTCGAGCAGGTCGTCTCGTGCAAGGACGTCATCGCCCAGGAGTATCTCATGGAGGTCGTCATTCAGGTGAGCCCTCCCAGAAATATACATATTCACATTGCTGTGGTGGGTTTCCGGCCTGACGCTGTTGGCGGCAGGTGTTCACGGACGAGTTCCACCTGCACACGCTCGGACCCTTCCTCTCCGCGACCGCACAGCTCCACCCAAAAGTAAACATCAAGCAGATCGTGATCGCGCTGATCGACCGGCTCGCCGCGTACGCCGCGCGCGAGGCGGAGAACGAGGACCCGGAGGAGACCAAGCGCCAGGAAGAGGCGGCCGCGCGCAGGCTCGCGGAGAAGGTCAAGATACAAAAGGCGGTGCGCGCACGAGAGAACGGGAGTGCGGGCGCGTCGTCGGCGTATGCGTATCATGAGCCGGCGAGGCCCGACGAGGCGGATGCGTGGGGCGATGTGCCGCCGCCGGCGCTGGCGGGGAGCGAGGGGGCGCCGACGAGTCCGACGGTGGCGACGACGGAGGAGAATGGGTTGGCGTCGGGGACGGTTGAGTCGGAGACGACGTTGAATGGGAGCGGGGAGAAGGCGGAGGGCGAGGGCGAGGGTGCGCCGGGCGTGGATAAGGGCAAGGAGAAGGCGACGGAGAAGGAGTTGCCGCCTGTGCGCAAGTTCCGCGGGGTGCCCGAGGACGTGCAGCTGTTCGAGGTGTTTTGGCAGCAGGTCGTTGAGCTTATCAAGGTGAGTACTCGAAATTGTGAGCTGGTACGCCAGGTGTTTACATGGGGTGTGTTGTGCAGGCGCGCCCGGACCTGTCGATACAGGATATCACGGCGCTATTTGTGTCGCTCACGAACCTCTCGCTGAGTTGCTATCCCGACCGGCTAGAATACGTCGACCAGATCCTCACATTCGCGTCAGACAAGGTCAAAGAGTTCGGCACAAGGTCAGCCATCCCCTTCCCTCCCCTCCTCTGAGCAACCCACCAACCCGCCCACAGCCCAGACCTGCACTCGCCACAAACGACCTCGAACCTCGCCGCGCTGCTCGTCGCGCCGATCAACTCGTACCAGTCCGTGCTGACGCTGCTCGCGATCCCGCGGTACGTCCCGCTGCTCACGCAGCAGCTCTTCTCGACGCGGCGCTCGATCGCGACGTCGATCGTGTCTTCGGTGCTCAAGAACGAGACGGTGATCGAGACGCCCGAGGACGTGCATGGGGTGCTGGAGCTGTGCCATGTGTTGATCAAGGACCAGGTGGACCATGCTGGTGCGCCTGGGCAGGGGCAGGGCGTGGCACCGGGGCAGGGGATGGGGATGGGCGCGGCGAAGGAGGTGAGGAGGCAGGGGCCGTATCATGTCGAGCGGGAGGAACTCGCGGAGGAGCAGGGGTGGGTGGCGAGGATGGTGCATCTGTTCAGGGCGGAGTCGCTGGACGTGCAGTTCGAGGTGCGTTTCCGCTCCGCTTTCCTTGCTTCGATCTAACCATTTGACATAACAACGCACGCATGCAGCTCCTCCACACCGCGCGCAGACACTTCGAGGCGGGCGGCGAGCGCATGCGGTACACGTTCCCCGCGCTGATCACCGCGTCGATCCACCTCTGCCGGCGCTACGTCGCGCGCAGCGCCGTCGAGGACGAGTGGCCCGCGCGCGTGCACGCGGTGCTCAAGTTCGCGCGGCAGCTCACGAGCATCCTCGCGACGCAGGTCGAGGCGCCCGCACCTGCGCTGCGCCTGTTTCTTCTCGCGGCGCAGACGGCGGACGCGTGTGGGCTCGAGGCGAGGGCGAGCGGGGCTGATGCGGGTGCGGGGAGTAGGAGGCCCAAGTCCAAGCACACGCACAAGTCTGAGCCCGGGAAAAGCGAGGGCGAGGACTCTGATGCGGATGCAGACAGCGATGACGCCGCCGACGCAGAAGCAGACGCAGAAGCAGACGCAGAAGGAACCACGGACCCGTCGTTCGAGGACCTCGCGTACGATCTGTACGTGCAGGCGTTCACGGTCTACGAGGACGCGATCTCGGAGTCGCGCGCGCAGCTGCAGGCGATCACGCTGATCATCGGGGCCCTGCAGGGCGCGCGCGTGTTCAGCGTGGATAATTATGATACGCTGATTACGAAGGCGGCGCTGCATGGGGCGAAGCTGCTGAAGAAGCCGCATCAGGCGGGCGCGGTGCATCTTGCGAGCCATATGTGGTGGCAGGAGGCGCCGGCGCCGGGCGGGGAGGGGGAGAAGGGCGAGGGGGGTGTGGAGGCGGATGCGGGTGGGGAAGGTGGGGAGGGAGGGGAGGCGGTTGTGGAGGAGAAGGGGGAGCAGGAGAGGAGGGCGGGGTCGAGTTTGGTGGGGCGGGATGAGGAGGGGCCGAGGGCTGTGAGTTGTCTTTTGCTTCACCTGGGGCATGCTAACATAGATATGGTGGATATGACAGTACCCGCATCAGGACAGCAAGCGCGTGCTCGAGTGTCTGCAAAAGTCGCTCCGGATCGCCAACTCGGCGACAGAGGAGATCGTGACGGTGCAGCTGTACTGCGACGCGCTCGACCAGTACCTGTACTACTTTGACCGCGGCGCCCCCGCCGTACGTCCCCTCCGTTCTTGCTTTGATATACCTCTATACTAACCGGCGGATAATATGGCGATGGTGCAGGTCGCAGCGCGCTTCGTCAACTCGCTCGTCGAGCTCATCTGCGCCAACATCGACAGCGTGAACGCGCCAGACGTGCACCCGTCGCAGCGCGCGCCGCCTGCGCTGCTCGAGGGCGTGCAGACGCCGCACGCGATCGCGACGCATTTCCGCAACACGCTGTTGTATATCCAGAGCAAGAAGGCGGCGCAGAGCGGGGAGCGCTCGTCAAGATGGGACGAGGTGGACGTTGTGGGCGCGTTTTTGAAGATGGGGATCAACCGGTAGTTTGCTTCGCCTTTTGCTTTGATAGGGAGTGGCGCATAAATGGCGGGGAGGGCAAGGCGTGGTGAGAGTGGGAGGACTGTGACCAGTATTGTGTTTGATTTGTTTGTTTGTTTGTTTGTTTCTCTTTTCCTTGTGTGTATCCCGACATATGTGATGATGTGTGACGAGTACGTACGGCGTCAACTTTTCTGCTTTCTTGTATATACCACGCACCATCACCGCATTTTCTTACGTATGGCTATATTTCTTTGAAGCTCGCACATGGCACTCGGTGCAGAAGAAAGTGGATTCGACGTGACATATATCTGGGGCATCATATATATATATTGGAAGGAAACAGGCTACACCCCAGGGGGCCTATACACCTCGCTCATCGTGTCCACCAGCGCCTGCAGCCTGTCGGCGGGCACGAGCATCATACGGCCCGCAACGTCGAGCCCGAATGCGTCCTTGTCGCGCGGGAGGGCGTGCGTGAGGGCGTAGTCGAGCGCGTGGGACGCGGCCTGCTGGATCTGCTCGTCCTCGAGGTGGAAAGAGTAGACGCCGGTCGAGGAGCGCGTTGGCTGCGGGAACGTTTTGCGTTTTTTGGAGGTGCGGGATTCGGCGAGCTCGGATTCTTCTTCTTCGGAGAGCTTGTAGGTGCGGGAGATGAAGAGGAGGTGGGTGAACGCGAAGGGCTCGTTCTGGATATCACGGATGCGAATACTGGTGAGTCTGGAGTGGAGATAAGATAACGCGTGAGGAGGGGACGTACGGCGTCGATTGCGGTCTTGAGCTCGTCGATGAGCATGCGGTACATGGGCGGGATGACCTGCACGGGCATGTTGATGAGCCGCTCGCATACGATGAGGCCTACATGGTTCTGCGACTGGGCGAGGAGGCCCTTGAGCGCGGCGTGGAAGGGCGGGTCGGCTGCTGCTGTCTTGGAGAGGGCGTAGTCGGCGATGGCTTTGATCGAGGGGTGGCTCTGTGGATCCCGTTATCGTCAGTCGAGCTGCAGTAAAGTGATTCGCGCGCAACGGACCTGGTGTGTGTGCATGTTGAGCACGGTCAGAAGGGCGTATGGATCTGCCTCCTCGCCATCGGTTTTTATGGTGGAGCCAATGCCAGGCTGGGAGAGGATGAGCTCTGTGAGCTGGTGGGCGTGGATGGCCTCTGCATCTGCCTGGAAGAGCTGGTTGAGGAGGCGGTTGATGGCGTGGTAGTCGACGTCGGGATTTGGGCCGAAGAAGTCAAAGTCGACGTCGATGAGGCTCTACTGGGTTGACAAGTGAGATGCTTTCATTAATAACATGGAATAAATGTAAACATACGACGTCTGACTCGTTTCCGTCGTCTTCTGTGTTTTGTTTTCTCTTTGACATGATGAGGGGAGATTGAAAAATGTGGATTGGCCGATGCGATAGGCTATCCCAAAAGAGATAAGCCCCTGAGTGCGGAAGACCGGACCTGGGTGATATCGAGTCCCGTCCGATCCATATGACCCTTATAATGCCCCATCCCATCTCCTCCTCCTCCCCCTCTCCCCTCCTAGCCAAGTTACATGTTCTCCGCCTCCAGACGCATTTTAACCGCCAACACAGCTCCTAGACTCGGCTCTGGCAGCACCAATGCCCGCCGCAATCTCTCCATCACAAACGCCTCTCCACCGCGCGTCCGCCCTCGTCGTGCACTCGCACTGACAGGCGCTGCGTTCGCGGGCTCCATCCTGCTCGGCGGCGCGACCATCTTCGCCGACTCGGCCGAGCTCGACCAGCCCGAGCTCCGCACCGCGTCCCTCTCGTCCCTGGTCCGCGCGTACGCCGTGTACACCATGCTCTCCGTGCCCAAGCTCGTCGACTGGTCCCCTGCGATTCTCAACGCGTGTCTCGCGACGCCCGGGCTCGATGTGCCGACGCGGGCGTTTGTGAGGCGGACGTTCTTTGGACATGTGCGTTCCCCAGGTTTTCTAAGTTCCCCTGACTTGGACGGTTAGCTGATCACGGATGCCGGATCTCATCCGCGTTTTGGTTTTGTTCTCGTGATGCCGGTTATGCGTGCAGTTCGTCGGAGGCGAGTCGGCGCTGGACACTGTGCCCCTGCTCGAGCAGTTCCGGGCCAAGAACAAGGGCGTTCTGCTCAACTACTCTGTCGAGGTTGATGCCGACGCGGCTATTGGCCATGGTAATCATTCCGACGCAGCTGAATCGCGGCCGCACAAGCAGCTCATCGAGGAGATCATACGCTCGATTGACGTCGCTGCCGACTTTGAGGACCAGCACGGCAACGGGAGTCGGACGGGCAGGCGGACGTGGGTCGCACTCAAGCTGGTGGGTACCTGGTTCTGACTGCCGCGTTTGGGGTTTTTGGATTTTTGTTTATAACCTGTCATGTTGTAAACGTCATCCCGACGTCCTAATTTCCCACTTATCTCGCTTCGCGTGCTTTTCATTATAAAGAGATATTAATGGTCTACCCCGCAGACCGCACTCCTCCCCGACGTCACCGCCCTCACACGGCTTTCCCTCCACCTCCTGCTCACGCGGCCCGCGCCGCAGACACCCGTCCTCTTCCCTGGCTCGCCGACGTCCACGGACCTCGACGTCCTCCTCGCGGACACGCTCGCCCATGCACCGCCGGGCAACTCGCCGCTCACGCAGGAAGATGTGCAGGTGCTGAGGGCGCTGCACGACGATCTCGTGCGCGTGTGTGTGCGCGCGCAGGAGCGCAACGTGCGTGTTGTGGTCGATGCGGAGTACAGCTGGTATCAGGTGCGCTTTCCCCGCTCTCTTGATTGTGTGCACCGTCTGATGCAGCGGGGTGTGGGTTGTGGACCAGTAGCCGGCGATAGACGCGTACGCACATGCGCTCATGGAGCGGTTCAACAAGGTCCCCAGAGCCTCGAGCTCTTCTTGGGTGTCCAAGGACAGCGGCAGCAGCACTAGCACAAGCGTGCAGCAGCCGCTCGTGTACAACACGTACCAGGCCTACCTCCGTCGGTGCGCGCCCCGTCACCCTCGGTATCCCCTCATCACGAAAACTGATACTAATAAATCGCCCATTTAAATTATGCAGCACCCCAGAGTTCCTCCGCGACTCCCTCGCGCGCGCCGACGCGGGCGGCTACGCGCTCGGCGTGAAGCTCGTCCGCGGCGCGTACCACTCGTACGAGGTCGCAGCGCACAACGCCGCTCGTGTGCTTCCACCGTCCGTTTTCCCGTCTTCTTCTTCTTCCTCTGCCTCTGTTTTCCCCGACTCCAAATCCAAATCCGATTCCGCTGCATCCCATCCGCACTCGTCTTCGATCTCACCCGACCCCGAGCCCCCCGTGTGGCCAACAAAGCCCGACACAGACGCGTGCTTCGATGCGTGCGCGGCGGTCCTTGTGTCGCGCGTCGCGCGCAGTATTAAAGGGAAGCAAGAACGAGGGAGCGCAACGCCGGTGCCGGTGGGTGTGCTGTTCGGGACGCATAATTGGGCGAGCTGCGATCGTGTGCTCGAGGGGCTTGTCGGCGAGGGTGTGGCGCGCAAGGAGATGGTCGAGGAGGGCGGGGAACACGAGAGCAGCGAGAGGGGGAACGGGAAAGAGAGAGAGGTGATTGTGCTCCCGGAGACGGTGACGGAGCTGGTGGCGTTTGGACAGCTGCTGGGTACGTTCTCCCTCCCTCCCTCCCACCTCCCTTTCTCCCATTCCCTTCCTTCCACCTCCCTCCCCCTCCCCCCTTCGACCCAGCTGACCAATGGATCCCGAAGGAATGAGCGACGCACTCACCGACCACATCATCCACCGCACCCGCTCCGCCGCGCCGTGCGCGCTCAAGTACGTCCCGTACGGCGCGCTCGCGGACGTGATGCCCTACCTCGGCCGGCGCGCGCAGGAGAACAGGAGCGTGCTCGGCGACGGCGGGGCGCGGCTCGAGCGCAAGCGCGCGGGCGCGGAGATCCGTAGGCGCGTGGTTGGGGCTTTGATGGGGCTTTGAGGGGTTTTTTTTTCGAGTTTAAGTTCGGGTTCGGGTTCGGGTTCGGGTTTTTGGAGTATGAGGGGGTCGGGGGTCTCTGCTTTTTGGTGGAATATAGAGGGTTTCGGATTAAATTTGGTGGGTGAATCTAGTGCGGAGTGATTTCGTTTTCTTGGAGCGTACATGCATACCCCTTTGATCCCTTGCTCGAGCATGAGCATGTTCACGTAGACCTTTTCTTCGTTTCAGACTGCTTGGGATGTACACACACAGACTTCATCTTCATCACAACAATTGCTACCGTAATCGTGTATAGATGCACGTAGATGTCATTGACCATTGCCGTCTGGCTCCAGATACATGTAGTCTATCAGTCGTCTTACCACCTAAACTCATTATTAACATATTCAATGACGATAATCAGTGAAACTGGCTCTGAGAACTCGCATCAACGCACCTCGACGTTTACACTGTTCCCAATCAGCCGATACTTGGTCTTGAGCGAGATATTCTCGGGCCACTTGAACTCCTGATCCTCGCCGTTATCGTTACTGCGAGGTCCGATGATGCGGAACAGGCGCAACAGCTCGGTCGGGGTGAAGTAGCGCAGGCGCAGCGGGCGGAGAACGTCCAGTGTGCTAGAGTCGCCTGCTCGTTGGAGTGCTAGGAAGCGGTCAAAGGTTTCTGTAGTCTGAAAAAAAAAATCAGATTGGTATTGCATTTTGGGGGTGAAGAAAATCGTGGAGAAACGGGAAAAGTTGTGCACGTACGTCCATCTCTTCGTTCATCTGCAAAATAGACCCTGCGCGCTCGACGAGCTGCGTGTACCCTAAATTTGTTATTATGTCGGTCACGCATTGTATTGAGCAGGTCCTGCAAGCGTGTTGTGTGCACATACCTCGGGTAAAGCAGCACGTCCGCCGCGCTGAGGGCAGGACAATGTCGAACAGCCTGCCCCATTTGCTCAAGACCTTGTCCGGGATCTTGTATGTCTCGTATTCGTTGTCGGTCAGCTTGTCGAGGTACGAGGCTAGCTCCCCGCCGGGTAATTGCGAGTCGGATACTTTGGGGTCATCAACGGCAGCGGGGGACAGTCTATCGTCGATCCACGGGTCGCCCTGTCCCGGTATGTACGTCAATACAGCAGGGCTTGAGCTCGCTTCGACTTCCACGCCAGCGTCATTGCGTTTCCTTGCTAAATTGGGTGCAGGCAGTCCAGCGAACTTGAGAGGTGATGCTTTGGCGAGGAGGTAGTACCGTAGACGCGAGTTCGGTATCCCGAACTGCATAGGCGTGAGGAGGAACTCGGAGGTGGTGTATCCGAGCCTGACGAGCGTGTCTAAGAGGTGCGTACGCGTTGTCGAGTCCTACGCTCACGTCGCGGTCAAAATCAACCTCGAGTTTTAGGCCCTACTCCGAGAACGAGTGTGATACGGACACATACCTGAAATCCAGCAACATTCTCAACCAGCAAATACCTCGGCTGCTTCCCCTCTTCGCATAGCGTTGGCAAGACGTCGTCGATGACGTGCAGGAAACTCTGCGCTCGCGGGTCGAGCGCGCCCCGCGCGCGGTTCGGGTTCAGGACCGTGTACGGTTGGCAGGAGGGCGACATGAACCATATGTCCGCGCCGAGCGCGGCGAGTTCGTTGGCAGTGAGCTTGGAGATGTCGGTCTGGGCTTGTGAAGCTGTCAGCATGAGTGCATTTGAAGGGTTTAAGGTTGGATATGTCGCATCGTAAAGCGGGTGGGCGAGCTCGGGGATGGGGGCAGACGTACTCGGGAGACGATCGAGGGCCCGTGGTTGGCAGTGTAGACTTGGCAGGCGGATTGGTCCCAGTCGTAGGCTCTTATGAGCTGCGCATTGGGTATACTGCTTCGTGTCAATGCGACGTGGAGGCCGCCTGTTGTAGTAGACCCCCGATAAGTTCTCCATGAATCCTAGAGGGCGAGTACTCCTCTGAACGCTCACCTATTCCGCTGTAAAATTCGACGCAATGCATTGTGGACTTGAATGCGTGCGTAAGCCGTCGATACCAGTAGCTGCCTTGCGTTTGGTCCAGTGAGAGAGAGAGAAATGTGCTAATTATACAAGTACAAGATGGAGAAACTTTAAGGTGGACGCATGATTTATTTATGACGTGGAGGTGCGATTATCAGCAGCGTCCAGCAGTCGCACTTGCGGTATTGGACCAAGACAAAAGGTAAGAATGGTTACATGCATATATTGTCAGGTTTTTAGCAGGTTAACGGGGAATTCGGGTTTCGCTGTAGCCGCGTCAGTCCAGCTGTCCAGCTGTCTGGCCACAGGCGTGGGAAAATAAAACTCAACCGGCATGTGACAATGTCGCGTCAGCCACAAATAGATAATTAGCCCCTGAATACGCACCTTGTCTCGCATCCATCCCTACGTATCTATCCCATATCATTATCATAAACTATGGCTTCCGAATCAACATCGTTCACCGACGTTTACACCAGGATATCCCGATACCCGCCCCTCGCTGAGCTGACTATGGATCAGTTCATGACTTTCATCAAGATCTGCTGTGAGACTCGGAACGATGTTGCTAATATTCAACGTGCCTCGACGAACACATCAACAGCGCCGCAAAACATTCCATACTTATACCTCAAGATGGTCTCCGACGCTACTCATCTTGACGAGGCTCAGATCCATGTTCTCTGGCGGGCTCTCAATGACTACATATGGGCGGCTCCCAGTGCAAGGGAGAGCTATCTCACCCTGCCATCTCTATTTGAGACCCATGGCGCTCATCGTGGGATTCGTGAGTGGCAGTTTGTCTCTACTTGATCCCTCTGACATAGACCAGCTCTGTACTCTCTCCATCCCCCATCGCGGCATTGCACGAACGACAACTGCGACAAGAGCTCTACCTTTGAGCTACGACAGGACACCGTTCTCGGTGCCGTCATCTTCACCATGAGCCATGGCGTTCAGATCGGAAAGGCCACATATCTCACTTGTGACAGTAAGTCTCTACCCTTTCTCTTCTGTATCTGACGGATTCTCATCCTTCTAGGGTGTGGATATCAATACCACTACAACTACTACGTGCACGATGACTGCCTTACACGGACCTACTACAGCAACTACAATGTTCACAACTACATCCAAGTGGGCACGCACCATTTCATCGAGAGAACACTGGTGGAGTTATGGACGAACTCCATGATGGTCTCCGCGTACGTATCCCGCCCGCTGCATATCTTTCTATGTTTATAATTCCTATAGTACCTCTGCCACAAGCTCGGCGAAGACTTACGAGCTAACGTTCGCACGAAACGGCCCCGATTTTAGCGACCTCTATCACACATCTTCCCTCCTTGTAGACGATGACTCAGACGCTGACACGTTTAGCCCGCACCTGAACCAAGAGCAGGTGTGGGCTGCCTGGACAGTCCTCGCCCTCTTGCGAGATCGCATGTCTATCGATCTCCCCCTCTCTGTTCCACACAAAGGCGATAATCGAGCACGATTCGACGATGCAATGAAAGAACGCAACGAGCGCATAGTTCTCTGCGGACAACCCGAGTTGCTGCATACTTGCAGTGGCTGTATGCGTGTCTTCGAGGAGCACACGCCGGAAGGCATCAAACGCTGTGAGTATTAGTCACTCCCCTTATCATCAAGCTCACATTTGTTCAGGGAAATGTCAAGTCGCTGTTAGTGATGGAGTGACCATTGGTTACTTCGTCTGCAAACATCATCGATGCACAGATCCTCCCGAGACTAAGCTCCACCACTATTGCGAGCTGCATTCAGACCTCGCGAACATTTGCGCTGTCGAGGATTGCCCGGATGCAATCGTGCCTACCAGCCAAACCAAAAGCACCTGCGAGAAGGAACACCATCGGGAGATGGAGATCCAGAGCCGCGATCGAGGCAAGTCCATATTCGAGCTCAAGAATCGACTGGCACGCGTCAAGACTGCACAGCGAGAGGAATCGGACGACAACGACAATGACGAGAGCCTCTACACTGAGGCTCTCGAATACTTCGAAGTCGACGAAGCTGGGAACGTTACCCAGCACGTCGACCATAACCCAGTCAACGTCGGCGTCCCCGACACCACCGACGCGAAAGAAGCTTGTCCATCCAAGCGTCTGAAACGCTTCAAAATCCTCCTCGCTCGCCGCCGTTCCTGTTGCGAAGTCACCATTGTTCGTCCATGCGGCATAATTCTGGCTCGAGGCACCTTCAATCGTGCAGAGGCTGTCTCTAACGTACTGGTGAGTGTTTTTTTTTAAAAATCGACTATTAAACTCATGCCGCACTCAGAAAATGGTCAAAGACGTCTTCAGCATACCCGGTGCTCAGAAGCCTGAGCACTGGATATACGACACTGCCTGCGAGGCCAAGAAGCAGGCGATGAAAGACCCTTGGTGGGACCAAGTCGGTATGTCCGTCGACGTTTTCCATTTCCGCAACAAGCACAAGACCACGGACGAGTTCTGCCAGCGGTTCTGCAACCCTGCAGACTTTCCAGAGCTGCAGTCGGGTGATGGGAGTGGCTGGTGGTTCAACACCAGTATTGCTGAGCAGGTGAATGTATGGCTCGGCTCGTTTCATGCGATTGTCCGAGAGATGAGGCCGACAAGGTACAATTTTTTCCTTGACGAAATGGTTCGTCTTCGTAATGTAGATGTTCTTGCTTCTCTCGAGAGGAAGGGCCTCTGCCCTACGTATTCTCCTTGTCCCCCAGCGACAGACTAGCTTTGTACTTTCTTTGTGTGTAGTTAGGCAATTCAATTCGTTTTGTATCGACATACATGGATCGAGCGAAAAAAAAACATAGCAAGTGAAACGAACTTAGGAACGAAATAGAATGTACACTAGAACCCCTCCACTACTTGGATCTCTGGACTGGCGGACTCAACCTTGATACGAGGTGTCACTGGGACATTGGAGACGTCGAGGTCGGTCTCCTCAGGAATCTCAGCCTTCTTCTTCCCTCGCTTCTTCTTCTCGCCGCCGTCCTTCTTGATCGACCTCCAGTAACCTAGTGGTGTGTGGGCGGCATCGTAAAGCGACCGCCTGTGAGGGGCCTCAAGCCTTCCCCACTTATCAACCGTCTCGTAGACGGTCGAACGAACGTATCGCACCCCAAAGACATACTTGAAGCCTTCTGAAAGGCCCTTGTCACGAAGAGAGGGGCTCCGGAGCCAAATTAGGCCATTGACGATGTCGGCTGCATGCCAGTCCCTCGGCCACTGGATGACATTGGGCTCCTGGATAAATGCCTTGGGTGGCAGCATGGGGGACGGGCCGAGAGGGGAAGGAGGGGAGGGAACGGCTGTCAAAGATGGCGGTAGCCTCGGGAGTGGAAGGCCGGCGATGCGATTGAGAAGATGGCGCTCTGGCTGCAAAAGCGATGGGCCTGGGCGCGAGGGAGACGGGTCTGGACATGATGGGGATGGCGACATGAGCGCCGATGAGGAGGACGAGGATGCTGGTGATGCGGGGGAGACCTTGCAACGGATAGAACGAGCTGGAGGGGAGGGCACAGTGCAATCGGACGGCGATTCATCTGAGGAATGTGGAGACGCCAGGAGGTCGGGCGAGGACGGGCGAGGACGCTTTCGCATGAGGCTTATGTCTGTCTTGCGCATGGCGTTGACGGGCGTCTTCATCTTGCCCATGCGGCAGGTGAGGACGTCGAGCCCGAAGCACTGTTTGACCTCCCGTAGCTTGAAGAGGAGAGTGTCGTTCTCGCGCACGGTGTGGATGAGTCCAATGTCGCAGCTGGCCCATAGCTGAAACTCGCCGGCGTCCCATTTGTCGACGAGGGTATCCTCGCGTAGGTAAGGGAGTTCCAATGGACGAGATTGGGCGCAGGCGAGGAGGGAGAAATACGGCCATGATGGAAGATTAGTCTGGCCCTGCAGATAAAGAAGCTTTGGGTCGATGTTATCCTGGACGCACTAAGCAGATGAACCGTAGAATAAAACTCTAAAACTCACCTCGTGGTATATGAACACCTTAAGGACCTTCTTGACGTCCTTCTGGCGTGCCTTTCGAAGGTGCTCCCCACTGATATTTCGCACCATGCGCCCCTGGTCGATCTCGTACTTGCCGTTCCACGTCGAGTCCATCTGTACGGTGTACCGGGTCGATTCGAACGGAAGCGCGTCGGTGGTACTAACCCGTCCGCTCGATGGAAGTGACAGAGCAGCAGGCTCGACCGTGCGCTGCTTCCCTTTACTAGTTGCTGAAGGAGCCAATGCGCGAAGGGCGGGGTCGATCTTCAAGAGTGCTTCGTCAAGGGCAAGCGCCAGCGCCTGAGTACCCGACGGATCTGCCTGAGAAGTGGACGGCCCGGGCTGAGAGTGACCCTGCTTTGGGCGAAGGTCAACGTGCGTAGGTGCCGATGTGCAACCACCCAAGAAGCCGCAGTGCGTGATGCACATGCGGCGAACGCACTCGTACGCCGAGCTGGGCGCACGACCCGTGCAGTCTGGAAGTGCACACTTGAGAGCCGGGGTCGCCTTGTTGTCCTTGACAGCAGCGCGGCACCTTTTCTTGCGGGATGTTGAGCTCGCCTGGGAAGCTGAAGGTCCAGCCGTAGACGAAGAGGTGGGGTCGAGAGACATAGGGAAAGGTGTGAAGGATTTGGGAAGACGCGCTGGCCCCGAGACGGGCGAAGCGGGTACGCTAGGAGGTGGGGAAGGGAGCGGCGAGGGAAGCGGCGAGTCCGAAAAGTTGGTAGACGCCTTTTGTATGACCTCGAGAGAGATAGAGCCGGGTGGATAAATGTAGTGCTGGTTGTTCGTATGCGCGTGAGGCTTGTGACACTGACGGATATTTAGTATCAATAGTCTCATGCCCATATAGATAAGGTAATGCGCACCTTGACGTAGACACGGCCCATATGCTTACCCCGTCTGACGATGCGAGGGACGAGGACCGTCTGGCCGTCACAATCCAGGCATAGAACGTCGCCTGTTGCTAGTACAAAAGGCTGCGGGGGAGGCATAATAGAGGTTGGGCGTCGCTGTAGGGAATGGGGGGGGGGGTAGTGATAAAATGGGGACCAAGCGCTCCCTCGCTCGGCCAGATATACTTAGATCGAGGCGAATACCATGGGGGACGAGATGGGATATGACGCGACGCGGCGAGATCATCTGCACTGATTTCTCGGATCTGGACTGAGCAGCCGGACGGAGGGATTATTGGCGGACGGCTGGACGGGTGGCTGTGTTGGCTGGACTGGTGGCTGGACGGCTGGACGGCTGGACCGCCGGAAAATGCCAATTCCGCGTCATCCTCGTTTTTAGAACCCTGTTTTCGAGTCCGAGTACTTTACAATTTTACACCCGGTGACTAACCTAGTGCAAGACATCAGAATTTTGTTCAATGAGGGTTTGTCGGATTTTCTGAAATGCATGTATGGTCCTCTCGCTGTCGAGAGCAATCATAGCCTCTCCTCCGAAAATTTTGGCAAGCCACTTTGGTAAAGCATTGCGGGCTGCAGATGTTTCTTCCCAACTTGAATCATTCAGCTCGTCACGACTAGACACAATTTTGATGTTTTCTTTCCACCACTCCCGATATGTCCACATTTTGCCAACGCCGATCACAGACCCAACTACATTCTTTGGACTGTGCTCTGAGCCGAATGCATGTTGCACTTGTATTTCAACTTGCATTATCGCATTCCCCATTATACTGGGTATGTCTTCATCCTGCTTGGCACTGGCTTTGAGCTCCACAAGAAGGATGATCCGGCGGTGTGAAATCTTGGGAGACAAAGGATCACAGTGATCATTAAGATTGTAAATGAGTGCGGTGAAGTCCGGGACACGGGTGGACCGTTCTGTCAGGTACGCTATGTGATCATCGTCACCAAGCCCAATCATTTTTGCAGCTGGTAAAGCTCCCGGAGAACCCTCGCTGCTCTTCCGCTTGCCTTCATTGCTAATGGGGTCTTGATCAATGAAAGCACCCAATGCCATTGCCTTTCTTTCCTGCAAGTCCAGAGGAGGATTAGGAGAGGGGCTTTCTGGATGAGGGATCATAGGGAGGGGGTTTCTGGACCCAGGAGCATCTTGAGCCACCCAGTTGAGCAACAGTGGGTCCTCACTATTACTTGTACCAGCGTTCTGATCAGAAGCAGTGGATGGTGTCACTAAAAAATGGCGTTCTGCACGAGGGATTGCAGAGAGTCTGGGACCAACAGGAGAGTATTGATGTGGAACGCCGCTCCTACCCAAGAGCAATTGGTCCTCACTAAGAGCTGTAGAGGCGGTGTTCGGATCTGTTATATACGAAGAGGTAGTTGGTGTCACAGGAACACGTTTTATTCCCAGTTTTTGCTGATGCAGAGCATATCCTAGAGTAAAGGGTGCTGGTGATACAGTTCTGATCCTTGTATATTTTTTCACAGTATATTCAATAGGATAATTAGGGAAAAGGTCCTCGCTAGCAGGATCAAAGGTGATGACAAGCGACCACTGTGGATGAACATGGACCCGGATTAATATTGGGTAACGCCGCGCTCCAGTGCACGGCAAAGCCCGTTACCGCGGATCTTTTCAAACCGGCCAATGAATTAATGAGGTATAAGTATCAAATCATGGCGCTCAGGCTTTCTATGGCCATGCACTGTGGATGAGGCATATTCCCCATACAATGTTCACTAGCCACTTCGGTGGCGCGGCCACCAATAGAACACGTACATCATAGCAAAGAAGGCTGAATAAACTAAAATTTAAATACAAGGACCAAGATATTTAGTTAACCATACAGAATCTACTATCTTACACATACCTATGAACTAAAACCTAGACAGCTGTTGAGAACTGAAGACGCCACACGCGGGCATGAGATTTTGAATCAATATCAAAGCCGACTCTCCTGCATGCACGTTCAAAAGTTGACATGACAAAACGTCACTAAAATACACTCACTCAAGAACATTAATGAGTTGTGTAAAAGTCATCTGGGTGCGCAGGTCACCTTCTGAAGAATATTGACATCCGTTGAAGCTGCAAGCAAGAGACGGCTCGCCACATCAATGGCTTACGGGGTAGTGTTGCTACGCAGGGTGTTTGTGGATAAATAAAAGCATTGTCGCACAAAATGGCGCCGACCGGCACTCTCTCGATCCTTAAGTATGTCGCAAGATTACTCGATATGATACTAGTACTTTGAAGAAGGGATGCCCGGGGTCCGAGTCAGCTGCAGAGGCTGCAGTCCCGTTAACGAAAGCTAACATGGTGGTTGAGGACAGGAGATAGGAAAATGAAATTGTATGCCGCAGATGACATTCAGTAGTTCATTGCGAGTGCGAAGGCGCCACCGTAACAAGAGAAATGTCTTGGAAATGTCTCACAAAACAAGACCGGAGGCTGTACCATGTTAAGTCACATGACCTCGTTCAATATTTCAATCGACCAGCCATCTGTCGTGCCGTTAGCAAGCCCCTCTAACCCAGTTACCTCTAGCGGTAACGGGAATCTTGAGCCTGAAAGGTTCCGAAGGAGAAGGTCTGATATCGCAATTTGATATGGGAGATGCCAAGCACACTCTCGGGGGTCCCCTTGAGCAGCCGCAATTTCAATTGCAAGGCTTTCTCTTGGTTCATGGAGTGTTTGTAGTAGGTTCTGGAGGTCACTGGATGTCTGGTTCGACATGGCAGATATGAGACGTTATGCCGCACGATGGTATAGATTGTGATAGATTGGTCGATGGGAGCGTAATGTTGATTCGCGACCGTGGGTCGGAAAGTTCGACTGAGCTCGAAATGTTCGGAGTCAGCCAGTCCAAACGTTTCTAAGCGCTTAGCCATAAAGTCTGCAACAGACATCGACCTTTTCACTCTTATCATACTTGCCATGTCGCCACCTGTCCTGGATGATGCACCCATCTCCGTACCAAATGATACGCCAGTTTCTAACTCGACCAAAACAACAGTTTCTGTCTCGGATGATGCTCCCAGACTGGTGATGGAGAAACCCGTACGTGCTTGTTTCGCCTGAATGCTCAAAGTGACTGAAGCCCGCGTATTAGACTCCTATCAGAGTGCGAATGCCTGTCTGCCGCCCCGAAGATCTTTTCCACCTCAGCATTCCGGAACGCCTTCTCCCCATTACTGCCCTCTATGAACTTCACTACGGCGTCGCATTCTGTTTTTCCCATTTCGAGACGTTCGCCCGTGAAATCAACCCGGATATCCCAGACAGCAAGATGGACGCCTTGGTGTGCGGCATGATGTACCTCAGAAGGGTCACGAGGATCCTCAACCTGTACGTTGCGCTTGTCGAGGACCCGGGTCGTACAGTGCTTTCCAACGAGTTTGTCGACGCGGAAACGGGTGGCATTTGGATACTTTCTATCTGTGGTTCTGACAATCCCTGGGCAGAGGGGCAGCCATCACGCAAGGCTGTGAACGCACTAAGCAGGATTTTGGGCGAAGACTATCACTGGTGGGTTAGTAGGCAGCCTAGGAATCCGAAGTAGAACATCGTGGTGATTTCCCGATTGTACGAGTAGTAAAGAGCTATTTTCCCTTCCATTATGTGGTAAGCCGTGAACATCAATGTCAGCCCGTCAGTTCGAGGACAGTGTTGAAACCGGAAGTCCGGCAATCGCGCTGGTCTGGCTAGGTACGGCAGTCCGGCGGCAAGTCGCGAGGGGTTTTGGGGTCTTAGTCGAAATCAAAACCACGGTCGGCATAATAACTTGCCTAGTATATGAGGAGAGCTTCGGAATAGAAAGCTACGGGTTACTCACATATACTTTTGTCCCACCCATGCTCCTCATACTTCTGCAATGATCTCTGGCCTCTTCTCTTTCCTCGAGCGGTGGAAGCGATCAGATAAGGCCTCGAAGACCCTGCCACATGATAGGAATGTACTGGGTCCGGATAGACGTGGCCATGGATAGAAAGAGTTGGTGGACATGGGGCAAATAGGTTGACGGGGTGGAGGCTGTCGAGTTAGAAGTCCTTCAGTTGGATAATGCTGATATCTTTGCGAAAGTTGCGATAACATTCGATAAACTCGCGGTGATCTGCTCATATTCGAGCTGCTCAAACTGGGAATAATGCCGGGGGACACGGGGAATGGGAATGGGTTATAGATAAGATAAAGTACAGGAGGGCTAGGAAATCTGCGCGACGCGGCTAGATCACATGCAATTGACTTTGTTTGGGGACCCCGCAACCGCGCCGTACCCGCCGTACCTGCCGGACTGCGTCGCAGCTCGCGCAGCGCCAGACTTCCGGATTCAACGACTTTCTGGTCAGTTCACAGCAGTACGATTATCGACTCTTACCATCTTGTACATATTACTAGTAATGCTTATTGATTTCGCAGTATTTCGGTTTGCAACGCATCTTGTATTAATGCCACTGGGGCTTGTACGTTTCATCAGCTGTTATGCAGCGTTGCGAGCTACCAAGTTTTAGACTTCGGATTGGGTCCACTAATGTTTCTCGAGCTAGGCACTGCTCCTGGCCAGGTCCATGAGGCCCGCGCACCAGACCAGTCAATGCGTTTGTCAACCTCAAAATCGTGCGCATGGACAACAGTCAGCGCTCGAGCCAAGGCGAAGCGACCAAGCTGCAGTGGCTCATCTGCCCACGTACGTGCTTAGCCCAGAAATGACGATGATTGAAAGGTGACGCACAGTGAACGCTGCTCAGCGGCTGCCAGTTGGGCCTCAACACAAAAGACTCGAGATCTGGGGCATAGCGAAGGCTTTTCGAACAAATCGCGATACACACGACGGCTAAATACATGGCACATGGGCTGACGCTCACAGAAGCGCATGTTCCTAAAGAATACACATAGTTAACATGTGCGGGATATGCGCCTCGCAAAAAGTCTATAGGGTGTTTTCCAATCCCAAGAGAAACCTTAAAACCACTCAGCCTCAACGCGTCCCATCGAACTCTTGGGCTCGTTGCCCCACATCAGCGGGCCCTTGGTTGAAGCCAGCGTTACTGCATATCGTTGCTGAACCGGGTGTGGCCAGCCCAGTGAACTTGAAAGGGAATATTTTGGCGAAGAGGTACTTAGTAGCGTAGGAGTGAGTTTAGTATGCCGAATTGCACGGGCGCGAGGAAGAACTCGGCGGTGGTGTATCCGAGCCTGGCGAGTGCATCTACAAGGTGCGTGCGCGTTGCTGAGTCCTATATCACATTCAAATCCTTGTTCTCAGTACACGTTCGGACATGACAACGATAGACACATACATGGAATCTAGGAACATTCTCAATCAACAAATACCTCGGCTGCTTCCCTTCGTTGCACAGCACCGGAAACACATCATCGATGTCGTGAAGGGAACTTTGTGCCCGCGGGTCGAGCGCGCTTCGCGCGGTTCGGATTCGGATTCAGGACCGTGATCGACTGGCAGGAGGGCGAGCCATATGTCCACGCCGAGCGCGGCGAGTTCGCCGGCGGTGAGCCTAGAGATGTCGGTCTGGGCTTGTTAAGCTGTAAGTACGCGTACAACTGGAGGCGCATGTCGGTGAGTAAGAGATGGGAGCGGACGTACTCGGGAGACTATTGAGGGCCCATGGTTGGTGGTGTAGACTTGGCAGGCGGATTGGTCCCAGTCATATGCCTTTATGAGCTGCGCGTTGGGTATCCTGCTTCCTTTCAGAGCGATGTGAAGACCGCCTAGAGGTAGAAGAACGAGTATAGTCTTTGTGAGTTTGCCTTCAACTCTGGAGAACCCGAATGCTCACATATGCCACTGTAAAATTCGATACACTTCATCGCTGACTTGAGCGCATATTCCAGTCTTGTAGAGTTTAATTTATGCCCGATTATTACAAGGCATTGTGAGTTCGAGATGGCAAACACAAGGCTGTAGTGGCTCACTATATGCGTGGCCCAGGAGAGAGGGAACTGCGACTGCAAATGTGTCTGATTTGCTATTCAAGGTAAATAGCCCCTATACTGTCACGATTCAGATTAGTCCTCGCGTCACGATGTCGGAAAAAACCAAATGGGGTTTGAAATGGTTTCCTATTTAGATAGGTTTGCAATCCCCGTTGTAAAGCGACGCGAACATTGAAACTCCATTGGACGTGGCTGCTTTCCATCATAAGGATGTTCTCAATTGGTTCTCAATTCCAATTGGAATGTATTTTAATTCTTGATTCATTATGAGGCGATTTCAATACATTTCAATTATATGGCCATATTCCTGTGATTTTTCCGACAGACGCGTCGACGCGAACTTCTCTTCCTAACCTTTCTTAATCCACATCAGAGGCTTTGAACGTTTAACGTTTAGCAATGAACCACAGTACAGCTGGAATAACTACCACCATGCCTCCAGACACCTCCGAGTCAGCAGATGCTCCCAAACCAGTGATGGAGGAACTCGTAGGTGTATTCGTTTCGCCCAGATGCTCAATGCGACTGACAAGCCCGAGCATTAGACTCCCCTCAGATATCGCATCCCTGTATACCCTCCAGAGGATCTTTTTCACCTCGGCCTTCCGGAAGACCTACTCCCCATTACTGTCCGACATGAACTTCACTTTGGCGTCGCCTTCTCTCTTCCATGTTTCTTGGCGTTTGCCCGCAAAATCAGACCGAATCTTCCAGACAGGATGACAGCAGCTTTCGAGTTCGGCATCCGCTACCTCAGAAGAATCACGACGATACGCAACCTGTACCCCGTGCTTGTGCAGAATCCAGGCAGTTCAGTGCTTCCCGACGAGCTGGCCGACGAGGAAACGGGCGGTGTCTGGGTCTTTTCAATCTGTAGTTCTGACCGTCCCTGGGCGGAGGGGCAGCCAACGCGCAAGGCTGTACTCGCTCTAAGCCGATTTTTGGATGAAGACTATCACTGGTGGGTCAGTAGGCAGTCTAGGCCTCCGAAATAGAACGGTGCGGTTACGAGTACAGTACCATTCTTCCCCGCGCTACTATGTGGCGAGTTTTGAACATTTGAACATCGGTTGGTAGCCTTATTTTATTTTGCGACCTCTACAGCAATATGAATGTTTAATGTCAACTCTTCCCATCATGCACATACTAATATCAATGCTTCAACTGTCCCCCGAGCGTTCGTATACGTGTCCCAATTCGCGACACGTCTTATTTTAATGTTATTCGTCTTGTATGCACAATTGTGAACTACCCACTCCTAGGTTTAAGATCATATCCACTAACAGTCCTCGAACAATACCATAAACCACCCCTATACTAACGGCACTTGATTGTTCTCGCGTCACGCGTCACGACGCGTCGACGCAACGACGCGAACCTTTCCTTTCCTCACGTTCAATCACATCAGAGCCTTCGAACGCCCAGCATTTCCCTGAAGTATCACAACGGCCAAAAGATTTCAGCTACGATTATAACTGCCATGCCTCCGTCCACCTCTGATGAATCAGCAGTTGCTCCAAGAGATGCTCCCAGACGGGTGATGGAGAAACCCGTACGTGTTTATTTCGCCTGAATACCCAATGTGACTGAAGTCCGCGCATTAGACTCCTATCAGAATGCGAATCCCTGTATACCGCCCCGAAGATCTTTTCCGCCTCAGCCTGCCGAAACGCTTCCTCCCCGCTACTGCCATCTATGAACTTCACTACGGCGTCGCCTTCTCTCTTCCGCAGTTCCTAGCTTTCGTCCGTAGCATCAAACCGGATCTTCCAGACAGGAGGACGTCAGTCTTCGAGTTTGGAATGAGGTACCTCAGAAGGATCACAACAATACGCAACCTGTATCCTGTTCTAGTCAAGAATCCGGGCAGTTCAGTGATTCCCGACGAGCTGGTTGACGCGGAAACGGGTGGCATCTGGGTTTTTTCAATCTGTAGTTTTGACCATCCCTGGGCGGAAGGGCAGCCGTCACGCAAGGCTGTGGACGTGCTGAGCGGGATTGTAGGCGACGACTATCACTGGTGGCTCAGCAGGCAGCCTAAGCCTCCGAAATAGAACATGAGCTGTAGACGTTCGAACATTGGTTGTCAGCCCGATAGTTTGCAGCCTTTCGGCAATGTGGCTGTCAATTCTTGCCGCCATGCATATAATAACATTGCTTCTACTGTCCTCCGAACGTTCGCAGTATCTCAAACACGTCTTATAATAGTTCCGTTCATCTTGTAAAGCCCAACAGCCATCATGCAGCGTTGCCAGCTACCCATCATGATCAGCCGGCCCTACACACAGACGTCCCCACGGCTCAAAGTAATTATTCTCGCGTCGCGACGCGTCGACGCGTCAACCTTTCACGGTCAACCAGCATCAGAACCTTCGAACATTCAGCTTTTCTCCAAAGTACCACAATAACCCACGCATTTAGGCTACAATCATAATTGTCATGTCTTCATCCACCTCCGACGAGTCAACAGATGCTCCCCAACCGGTGATGGAGAAAAGCTTGGAGAAACTCGTAAGAACCGCACCCGCTCTCGCTTGATTGCTCAACGCGACTGACCTCCCATGAGACTCCTATCAGAATGCGAATTCCTGTATGTCGCCCCGAGGAGCTTTTCCACCTTGGCCTTCCGGAGCAGTTTCTCCCCCTTACTACCCGCTACGAACTTCACTATGGCGTCGCTTTCTCTTTTTCGCACTTTGTGGCGTTTGCCCGTGATATCAACCCGAATCTCCCAGACAGCAACATGGAAGCCTTGGTGTTCGGCATGAGGTACCTCAGAAGGGTTACGAGGATCCTCAATTTGTACGTTGCGCTCGTCAAGAATCCGGGCCGCTCAGCGCTACCCGACGAGCTGATCGACGCGAAAACGGGCGGCGTCTGGATCTTATCGATCTGTAGTTTCGACCATCCCTGGGCAGAGGGACGGCCGTCACGCAAGGCTGTGGAAGCACTAAGCAGGATTTTGGGTGAAGAATATCACTGGTGGGTTAGCAGGAACCCTAAATCCCCAGAGTAGGACGTTGCGGGGGTTTCCTGATTGTAAGAGTGCAGTACCATTCCTCCTTCCAAGTGGGCCATCCACCAACCTACACGCTCAGTTCGCGTATGGAGATGATTGAATATGCCTTGATGTGGCAGTGAACAGTATGTCTTTGTGCAGTGACTGCTAGTAGGGCCTTGACATAAAAGAGTGTAAAATGTAGTGACTCGCGATCTGAATGGAGAGGGAGGACAGTATATATATATACCTGGCAGTCCACTTATATTGAACAACATCATTGACGCAAAACCCGCATTTATTGTTTTTCAAGTTAATTCATCAGCCAGACTTATACACTAGGACGCCACCACGGTTCAAATTGATTGTTCTCATGTCGCGACGCGTCGACGCGTCGACCTTTCCTCACGGTCAACCACATCAGAGCCTTCGAACGTTCAGCATTTTTCCAACGTACCTCGATAACCTACACGTCTGAGCTACGACATAATTGTCATGTCTTCATCCACCTCCGACGAATCAGCAGATGCTCTACAACCGGTGATGGAGAAAATCGTAAGAACCGCACCCGCCCTCGCCTAATTGCTCAACGCGACTGACTACCCCGTGCATTAGACTCCTATCAGAATGCGAATGCCTGTCTGCCGCCCCGAAAATCTTTTCCACCTCGGCATTCCGGAACGCCTTCTCCCCATTACTGCCCGCTATGAACTTCACTACGGCGTCGCATTCTGTTTTTCGCATTTCGAGGCGTTCGCCCGTGACATCAACCCGCATATCCCAGACAGCAAGATGGAAGCCTTGGTGTTCGGCATGAGGTACCTCAGAAGGGTCACGAGGATCCTCAACCTGTACGTTGCGCTTGTGGAGGACCCGGGCCGTACAGTGCTTTCCAACGAGTTCGTCGACGCGGAAACGGGTGGCATCTGGATACTTTCTATCTGTGGTTCTGACAATCCCTGGGCAGAAGGGCAGCCGTCACGCAAGGCTGTGAACGCGCTAAGTAGGATTTTAGGCGAAGACTATCACTGGTGGGTCAGCAGGCAGCCTAGGACTCCGAGGTAGAACGTCGTGGTGGTTTCCCGATTGTACGAGTAAAGAACTATTTTCCCGTTCATTATGCGATAAGTCGTGAACATCAATGTTAGTCCGTCGGCTTGCAACAGCACAACTGTCAACGCTTGCCATCTTGCACATACTAGTGATGCTTGTTGATGTCCTCCGAACCTTCGCAGTTTCTCAATCTGCAACACCCGTCTTGCATTAATGCCATTGCATTTGGCGCATAACATGAGGGAATTTGGGGCAAATTGTAACACGACGGTTGTATACATGGGTAGCTCAAGCTAACAGAGGTGCACGCTCCTAGAAGATACATATAAAAGGATACGTGCGGGATATGCACCTCGCAACGAGTTTGCAAGAGCGCTTTCTAATTCCTAGAGAAACTCCAAAGCCACCAGTCAGCCTCAACGCGTCCCATCGAGCTCCTTGAACTCGTTGCCCCATGTCGGTGAGCCCCTGAGTTCATCGACGAACGCGTCGAACTTGGGCGACACCGTCGCATTGCTGATCTTGCTCAGCGCAACGACCGCGCGCAGCGTGCTGCGCTGCCGCTCCGACGCCCGCTCGAGGTCCTGCTTGACCGTGTCCTTGGTCACCGCCGCGCCCTTCATCGTCTTCTCGAGCTGCGGCGTCGCCTCGTCGAGCCGCTGCGAGACCGCGGTCGGCGCGACCTGCGCGAGCCGGAAGAGCATCATGTGGCAGATGACCTTGATCTCGTCCGAGTCGTCGTGCAGGCCCGCGAGCACGTAGCTCAGGAACGCGTGCAGGTCGAGCTTGTGTAGCGATGTGTCAAGCTATGCTTGCCGCGGTCAGAAACATGCATGTGCGAATGAAGTGCAGTGTCGAGGTACGCACCAGGGTATACATCGTCTCGTAGGCCGTCTTGCGCGCCTCGAGGCCATCGTCGACCTTGTGGCTCCAAGGACCCATCTGCACGGTGCGGATGAGGTCGGTGTTGACGACTGTTTCCTGGTACAAGCTGGGCAGGAGAGTTCCGAGATGGTCTGCGATCAGGTACGGCTTCGTCCTCGCTGCGGTGTTCAACGCCGAGAGCGCGAGACGACGGACGTTCTGCAAAAATGAAGATCAGTACAACACATCAAGGCCGCAGAAGAAACGGCTCACCAGATCCTCATCGAGCATCAATCCCAGGAAGTCCATGATCAGAGGTGCAAGGAGCTCGTCATACGACGTAGACGACTCCGCAAAAGTGTAGCGGATAGAAGAAACAACCGTCGCACGAGCAGCAGGGTTCTCGTCCTTGATGCGATCCTACATCCAACATCAGCGACTCCATACACTTCAGTACAGACGAGCCACTTACGTGAAGCTGAGGCAGATACCGCGACGGGTTCGTCGTCGTCAGCTTTCCAAGACACGCAGCAGCGACATTGCGCGTGCTCTCCTCCGAGTCCTCCGAGTTCTGGAACAGCGGGCCCCACGACTGCTCTGCGACCAACTCGAGCTGTCCGTGCGAGCAATGCGTGACGACCTCCTTGAGCGCGTGCAGCGAGAGGAGCCGCTTCTGGGCGTCGTTTTCCATGATCTTGATGATGGCGGGGAGGAACATGTGCAGGTTGCCAATCGCGATATTGCCTACGGAGTGTCAGTCATTAGGTGACAAACGGTGGTTTAGGTCTTTGGACATACCGGCGGCGAAGGCCGCAGCAGCGCGGACCTCCTCTTCCTCGGACGCGAAATGGTCGATGACATGGGTGAAGATGTCGTGCTGTGGCGACATGTCACTTTACCAGAGTTAGTCAATACACACATTCAAGAAGGCCACAGATCACTCACAAGATCCTACCAATCTCTCCGAGAATCAACAGACTCAGCACAACCGTCGACGACTTAGCCTTCGACGACTTCTTCACATGCTTCGCATACTCCGCAATCGCACCCGCCGCGACCGACTGAAAGCTCTTAACGACCTGCCCCACGCACTTGGCCACATTGTGCGGGCTGCGCTCCGCCTTGGACGCCGTCTTCTCGTACGAGATCACGAGGCTGGGTATGACGTGCGATGCGATCTGGCCATCGGCGGACACGAGCGCGCCGAGGAAGTTGAGCAGCGCGTCGAGCGCAGCGCCAGACAGGTTCGGCGAGTGCGCGATCTCGTAGATGGAGGAGAGCAGCTCGGACTCGACCTCGGGGTACGCCTGTGCGGGCGCGAGCTCGAGCAGCACGGCGACGATGGTCAGCGCGTGGCCGAGGAGGGATATGTCGGCGGTGGTGACGAAGCTCTTGACGAGCAGAATCAGGTTCGGCGAGAGATCCGCTGGGATCCCGTTCTGGTATCTGGAGCGCAGCGTTAGCTCGTTTGTCCGAGAAAAGAGTGCTTGCAATGAATTCACCTCTTGAGCAAAGTATCAAGCGCAGTGAACATCTCAGCCTTCCCGCTCCGCCCGCTCTTCTTGAGCAACCCCGAAATCCACTCAACGCGATCATTCGCCCACTGGTCGGTCATATCCACGTCCCTCGCCACTTTGATAACGACCTTGACAGAGCCACTCGTGTTCCCCGACGTACGGCAGATCGCCTGCCACTCCTTCCCGCCCTTGCCTGCGACAACATCCTTGGCGCACACCCACAGATCGGCGATGCACTCCTCCGCCGAAGCGCGAACCTCCGCGTCCGTGTCGTGGTTACTGAGGCGCTGCAGGGCCTCGTCGTACACCGAGCCTGCCCAATCATCGTTTTTAACGGGCTTGCACGCGTTCAGAAGGGCAGAGAATACACGGAACGCCTCCGAAGACACACGGGGGTGCTTCTCCTTCAGCGACTTGAGCAGCACAGGCGTTATGGTGGGGAGGGAACCCGCAAATGACGACTGCGCGTGCGTCGAGAACAGGAGCGCGAGGAAGGAGAGACAGGTGAGATGCACAGCCGAAGTAGACGTGAGCGGCGACTGCGACAGCACGCCGCGGGACGTCAGCAGCACCTGGTCCATTTGGCTGACCAGCGAGCCAGGGAGGACATCGAGCAGCGAGTGCAGGAGGTTGAAGCCGCCCTGGAATGCAGCGGGCGTCGTCTTCGACGACTTGATCTGGTTCAACAGCGCCTTGGCAAGAGGCTGCACCTGTCCCTTCAGCAGGCTGTACGGCGTCTCCTCCACGTCCATTCGCTCCTCCGAGTCACGTTTTCGTTTGCCACGAGGAGCGACATCGGCGTCCTTCACCTGCGGTGCCCGCCCGTACACACCGGTCTGTGTCAGAAGGCTCACATACGTCGACCAGATCTCCAGGCGGACGGTCTCCTCACGATCACCGAACCGGGAGATCAGGACTGGGGATACCTCCTTGTAGAGAGTCACCAGGAGCTCGGGTCTGGTCACGACTACTGCTGCGAGCAGCTTCGTTGCTGAGCGACGGATCTTGTAGGACGTGTCCTCATCGTCGGAGTACCTGTCAAATGCTCAGTTGGCTTAGCGTACATCCATGGCAAGGGACATACTCGTCAAGCTCCGCGTCATCCTCATCATCCTCATCTGCCTCGCCCATTTCAGCGTCCTCGTCCTCGTCATCGGCGTAGTTCTTCAACCGTTGAGTGGCCTGTCTAGGAGACATTCTGAAGCAAGGGCTTACCGGATCATACTTGGTGTACTGGTTGCCGACTTGAATGATAGGGCTAAGGAATGGAGTGACTTCAGCCGGAGATCGAAGAACGACAGTCTCCAGAGTCTGTATATGCGTCAATATCCTGAGGAGCAAGTTCCTCACAAAAAGTCGAGAACGAACCTGAAGACATCCTTCTCTCAGTTCGTCGTCATCTCGTTGCACGGCTTTCAGAAGACTGGGGATGACCTCCCCAAGGACGGGCGACAGGTGATGCGACGACGTCCGTAGGATAGCGGAGATCAGCTGTACGGTCGTGCGTTGTCTGTCGACATTCGCGTTCGGTGCGAGGAAAGGTACGATGTTGGTCGACAGGAGGACGTCGAACTGTTCTCGCGGCGCGTAGGGGATGAACTGCGACAGGGTGAGGATCGCGCGTTTGCGGACTGCGGGGCGCGGGTGCGACAGGATGGGGGCGATCGTTGGGAGCGGTTGCGGCTGCACGTTTGGGCTTGAAAGGTGCGTAGGGAAGCGGGTGATAAGAATGGAGAGGGTGGCCAAGGTCTCTAGGATCGTCTCTGGAGGAGTCTCAGCCTGGATCTCCGTGAGTTATGGACGTAACAACAGCGGTGAGAAACATACGTTAGAGACTTGGACCAGAAGTTTGGGAGCCAATTTCGCGCAAGCTTTCTGCGCGACCTTGCCATCCGGCGGTAGTTCAGCGGTGATGGTTTTGAGTGCTGAGGGTAAACAGGTAAGTGGCGGTCGTAAAAGGAGCTCAAAGACATACCAAGACCAGAGATATCCCGCAACTCCTCGTCCTTCCCCACTGAAAAGTTGATAAGGCTATCCACCACCAAATCCATTTGTGATTCGCGGATGATCTTAATAAGCTGCCCGAGACTTGACGCGTCGAGCGTGAGCAGGTGGAACGCGTCACCACTGAGCAGTCCGCTGATCCACATACCATTTCACCGCCTGGTTCTTCACTTCGGAGATCTTGTCTTCGACGAGCGACAGGACCTGCTTGATGACCTTGGTCTCGGTGGACTCGTCGCCAGTAAACGTGCTGGGATCTTGCTTGATTTCGGTCATCAAGTCGTTGAGCCCCATAAATCTTCGCATTACACGCGATCAGCGCTAACTTTGTGCATAAAACGCGCTGCGGGCGTTACCTGAAGTCCTGGTCCGGAGACTGCATCTGTAGCAAGCGGGTGGCACCTCAGCTTTATGATCAGCACGATTCAGATGCGATCGCGACGGACCTTCTCCACCAGACTGTTCATTAGGTATGTCTTCGTCATCTTGGATGGTCGTGAGGGCGTCCGTCTGGGTCTCAGGTGGGTGGAATGGGGAGTGGATGGGGACGACAGACAAGAGACAGGAGGCCGCGCCGTCACTTTCTGGCGCGCGTGACATGGAAATAGGCGCCGACAATGGTGGCGCGTCTCGCTTGGCGTCTCGCTTGCTTCCGCCGTTTAGATAGGCTAAATATCTGTGCAGGTCTAAGAAACATTTCACTCTCGTAAAAAGTAGTACAGCGCCAAAAGCATGAAATTGACTGTGGTTGAATCGTATTTTACAATTGTATGATGGTGGGGTATAAAAACAAAAGACTACAGTCAAAGAGTGAAATCCAGAAATAGAGAACAAAGAGAATGTTCTGCCCCGCAGAACGTTGCCCAAACACAGCACGAGCAAACTTAAAGCCACCCTGCCTCGGCAAGGAGCTTGCGCACGCCCGGAGTATCCGCTTTGATGTCCCCGTTAAACGGACAGAACTCATTGCGGATCCGGGGGCCCTTCAGCGTGTATATGACAGGATAGAACAGACCTTCGCTTCCCTTTGAGATTTAAAATTAATGATGTCAGCTCAAGCTGAGACAGCTGTTGGGAGATACGTGGACCCACCAAGTCAGAAAGTCCGCGTTTGGGCTGGCCGCAGACATAGCCAAGACACCAGGTTCCGTCCCGGGCACGGATCCATACGTGCTCGTTCATCTATTATAGTGTGATCGTGCAGGTCATCACTGAGTCAGCATATTTGCTGTGGAAACACAGCTATTTCGTTCCACAAACCTTGAATCTGTATGCCCAGGTCTCATCAAGATCTTCGGGCTCGTTGTCTACATATTCTTCTTCGTCTAAAGGAGACCGCCATTTGTTGGGGTCGACTGGGAGGAGAATATGGTGTAGTGGCGCTGTTATAGAAAAGCCACCGTTCGGGAGCTTATAGGAGGTGCGGCACCACGATTGAGCTTGTATCATTTTTCAGAGTTTTCAGAGAGCTCAGGGACGGTTAGTAATGGAGGCTAGGAGAAGGTTCCCGAGTCCTGAGAGTTTGGTACTAGCAGATGATGGAAGAAAGGAAGTAAGACAACAGTGAGAAGCACAGCAACGGAGCACAAGGTCGGCTCTTTATAATGCAGAGGTGGCGCCCAGGTGGAATTGAAGTGAAGTACAAAAGGGGAATCAAGTGTTGTTGTCCAAAACAATAAGATCCACGTGGGATGACTCGTAGCGAATGAAAGAGAAGGTTAGGGAACAAGGGCACTGGGCGCCAATGGGGGTTCGGAGGGCGCCTAGACACGGACGCCGCCAGCGCTTGGATCCCAGGCGTGGTACTCCACAAACCTGGTGATCCTGGCCAAGCGCCAAACTTTGAAGTTTGAATACTGGATAGCCATTGGACACGAACAGGTTTTGTGGGAGTCTGGAGACAACAAGCTGGTTCAAACCGACTTCCAGTCTCAAGTCTTGGAGTCAGTACTTTGAGGGTTATTGCTACCATCTCAATCCATACAGATGAAGTGACCATAGCAAGTTTCGAGTCCACCCAGGTACAGCGAGAGAGAACAGAAAGCCACAACAAGCAAACCAAAAGCAAGCACACGAATGGAGAACGTTGAAATGAATAGGGGCTTCGCATATAACAAGCACAAACAACCGCGCAACATTTCCTTTTTGAAATAATTTTGCACACTCGCGACTCGATCCACGAAATTCTGAAAGTGACAAGTCGGACATGGTCAAAACACTCCCGGGCCCATCGCGCCTCTCGCAGACGCTCCTCAGGCTCAAGGCCGCCCCGCGTCTGGAGCTCTTGGGCCTCAAGAGGCTGCGCGTCTCGTTCGGCGCCAAGGAGGCGAATCCGGGTACGAGGTGAGCGCGTCCGCTAGTCCTTTGGCGTGGCACGGCGCGTATATGCGGGTGGAGCTGACTTTGACTTTGGTTTTGACTCTGGTTTTGACCTTGGCCTCGGCTGGACAGACATTTCTTGAAGGAGGAGCTGCCGCGGATACGGTTCGCGAATCCTGCGCTGGAGATAGAGGTCGACCAGCACAAGGACGCGAGGCCGCAGCCTTCGTTGACTGTTGAGCAAGGTCAGTGGTCGTTGTGTCCGGCCCCATTTTTACGCTCACATAACATTTTGTCTTTGCGTCTGCTTGCTTTGATAGAAAACGGGAGTACGACTGTGATCGCCATGGAGAAGAAGTGGTCGAGCGTCATCGTGAAGGAGCTTATGGACTTGGCGGGTGGCGACGCTTGGGCGCAGCACAAGGCAGCGGCCACTGCTGCTGGCCAGCCTATTCTGCCTGGCGAGGAGGAGCGGCAGAAGGCGCTCGAGACCGTCAAGCTGCAGCGTGCTACTCGAGCCGCACAGCCAAAAGTACCAGAACGTCCTCGGACTGGTGCTGCCGCTATGCTTCCATAACCCATCTGTCTGCATATTTTTCACGCTATCACTACCCTTGCATAATTTAGACCTGCTTTGCGCTCATGAATAGCCGGCCCACCAAGACCAAGAATGAAGATAATTATTGCTGGCACTTTAAGTTACATAAAAGCAATGTTATAATGCATCATGTTGCAAACCACCCAGAGACCAGAATGATTACCCCTAAACCAAACACGACACTTGCCAGGTCGTCGAGGAACGCCCCACCGAGCGAAATGTAGCGCAGACCATTCGTTATTAGTGAAGGGAAGGGAGGCGGAAGGTAAGCCATGGCCAGGCTGAGCAACATAGGAGGCTGGAACCGATTCTGTTCAGAGCGTTAGTGCGTGCTCGCCTCGCGGAGAGTGCGGGAGCACTTACTGTACCCAGCATTATGCGTGTCGAGTGCAGGATGATTTGGATAGTCACGAATGCCCATAAGAACGGCTAGGGGGGTATATGAGCCACCAAATGTCGCTTTAGAAAACGCCAGATAACTCACAACAAACTGCACTCCCCACCCCTCGCCCGGCGCCTTCCACGCGAGATCTGCCCACCGCTTCCACACAGTAGAATCCACCACATCGCCCGCGCTCTCCGCGAACGCCCTCGGCTCCCGCCACAAGGCAAAGTACGCAAGCAAAAGCCACGCGCTGAACACGTGCAGAAGCGGGAGCATCTTCTGCAGCAGCGTAGGCTCCTTTTGCGGCTGCATCTGCATCGGCGGCTGCATGAACGGTGACTGCTGCTGCATCTTGCCCGCGGCGCTCGGATCCATCTGCGCGAGCTGCGCCATCATAGCAGCGAGCGGGTCGCCCGGCACGTCTTGTTGAGGGGGGAGACTGCCAGCGCGCGAGCCGCCGCTGGAGAACCCGGAGCCTGCGATTTGAGGGGGTGTGCCGGTGGAAGGCGCTTGTTGCCCCCCGAGGCCGGCGCCCATGAGCGCATGGAAGAACTGGCGTTGCTGCTCTTCGGACCATACGGACGGGTCGGGTGCGGGCATCCCGGATGCAGTGGAGGAGGGCGAGTTTTCGAATGCGAACGGGGCGGGCGCGGGGCTTATGCGCGGTTCGGTGGCGGGGGCGGGCGGTTTGGGAGGCGGCATGGGGCTGTCCTCGCCGACGAAGCTGCTCAGGTTCGCTGCGGCGCCTCTTGGGGGTGTTTCTGGCGTATTGTGTTAGTTGAGGGGATGTAACACTAGGACGTGCAGAAATTGCTAGGCGTACCATCGCGCACAAAGGTGGGTGCATCGTCGCCGCGGGCCGACGTGGTCAGTTTTGCGAGTCGGTCGTTTCCCCTAGCGAGAATGGCTTTTCTCCGTGCCTCTGCGCGTGCAGCTGCCATGAGTCGTAAAAGCAAAGAGAAAGAGGTCGTGAAGAAAGTTGGGTGGGTGTATGTAACCGGACGCGTGTAAGCCAGGAGGTGACTGTCAGTGCTTGAGGCAGACAAGCACCGCAATTGATTCAAAGCAAGAATAGGAAATCACGCAGCTGGCGAAACTTTGCCCACCACCCACACCCGCTCTCACCTCCCACCCACCACCACTTTTTATCATGTCGCGGCAGGACAAGGCGACGACGGACAGGCATGCAAAGATTCTTAGGGAGCTCGTCAAGCGGCCAGACAACAAGGTCTGCGCGGACTGCAAGAAGAACGGTGCGTCTACTTGATCCCTTGGTTTACTTTTAGTTAACACTGGTCTGCAGATCCTAGATGGGCGTCATGGAACCTGTGAGTCTAAAGCATAATTTCTTCTCTACAAAGCTAACCGTATGTCAGAGGAGTCTTTCTGTGCATCCGCTGCTCGGGCGTCCATCGCAGCATGGGCACGCACATCAGCCGTGTCAAGTCGGTCGACCTCGACATCTGGACTCCTGAGCAAATGGAGGTCGGTCTCCCCAGCGCCTCTGAACGCACAGCGCACCCTCTCATATGTATTCCCGCTATCCTATAGTCGATCCAAAAGTGGGGCAACAGACGGGCCAACCTCTACTGGGAAGCCCACCTCAAATCAGGCCACATCCCCCCTGATCAGTGAGCACTCCTCCCCACAATCCCAGTTTTTTAAAAGTAACATCTCGCTCGCTTCGCAGCAAGATGGACTCGTTCATCCGCTCCAAGTACGAATCCCGCCGCTGGGCCATGGACGCCCCACTCCCCGCCGACCCCTCCACGCTCGACGGCGCAGACCCCGCACCCGCTCCGCCCTCGCAGCCCGCCTCCCCGCCCCCACGCACGAGCAGCGGCAGCCGCTCGCACGGCGGGAGCATCTCCGCGCGGAGGCCCGCGTCACCCGCGACGCAGACGCAGCCCGTGACGACGCGCCAGCCGGGCTCGCGCCAGCTCCTGTCTGCCGCCGTCGCCGGGCGCGCGCAGGCACAGGCACAAGCGCAGGCTGCTGCTGCGCCCGCACCCGCTCTCGTCTCGACGGACACCCAGCCCCAGCCCCAGCCTCAAGCGGCGGCCGCGCCAGCGCAGGACGACTTCTTCACGCTCGACTTCCACGCGCCGCCCGCAGCGCAAAAGCCCGCGTCGCCGCCGCCGTCGAAGAACGTTAAACAGGACATCATGTCGCTCTTCTCCTCCGCTCCACCCGCTGCTGCCTCTCCTACAACTTCTGCGCCTGCACCTCAGGCCCAGTTCGGCGGCGGCGGCAGCGGCTTTGGAGCCGGGGCAAACGATGGGTTCGGCGATTTCTCTTCGGGATCGTGGGGCGCATTCGGCGGCGGCGCGGGCGGCGGAGGGGGCGGCGGCGCGGGCGGCGGAGGGGGCGGAGGAGGACAGACGGCGGCGCCACAGACGACGACGAGCATGATGGGCAACAACGGCGTCGGCGCGTGGGGCACGTCGTCGGGGTGGACCGCGCCGCCCGCGGCACAGCCGGTGCAGGGCAGCAACGTGTGGGCGCAGCCGCAGGCGAACAATACCAATGTCATGAACACGAACGATATCTGGGGCGCACCCGCGGCGGGTTCTGCGTCGCACAACGGCGGGTTCGGGTCGACGGGCGTGGCGCCCGCGCCGAAGAAGGACGATGTGTTTGGGGATCTGTGGGGCGATTTCAAGTAGTCGGCGTGCCGTCCATGGACTCAGGCTTTTTCACGACTTTAGTTTCTCGAGCGCGCGATCGGTGGAAAGGGTTTGATATCAGTTCCTCCGTAGATGTATGGTACAGATAGTGTCCTTGGATTTAGTAGGTGTATACACTTAATTCACTTCCTCCTCCTCCTCAACCTACGGCGCCGCGAGATCCTGCAGTACCAAATCAAAGCAACCATGAGCTTCGCCCGACGCACACAAGTGAGCGGGGCAAAATTTAAAAACACGCACCTTGCTGATGAGATCACGCGCGATGGGATGAAACTGCTCCTTGTGCCTATCGAACACCTCCCTCGCGAGCGCGGGGTCCACCGCCTTCGCGCGCCGAAAGATGGGCCGGCAGAACTTCATGCGCCCGACGAGCACGCCGTTCTCCTTGCCGACGATCCAGTCGAGCGCGTGCCGCGCGGTCTGCTGCGCGTATGCGCTCGGCTGCTGCGTCTGCGCCGTTGAGGAAGCGCCGAGCAGGGCGACTTGGTAGAAGACGAGGCGGTTCTCGGCGTTGAGCGTCGTGGAGAGGCCGTATAGCTCGCCGAGGTGCTTGGTGTGTGTGTCTGGGAGGGGGTCCTTCGTGAGGAGGTACTCCAGGAAAGCGGCTAGAAGATGGGTGAGTACGTCAATTGATCATATCGGAAGTCGTATCCAGGAGAGCGGCGCTTACTCCTCTGCGTCGACGTCAGCGTATCAATGTCCGCCGTCTTGAAGTCGAGCTTCTCGATGTCCAAGCTGCGCGACTGATCCCACCTGTCGCCGAGCGCCTTCGCCTCGAGAAGAAGCGTCTCGTCGTACTGCATCTGCACGGGGAAGAGCTGCGTCTCTTTCGAGTTCGAGTTCTTGTTGTAGTCCGCGATCTCGCCCTTGAGCCAGCCCTGCACCACGCAAGATACCACACGGTTAACGGCGACTATCTGGTCTTGAGCTAGAGCTCACCTTCCAATCGATGCTGTCCAGCTTCTTGGTCATCTCCGCACCACCGTTCTTGGACCAGTACCCATAAAGGTGTGCCTGCCACTCCTCGGTGGTGATGCTCTTCCCGGTGTACGTCTTGACGTAGTCCCTAACATACGGCTCAAACGCCTCCGGTCCGCCCAAAACACCCTCTGTCCCAATTTCCACACCGTCACCCCATCCACCCAGTCAACCATACAGCACGTGTGCTCACCAAGATGCAGAATCAAGTTCGACCCCTTCTCGTACGGGACCTGGCCGTACGCGTCGTCGGGGTTCTCGCCCTTCTCGTACAGAATCTGGAGCTGCTGGTACCGTGTATTGCCCCGCTTCGCGTACAGATCACAGTCCTCCTTGAGGCCCTTGAGGCCGCCCTTGAACGCGAAGCCGCGGTAGGCCTCGGAGCCGTGCAGCTTGAGCTGCAGGGTGCGCTCCATGTACGTCGTCCAGCCTTCGTTGAGCCAGAAGTGCTCGGCGTGCGCGTGGCTGTACGATGGAAATCAGCTCCGTAGTTCTCAGGTGATGATCAGGAAGAGCTCGGTACTGACGTGATGCCGTTACCGAACCAGGAGTGTGTTAGTTCGTGGACAATGACGTCGACGAGGCTTCTGTCCCCGGTCAGGAGAGCTAGATGTCGTTAGCAAAGGATGAATTAGTCCAGGGGCAAGTGAGCCATACTTGGAGTCGCAAAAGTCAGACACGGGTTTTCCTGGACACTAATCAGTAAACCCAGAGGTGACTGATGTGTGAACTCACCATTCCTCCGTAGGGGAACGACGGCGGCATGACGAGGATATCGTACACCTTGAACCGGTACTCGCCCACGATCTCCTCTTCCTTTGCCAAGAACCGAGGAGTGTCCTCGCTGAACTCCCAGTGTGCCCGCTCGAGGAGCTCGGGCTCGGCCCAGACGCCGGTCTTCCAGGTCTTGCCCTCTGGCACGTTAAATGCGCGGTAGTGAAAGTTGCCTGACGCGATTGCGATGAGATATGAGGGGATGGGCACTGGCTGAGGATATCTGCTTCAGCACAATTCGGGCCGTCAGTGGGCGGTGGGGAGGGAGCGTACCTGGCTGTAGGTATAAGTCACCATGTCTTTGCCGATTTCCTTTCCGTCGTGCGGAGGTCCTTCTGAGGGAGGCGACTGCCGGATGGCAGACATGAGCACGGGGAGGACACTGGCGATCTTGGCTTCGTAGGTCTAGAGTCGTCTGCACGTCAGCGGCTACGACCTTGGGTCTATTCGGGAGAAGATCGACTCACCAACTTGACCGAAGGCGAATCTTGTACGGGAGCTAGGTATCGTGCGTATATAGGCTGACATTGGCTGAACAGGGCCATCTTCCCGCTCGATGTTTGCCTGTGCCATGTCAGCAGCTGAAACTCAAAACTGAGGATGCCTACGCACGCTTCGTCTAGCCATTGAAGAGCCATGCAGTCCGGATGGGTCTTGTACGCGACGGTGACTTCGACGGTCTCTCCAGTTTTAAGCGCTGATGGGAGAGGAACGGAGAGAGCGCGTCCCATTACAGGATGCTCAGTGCCCAGGGTGAACTGCACGGTGTCAACAGTAGTCTTTGGGAGGAGACGGAGCTGGGACGCACTTGGGCAGGCACCTGGTGCTTGTCCACCAGCACGGCAGCACTGGCGATCTCGAGGTTGGCTGCATCAAGTCTGAAATGCCCGGTCAGGGCGCACAGAGAAATAAGAGGGATCGCTACTGCTTACACGACCTCCTTGACACCGTCCTTCTTTGCCTCTAGTGTATGCGTGACTGATCCGTGGAGAACCCGCTGGTGCCAGTCGATGTTCCAGACGATGGAGAGGTGGGTAGTTGCGATGTCGCGGTAGTTGGACTGAGTGCACATGTCACCAGTATCTGGGTTGGATTGAGTGGAGCCCATTTTGTCGGTTGCGTGTTAAGACGAGAAAGTGGTCGTTGGTGAAGGAGACGCGTGTTTTATGGCTCAGTGGATGGTTTATGGCGGAGGCAGTATGGTACGCGGGGTCAAGATAAGATCGCGTCCATCTGTTCATAGGTCCGCTCGGCTCGTGCCGAGCATCCACGCCTCTTGCCTTGAACTGCTACTGTCGTGAGTGAGATCGTCGTAGGTCATGCTCACGATAGTAGCAGCTAGAGGTTGCAAGGTTAAAACAGTGTCGTCACACTAACAGAAAGAGGAGACTCTGTTGGCCAGAACTTAGACTGGAACTGTGACGCGTTCTAGTAGCATTGAGTCGGTAGGTAGGTAGTTCCTATGGCACGCAACAATGTCACCCTGCAGAAACCCTCCTCGGAAGACCAACAATGGCCATCAGACGATCGACGGACTCGTCGATCTCCCCGTTCACGTCCAAAGACCTGACGACCAGCTTCGTCGACGAGTCGACATCTGACTCTTCCGGCTCGATCAGGCGGTGTGTGTCCACCAGCTTCTGCAGCGTCGACGGGTCCGTGAGCTTCGTCTTGCCCGAGTGGACACGCCCGTGACTCTGGACGCGCTGCATCAGGCGCGTCTGCTCGCAGTACGCGGTGATCCAGTAAAGTGGCACCCCGGTCCCGCGCACCAGGCCGAGGTGCTCCTGGAAGAAGGCGGCGTCCCTGGCGTCGTCGGCGGCCAGGCACGCCGTCATGAGGACGATGTGGCCCTCTTCTACAAGCCTTCTGATGCACGGGAAGACCACCTCTCGGATCCTCCGCCGGAGCATGTGGTGGTCCTCGCTTCGGTCGGGGTAGAGCGCTGCCGCGGGGTCGATTAGGAGGTGGTTGTGTAGTAGGAGCGGAGATGTGTCGTCGGCGGGCAGGAGCGCTTTGAGCTGCTCGAGGATGGTACACTTACCCGTGCCGGGGAACCCGTTGAGGACAATGTCCATGCCGCCAGGGGTTCGTTGGATTGGCCTGGTCTTGATAATACAACAGCTAGGCGAGACCGCGGGGAAATAGGCTTTCTGGAGGGTGGCCAGTTGCTGCAGGAGCCGCTGCATCATGGATAAGACTAGGTTAGGTGTTTCTTGGACGCGGAGTGGAGGAGAGTTGAGGCTTTGTGTAAGCGCAGAGGAGGAGCAGAGAGTGGATTCAAATTAGTGCAGACCATGATTAAATAGCCCCTATCTTTACACCGCGTATCGTGAGGCGCGTCACGGACACATGCCTTTCTCGTCTTTCCATCACCTACATTCCCTAACACAAACCCAGGCAGCTCAAGCAATATGGACGAATCAGATACCCTCGTTGCGCGTAGACCGAAGAGGAGCACGGCAGGTAACAGGTATGTCCGAGAGAGAGAGTTTATGCGTATGGGAATGAAACTCAGAAAAGGGCAGGATGGAGGTCGCGCTTGCCGAGCTTGAGCTCGAGGATGTGAAGGAGGTTGAAGAGGACAATGACTTTGTCATCGCAAGGGGTTCGTCCTCAAACGGCTGATACTGAGAACATGCATTTCTCACGGGCTCGTGGGCAGATGAGGAAGACGAGTTCGAGTCCGACTTCGAAAGCACGGACGAGGAGGCGGCTGCTCAGGAGGACGTCGAGGCCGGTGAGCAAGCTGCGAAAGAGGAGGAAAGGGTAGTTCGAAGGGAAAGTCAATTATATCTGTCGCTGATTCGCATATGCTGACGCGCTGATGCCCCTGCACCTATAGTCTGCTCGCACCAGGCTAGAGAAAGCTACGGCTGCAGCGCACGCGCGACAGAAAGTGACATTCCAGCCAGATACGTCCGTCTCGTCCTCGAAACCCACCGCATCGAAGCCAAAGCGACGTGTCTCGCTTGGAGTAACTACCAATGCTGAAACGGGGGAGACCGTTGAAGGCGCAAAGCGGTCCAGCAAGCGGCGGTACACGGTCGCGAACACGTCCGCGACTGCGACACGGGTACGCGATGCAAAGGAGAAGAAGGTGTGCTGGCCCGTTTTCTTCCCTTGGTATTATGCGTCTGGTGCTGACCATATCTGCGCTAAGGCGACGGTCCCGAAGAAAGCCAAGATCGTCAGTCGCATGCCTACGCAGGACGAGCTCATCGCGCGCGCACTCGACACAGAGGAGGGCAATATCGTCGAGCATCGCGATTATCTTCGTCTCGAGGAGGAAAAGCGCGCAAAGGCGCGCGTCGTCCGTCCTTCTATCTCGGGCCCGGTGCTTAGATGGATCAGCAAGAGAGAGGAGACGACGGTGATTGAGCAGCCTCCTCCACCGCCACCGCCGCCGGCAGCATCTGGATCAGCGTATGGGCAGCAGCGGCAGCAGTGGAACTTTGTGTGTGGTCCGTCGGCGGGGTCGGGAACGACGCCGTATACGGCTGGATTCCAGATGTATGCGCCGGCGGTTTCGCCAACGTCGACAACTGGTGCTCAACGCCACCATGAAGCCCGAAATCATGCGGCTACAGAGCCGACGCATTCATCTCAGCTTCAAGGTGGAGCATCATCGTCGGCCTATCCTTCACACCCTCGCAGCGAGACGAACGACGCAGGCATAGCTTCGGCGCAGCCGCCTCAATCTCAAGACGGAGTTGATAGTGCATCCGTGTCTTTGTACCCGAGCCATTCTCCCTCTCATCAGCACATATCTGCAACGTCCGCCCACCAGCCACCGCAGCCACCACAATCTGCGCACCCTGTACAACCGGCGCCGATCGAGCGCAAAGAAGACGTGTGCAAGAATTACATCATCCACGAGCTGAGCCAGATATCCTCGGCGAAGGCGCCGCCGTGGAAAGACACGATGGCAGCTATGTTCGGGGACCACGTCAGGTGGGAGGATCTCCGCGTGTTCTCGTCCAGCAAGCAGCGGCCCACAGGTGCGTCTCCTTTCCCTCCTGCCCTTTCCCTCCGCCCTATGACTGCTTCCCCCTGATCTCGAGCGCTGACATGCATGACATTGGACATTGGACATTGCTGTGATCTATCATGGTATTCAAACACGCAATGGTAATAAACGGCAATGCGACGATGTACGCAGCGCGCCCGCAGCAGCTGTGCGCGCTCACGGGTCTCCCGGCGCCGTACCTCGACCCGCGCACGGGCGTGCCGTTCGCGAACAGCGCGGCGTACAGGACGCTCGGCGCGGTTGTTGGGCACGAGTATGTGTGGAGCGATGCGCTGGGGTGTTATGTGTCGCGCGCGAGGGAGCGCGAGGGGTTCGAGTTCGAGCCGGCGCGTGTGCAGGGGGGTGCTGGTGCTGGTTCTGGGAGGAGCGGGGTGAGTGGGGGTGGGCGGGGGACGGGGAAGCGGGGGCGGGAGGAGTAGTGTGGGGTTTCGGGGGGGGGGCGCGGTAGGGGGTAGGGGTGAGTGGCTCTTTACGAAGGCTGGCGATGTGCTGGTTTGGTTTACATTGGTTCCGCCCTTGATTCACCATAGGAAACTTTACGATTCTGGCGCATCGAACCTGACATCTTGCGCTCTTGAAGTCTAATGGATGCGTAGAAGATGACATCAATGACGATTGAGGTGCCAATGTTGCCCGAGCCCCAGTTACCAAGGACCCGGATGACGAGCATGTCTACTTCATGCGCAATCTTGGTCCACACCATCTGGCTTACTGCCTGCGCGCGTGCGCACATGATGGAGGAGCAACACTTGTCAGTCGACTTTGCGCCGGTGGGTTTATCGCGGAAAGCGACGACTTGTTTGAAGGCACATACCACATAAGCTACGACGACCCTCGTATCTGATCCAAAAACGCCGGCGTGTAGTCAATACTTCTGATGTGCTTAGGGTGCCAGCGGCCGGGCCTCGATCTGAGCACTCTCGCCACCGTTGCGTTCCCCACCGCAACTCCAGGCCCCAGCGCAACGCAAGCGCGCCGAGCCCCGCTTTTTGAAATTCACACCATCACGACGCAGAACGTCAAGCGTCAAAGGTGGTAAGAATGCGGATAAGTATTACGTGCATTGGATAACGGTAAAAATATGCATCGGGGCGGTATGTACAGGGTGTGGGTGGTTTTAAACGGAGCAGTTGCAGGTATGATATTGGCTGTATGCGTGATGGGGTTGTGTGTGTATGTGTGGAGAATAATGTTATGGGTACAGTACATGCGAGCGTGATGCGAGAAGAGGGTCCATCGATTTTCGAAACAGAGTTCAAATGAGACAGGGAGAAAGGGGCGTAAAAGGTGAGAATGCAGGGGTATGATGATGCCCCGTGCAACGGGGCAGCGTGTGCGCGGACATAATGTTTTGCACATTATGGAGCGGGGCGCACGACGACGCTCAGCAACGCTGGGTGCGGCGGCGGGGAGCGGGGGCGCCGGCGCCAGAACGGGAAGGGGAGGCGTGGCGCCAGCGTCTTTTCATGGCGTACTGTAACGGGAACAAGGGCAGGGGTGAGTTGTGGCGGTCATGGACAGCGCAGATGAAACTCGGGCGTACCTTGGGACCCTCGGGCTGGCCGACGGTGTCGTTGGCGTAGAGAGTCTCGTACGCGCAGTCTTCGTCCTCGACGTCCTGGAGCTTGCGCTTAGGCGCGAGTCGGACGCGCAGGGCGGCGGGCTCCTCCGGGGAGACGTCCATCTGGGCGGATCGTGTCAGTACGGGAGCGCGGGCGAGGGGTAGGGTGCTGGGTGCTTACAGGTTCGGGCGTCAGTGCTTCCTCTGACGAGCTCGAGGTTGCTGTAGGGGAGCGACGACCTTGTCAGCGGGATGCTTCACGCGGGGTTACGGGGAAGCAGCGACTTACAAAGGTCCGACGCCTCGGAGTCGTACTGGGTGTCGTCGATCATAGGCAGGTCCATCGTGCCGAGGAGCGGTGCACCGGGCACGGGCAGCGCGTCGTCGCAGCGGACGAGCGACATGGGCGGGATGCGGATGGTGAGGCGGGTCTGAGCCTGGCTCTGGCTCTGGCTCTGGCTCGCGGTATGCTGGGACTGCTGTGGCTGGTACAGAGAGCTGTGATGGTGGTGCGGAGGATAGCTGGACTCGGGTGGCGAAACGATGATATAGGGGATATCGCCGCATCGGGTCGCGCTCGGGCCGCCCTGAGCGTGCTGCTGCTGTTGCCAGTCCACAGCATCGGACGGCTGGCAGCTGGCGCCCGCAGGATGGGCGTGGGCATAGCTCTGCAGGGTGTGGGTATGGGTCGCCATGTGGATCAGCGGTGGCGCGACGGCGATGCTTCTCATGAGCTCTTCCTCAGAGTAGGGGTATACGAGGTCGAGGACGGGGCTGGGGGTCGCGAGCTGGGGCATGGGGCGCGCGGCGATGTATTTCTGCTCGAGAGTGTATGCTTTGCTGAGGCTGATGCGCAGGCCGATCCAGTAGGCGAGGCGCTGGGCGTGGAACGTGGGGCGGGCGGAGAGGCGGACGGTGTAGGCGCTGTAGTAGGTCTTCGCGTTCGCCTGGCGGATGGTGGACACGAGGAGAGCGAATTTGGCGCGGGAAAGCATGGCTGGCTGGTGTTTTATGGTATGAAATGAACGTGATTGTGTTGTGTTTCGAATCTATCGAAGGAGGGGTATGATCGTGAAACGAGCGTCAAGAAGATTAGGGGCTGTTGGAATGATAAGGAGAGTATAGGACCAGTCCTGCACGGATATAAACCACACGGCCTGCGTGGTAGGGGAACACCTGGACGTAGAAATGGAAGAGAAATAAAGAAGGGGGGGTGTTAGTGATGCATGGACGCTCGATGGACGTCTAAATACCCGCCTCGACGCCTCGAGCGCTAGAACCTGTCTGGCTCTAATTACTCGAAACACTGACAAAGGAGTGTCGAGCTAGCCGGAAGACAAAAGGGGCGCCCCTTAATATAGTCATCGTTATTGTGAACGACAAGTTCGGGACGACGGAGTGCTGGGCGCCATCAGCAACGGTGAGGTGCCGTCTCGCGCTGTCAGAGAAAACAAAGGCGCGAGGGAGGGGACACCTACGTGCGCCTACAGTCTGTCACCCGGGCCGTCGCTCCTAACAAGGCGGTAACAAGGCAGCCCATCTTATTGCTCCCGAGCTCCCGCGCTTAACGGGCCTCATGAGCTTGAAGCCCCTCTTTTACGTCTGCCGTCGCTGTCCAAATCATCGAAAAATGCCTCTTACAGCCCAAAAGATAGGTGAGTGACCCCTGCGCTCCTCCTAGCATCAGCATGGCTGACGACGGGACTCATTCAATGTGCAATCTCCCCCGCCGCTTAGGATCGCTCTTGTTCTGCCCAAATTGCGGTACATTGCTCGATACGCCCAACGGCAACACACCAGTCGTAGTTTGCGAACAATGCAAGCACGAGGAACCCGCTTCATGTGAGACACGAGACACTAACGATCGGCGACTCTTGCTCTTGTATGAAGACTGATATAGATTACATCTAGCATTTCACGATATCGAGATTGTCACTCGCTCTCATCCGGACGCGTTCCCGTCCGCTCTCAGGCAGAAGCGCAAAACGCAGACGAAGCTTCACGAAGGCAAGGTGCTGCCAAAGGTAAAAACTCTCGCTCCCCGGATCATTCGCGTGTCTGAGATCATGTTCACTCAAAAAATGCGTCTGTGGTCAGGTGGCCGAGAAATGTCCAGCGTGTGAATATCCCGAGGCGTTCTACGAGGAGAAACAGGTGAGCACAGACATGAGGAGTGTGCAAGGGCAGTCCGGTGATAGGATATCATAGATGCGAAGCGCAGACGAAGGGTCGACAATCCTCTATACGGTAAGTCTGGTTGATAATGAGTGTATGTTGCGGGCCGGTTCTCACACGAGCGCAGTGCGTGTCGTGCAAGCACGGATGGCGTGTCAACAACTAGGCGGAGGAAGCATGATGGAATCGGGCTTGCGCGACGCGCTCCTATACCCGACGATTCTCACAAAAATCCAGGTCTACTGGAACTTGCATTACACGTTTACACCGACGCTGCAGAAGAGGGCGACGACGCCAAAACCACCGAGGGCGCTGGCGAGGGCTGCGACGACGGTCTCATGGACGGGGATGGTCGTTTTGGGGAGGCTGAGCAGGAGGATGTCAGACGTATGATACACGTTGTCGCAATGCAGCATACGCACGTGGAGAAGTAGAATGCGAGTGCAAAGGTCGAGGCGAGGAGAGTGAACGCGATGTAAGGGAGTGCAGAGGCGGCCACGTAGGGAGAGAAGGGGGGCAGTGACCTGTGCAGCGCCTGCGGAGCACGTCAGCTTGTGTGAGCGCAGAGAGAGAGGGAGAGGAGCACGGACCTGGATTGTGTCGTAGTTGTCCATGGTGCTGGTGAAGGAGACGTGTCGGTAACAGTACGGGTCTGGGTGGGAGCTCGTGTTTGCAGTCGGGTGGCGTATCGTGCGGCGGCTGTCCAGGGGTCTGCCAATGGCGGGTGACAGTGAGGCTGACGTATTTTGGCTGCACAAACACATGTCATCAAACCCATATCAACTCAGCCTTGCCCGCGCATTTTGCTTCTTCTTCGTCTTGACTACCACCACCCAGTACACCACTTTCAAATAGTGCGTTCGAGCAGGCCCCACCGCCCGCCTTTACCTCACCACATCCCTGACCTTACTGACCGCTTCTTCGATCTCACTCGCCCAGATGTCCGCAGCCGACCAAGTTAAGCAGCACCCCGCCTTCCAGCAGGCGTCCGCAAAGGCGAACTACTATGTCTCCCAGTTCGACAAGGAGGTCTGACTTGCTCCTGACGTCATATCTTAACTTCAGTGCTCAATTTTGCGTTCACAGCTCACAAAATATCCCGCGTTAGCCCAGTTGGAGCAGCGCACGCAGGTGCCCAAGACGTGGCTCGTTGGCGGCTCTGTCGCCCTCCTCTTCATCTTCCATCTCTTCAACTCGCTCGCTGCTCCTGTCTCCAACTTTGTTGGCTGGGGCCTCCCGGCTTATCTCTCGTTCAGGGCCCTCGAGTCCCCCGGACATGCGGACGACATTCAATGGCTCACTTACTGGGTCGTGTTCGGCGCGTTCAACTTCACCGAGAGTGTCGCGCTGCGCCCGGTCCTGTACTATTTCCCCTGGTATTTTGCCGCCAAGACCCTCTTCGTCCTCTGGCTCCAGCTGCCTATTACCCGGGTACGTCATTCTCTGCAGGATTCATGGGAGAGGGGGCACTAACGGCGATCGGATGTTTCCAGGGTGCTGAGAAGGCCTACCATGCTGTGCTCAAGCCTGTGCTCGTCAACGCCAACCAGCGTGTTGTCTCTGCTACGCAGCCCGACACCAACGTCACCGCCGAGAACCTCCGCGACCGCGTCGCGACGGCCAACGCTGAGTAAAGGCTCGGCCCGGCTTTCGTCGCCGGCGATGTACAGCTCTCTTTGATACACGTCTTTTTTCACGATGAACTCTCTTATGACCGCATACATAGACACTGCAGTAGTTGAGCATCTACTTTACTACTCGTCTTGAATTTCTCTCTCGCTCTCTCTTTATCTTCCCTGTTTTGTTTCATACGTTAATCCTTGTCGGGTTATCATTATGAATGTCTCAACTCTGTCATGCAAATTTTGTGTCGTGCGATGAGGAATCCGGTCTGTACCGATCTATGTATTGCCGAGCGGAAGCTTTTGCCGCCTGTGGTCTGATAAGAGAGACGTTATCGACACTGGCTATCGCATCATGTCCTACCCGCAGTAACGAGCACGTCATGGTGCATCCAACGCAGGAGTATGTATGATACAGCTCCTGAGACCCGCTATTATGACGTCGAGGCACGAAAGCCTGAGGAGAAGAGATACGCCATACGGAGGGGTCGGGAGAGTTGCGCCCGCCCTGTAAACATGGATGACCTCATCAGGCCTGACCTCGGCAACGGCAACGGCCCACGGTCATTACCCCGCTTGGCAACGCTCCACCGCGTTCAATCGACGACGCGTTCACACACATACACGACTTGCGCACGGTCTGCCCTGGGCATAGGTTTCAAGGGGATACGCAACGCTTGTTTGCGCTTTCATCGGCGGGGCTGACGTACGCGAGGTACTGTATACTACGACTACGACTAGGAACTTGAAGCGACTAGGATGGTTACGAACTCGGAGGACTTTTTGGCGCTGCCGGGGGTTTACAAGGCGTTGTTCTTGTATGTTGAGCCTGGTGCGTCTGTGTCTTGCTCACCGAGACTCTGATGTTCGACTGCGACAAAAGAACCAAATTATTGATGCTGTGGACTGTGCAGCATCGACGATCGCGCCGGCTTTTCTGGCGTGGTTCTTCCCCGGCGCGAGATGGTTCCACCACGAGCTGATCCCGTTCGCGCCGCCGCTGGGGGGCTTGGATGCGCGCACTGTGATGGCGGTGTGGCAGCTTGGGAACTGTGCGTTGGGGTTTCTTTGGTGCGTTTAGTGTGTGGGGCTGATGCAGATGTTTTGTTTCTTGGTGTGGTGATTGGGATTTGGGATGTGGGATACGGGGTGTGGGGTTTGTAGGTTATCTGCTGCTGGGTATGATCTCGTCGCTTGTGTTCCGCGCGGTGAGGGATACGTTGCCGCAGGAGCCGGCGAAGCAGGAGAGGATTTTGGGCGCGAGTATGACGGCGCTTGCTGTTGCTGATGTGGGTGTTTGTTGCTTTGAGATTTGTTTGCGGAGAATGTTGATTGTCAATGGGTTAATTCAGGTTACTCAGTATGATCTTGTTTTTGTTTGCACTGGAAAGTGAGGCGCTGATTGTGTGCTGGGGCTTGTAGCATTGCGGCGTCGTTCATCGGGCTGCCGGCTGAGCTGCGGTATGTGCCCTGGACGTGGAACCCGATGACGCATGGGAATATTAGCTTTGTGGTTGTTCTTGTCAGCATGAGGTACGAGTTCACTTTATGTAGTTTTATCCATGAACTCCGTGCTGATCCGTTTGGGCTGTCTATGATAGGCTGGCGTGGTTCGCGGGCATCGGGAGGACGAGGTATTATTATGGACAAGGGGGCAAGATCAAGAAGAAACGTTGATCGGAGGATAGGATGGGCTTGTTTCGACGCTATGCATCTGAAGGTTACAGGGCTTTTGTACTGATGCTTGTGTTTACCTTGTATTCTGCTGTACGTTTGAGGCGTGACAATGAATTAATCTCTGCAAAGGATACGACCTGAAGCTAAGGCATAGGTAGTGCTAGGTTATCCCCAAGTCCACGCGTGTGTGTTCGGTATGTCGACCTCCGAGAAACTCGGAGTCAGCTCCGGACCCGAGACCATCACATGACTTGAGATAACTTTCTGTCAAGATTCGGCCGCGGGCACGACGAGATCGTACCCTCCAACGTCCACCCATGTCGTCCTTGGACATAGCACAAGAGATCCGCAAGACGTTCCCGGGCACGGAAGAGCTCATCGTCCAGTACCTGTCCGGCTACCTCGTCGACGATGCGGGCGAGGACGAGGACGTGCTCGATATCGCGCAGGGGTTTCTGCAGTCGCTCGGCGTGGACAAGCCGGACGCGGTCGATCGGCTCATGGGGAGGCTGCGCGAGCTGCTCAGTGATCAGCTGAGTGCGCGGGCGGCGAATAGCGCGCGGCCGACGCTTATGAAGCTGGATAAGGTGATGGATATGAGTAAGACGAGCGCTATGAGTGGGACGATTGCGTTGGCGGAGGGTGTGGATCTGGAGAGTATCAATAAGAGCAAGTGGGTGTTTTGTGAATCGGTGTTGTGGTGTTTATGTTTGACGTGTTTACTGCGCATTAGGGCTTCTCGAGTCGACGTTAAGAAGCTGGAGAAACAGGAGGCTAAGCTTAAGGTGCGTGGAACTACGGTGTCGTAGGAGATAGTTTCGTTAACATGAGGGTCAGGCCAAGATTGAGAAGAGAGCGCGTCGTGATCTCTATGAGGGCTCTAAGCTCCTTGATCAGCACCGGAAGCAGGTGGGCAGACTGCTTACTAGCGTAGTTTTTACGTTCATTGACGGTTCATAACAGCAAAACTATGAGGAGATGTTCATGAAGGTGAGGCGTGCAATGATTGTTATCAACCGTTTGCTGAGAATCTATCAGATCAACTCTCTCGATGCTGCTAATGCCGCTAAAAACAAGAGCAAGGACATTCACTTGCCATCCATTGATGTCAACTTTGGGTCAAACCGCATCCTGTGCGTTTCGATGTTGCTTAGCTTTAAGATTCAGATGGTCTGACTGTGTGCGATAGCTCCGGCGCCAGCCTTACTCTTGCATATGGCCGGCGGTATGGTCTTATTGGTCGCAACGGTGTCGGAAAGTCTACCCTCCTACGGCATGTCGCCTTCCGAGAGGTTCCCATTCCCGCACACATCACGATCTTGTTTGTCGAGCAGGAGGTACGCGAGCGCATAGTCCCCACTTCAGTCATACAGCCCCTGACGCGACCACCAGATTGTGGGAGACGACACCACGGCGCTGGACTCGGTGCTGAAAGCCGACGTCTGGCGGGACCATCTGCTCAAGGAGGAAGCGATGCTGAACGCGAAGCTCGGCGAGCTCGAGCAGGAGAACGACGAGAAGCGGTTCGACGACGCGCGCGAGGAGGCGCAGACGCGGCTTGCGGAGGTGCATGCCCGGTTGAGCGATATGGAGGCGGAGTCGGGGCCGTCGAGGGCGGCTGCGCTGCTTGCGGGTCTGGGATTCAGCGAGTCGGATCAGTCGAGGCCGACGAGGTCGTTTAGTGGTGGATGGAGGATGCGGTTGGCGTTGGCGCGGGCGCTGTTTGTCAAGGTAAGAGATTGAGGTGGGAGTGGTGGGTTGATTGATCTGAGTTTTTTATTTTATAGCCGGCTCTGCTTTTGCTTGACGAGCCTACTAACCACAGTGGGTTTATGCTTCGTCTCTCAGGAAGGTTTTAACTCAATTCCCTTCAGTCGATTTAAACGCTCTTGCTTGGCTCGAGGACTATCTGCAGACTTGGGAGGGAACTTTGCTTGTTGTGTAAGTGCGCTTTGCTTGGCAGAGGGCAATCACGCTGAGCTGCCTTCTTTCATCCAGCTCTCACGACCGAGCATTCTTGTAAGCTAGATCCCTTCTTATATCTACCTACCGCGCTAATTTTCCATGTGAAGGGATGCGGTGGCTACTGATATTATTCACCAGCACTCAGTGCGGTTAGATTACTACAAGGGGTGGGTTTCCAGGCTTTAATGTTGAAGGAACAGCTCACCTTACTCCAACTTAGTAACTTTACCCAGTTCTACTCCACTAAATCAGAGCGAGAACGAAACATGCGGAAGGAATACGAGACTCAGATGGATTACCGGAAACACCTCCAGGCGTACATTGATAGATGGAGGTATAACGCTAACCGGGGTACGTGGGCATTTGTATATTTAGGACCTTGCTTCGAGATGCTGATGAGTCATTATTGTTAGCTGCACAGGCTCAGAGTCGTATTAAGATTCTGGAGAAGTTGCCTGAGCTTGAGCCTCCTGAAGAGGAAGAGACGGAGACGTTCAAGTACGTGATCGTACTTCTTGTCTGTCCCTTACGTGCATTGACTTGGCCTGGTTAAGGTTCCCTGAAACCGAAAAGATATCGCCACCGCTTCTGCAGCTGAACGAGGTTACGTTTGGGTATACGCCGGAAAAGATCATTCTGAGAGGAACCAACATTGATGTTGGTCTGGAATCACGGATAGCGATTGTCGGTGCCAACGGTGCTGGTAAATCAACATTGTAAGATTGCATCATCATCGCTACAGGACCTTACGATTAGCTGACCTGTTACTGTGTAGGATCAAGCTCCTCACGGGCGAACTTAATCCTATGAGTGGCGAGCTGAATAGAAATGGAAGGCTGAGAATGTATGCTACGGCTCTTCGATCTCACACAAAGGCTCATGAACTCTTTTTAGTGGTTACTTTGCACAGCACCATGTCGACACGCTCCCAGCAGCCATGTCGCCTGTGCAGTTCCTCCAATCCAAGTTCCCGGGTAAGACGGAACAGGAGTACCGTGGCCACTTGGGCAATTTCCAGATTAGTGGTATGACTGGGTTGGTATACGTAACAGCTGTGTGTTCCTTTACTGATGGTGTCACAGTTTGCAGTTGATCGGAACGCTTTCTGGTGGTCAAAAGTCGCGTGTCGCGTTCGCGGCGCTGTCGTTGCAGAACCCGCATATCCTGCTTCTTGATGAGGTTTGTTAGGCGTGATCAACATGAGGGGCTTTTACTGATGGAAGCGATAGCCGACTAACCACTTGGATATTGAGGGTTTGGATGCGCTCATGGCTGCGCTTGCATCGTGGAATGGTGGTGTTATTATCATCTCTCACGACGAGAGATTCATTACTACTGTCGCGTCAGAGGTGAGTGTGGATAGCGTTGTGCTGTATAAACTGGTGTACTGAAACATGGGACATAGCTTTGGGTGTGCGCCGACGAGACAGTGAGTAAGTTCATGGGAGACGTGCAGAGCTACAAGGTATGTGTCCTTGAGCATTGCGTGTTGGTGTTCCTGGTGTCTTAACGTCCGTTTCATGTAGAGCTTGATCATCAACAATGCCAAGATGAGACCGTAGAGTTGAGGTATTTTTGTGTTATGTTCTGCTGTACATCCTATGTCCACTGTATGCTATGCATGTCTGCCCAGTGTATAGAGTTAGTGCTTTCCATGGCACGTCGATGTGCCTTTTGTGCGCATCAGGGGTTACTCCAAATGCGCGTAGGTTCAGGGAGGGACGTAAAATTGCTACTAGCCGAAGCTTGAGCCGAGTAGTCGGAGGAGGCGCGCAGGAGTTGCAGCTTCGACGGCGCACACCACCCCGGCCTCACCGTCCCTTGTGATATTTTGGCTTGACTCGCCCATACCCCTTTCTTACGCGTTCGTGCATGTTGGCACGCGTGGCTAAGGCACTTGCCACAACGTCCACGTTTTCGGCAAGAAGCAACACGCGTTTTCGTCATCACGTGCTAGCGAAGCGTATCTCGGTCGCGTCGTGCAACGCGTTCTTCCACGCTTCCGCCTCTCAACAAAGCAAGCCACTCACCTCAACACGGTCGCTCGCCACCATGAGCTCGTCAGAAGGAGAGAACTTCGACATCGACAACGTCTCTGGATCCGAATCGGACGGCTATGCCCCTGCTATCAAGAAGACGGTGAGTCCGGGTTTAGTGTGCCACACAGATGTGGGTACTTAATGCTGGACGCGATGTAGGCCAAGGCACCTGCGAAGAAGGCAACCAAGGCGGCTGCAGCTAAACCAGCAGCCAAGAAGGCCGCGCCAAAGAAGAAAGTACTTGTAGACAAAGACGATAACGCCGACGACAGTATAATGGTTAGTGACAGGGACTCTGCAGACGGGTCGTCACCAGCGAGGCCTGTGGCTGCACCACTGCGAAAGCAGAAGACTGCCTCGGAGACTTACACGAAGGTGCGTCACCGCTATCGCTAGTGCTGTATACATGATCTTATGCTCATGGATATTCGTAGTTGACGCAACTGGAGCACATCCTGAAGCGTCCGGATTCGTACATTGGAAGCGTCGAGAGTATCTCGCAGGCTATGTGGACTTGGGACTCCGAGAACAAGCGGCTGGTACATCGGGAGGTCAAGTATGTCCCTGGGTTCTTCAAGATTGTGGACGAAATCCTTGTCAATGCGGCGGACAACAAGGTGTGTGGACCTGCATATAGCCAGAGCTCTTCTGCTGACCTTGTATCACAAAGATCAACGACGCTACTATGGACACGATTAAAGTGAATATCGACGTCGAGGAGGGAACCATTAGTGTCCATAACAATGGGAAGGGCATTCCTATTGAGATGCACTCGAAGGAGAAGATGTACATTCCCGAGCTTATTTTCGGTCACCTCCTTTCCTCGTCGAACTATGATGATGACGAGAAGAAGCTTACCGGTGGTCGTAACGGTTTCGGTGCCAAGCTGGCGAACATCTACTCGCACGAGTTCACTATCGACACTGCGGACAAGAAAACGGGCCAAAAGTACAAGCAAACCTGGACGGACAACATGAGCAAGGTTGGCAAGGCGAAGATCACGAAGAACTCGCGAAACGAGGAGTACACCAAGGTCTCTTTCAAGCCCGACCTTGCAAGGTTCGGCATGGACTCTATCGACGACGATGCCCTTTCTCTCTTGAAACGGCGTGTCTACGACATGGCGGGAACGGTGAAGGACGTCAAGGTGTTCCTCAACGACGAGCGTCTGAAGGTCAAGAACTTCAAGCAGTACTGCGACATGTACCTGGAGTCTGCTACTACAGATGCTGCAGAAAACTCGGGTGGCGCGGCGCAGGTGAAGCCCACGATACTGTACGAGAAGATCAACGACCGCTGGGAGGTCGCGTTCGCCGTCTCGGAGGGCAGCTTCCAGCAGGTGTCGTTTGCAAACTCTATTGCGACGATCAAGGGCGGCACGCACGTTAACCTCATCGCGGACCAGCTCGCCAAGGCGCTCATTACGGATATCACGAAGAAGAATAAGGCGGCGTCGGTCAAGCCTGCGCAGATTAAGAATCACATGTGGATATTTGTGAACTCGTTGATTGAGAACCCGACGTTCGACAGTCAGACGAAGGAGACGCTGACGCTGCCGTCTTCCAAGTTTGGCTCGAGGCCACATCTGTCGGAGGAGTTTATGAAGAAGGGTATGTCTTAGTTGATTGTCTCCTTTCATGTTTCTGATTGGGGTTGTGTAGTCTCTAAGTCTGCCATCGTCGAGCATGTGCTGAACTGGGCCAAGTTCAAGGCAGACCAGCAGATTAAGAAGACGGATGGTACCAAGCGTAATAGGTGAGATCATGCCTTCAAAAATTTGTAAAGAAAATGTCGTGTGCTGATGGCATTTACAAGGCTGACTGGTCTTACCAAGTTGGCCGATGCCAACAACGCCGGTACGAGGAAGGCGGACGAATGCACACTCATCCTCACGGAAGGTGACTCCGCCAAGGCTTTGGCCGTCGCTGGGTTGGGTGTCGTCGGCCGCGACAACTTTGGCGTGTTCCCCCTTCGCGGAAAGCTTCTGAACGTACGCGAAGCCAAGCACGACCAGATCATGAAGAACGAAGAAATCCAGAACATCAAGAAGATTATGGGTTTGCAGCACAACAAGGAGTATTCGAACATCACCAGTCTTAGGTATGGCAAATTGATGATTATGGCGGATCAGGTTAGTATTTTTCCTTGTGGCTTGGGGATTGGGAAGCTGAATGGTGTTGGTTCGTGGACATTGTAGGATCATGACGGCTCTCATATCAAGGGACTTTTAATCAACTTTTTGGACCATTTCTACCCTTCGCTCCTCAAGATTCCGAACTTCCTGGTCGAGTTCGTGACTCCTATTGTTCGGGTGTCCAAAGGGAAACAGCGGAAGGACTTCTTCACCATCCCAGAGTATGAGCAATGGTTGGAAGACACGCCAGATGCTCACAAGTGGGACTCAAAGTACTTCAAGGTACGCAATTCGCTCGTAGCAAAGAAAAAAAAGTATTTTGACAGACTATGCGCGTAGGGTCTTGGTACTTCGAGTGACGCAGATGCCAGATACTACTTCGGCAACATGAGGAAGCACATGATTCCCTTCGCCGCAACTCAGGATGGTGACAGGGAGCTCATTGACCTCGCCTTCAGCAAGAAAAAGGCCGATGACCGAAAGGAGTGGCTTAGGCAGTTCAGGGTTTGTTTCGCAAAATTTGCTATGATTTTTCTATAATATGCTGATGACATGTCCAGCCTGGGACGTACTTGGACCACAACATAGACGAGATCCCCTACTCGGACTTCATTAACAGGGAACTTATCCTGTTCTCCATGGCGGATAACGTCCGTTCGATCCCTTCAATCGCTGATGGGCTCAAGCCTGGTCAGCGAAAGGTCATCTGGGGTTGCTTCAAGCGTAAGCTGAAGAAGGAAATCAAGGTGCGTACTCACAAAATTTCCACTTGAGCCGACTCTGAGCAGGCCACCGCGCTCTAGGTCGCCCAACTTGTCGGTTACATCTCCGAGGTGGCGGCATACCACCACGGCGAGCAGAGCTTGATGGCGACGATCGTCAACCTGGCGCAGGACTACGTGGGCAGCAACAACGTGAACCTGCTCATGCCCAACGGTCAGTTCGGTACGCGCGACCAGGGGGGCAAGGACCATGCGTCGGCGCGTTATATTTTCACGGAGCTGTCGCCGCTCACGCGCTCGCTGTTCAATCCCGCGGACGACCCGCTGTTGACGTACCTGAAGGAGGACAACGACTGGATCGAGCCTGAGTTTTATATGCCGACGATTCCGCTGGTGTTGGTTAATGGTGCGGATGGTATTGGGACTGGTGCGTGGTATTCCTATAGTGTTTCATTGCTGTGTTCTGAGCGAATGTGCGATAACAGGCTGGAGTACTACTATTCCGTGCTTCAACCCCGAAGACATCGTCGCTAACCTCCGGCGCTTGATGGTGGGTGAGGAGATGGTGCCGATGGCGCCGTGGTGGCGCGGGTTCAAGGGCGAGATCAAGAAGACGGGCGAGAACAAGTACGAGGTGACGGGCATCGCGCGCAAGGTAGACGACACGACGATCGAGATCACCGAGCTGCCGGTGTGGGAGTGGACGCAGAGCTTCAAGGCGAAGCTCGAGGCGATGATCGGCGACAAGGGCGAGGGCGACGTGAAGGACTACAAGGAGCACCACGATAATGTGAACGTGCACTTTGTGGTGACGATGTCGGCGAAGGGCATGGCCAAGGCGGAGGCGCAGGGCTTGGTGGAGTTCTTTAAGCTGAGCAAGCCGATGAGCACGACGAACATGATTTGCTTCAATTTTGAGGGCAAGATTGCGAAGTATAGGGCACCGGAGGAGATTGTCGAGGAGTTTTACCCGAAGCGGTTGGCGTACTACCAGAAGCGCAAGGTTCGTTTCGCATTTTTTTCTTGGATCAAAAAACCACCTTGGCTGACGGAGCTAATATTTGTTTTGTGGTACACTAGGACCACCTCGCGAGCGAGCTGCAGAACCAGTTCGAGAAGCTGTCGAACCAGGCGCGGTTCGTGCAGATGATCGTGGACAAGGAGCTGTCGGTGTCGAATAGGCGCAAGGAGGAGATCATCGCGGACCTGCGCAAGCACAACTTCCGGCCGTTCCCAAAGGTCGTCAAGGCAAAGGCGGCGGGCGAGTTCGAGGACGTGGTCGAGCAGCCGGACGAGGACGACGAGGTGGATAGGGCGGGGCATGTCACGTCGACGGACTATGATTATTTGCTGGGGATGGCGATTTATAGTTTGACGAAGGAGCGGGTGAGTGTCGGGTTTTGTGGGTTGGGGGATGAGACGTGCTTACGGTTTTCTTTCTGCAGATTCAGAAGCTGCTGCAGCAGGCAGGGGAGAAGGAGAAGGAGCTGCTTGCGCTGCTCGAGCGCACGCCGATTGGGATATGGAACGAGGACCTCGACGGGTTCCTCAAGGCGTGGGAGGTATGCGCGCAATTGTGGTTGGTATCGACAACGTGAAGACTGATTATTTTTGCTGTTCAGAATTCCTGCGAGGACTTTAGGAACAAGTCACTCCTCGACGCCAATGGCAAGCCTATCAAACGCAAGCAGACCAAGCTTCAGCACCGCAAGTCCGTCGGCGGGCGCAAGGGCTCGGAGGGCTCGGAGGACGAGTTCAAGCCTACGAAAGCAGGGGCTAAGAAGAAGGCTGCGGATTCCAAGCCAAAGTCTAAGCCCGTAGCCAGCTCGTCGAAATTGGAGAGCGACGATGACAAGCCTGTGGTCAAGAAAGCCCCTGCAGCGAGAAAAGCGCCGAAGAAAGAAGAGTCTGACAACGATATTTCGCTTGTCGCTGCACCGAAGCGGCATATGCAGGTGAACTCGGACTCGGACGATGATGCTGAGGTGGTTCCCGCCCCGAAGCGCGCTGCTGCGAAGAAGCCCGTTACGAAGGTTGATTCGGGCGACGAGGATGTTTCCATGGTGGTTGCTGCGCCGAAGCGGGCCGCTGCGAGGAAGCCTGCTATAAAGATTGACTCGGATGATGACGACGACGTGTCGATGGCACCACCACCACCTAAGAAGAAGCCGGTGACGGTCGATTCGGACTCGGAGATGGAGGCGCCGCCGTCCAAGGGGAAAGGCAAGGCGAAGGTGGATTCATCGTCTAAACGGAAGAGGTACGTGAATTTGCAGTGGTTTGGATATTGGCTCATACCTTTTCTACAGTCCTGATAGCGGCTCGGAGGGCAGCAAGCCTGCAAAGAAGAAACAGGCATCTGTGACGGACTTCTTCGGCAAAGGTGCCACACCATTGGAGGCGGCGGCGAAAAAGGCTGCTGCAAGAAAAGCATCCGGTAGTGCTCCAGCTAGTAAGCCCGCGCCGAAACCGAAAGCTGCACCCGCGAAAAAGAAGAAGGTTGTCGAGAGTGATGACGACGAGCTGGGTGGGTCAACTTCGCCGGTGCGTACGCCACCAAAACGGGCTGCGCGGGGAAAGACGAAGACGTACATCGAGATTGAGTCAGAGTCAGAGAACGAGGACGCGTCGATGTTTGTGGACGATGATGACTAGACTAGCTGTTTGCTAATTAACGATCTCTGTGCCTGCTGTCGTGTGTTTTCCTCCGCATGATTGTTCCAATGTCGTGTACTATTATCCGTGTTGATAAATTATTGTTCGGAAGCATTTTGCATTGTCTGAATTAGCACAGCCACGTGTTGTCAATAAGCTGGTGGTCTGTTCAGGCTCAAGTCTCCTTTGTGTTGACAAGACTCGACCAGACTCGAAATCTTTGTCGGTCGTCAGCCCCAGGCCAGCGCTCGACAAGAGACAGAGATCGAGAGGCTGTTGGAGACAACACCAGATACCCAGTGGACGGATTTTTCTTTTCTTTCTTATTAGACCCCACACGGTTGCAGTTCTCCCACTAGCGAAGGACGTCGCGACCCCAGCGACACGTATAATCATCAACGCCAACCATGGCCCAGCGCAATCCACTCCCGCGTTTGAGTATCCCCCCTCAAGGTCTCGCTCTCCAGCAGCCCATCGCGTACGAGGGGCCCATGTTCTCCCCAGGTCTTCCCACAGCAGTCCAGCAAAATTTCCACCCAGCCCCCTACATGTCCGCCCACCCCATGCAGACCCCAATGCAGAACTTTTTCAACGCCCAGCACGCACCGAACGCGCCCGGTCGACCCGCCTACGCAATGCACAGGACCCACCCCAGTCTCGCTGCCCACATGCCAATGGGCCAGATGCCCCCACCCAGCGCCGGGCCCATGACACCTGGCTTCCCTGGCGCTGCCTTCCCCGGACAGCCGCCATTCGGTGCGACGCCCTTGTTTGGGCGGAATAGGAGGCGCGGCCAGAGCGTCAGCATCGGTGGTCCGCCCAAGGCGCCTCTCGGTGGCCCCGGCCGGAAGCATTCTCCAAAGCCTCCGGTCGTCGTCCCCGCCCCCGTGGTCCAGCAGAAACAGAAGAAGATTCCTGTCAATCTGCCAAAGGAGACCGTCCCCGCATCGGAAGATGGTGAACCGTCGACGCGCGTAGAGTGGGCGCGTTATCCGTTGGTGAAGAGCGTGATGGAGACGGCGGTGGTCGAGCCGCCAGTGTTGACCTCGGCCGAGGTCTTCCCCACCGAAGACCACAGGCGTTCTATCCCAGATACTATCGACGTGTTTTTGCCTGGAAAGGTCAGTTGTCCATTGTTGTTTTCATTTTTGGCTGGGCCCTTAGTGTTCGGTTTAGCTTGCTTGGGAGACTATCAAGCGTAGAGAGATAGAAGAAAAGCTCGAGAAGCTAGGCGTTGAACGAGGGTCAGGCAGCGCAATACCCACTATCCATGCTCCTCGTGGGCGCGCGGCATCGGTGAGCGACAGTTCCTCCAATACTTCAGACGTAGAAACTCATCTGGGCCGCAAAGATATCGTCGCCCGCAGACCCATCATTGCTGTACTTCAAACTCAATAAGCTGCAGCAGTCGCGGGGCAATTCATCTTCAAACTCGCTTGCCTCCTCTCCCCAGCCGCCTGGTCAAGTGCCTAATGGCCTCTCACCCTCTCCAGGCGCTGGCGTACCTCCGCGCTTCCAACCTCGTAGCCACGGTCACAGCATGTCCCTGGCTCAGCCGTCAGCCTTCAGCCAGTCTCCTTCGTTTTACAATCCCACCGCTTCATTCAATCCATTCGGACCGAATGCTGTCCTGGGCTCTGATCAGATTGAGGGCGAGATCGATATACAGCAGCGTCTTGCGCCGATCGAGGGTATCCATGCGCCCCAGGGACGCGTTCCGTTCACGATGCCCTCGCTCGCGCCGCCGCCTCTTAGCCGAGGCAGCAGCCGACCCGACTTTGCTCGTGGGTTTGGTGCAGAAATTCCCGAAGAAGACGAGCAGCAGCTGGAGGATGACGACGAGGGCCAGGTCATTGAGATCCCAGCGCGGATTCCGACTCACCAGGATATCATCGTGACGACGGAGATGGACACGACCGCGATGGGCGATGGTGATATGACGAACGCCGAGGGGTTGACTGCTAATCAAGGGTTTATGGACGAGAGAACTGTTCTCGATGCTGCGCCCAACTTCGATCCGGAGGTCATTACCGAGTTTGGTGGCAGCGTTGAGGGCTTGACGCCTATGGCGCGGAGCAGGATTCACTCGAGACACGTATCGGGCTTGTCGAACGCGCTCTCTTTGCACTCTGTTGGTGGAGTTGTGAATGGGGTAGATGTCGAGTCGGAGATGGGCGATACAAGGAGTGCCGCTGGAGAGCCTGTTATCGATGAAGTTGTTGAACGCAGCATGGAGCACGACGATACTGTCGGAGAGGAGTGGACTGGTTCTGAGGATCACCGTACCGAGTTGTCGGATGATGAGGTACGTGGTATAGTTCAATTATATGTTTTTTTCTGATATCATTGCTCAGGAGAGCATTGGGGAGTGGTCGAATCCTTCTGATGAGGAGAGGGCACGACAAGAGCGCGTCCATCGCAGAATGCTGCGCCAGAGAAAGCGCGAAATCGAGAGGCCGAGGCGTCTTCCCAAGTTCCCTTCGCCACCCAGGGGCACGTTCGACTTGCCTGGTCCAAGGGACTATGAAATTGTTTCGAATCCCAGCGAGGATGGAATGACGCCTTGGCTCCCCGACTTCCCTGCCCGGCCATCGTCGACCTCGACTTCTGGTCGCCGCCCGCTTCCACCTCTTCCTCATTCTCGTGGAACGTCAGTCCAGCTGTCAGCACACGACCCTGCCTTGGCGCATTCGCGTGCCGGGTCGGAGGTTAAACCACAATCTCTCGAGATGACCAAACTTTCCGGTGCCCTATCGATGGGAGGTGGACTCAACCCCAACGCGAAGCCGTTCGTCTTTGGCGGTGCCCCCGCCAGCGCGGGCAACAGCCGCCAGGGCTCGCAGTCGTTCGCGCCGCCCGCCCCACCAGCTCCGCCCGCGATGGGCCACACACGTGTTTCGTCGTTCACGAAGCCGCTCAGCGCCACAGCCTCGGAGTTTAAGCCAACGGGCGCGCTCAACGCAGCTGCGGTCGAGTTCAAGCCTGCGGGCGCATTCACGTTCAAGCCGCCACCTGGGGTCCCGCAGATCTCGTTCCTCAAGTCGCCAGAGCCTTCGAGGCCTCTGCCTCTGCCACCCGCGCCGACTGTCAAGCCTTCTCCGGCCCGGGCCCAGCAGGGCCGGGAGAAGAGGCAGCGCAGGGTGTCTGCTGCGTCGCTCACCGATGTTACCGACGAGGAGGATGGGGACAGCGGCAAGGAGAATATGGCGTCGTTCCGCTTCCCCGCGCCGTCGACTGCGCACGAGTCGCCGCTTAGCATGCGCCGGTCTGCGCCGGCGTCGCCGAGGGAGCGTGCGTTGTTGGATGTGAGCATCGCGACCAGTGGTCACCGTGACGGCGGGCCGCTGCAGACGCTCACTATGCCGAGCTTGCGCGCCAACTTGCCGCTTGCGCCGCTGGACCATGACAACTTTGTGAGCGGTCTCGAGAAGGAGTTGTCTGGCGAAGAGGATGGTGGAGCAGAGGGCGACATGGAGGACATGATGGACGACATGGAGAACGACGAAAACGTGTTCCGCACAGGCTCGAGCACGAACATGAGCACGTTGCCGACGATCGTGCCTTCCAAGAGCAAACGGGCGCCTATTCCGCTAGACTTCAAGAACCCGAACCCAAGCAAGAGCAACACTGTGCCTGCGGGCCTGTTCAAGGCGCTCATGAGCGACGAGAAGACGCGCCGGACGGTGCGCTCGCGGCTCGACTCGCGCGATGTGCGCGATGTGTTTGAGTCGCATTCGCAGGCGCCGTCGTTGGACGATGCGATTATGCCGTCGATCTCGCACGCGCACAGTCGTCAGCAGCAGCGCTATGTCACGGATCCGCTCATGCGGGTGGCGTCGCCCGAGTCGGACGAGGAGGGGCTGTTCTTGCCGCCTTTCCCCCGCCGCTCGTCGTTGCCTACGCTCGGCAGCGTTGGGCACACGTCGGATCTGTCGAACGCGTCGATGGCGGTCAACCTTACCAAGCAGTTCGAGTACCATGCGCTGGAGCAGAAGCTGGAGGTTATGCTCGACGACCGGTTCCGCGCGTTCCAGCACGAGCTGCGCAAGTTGCGCTTGGCTGGGTCTCCTAGCGGCGGCGGTGTCAACCCTATTACGCCCGCTACGGAGGACGCGATTGCGGAGGTGGTGGGGCTGTTCCGCGCGCAGCTGCAAGAGTCCGCTGCGCGTGGGCTCGACGACAGTCAGATGGACGCGCGGGGCGAGCTCGATCTCGAGCTTATCAAGGATATTATTCAGCAGGGCCATGCGGACGCGCTCGAGCTTCTCCGTGGCGAGCTGCATAGTATTGTGCATCGTGTGGAGGCGCAGGGCCGGCACCCGGGGTCGGGCATTCTCGACGCGATGCCGATGCTTGAGCAGATGCATAATAGGCATTTGCAGGCGGTGCTCAGCCATATTGGCGCGCTCTCGAGCAAGATTGATAGCGGGTCGCCGTCGTCGATGGAGCAGCAGAGGCAGGCAGGGAGCTTATTCGCGGACCCGTACGAAAGGGATCTGTTCACGAAGGAGGTTGTCGATGCGATTTCGCCGATGCTGGCTGCGCTCCAGGCGGAGAAGGTGGATTACGATTTCCTCACGGAGCAGCTGAGCCAGGCGGTGAAGCCGAATCTGGCGCAGCTCATTGATCTCGCGGCGGACAAGCGGGAGACGGCGGGGCTTATTGTGGACAGCATTCTGCCGCTGCTGCCGAGTCTGTCGTCGCTGGACACGAGCGATCTCGTGACGAAGATTACCGCGGAAGTGCGTCGGGTTATTGCGCCGATTGATGCGCATGAGATCAAGGAGCAGGTGGCGGACCTTGTCGTTGAGCGGCTCGATTCGCGTCTTGCCGTTCGGGACCGGGCGTTCACTGTCGACGGTGTGGCGAGCAAGGTATCGGAGCACGTGGCGGATCTTGTGGGCTCGTTCTCGGATGTCAGTCCCAAGCTCGAGCGGCTGCTTACCGCGCAGGAGGCTCTTACGCTCAGAGGCGACTCGCTGGTCAGCGCGCAGGAGAATGCCACGAGCGCTGTCTCGGACCTCAACAGCCGGTTTGCGGACGTTGCGCGTGCCGTCGAAGCCCTGAGGGACGTGCAGCCCGCGGAACCCGTCAAGGACATGGCCGTCGTCGAATCTATGCAGCGCCTCCAGTCTGTCGTCGACTCCGTCCTCAACAGCCAGAACGCGGCGAGCGGCCGGGCGGCGGAGATTCTGGCTGCGCAGAAGGCGCTGCAGAGGGAGGTGGTGGAGCGGGCTAGTGCGAGCGCTGTGCCGGAGACGTTCACGGCGGCCGTGGGCGCGCTGCAGGCCGCGCAGGCGGAGTTCGCGATGTCGCGCGAGGCGTGGAAGCAGGAGGCGGAGGAGATTCGGAAGCTGAGGACGGCGAATGCGGATTTGCAGGTGCAGCTCGCCAAGGCGCGTGGCGCGCACGGCCAGATTCGCGTGGAGAAGGATATGATTGGGGAGAAGCTGAGGGGTGTGGAGCGCGAGCGCGAGAAGATGTTGGATGAGCTGGCGGACGCGCGCGAGGCGGAGAAGGCGCGGGCGGGTGAGGTTGCGGGTGGGCAGGAGAAGGCGCGCGAGTTGGAGGAGGCGCTGGCGAAGGCGCTGGAGAGGCTGAAGGCGTCTGATGTTGCTGCGCAGGCTAACCAGGAGAGAATGGCTGAGCTTGAGAGGGTGAACAAGGAGGCGGCTGCCGAGCAGGCTTTGATGAAGTCCAAGGTTTGTCATTTTGTGCTCGGGGCTGAGAATAAGGCTGATGCTGTTTTCGCCTAGGTGGATGAGCTTCACCTTCAGAATGTGCTCCTTACCCGAGAAAAAGAGGCTGCTGCCAAGTCTGTCGAAACCCTGCAGAACGAACGCGAGTCCTTACTTGCTCAGCAAAGCCACTGGGAGGAGCTCCACCGCGCCGCCGAACAGATACAGATGCTCACGACGCTCATCGGCCAGGCTGACACCGAGGAGCTCAATGATCTCCGTCGCGCCCGCGACAGCAGCAAGGCGCTGGAGACGGAGCACGCCGCGCTGCAGCGCAAATTCCGCGATCTCGAGCACAAGTTTGCGAACAATGAGAAGGTCGTTAATGCTGCGAGGCAGAACATGACTCAGGCGCAGCAGCGCTCGAGCGAGTGGGAACGCCGCGCAAAGGAGTACGAGGGGGACCTCGAGCGGACGAGGACGGAGCTTGATCAGATGGAGCAGACGTATACCCAGCTTGATGCGGATCATTCGTTGGCGAAGTTGCAGCTTGAAGAGAAGGATGCTGATGATCGGTTGGCAAAGGTCAGTGTACTGATGGTTCGGGATGTTCCTGCAGTCGCTTACCCAACGTTTCAGGATCGCGAGAGCAAGCTGAAGGACCAAGTCGCAGGCCTCGAGGCCCAAGTTGCCCAGCTACAAGCACAGCTTACCAAGGTTTCAGTCGTAGCCACGAACAGCAGAACCAAAGCGGCCCCCAATGGTGCCGCCCGCTACCCGAGCGTCAACTCGCGCCAGTCGCCGCCGCGCCCCGACTCGCGCGCGAGCACGGTGTACGGCTCGCGCGCTGGCACGCCCGTCGGACGCCCGGTGAGCACCATGAACGGCAGCAGCCGCGCGCCGTCGCGCGCCGACACGCCGCCGACGTCGGTGTGGGACTCGATGCACGCGCCCGGGGCGAGCATCGCGTCGAGCCAGTATGTGCCGTCGTCGGCCCAGCCGCACCAGCCGCAGGGGCGGTACCCGCACCAGAGCTTCGCGGCAGTGAATAGCCAGTATAGTGTGCCGGGGACGCCGAGGGCGACGGCGACGGCGCCGCATGCGAGGAGGCCGTATGGGGCTGCGTTTAGTCGGCCGCCGATTGCGAGTCCGACGCCGAGTAATGTATCGGCTACGCCGACGCAGGGCGACGATGGGTGGTGGTCGTAGTCGCTGGTGTGGTGTGGGTGATCTAGATTGATGTGGTGTTGCTGGATTTTTCTGCTTTGCTTTGTTGCTGAAGGGACGCTGTCTGCCTTCTGTGTGTCTGTCTCGGGCTTGTTCTTCCTCCCCTCCGTTATAGTCTCATTATATCTCCCCCGTGCGCAGAACGCGCGCGATTTACAGTGTTCCCGAATTTTAGTTTTTTTTTCTTGGTTTATCTGCACTTGCTCATTACTTACTTTTTGCTTACCTACTTACTTACCTACTGTGCCCCGGCCGTACACTAACCTGACATAACTCATTGGATAAGCCATTTCCTCCGTCCATATTCCATCAGCTAGCTATAGTTCGTCTTTGATTAAATCTCCGTCTCTTTATATACCCTCATTCGTCTGACCGTACTTACACTCTCATATGTCTATGCATCATCATCTACATTGATATTTCTGTGATCTAATTAATATGACCGTTTATAAAGTCCTCCTCGTACTCTTCTTCGTCCTCGTCCTCGTCAGACTCATCATCTGGCTCCTCATCGGAGTCTGACCTATTGAGCTCCTCGTCTATGTCAACCTCGATCTCCGGACCCATTTCCTTCTTCAGTCGCCTCTGTTCATCCACGTAGTGCATCATCGTCCACCGCGTCTCCCATTCTCCCGCCAATATCCGCTCACGCAGCCGCGCCAGAGCTTGCTCGTCGAACCGCTCTCGAAGCATTTGTCTATGCTCGTGCTTGAGACGGAGGACGAACATAGCGAAGTGATACGCCGAGAGTGGATTAGTGAGGTCGAATAAAACCCCGTTCTTCTCCGCTATCCTGATCCTCTGCAGCGCGAAGAAAAGTTGGCTGCTGACCATCACTAGAACAGATGCATGACTTGCCTGGAAGCCGCCGAAGACCTCCGCCCATGCGCACGTAATTACTGCACGGCAACCGTCCGTGACCAGGCTGAAGACAGGGACGCCCACAAGCCCAGTGGCGGCGAGGAACGCGGCACCGGCGGTAGCGCACATACGATGCTTATGCGATCCCACACCAGAGATTATCCTCTCGGGAGGAGTGTGGTTTATGAATAAGAGGGGCAGCTCGAGTGCATGAAACTCTGTCGAAGCACTTGCTTTGGGAGGAGCGGTGAGGCTATGCCTGGCATTCTTGCAAGAATCGACGGGAGGCAACGGTGGTGGGCGAGGGACCTCGGCACGAGCGATTATATTGCTATCCGGGAAGAAGTTCGATAGCCTACTAGGGACGGATGGAAAAGAAAGGTGCCCAAGATTGAGCGGCGCCTGCTCTGAATCCTGAGCAGCCATGCCGGCGGATGGGATATTATTCTGGAAGAGATCGTAGGCAGCCGCGAACGAGGGGTCTATACAAGCGTAATCACAGGCACCGTGATAGAAAGCGGTTCCACCCCGCGCTTGAAGAGTGCTCAGAGCCGGCTCCGTCGGGAAAAGACTAAATCGCCGACAGGCGTGCATGAATGCTGGAGATGCTCCGTCATTGACGAGGTATGGAATAACGATAGACACTGCCGTATCGCAGAATGACTCGACTGGGTCACTTTCGGCGACGGGCGCAATTTTGCTGAAGGTGTCGTCCATGAGACCTGGATGGATTTCCAGGAGCTCACTAGCAACGGCAGCTTGGCGGGCAGCGGAAGAGTAAGGACGTGCGATCGCTTGCATTGCCTTGCTTTGCTCCGAGCTATACATCGAAAATTGGCGAGCAGTGAATTGGATCCATTCGACCCATTCAGGTTCCTGGTGTCGATCGGTCATCGCACTTCGTGGGAGTGAGACAGGGGCTGAATGCCTAAGCAACGATGACAGGTGAGTGAATGTCGGAGAAGACAACGTCGAGTGCGTACCTGACTTTCACCGAGTTTCCATACATCAACCTTGATACGAGAGCATCCCAGATGTGGTCGGCTGCTACGGGAGCACCGAGGCGCATCGCATCATCGCGCTGTAGCTTTGCCTGTGTGCAGCTTGCTAGAACTTGCTCCAGGCTTTCCTGGAGATCTAAGCTGGCAGACTCGCACAACTTCGACCCGTCAGCCTGCGGATCTTCGGGCTGGGCTGGCAGCATGCTCAGAAGCTCACTCCTGGGAACTTGGAACTCGTCGCGAACGCTGGGCAAGGTTCTCTGTGACGACACTGCAACGTAAGCGATGATATTACAAATGATTTTGAGGGCAGGCAAGGCGCACCACGCACTCCCGCTCAAAGCGAGTGAGGGAAACATAAGCAGGATGGATGTGCATTGACTGTAGCAGCGGTAAAGTCGAGAGCAGGGTGGCAACACGGTTCCATAGCCATCGCCGCATCACTTGCCAAGGGGCAGCAGAATTCGAGGCACCTGACGCAACGCTAGCAACGAAGAAGATCTTAATCGCCAATGTCTTTAATTGGAGGGCAATGACGCACTCCCAGCATGACCATCGTTGGATAAGCTCTTCATCCTGTGGGCTCCTGGTGGCCAAGAACATCAGCGGGGAACCTTTTGCCGTAGAGCTATGAGACTTGCATAGCTGAATCACTTTTGTTAGGTTGAAAAGCTTCGGCGGGCGTTGACGCGTCCGGCCTAACGGAACAAAGCCGCACGATTAGATCAAAAGTAATAAACAAGGATATCCGAGAACCAACGTTTCTGCGCAGGCCGTCTGCACTGTCCACGTTGCAACAGATGCCATCTTGTCTGATACGGTATCAGGTTTGGCGAAGTCTAGACGCCAATGAGGCCCGATGCTCTCGCGGACAAAATGCAATGGTTTAGAAATGCGCGCCCCGCACTGTATAACCGTAGAAAGGCGTTGTATGAATGCCTGTCTCGCCCGTGGTATACTTAAATCAAAGCAGCCTGCGTGTGGGCTGTAAAGACGCGACTCGTTGCCAGCAATATGAACTGGAGGCTTGAAAAGGACGATTAAGCGAATAGAACTTTCAGATACCATCTAAGGCCAGAAAGGTTATCAACGCACCAGGTCGTCTTGAGCGTTCAGGGTTGGCCATGCAACCAGGATTCGGACCTCCGCAGATGTTGGAGAGATGCTTAGTCCGACGACTGGCTCATTTATGTTCCAGGCAAGGCGATTGTGTACGGCGCTTTTCAACAAAGAAACGATGGTAGAATCTTCTGCCACGCATAGAATCGGAACAGAAGGTGGGAAGCTGCGGTAATCTGCGAAGAGTGATAGCTGCGAATCCGGATCCTCTACCCCACTAGGCTCCCATGATGTCCGTATAGGCGTAGGCTCGACGTATGAATGACATGACTCTTCGGAGTTCACAAGTTCATACGTCGTCGGACCCTCAGCCTCTTTTGAGTCACCGTCGTTCAATACATCTGCCGATTGTTGTTCACCTTGAGGTGGGTACTAGCGATTACAATATGAGCAGAAGTAGGAGTCTCGGGAACGCTGCTCACCCCATCCCCCATCATTTCGCCATAACCACGCTCTAAAGGTCTTAGACTTCGAAGGCCACCTCTACGAGCCTTGAGCATCACCAGCATGGTGGCCGTTTGAGCGAGAGGGCTTAGCGAGTACACATTTGCGCGACTTGGTGTGCGGGGCCTGGAAGTTGCAAAGGATGCGTTTTCCCTATGTTGAACTCAGTTTTTACACATCAAGATGTGAAGGCATGGCTAACGCACAAAATGAAGGTATCCGACGTGTATGCTCGGGTAACCCGAACCACCAGTTCGTATGCAGCGATTGATTCAGGTATAACGGAGGTATTGCACATGTGAGGACCTTCAGAGATTGCTGATGAGGCTAGTTCATGCTACGCAAGTTAGACAGTGGAAGATACCATGGCCTGGAAGCAACGTTACCTGGCTTTCGGTACCCATAGCCGAGGAAAAGGATGCTTCAATTTCGGATGAACAGGAGATCCTAGCCTTAGCTTGATACATAAAACTGCTCCTCGGCTTTATTCCAGATGTGTCGGGGACGTTGGGGACGTCCAGTAGACAGCGATCTGCGCTTTCAAAGCCATTCCGACATGGACTGTGGCATACTCATGATAGATTGGAGTTTGATGAATGGCGGCGTGAGTGAACTTCGAAATCTGAAGCATAAGCACCGAGTTCGTCGAAGGTGTAGTCAAATAGCGGAAGACATGTCTCAATAATGTCTCAATGATGTCTGCATTTGCTTGGTTACTTACTTTTTGCTTACTTACTTACTTGCTTACTTACTGTGCCCCGCGCGGCCGTACACTAACCTGACATAACTCATTGGATAAGCCATTTCCTCCGTCCATATTCCATCAGCTAGCTATAGTTCGTCTTTGATTAAATCTCCGTCTCTTTATATACCCTCATTCGTCTGACCGTACTTACTTACACTCTCATCTATGCATCATCACCATCTACATCGATATATCTGTGATTTGATTAATATGACCATCTCATCAGCGGCATTCTCTGAAGAGATTCGAGCGAGCGAACGAGTAGTAGATGTAAGAAGACGTGTATTGCACGTCGTCGTATATTGGTAAATTTAAGCAAGAGGCTAGATATGTCGAATATCTGGGGTGTATTAATATACATGGTCGAAGAGCTCTGTGTGTGTAGATCGGAGCGCTGTCTTGTCTTGGCGATGGAGCGGGGGGTGGGGAGGGGTCTAAGGCCCAGGCTCGGTCCCGGTCCCGTGGGATGTGGGGAGGGGAGACGGGAGGGATGCGCGATGAGTGGTCTGAGTACGTCTATCAAGTTGGCGGGGGCGGCCATATCCAGGTGCGCACGGACTCGATGGACGCGTCGGATGAGTCGGTTGGGATTCTGTGAGGAGGTTATCCGCGTGTCAATCATTCATTTGGTTGAAAGGAGGGGAGAAGGGACGCACCGGAGCTTGGGCTCCCAGCGCCCGGCGCGCTGCTCGAAGAAGCGGGGCACGTATTGCTGCTCGCCCGACTCCTCGCGCTTGCGGCGGAGCTCGCGCTGCGCGTCCTCGACGGCGGACTTGGCCTCTGTCGCTGCGTCCATGTCTTTGCGCTCGATTGCCTCTGTCAGGTCTTGCCAGAGTCTGTGTGGGGTTTAGAGACGCGATGATCAAGGGAAGGGGAGGAAAGAAGGGAGGGCAGCGCACCTCCGCGACTCATACGGCTCCTGCTCCTCCTCCGGCTGCACCACCATCGGCGCGACATTCGCCCCGTCCTTGGGCACATCAAACAGCACGCGGCGCTGGCCCGTCCTTGCGCTCTTGAACTCCATCACGTGGTTCCACCGCCCGGACACCTCGCCGATGTCGTGGCTGGCGCGGCGCACGCGGCCCGCGAGGGCGTTGTACGTGCCGGAGAAGAAGCCCTTGGTCTTGAACTCGATGTCGGCGGTCATGCCGAGGCGCTCGTTGCGCGCCTGGCAGGTGTCGCCGAGCTCGAGGACCATTTTGCCGAAGAGGATGCCGCGGGCGTACATGTTTGGCATTGTGACGACGTATTCTGGGTGTGATAGATGAGATTATGGCTGTGGTTTTAGGAAGATGAGAGGGAGGGAAGGGGAAGGGACGCACGGCCGTCTTCGGGGACGTCGAGGAGCGTGATGCGGTTCTCGCCCTCCATCGTCGTGCTCACGCTGTTGCCGAGGAACTTGGACTTGGGGCGCAGCTCGCCGATGATCATGACGCGGTTCGCAGGGGAGATGTAGAAGAAGGCGGACACGGGCGGGTGGTGCGAGACTGTGTGTCGGTTGTTTCAGTAAGTCAGAGGGAGCGGGATTGAGCTGGAGGGAGGATGGTGCGCACCTTGCTCGGCGACGTAGAAGCCCTGTGTGCCGTTCGAGTAGTCGTATCGACAGCGGAAGAACTCGCCGAGGACGGGGTTGTATCTAGCGAGAGCGGCGATCGCGTCAAAGAACGATTGGAGTCTAAACGAGACGAGCTCACGGTTTCTTGACGCCCTTGGGCTTGATATGCCATCCGGCGAGATAGTACTGGAGCACGCGTATGAAGCGCTCTTCGGCATCGCGCTCGTTCTCCGATCTGACGAGGACCGTGAATATTGTGCATGCGATATAGAGAGATGGAGGCGCACCCGAAGATAAGATCTGGGTGGGACATAAAGTCCGTGATGCGCTCGAGCATGCTGCGGGGCTCGAGGACGAATGTCGGGAAGGTCACTTTGGAGAGGTCCATGCCCACCCTGTGCGTTCATAGATCCATAAATTCATGAAATTGAGAGAAAAATGGGAGCCGGCGGCAGGGTTGGGGGAGAGGATTGTGGTGTATTTTTAGCCCTTGCGCGCATGGAAAAAGAGACGCGTTGGGCGAGCGCACCTGAGCTGGGAGATGAGGGAGGTGATGATGGAGCCTTCTTGCTCGTCGCTGTAGTCGGTCGTGTTGTTAGTGTCTGTGTCATCTGTGGGATTTGGGGTGGGTTTGGGTAGGGCCCCGGAGGCCTGGGTGCGGGTGCGCATGAGGAGGCCCACCATTGCGGGTGGGTGTATATAATCTGATGTGTGGTGGGGCAGAGGGTAGAGAGAGAAAGAGGGCAGAGGTGGAGGGAGGAAATAGGGAGAGAGGGGGGGAGGGAGAGGGGACGTACAGGATGGATGTGTCATCTGGCTCAGTGTCCTCTGGGGCTCTGTCGTCCACGTTGTTGGATGTGCTGAGGCGTGCTTTGCGGATGTGTGAGCCTGCGTTGGAGAAGAGGCCCATCATCGTTGGTTAATATTGCTATAGTGGTGGCTGGAATAAGCAGAGATGGGTGGTGGACTGATGCTGTGTCGGTGCTCGTGTCACAGATCCGCGTGTTTCAGGAGATGCGGTGATCTGCGATGTCTGCTGCAATAATCTTGGACGAACGCGTTGTTTCTGTGTCAGAGCTAGAGGAGATGAGCGGGATGACGATGGACTGTCCCGACGTGGCCGGCTGCGGTGCGTCACTCATGTCCTCATTCAGTTACTCCAGTACTCCCAATCATAAACAACTCAACTTCATTTATCCTTAATAATCTGTAGTCGTGTTCCAAGGCTGTCCTCAGGCTACTCTAGCACAGTATATGACACTACGGAACTGATCTCCGACAGTAGTGGCTACACTACTCCCGCACTAACCCTCTAATCAAACACAATCTTAGTCGCCGTCCCCTTCACATCGTCCCTAAAGAACGCCCCGTACGCCCCGTGCGTCTTCTTCTTGATCGTCATCGGGAACTTGTCCGCGAGCAGGTCCGCCGCGTCGTCGAACCCGCCGTCCCGCAGCACGCGCGCGAGCTCCCCCGCCAGCGCCCGCTCGTGCGACGCCCCCGTGAAGAATGTGATCGATTTGCCAGTGCGGCCGCCGCGGCCTGGGGGGGTTGGGTCAGCATCATTATATGGGTGGCGAGTGAAGGAGGGAATGAGTGAAAGATCAAGGGGCGGAACTGCGAGGCCACTACGGGCGCGGTAACCCGAGCCGAGCCGGTGCGTCAGCGGCGTCTTCGTCATTTATGAGTAAGGAGGCGACGCGTGTGCGTTCGGTGAGGGCGGAGGAGATCTCCGATACGTCTTCAGGGCCACTCGGACACCAGGGCCCGAGCAAAACCAGCGAGCGACCCTCCATCCCCAAAGAAAGAAACTTCGAAAGAAAGAAGAACAGGCAACCAAACACTCACCCGTCCTCCCGATCCGATGGATATAATCCTCCAGCGTCAACGGAAACGTATAATTAATCACCGCGCCGACATTCGGAATATCCAGACCCCGCGCAGCGACGTCGGTCGCGACGAGCAGCCCGGTCTCGCCGGTCTTGAATTTATCGAGCGCGTCCTGCCGCGCGGACTGCGACATGTCGCCGTGCAAGGCGCCGACGGTGTACCCCGCGCGGCGGAGACAGGATTCAACGCGCGGGGCTTCCTTTTTGTACAGGGCGAAGACGAGGACGCGCGAGTCGGAGGAGTCTTTGGTGAGCGTTTTTTTGTGCGAGAGGGATTTGAGGGTGGTGAGGAGGCGGGCGCTGCAAGCGTTAGGTTGTTCGTTCGTTTGTTCGTTAGTGTGAGTGAGTGGAGGGGATGGGGGAGGGAGGGGACGTACTCCTTTTCGCGCTCGTTGTCGAATACTTGGAGCGACTGCTCGACGCGGCTGTTGGCGGTGAGGTCGTCGCTGCCTACGGTCACGCGCACGGGGTTGCGCTGGAAGGTGCTTGCGAGGCGGCGCACGGCTTCTGGCCAGGTGGCGCTGACTGTATGCGCGTTAGCGTGTGTGAGGAAGATGAAGAGGGTGCGCGTACACATCATGGTCTGCCGCTCGGCGCCCGGCGCGCACTTGGAGATGATGTTGCGGATGTCGTTCTCGAACCCCTTGTCGAGCATGCGGTCTGCTTCGTCCAGAACGAGATATCTTACTCTACAGTTACATACGCCATGTCACAATCAAAGGAGTGATGCGGATGGGAGAGGCGAACGCACCCGCTCAGATCACACGCCCCGTCGTTCGCCAGATCCAGAATGCGCCCGGGCGTGCCACACACGATGCGCGCCGCGCGCCCGTCCTTGGAGCGGCCGCTCGAGAGCGCGGCGACCTGCGCGTCCTTGGACACACCGCCGTACACGGCGATGCTCGCGATACCGAGCGAGGCACCGAGCGCGTCCAGCGCGTCGTGCGTCTGCAGCGCGAGCTCGCGCGTCGGCGCGACGACGAGGACCGCCGCCGCCGCTGACGATTTTTTGGATTTTTTATAAGCGGTTTTTTCGGTGGGTGCGCCGCCCAGAGAGCCGCGCGCGAGGTGTGTGAGCGCGGGGATGCCGAATGCGAGGGTTTTGCCGGAGCCGGTTTCGGCGATGCCAACGACGTCGGAGCCGCGGAGGCCTGGGGGCCATGTGCATGCCTGGATGGGTGTTGGGTCGGTGAATTTGGCAAAGGCGGGGCGGAGGGAGGCGGGGATGGCGAGTTGTGCGAAGGCGGTGATGGGGTGTACGGGCGGGGTGCCGTCGGGGACGTGGATGGTGATGTTGTGGGTTGTGAGGAAGGCGGCGGAGGCGGCGGGGGTGCTGGGGGGTGCTTGGGGTGCGAAGTCGTTGGGGGAGGAGGAGGTGGTTATGGGCGTCTGTTCTGTAGCGGATTCGGAGGGCGCGGAGGATTTGTCTTTTTTCTTCTTGTGCTTCTTGCGCGGCGAGGTGTTGTCGCCTTCCTCCTGCGGGCGTTTATCAAGAACAGCACCGTTAACAGTTTCGCCATCTACAGCGCTAGCATCGGCATCGCGCTTGCGCTTGCGGTCCTTTTTATTGGACTCGCGGGCGTCTGTCACTACGAGAGCAGGGTCAGAGATAGGGCCAAGATTGTGGGAGCGCCACAAAATGGGCCGTGCTGATATCAAGGTACGCACTGGCAGCGTCTTCAGTCTCGTTCTGAGCCTCTTGCTCTTTGCGCTTTTTCTTTTCCTCCTTGCGCTTTCGCTTTTCTTCCTTGCGTTTAGCTGTCTTGACGTGTCTCGGTGAGCAGCATACACTCGATGCGACTACACGCACCCTTGAGCGCTTCCTCGTCCACCTCCGTCTCTACAGTCTCCTCGACGACATCCCTGGCCTTTTTCGCCTTTTTCTGCACCGAATCCGTGTCTCTGGACATGCTGCTTTTCTGGCGGGAGGCAAAGGGGGGTGAACTGATTCCGGTGTCCGATCAAGGGAGCGTGTGAGGACATTCCCGATTAGGCAGGAGAGGGAGAGAGAAAGCAACCTGGCCCCTCCCGAGTCTCTTCCCGCTTCCCCCCCTCCCCGCACACCTTCCTACCCCCCCGCGTCCCCACTTTTTTCTCCGTTTTTTACTACAATTACACCTGGGGGCGCTGTATTATTGCCTCAGACGCAGCGACCGGGGGACCCAGCTACCGCGGAGAAGCACGACCGCCGCTGTACGCGTGCAGGTAAACTTTCAGGGGAGGGAAACAGAACGAGCGGACACGGATACGGACGCGTGGTGTGTGAGAAGAGAGAGGTTAGAGAGATATGGCGTCTGATGGGGCGCCTGCGCATGTCACGACGCGTTTGGGGTGGAGGCGCGAGATGGGGCAGGGACCGGCCAGCAGCAGCAGCAGCAGCAGCGGTGCCAGCGAGGAATACAGTCAGCCTGCGAGAGGCAGAGGTAGGGGGCGAGGAAGAGGGAGAGGCAGGGCGAGGGGGAGGGGGAGGGGTGGGAGGGGTATGGCGAGGGTGGCCAAGACGAGTTTGGCGGCGCCGGCGTATGCGGACCCCGGGCTGGACGAGGACGCGGACACGGATGTAGATGTAGTTGGGGGTGAAGGCGCGCACGAGGGCGCCCCGAGTGCGTCGCCTCAGCGCGCGCGCCAGGTCGAGGACGCGGACGTGGAGATGAGGCCGATGGTTGTGCCTGCTGACCACCAGGTGCAGGTTATACACGCTCCTGCGCCGGCGAGTGCGGATCTGGCTGCACAGGAACAGGCCCAAGTACCAGGACAGGTAGCCGACGACACTGACGCGGCCTCTGCGGCGGCGGGCGAGGTGGCGGCGGCGCTGGATGGCGCGGACGGCGCGCGCGCGGGAACGAGCGCGGAGACGGAGACGGAACGCGGCGCGGACGGACCTGGCCATGGGAACGGCGTCGCAGAAGAAGATGCAGCTGGGAACGCCGCCGACGCGCGTGCGCGCCCAACCGCAAGCGTGCCTCCTGGGGCCTCAAGCGGCGCCGCCGGCCCAGCGCGCCCCATGAAGCGCGGCAAGAAGGTCGCGAAGCCGCTCGAAAGTATCTTTGCGGGCGCGAAGCCGCGCCAGCTGTTCAAGTACCAGCCGAAGCCGTGGCTCAGGAAGGGCGGCGCTGCGTTTAGGCTTGGGCAGGGCGAGAGCGCGAGCGCGATGCCTGCTCTCGGCGGCGGCGGCGACGCCAGCGTTGAGGTGGGCGCGGGCGCGGGCGCTGACACGAGTATCAGTGCGTATCCGGTGAGGGGCGGGCGCGGGCGCGGGCGGGGCGCGAGTGCAAGTCTTAGCGCGCGCTTTGCGTCGCGCGGGCGTGGTCGTGGGCGCGGGCGCGGGCACGGCGGTGTCAGTACTGGCCCAAGTATCAGCGCGCGCCCCAGCGACGACACTGCCGTGGACTCGGACACAGACGAGGACTCAGACGCGATCGCGCGCCGGCCGACGCGCAGCACCGCGACGGCGGAGTTGCCGCTCAGCCCGAGTGGACGGCTGCTGTATCCGTCAGTCCACAACAAGAAGGTGAGCTGCCGTTGCGTGGCGCATGTTTCTGTGCTGTGGTGATCGAAATGCGGGTGGCTGATATTTGTATGTCTGTAGAGCGCTGTATCCGAGGCGGGACCGTCTACGGCGAGGTCTACTGTTACGCCTGCGCGTGCGCCCGAGTCTCAGCTCGACGAGGATCTTGAGGGACGTCAGCCGGAGTTCGAGGCAGAACACGACCCGGGCCAGGCGGCAGATGAAGACGAGGAAGTAGACCCCGCTGCCGCGCCCGCGCGCCGCCGGTGGGGCCGTCGCTCGGCGGCGCAGATCAGGGAGGACATGGACAATGCGGGGATCGTGCGTCGGCGGTCGTCGAGGTTCTTGCGCGCGGAGGCTGAGGCACAGGCGGAGGCGGAGGCGGAGGCGGATGCTGAGGCGCAGGAGCCTGCTCGCAAGCGGCGCGCGCGGTCAAAGCCCGGGCGCGAGCCTGAACCCGAGCCACCGGAGGTCGAAACAGAGGACGAAGAAGACGAAGAAGATGAGGAGGGCGAGGAAGAGGACGAGGACGAGGACGAGGACGAGGAAGAGCGCCCTGTTACGCCGCCTCCGTCGTCGGCGTCGGCGTTTGTTCTCGAGCCTGCGCGGACGCCTATGTCGCCCGTGAGGCGATACGGCAAGCGCGAGCGGCGGCCGAAGGAGAAGTACCCGCTGACGATGAGCGAGAGGGCGGCAGCGAGGGGTGATCGTAAGGGTGGGCGGCGGGGGCCGTCGCCTGAGGTGGACGAGGAGATGGGTGATGGGGAGGAGAGGGGGGCGGAGGAACGGGAAGAGGACGAGGAAGAGCGGGAGAGGCGCGCGGCGAGTCCGGAGAATGTGGAGGGTGTGCCAGAGGACGTGGACGCGCCGGCGGAGCAGGTCGAGAGCCTTGTGGGTCCTATACGCACGGCGCAGGGGCCGGTGCCGGGCAGGAGGGCGAGGATGATGCGGCGGAAGGGCACGCCGAAGGAGCCGAGGGTGCAGGCGCCGGTGAAGGCGGCGAGGGGGGTGAGTATGCGGGTGGGCGGGTATGTGGGTTTGGGTTGGGAGGAGGAGGAGCGGGAGGATCAGGAGGAGGAGGAAGAGCGGGAGATGGTGGCAGAGGAGCAGGAGGAAGAGCAGGAGGAGGTGCGCGCAGAGAGAGCGACGAGTCGTGAGCCGACGCAGGGCCTTGACGATGCGCCGCGCGTGACGCCTGTGGACGAGGAGGACCGAGCGCAGGGACAAGAGCAGGAGCGCCGTGCCGCTGTGGTTGTTGAAGAACAGGACCAGGACCAGGACCAGGACCGGAGACAAGAACAAGAACAGGCAGATGCAGAGGCGGTTGGACCTTTGTTTGCTCCTGCTGGAACTGGAAGGAGCGCGGGGGCTGGGACTGCATATGAACCGCTCGTGGACTACGCTTCGTCAAGTTCTCCCATGATCGCACCACGAAGTGACGCGGACGCGGACGCGTCGATGCTCGTTAACGCGCCTGCACTTGCGCCAAAGCCCGCACCTGTACTCGAAGACGCGATGGACGCGGTGGACGGTGAACGCGAACGCGCTTCGGAAGCTGGGCGAGGCTCCGAGACATTGTTGGAGCCGAGTGAGACATTGGTTGAGCTCGGTTCTGATACCGTTTTGGAGTTGCCGCGCGATGTTGATGCGCAGCTGGAGCCGGAGTCTGCCACTGAGGCTGCTGAAGCCCTCGTTGAGCCCATCGAGTCGACGGTTTCCGAGCTGCCGCAGGATGTTGAGGACGCGCGACCTGCGTCTGCCGCCGATGTCCCCATGGACGCGTCGATACTTCTTCCTACAGAGCCACCTTTAGCACCCATCGAACTCACTGCAGAAACCCCATCCTCCCCCACACCCGAACCACTCCAGAACGTCGAGGAACAACTGGAAGACGCGCAGCCCGTGTCTGTCACCGATGCCACCGCGGACGCGTCAACTTCTGTGGACCCTGGATCACCCGCAGCTCCCACCGAGATCATTGAAGAATCCTCCTCCACATCCGAGCCACTACAAGGCGTTGAAGAACCGCTGGAAGATGCGCAGCCCGCGCATGCCACCGATGCCACCGCGGACGCGTCGACTCCTGTGGACCCTGGATCACCCATAGCACCCACTGAGATCATCGAAGAGCCTTCCTCACCTCCTAAACCTTTCTCTGCTCTGGAGCCATCGCAAAGTGCTGAAGACGTCGAAGAGTCGTTTGAAGACGCGCGGTCTGCGCCAGCTGCTGATGCCACTGTGGACGCACCGAGGCCGGTACACGCTGAGCCACTTGCGGTACCCTCTTCGGCGGCGGACGAGTTCTCAAATGATCAGGCCGTTGATGTCCTCATGGCACTTCTGGGGAACGCGCAGTCTCTGGGGAAGGGCATGGTGGAGGACGTGTCGATGTTGACGCCAGAGGAAGAAGAGGGACGCGCTATGTCATCTGCTTCTGTTGAACAGGTTGTGGTGCCTGCGTCTCCTTCTGCGACGTCTGAGCGGGTTGAGGATGCTGAAGAGACTGAAGCGCCGGCACCGGTTGACGAGTCTACTTTATCATTACCTGCGGCGGCCCCCGTTGGATCGGTGACGGAGCAACCAGCACTGGAGCAGGAACAGGAGCAGGAAGACGAGCAGCTCGAAGACATCGACGCTGAAGCCGAACTCGATCCCGAACTCGAAGTCGCCCTTGACGACGACTCGGAAGACGGTGCGCCTACTCTCTTCCAGCGCATCTGGTTTGAGCACCCGTCGCCTGCGGAAGAGCTGGGGCCTTCGCCTCGAAGCTTGGCAGAGCGACTGTCCGATGTGCCAGAGGATGTCGCTCACGCTCACGCGCAGCCAGCGGTTGAGTCCAATTCAGCCTCCCCCATTACGAAGTCGGCCGTGCGACCAGAGCCTCTGGAAGACGGCGAGCTTCTCGAGGATGGCGAGATAGATCCCGACGCGGAGGACGGGGGCGAGGGCGCGGAGGCGATGGACGACGAGTCGGCCGCGCCTTCTCCCGGACAATCGTTTGCGGAGTCGCTTGCTGCTGAGTCTCGGATGCTGGCGAAGATTGTGGAGTCGCGGAAGTACGAGCGGCGGGCGGCCGAAGAGACTCAGCACTTGGCGGAGCTTTTGGAGCGGAGGGGCCCTACGCTTGTCAATGGTCTTTCATCGCTTGGGGAGCAGAGGGAGGTTGAGGGGGGTGCTCAGTCATTGAATGTGAGTGCCCGATTATTTGAAGGAACGGTTTGTGTATTAACGGGGATTATTTAGCCTTCTACCACCCAGCCCACTCCTGAAGATACTGAGCGAGCTCGGCAACCAACACTCGAGGACAGAGAAGTATCTTTGTCACCAAAGGTAAGGCATATATCTACTTTGATCTTGGAAAAACATAATTATTCATTGGTAACTCGCAGCTGACTCCTGACATCGTCCAGCACACTCTCCAAGACGCTCGGCCATCTCTTGACAGCGCGCGGTCTTTGCCCAACGGCGTCTATACATCGTTTGATTACCCCCACTCACCACCCCGGCATGTCCGACCCACGCGTGAAAGCCTTCAGCCCCCCGAGGATATTCACTCACTGTCCGCGCGCGGTTACTTCTCGCCAGAGGATATGCGCTCGCTACACCACGACGTTCCGTCTACGTTCCAAGGCACCCAGCTAGTGCTCGAGGACCTGCAGCCATTACCCGAGGATATCCGTTTGTCGCTCGAGCCTCGCCAGGATTACCAGTCATCACTTCATGAGGTCTCCCTGGAGCATCAACAGCTACACCTGCAGGACGGACCCGGTACAGGGGACGATTGGGTGCCGCCGGACGCTGAGTCTCTTGTGGGCCTCTTTTTGGCTGGTCTCGAACCGATGGCTGGGCTACCAGAGCCAGGGCGTCTGGCGGTCGAGGAGACGCTACAGTACCGGTCTGTGCCTACTGCAGAGGCTCTAGCGGAGCCCTCGTCAACGACGTCTGAAACGCTCAAGGACGCCGATGAGCCTCTTCCGTCGGAGGACGCGCCATCGGCTTCTGAGGACGCGGCGTACGATAACGACATGACGAACGACACGACGCCTCGCGCGCAGTCGCCTGTGGAGTCTGTCGCGTTGAAGCCTGTCGAAGTTATCGTGGAGCACGCCGTGGAAGATGACGAGCTGGCCCAGGATGATCAGACTGTGGTGACCCACGCTCTGCACCCCTCCACTCTGGTCGAGTCTCTTGTTGAGCCTGTCCCAGCCGAGCCTAGGACGCCCAAGCAGGTTACTAGGTCTTTGGAGGGCACGACGCCGACTCCGAAAGCGCATGTGCACCGACCCGACCTGATGCGGCCTGAGCATAGGATACAGAGGGTAAGCGAGTGGTTTGGCAGGATGGGCTCTCAGCGCGAGCTAGAGGACGAGGAGGACGCGGTGGATTATGAGCCGCCGACGCCGCCGCCTCGGATTGCTAATGCCTCAGAGCTATCACGAAGACCGCCGTCGCCGCTTGCAGAAAGTGGGGAGAAAGATGAGGATGAGGATGAAGATGAAGATGAAGATGCGGAGGGGGAAGAGGAGGAGGACGAAGAGGATGAAGACGCGGAGGGGGAGTATGAGGACGAAGAAGACGAAGAAGATGAGGAAGATGAGGAAGACTTGGAGACGGAGCAACCTTTCCCTTCTCCTGCGTTCGAAGAGCTGCCACTAGACGGAGAGACGTTCCGGTTTTCCCCAGGGCTGGATGCATCGCCGATTCCAACGATCCGGATTTTATCTCCATCGCCTTCACCATCGGCTGTTGCAGAGCTCGACGATGCCTTTGATAGCGGCGAGTTCTTGTACGAGGAGCCCACAATCGAGGGAGAGCCTTTTGCGCCTTGGCAACTTGACAAGTTGCAGCGGCAGCGTGGTGACCTGGAAGAGGACGAGATCTCGCTGGACTACCAGTCGCCACCTCCGGATTCACCGCCACACGTGGCGGAGGAGGAGGCATGGGCGCCGCCGCATGTGTTGAGTTGGCGGCAGCGTTGGGAGGTTGAGGACGACGAGGTGGACTACGAGCCGTCCTCACCTCCAGAGTCCATCGCGGATCGTACCTGGGATGAGCCGGATGCGCTGGACTGGCAAGGGCCCCTTTCGGAGCCAGAGACGACTCCGAGGGCTCGGCATGTGCCATTGGGTGACGAACCGGCGTCTGCTCAGCCTTTGCAGGTAAACTTACCATCCGATTCTTTGTAGTGAACGCGTGCTAACCGTACACCAGCTACGTTTGGATGCCTCACGACTGTTCGATGAAGTATCGGTGGATCGTCGTGCACCCGCCCTTGAAGCCTCGCCGACACATCCTGGGGCGGTTATCTACGTGACGCCTGGACGTTCCGATTTGGAAAAGGATGTTTCAGAGACGCTCCGGCTCGGGGACGTGTTCGTAATGGGCCGCGCAGCTCCTACTTCACAACAGCCACCTACGGGATCAGTCTCACAGGATGGGCAGCCGGCACCAGCCAACGAGACTGTTCGGGCTACGACTGCGGGCTCACCCGCTCGAGCTGTCGAGGTCCCCGTCAAGAGGAAGCCTGGACGGCCGAAGAAGAAGAGAGATCCTCCCGAGGGCGGGGAACCCGGCACTTCAGCGTCCATCGTTGGACCTACTCCGGCGAAACCTGGCAGGAAGAAGAAGGTCGTATCGGTGGAACTTCCCAGCGATTTGCAGGTGGTCAATGTCACTGTGTCAGAATATGCGTCGGCACGGTCTACAGATGTCGTCCCCGACTCTACGCGCGCGAAGCCTGCCAAGCGCAAGAGGGCTAGCGATTTCATGGAAAACTCAGAACGCGAGTCGCCTTTGTACTCGGAGTCGGACGCTGTCGGTCCTTCACGAGCGCAACCTGGCAAACGTAAGAAGGTGAGGGAGCCTGCGGAGGAGACTCGGGAGCAGCCGTCACATCTAGTCAACGGGGCCGCAGCAGCGGCCGTCAATGGGCAGGTGCCGACACCTAGCGCAGATTCACCTGCTGTACCTGTCAAGCGAAAACCCGGGCGACCCAAGAAGGTTGTGCCACCAGTCGAGAACGGCCAGGTCCCTGTTGCGCCGCCAGCTCCCCAGCCAGCTTCAGTCCCTCAGCCAGTTGCAGGACCATCGGCAGAGCCCGTAGAACCAGCTCGTCGGAAACGCGGTAGACCGAAGAAGATCAGGCCGCCTGAGGAGGGTGAGGAGGCAGCTCCGGAAATTGGTGTCGCTGCCCCCGTACCAGTACCCATACCCGCATCAACGCCAGCACCAGCTCCTACGCCCGCTTCTACTCAATCGTCCATTCAGCCATCTGCCGAGCAGCCTGTCAAACGAAAGCCTGGGCGGCCTAAGAAGGTCGTTCCGCCACCAGAAAACGGCCTACTGGTCACTAATGGGACCACAGTGGTTGCTCCGATACCTACGCCTGCATCGATACCTCCACCCGGGATTCTCCCCACGCTAGCTCCAGAGGAGGTCATACTCGATGACGCATATGAAGAGCCGCCGTTGTATTCTTTATTACCAAAACGCAAACGCGGACGTGTCGCAGAGGACGACCTCGACTACACCGATGGTCCGCCCTCCAAGGCGCGGAAAATCGGACGAGGCGGTGGGCGGGGTGGCGGTCGAGGGCGGGGCAGCGGACGGTCGAGCAAGAGTAGCTCGCGGACGTCGTCGCTTGTGCCCGATTATATTGATCTCGCGCTGGGCGTCGAGCTTGGTCTCGTGGCTCCTGATGCGGACGATGTCCACTTTGAGGAGCACATTTACCGGAGCAGTGCATCGAGAGGCGTGTCTGAGCACCGGGGTGGACCTTCCCCATTGCCCGGATCTGCCGTTACGGAGAAGCGGCAGTGGTGGACGGACGATGACGGCTCGCCGGGTGAGGATCTGGAGAGCTCGGCAGAGACGGTGAAGAAGTTGCTGCGGACCTACAAAAGTTGTGAGTCAAGTGTTTTACTTGGGGTCATGACATTGTTACTGATGTGTATCTTTTCTCTTTCGAAGATTTCTCGAATCCAGATGACCAATCGGACACGACATTTGAGTGGAGTTTGGATGATCCTCCAACTGTTGAGCTAGAATATCCCAACTCCAACGCCTGTGAAACGTACGTTGCGCCTTTGTTTGCTCTGCTCAAATCTGACTTCCGAAAAGCTTCATGCTACTCGCCCCTAAGGACAAGGATCACTACAACCCTATCCTGTGCCTCGAACAGTCACTCCATGTTATTTACGAATGTGAGTCAATCATTGACGCCCTTCGGTCTCTTCGCTGACATAGGTGCTAGGCTATTTGACCCCTTCACAACGCGACGTTCTTGGCACAATTCCCTTCGAATGCCGGAGCGATCCCGAAGAGTCACCACCATCCTCTCCGCCCCCACTCTCCCCACCTGCTCCATTCTCATCATCCGCGGTCTCGCCAGATTCGCCCCGCAGTGTCTGTTCTACGTTCTCTCTCGACGGTGCACCAGCACGAATACGGGGTGCCGGCGAGTCCGAGCCCGAGCAGGCCTATTTCCATAGCTTAAACCCAACAGGGCGAAATTACTTATCCGAGTTGGGTCGGGCTCTCAAAAAGGGCCACGGTCCCCAGTTCATAAAGGCGATGGTCGAGATCAATCGAATCCTTCGCGCGCTCAAGTACCCGCCATTGCCTGCGGACCCCTTCGCTGAGGGTGGTGGAAACGTCCTTACGCGCAACATTCGGGAAGCGGCTCGGCAGTTCAAAAAGCAAAGAGGCCGAACGACCACTGCGGATGGGGAAAAGCCAAAAGCGCCGATGGAGTGGGGGGAGGGCTGCGGGATCCCCAGCAAGGTGAGCCTGCGCATCCTGGAGGAGACATACCAGCGGTGCGTCGGGCCTCACGTCAACAAGCTCAACCGGTCGTACGATCCGTTCTCGTCGTCGGTGTACGGCGAGCTGATGCCATCCTTCACGACGGATATCATTCGGGAGACGCGTCTGCGCCCGTCGAGCCTGTTCCTGGATCTTGGGAGTGGGGTAGGCAATGTGGTCCTGCAGGCGGCGCTTCAGGTCGGTTGCCGGGCGTACGGGATCGAGAAGATGGCAGCACCCTCTGCGTGTGCACGGAACCAGCTCGCGCAGGTCCAGAAGAGGTGCAGGATGTGGGGGGTGAGCATGGGAGAGGTGGAGCTGGAAGAGGGGGATATGCTGGCGAGTGCGCGGGTGACGGATTTGCTACCCAAGGCGGATGTGGTGTTGGTGAACAACAAGGTGTTTGCTCAGTCTCGTAAGCGTTTGAGCAGTTTCATTTGCATGCCGAAAACTCACATGGGGATATACAGTCAACGAGGCGCTCAGACCTAAGTTCCTCGATCTCAAAGAGGGTGCGATAGTCGTGTCGCTGACGCCATTTGTTCCGGTTAACGCACGCATAACTGAGCGTAATGTACGCGCTTTCTTCTTTTTATAATGTTCTTGTTGCTGATTTATCGTACAGGTGGACGACATCTCAGCGATCTTCGACGTTCGCGAGCGACCATACCATTCGGGAAGCGTATCATGGGGCAGCGGCAGCGGATCGTACTACATCCACACGGTCGACCGAGAGGGCTACGCAGGGATTCGACAGCGCTTCGAGAACTTCCGTGCACGACGGTCAGGTTCACGACACAGTTAGGCTTGAGGACTCATACTTATATTTGTTGTGCTTTCAACGTTTCAACACACCACCACAACCACTTTTTATTGGCATCTTTTCTTATTTTCCTCTGCTTGTCTTTTCTGTTTTCTCCGCTTTCCCTGCTTTCTTGCATACTACGAACAGCTTATAAAGTAGGATTCATGGTGCCTAGTGTAGATAGTGGCAACGCGTCGGCTTTACAGGCGCGTGCTAATGTGAAATGACCATCTAATTTGTACTGTATTCTATCTCATCAACAATGTCTGTCAGAACAAGAACAAACTGAGCAGGGCCACTCAAACTCGAACCCTTTGGGCGCCTCGAGGCTCAGGTGCTAACGCTAACATTGTCTATTGACAGGATCCTCGCTCTCGACACGTTCACCATGACCGACACACCCATGAGCGATGCAACGGCCGACGGTGTACCTGCCGTACCCGTGCACTATGTCCCAATTCCGACGCTGCCGACCCCTACACCTCGAGACGACTACGCCCCTTTCAGTGGGACGCGCACCCCACTCGTAATCGACAATGGCGCGACGCAGCTACGTTTCGGGTTCTCCACGACCCCTGGCGGCAAGGACGAGGCGAACACGAGCCCGCACGTGAATACGAACGCGATCGCGAAGTACAAGGAGCGCAAGCACGGCACGAGTCTGCTGCTGTTCGGCGACGCGATCGAGAGCGAGAGCGGGGCGAGGAGTCAGATTCGGACGCCGTGGGAGGGGGACGTGTTGTTGAACTTTGATGCTCTGGTGAGCTGCTTTCGCTTGCTAGGACGAGGTGGCGGGACATGGGAGGTGCTGACGGGTGGCGAGGGCAGGAAAACGCGTTGGACTGTGCGTTCTTGAAGCTTGGGATATGTGATACGGAGACTGTCGAGCATCCTGTGCTTATGACGGAGCGGTTGTGCTCGCCGCTGCATTCGCGCTCGCGTATGTCCCTCCGTTGTCGCTGGAATGAGTTGATGATGAAGCTATGAACCTCTAGTAACGTCTGAGCTCATGTTTGAGCTATATGGCGTCCCGTCGCTGCTGTACTGCGTGGACTCGGTCATGTCGTTCTATCAGAACAACAAGCCACCTAGTTCAGGTGCATTCGACACGGACGGTCTTGTTATTTCGTTCAATACGGCATCAACGAGTGTAATACCTATGGTAAAGGGGAAGGGGCTTCTCAGCCATGCCAAACGGTACGGCGGTTTAACACAGGATATGGCCTTCGTACTTATGCGAGAGTGGCTACAGAATACCATGGGGTGCTCAACAAGCGACCGATTACCTGCTCAAGACCACCCAGCTCAAGTACCCCAACTTCCCGACGCGAGTCACACCTGCCCAGTCCTCTGTCAGCTATCTCCCCTTCCTTCCCCGTCCATGTAAGCTAACGCGGTGACGAATTGTAGTGGATGATGCAGAACTTCTGCGAATTCGCGCCAGACTATCTCGAGCAGATCCGGAGGTTGCGTCAGCCAGACGCGCTGCGAGCGGGGGCACGTATCATACAGTTCCCTTTTGCGCTGCCCGTGGTGGAGGAGAAGACGGAGGAAGAGCTGGCGCGCGTTGCAGAGCGGAGAAGAGAGCAGGGGAAGAAGCTCCAGGAGATTGCGGCTAAGAATCGGCAGGAGAAGGTGCGTAACGCATCGTGTTGAAGTTGCCGTTGGTGAGGCTCATGCGGGTGGCTTTGGTGCAGCTCGAGGCTAAGGAGCGAGATCGCGATTTTATGTTAAAGTTGAAGGAAGATCGGCCGGATACGAAACGGGAGTGGATGGTACGTTATCCTTTAGTATACACCCGTTGTTTTCTGAACGTAGTGTTTACAGAGCGTATTAAGAGGCGAGGGCTTCGACGACGAGGACTCGTTCGAGCAGACGCTAAAGAAGCTCGAGGCTGACATCAAACGTGGGCGGAAGAAGGACACGGATGTGGAAGAGCCTGCGGTAAGGTTCTCGCGCACGCTTGTGAAGATGAATCTCATTGAAATTACAGGAGGAGCCGACCTTCCCACTGCTTGACGTGCCCGACGCCGACGTCAGTCTTGTATAAATCATTTGCTGTATTTCCGCGGCACTAATGGCTTATTTGCAGCTCGACGAAGACCAACTCAAAGAAAAGAAGAAACAGCGCCTCCTAAAGGCAGGGTACGATGCGCGTCTGAAAGCACGGCGCGAGAAAGAAAAGGAGCGCGAGGAGAAGGAGGCGGAGGAAAGGCGCGAGGAGGACGAGCGGGAGAACAACTTTGGGGAGTGGTCGAGAAGGCTGCGGGCGGAGCAGGAGGCGATCATGGTTCGCATGAAAGAGAGGAGCAGAAGGAAGGCGGCGCTGGCGGATAGGAAGAGCGCGGCGGCGCAGGCGAGGATGAAAAATATTGCGACGCTCGCTGCGGATGATAGGGTGAATAAGAAGAAGAGGAAGGCTGCTGGGGGTGCGTTTATGTGTCTATGCTCGTTTGGTTCGGTGGCTAACTAGAGTGGAGCAGGCGAGGACATGTTTGGCGCTGATGACGCCGACTGGGCCATATATCGCAAGATTGTACGTGCTCTCGCATTCAGTTGTGGGATCGAAGACTTACAAGTGGTGCACAGAACACGGCAGTGGAATCATCAGACGAGGAAGAAGACTACAGCCAGCTGCAGACAATCGAGAACAAGCTACTCGCGCACGACCCGACATTTACGCTTGCGCACACGCACGCGGCCATCACGTCGCAGAAGTCGGCGATGCTATCGGCTTTCAGGCCGCCATACGAGGAGGGCGACGTCGAAGGTACGTAGATTTCTATTCATTTCGACTCATATATAGACTTGATGAACGTGATAGGGAACACGCGGATACATCTCAACGTCGAGCGGTGGCGTGTCTGCGAGACGTGGTTCTCGCCGGGTATGGCAGGAGTCGACTCGGCAGGCTTGGGTGAGGTGCTGCAGGGCGTGTTGGCGCGCTTCTCGGACGCGGAGAAGGCACGGATGGTCCAGGTAAATCGTATCGCTCTCTATCCCTATCCCTCTTGCTTTCGAATGTGTATGCTAACGCTCTTGTCAACCCAGAACGTCTTCGTCACAGGCTCGCCATCCAAGTTGCCGGGGCTGACCGACCGGATCTATTCGACGCTGCGCCCAATCTTGCCACCCGAGATGCACCTCGGGGAGATCGTGCGCGCGGCGGACCCGTCGCTGGACGCGTGGAGAGGAATGGCGGCGTTTGCGAACACGGATGAATTTTCCAAGTACGGGGTCACCAAGGAGGAATATGAGGAATTGGGCGGCGAGCGCATCAAACGGTGGTGGGGTGGTAATTGGAACCAATCGGTCTCACCATAGACATGCATATGCGTCTACCAGCTGTATATTATATGCGCCTGGCGCCAGTCATGGCAAACAAGTGACGTTCGGTTCTTACTTCTCGTCTTTCTCTTCGGCACTCACATCGGTGAGTTCCATCGCCAAAGTAGGCTCGGAAGAGTTGCCGCGCATGTGAGCCTGGTACGGTGGGTCGGGTGGTAAGTGCCTAAAATCGCACACAGGTAACACCTGCATGTGTTCACGGTCACGTACCTACCTATATGAGTAATGCACAGATTGTATGCACTTGTCGAATAACGAACACTGAAGAGGTATCTTGAGAGCATGCAATAATAAACGTATTACAACGACCACACGCGACATGATATGTACTAGGTTGCAGAGATGAGTGGGTAGAAAATGGCCGGGAGAAGTCCGTCTTTGAACATCCAGCCGCCCATGCCGGACGTCTACGAGCAGCAGGACCCGGACGAGGCGGCGGCGGGCTGGTTGACCTTGACGGAGTCGGCATTGCCGGCGCCAGAGGGGAGGGCAGAGTCCGCTTGCGAATCGATAAGGCGAGTCTTGATATCTCTGGAGACACGCGCGCATGTGTCAGTACGTTGCAACACGACGTGGGATATCGGATACGCGGTGGTGAAGCGGTGATGTGGCATGGCAGGACATGGCAACGAGGAGAGGGGCAAGCGAAGAGACGCACCTGGCGAGAGTGAAGAATGCCTCCTCAACGCCCTCGTTCACCTTAGCAGAAGTCTCCATGAACTTGACGCCGAGCTCGTTGGCGAGTTCGCGTCCCTCTTCCTCGGTGACAGCGCGCTTATCGGTCCAGTCGGACTTGTTGCCTATGAGGATCTTGTTGACGCCCTCGGAGGCATGTTGCTCAATGTTGGCGTGCCATGTCCGAATGTCTGTGGTGGTTTATTATGCGTTAGAATGAGGTAAAGGCCGCGATCGGCGATGGTAGGCCGGGCTTGGCACGTAAAGGGGAGGCAAGAGGCAAGATGGACGTACTCTTGAAGGAGCGCTCGTCGGTAACGTCGTAAACGAGCAGGATGCCCATCGCGCCACGGTAGTACGCGGTCGTTATCGTCCTGAACCGTTCCTGGCCTGCAGTGTCCCACTAATTTGCAATAAAAGGTACGCCAGGCGCGCCACGCGGGGTATGGGCAAGGGTGTGAGTTACTCTGGCGACGCGGATAGGAGATGGGCACAGGCTCTGGGGGACGCACAATCTGGAGCTTGATGCGCTTTCCGTCGAGCTCAATTGTGCGGATCTTGAAGTCGATACCGATAGTCGTGATGAAGGAGGGTGTCCATGCGTCGTCGCAGAACCGGAGGAGCAAGCACGACTTGCCAACACCTGCGCGGTATAATTGGTACGAAATAACTCGGACAGTTTTATGAGTAGTATCTCACCAGAGTCACCGATCAACAGCAGCTAGAGAAAGGACGATTAGTAGTGTATTTGGGCGGGCGTCCAAGTGCCTCTCACCTTGATGAGAAAGTCGTAGTGCGGGGGCGGCATCGTAAAGCTGTTTCGATATAAGACATGGTCCGCATCTCTCAAGCAACATGCACACCTTTCGTGTAGACGTTAAATGAGACGTAAGTGGGCGAGTGGTGGGCAAAGGCGAGTGGACTATTGAGCGAGTGGTGTCTGTCCTCTGCTCAGTGACAAGCAGTGCGCTGTCCCCAGTCGTCCCGCAGTTGTGCGCGGCTTTCTAACTCCGACAACCCACGTCCTGTCGTAAAGTGGCTGAGCTAACACGACTCTCACCCGCCTTTAACTCACTACTTCGCAATTGAGGCAGAAACACACGCTATGGATGCCAAATGAATAGGTGAGATCACTGCAGGATCATGTCCATAGATCTCGAGCCTACGATCCACTTTATACAGCGTATGCTTCATGGCGCTCCTGGCTGAAATGTATACACTTACATACCTACCGTCATACAGAGGCAATTTATTGACGAATTTATTGACGACTTAGATGTGTATCATAAACTCGAAGTGAAGTTCACATCAAGGAAAGCGTATTTAACGGTACAACCAATCCGTCGAACTCGAACGATGTGCCTAACATCAGAACCACCCACACGCGATCCACCTGCCTGCGCATGGCTTCTATCGTCATGAGCTATTGCTACACCCCTTTGTGTCGTCTGTGACTGCGACCGGGGCTGGTTATGCGCCTGCACTGTGGGCATGTGCCTCTGATCCATCTTCTTGTTGCGCCTCGCCAGCCACATCGCCAGCTCGTTCCAGAGATTCTTGAACCCTCTCGTAAATATTGGCGACTGTTTTGCTGGCGGAGCCGCCGGCATCCCCACTGCAGCGAGCGGTGCTGTATCAGGAGCAGCCGGAGTCGGGGAGCCAGGTATAGGTGCCGTTCCTGCGCCCGCGCTTGGTGCGGCATTGGCTGAATATGCAGACGCTGCTGACGTTGGCTTCCATGGGTTCCCTATTTTCTTCCAGGCGCGCTCCAAGGACTTCATTTTGTCTATCCAAAATCCCGCAGTAAGGAAGTCCCTCGCCACGACAACCGGCCAGAGCACCAGCGACACTGTGATCGCGCTCGCCAGCATCACGGCAACCCGCGTGGCTATGAGCGTGTCCTGGAAAGACAGTGCAAGGAATGCCATGGAGAAGAAGAGTACCCTACGATGGAGTACAAACATTTCACGTCAATTCTAACGGCAATCGAAATGATATGCATGACTCACCCCCACAGGAGGAACGCAAAGGGTAGACTATGAATGATTGCTAGCATCTCAATGCCGTGCTTGTTACTCGATACGGAGGTCAGGAAATCCACCTCAATACGATAGAACATCGTCAACATCGTCGCCAACAGAGTATAGCATGCAAGCAACCACACTTACAGCCTCGTCAATAGACTGGCGCGAATTTGTTTCGTTCTGCCGCACGAGGACCAATGAGGTCACAACCGATCCAACCGACCATGTCGTCGACACATAACTCATGATCTCGGCCACAGTCTGCGGATGCATTCCACTGTCAGTGGTACCCTGTGGCATGACGTTATACAAAGCCAGCAACGACAGGTTTACTGCGAGGAGAACTGTAGACTACCGCGCGGAATGTTAGCGATGTTGTAATTCATATGTTAAAGTAATGGCACCAAGACCGGAAGTGCTCACGTAGAGGGTGTAGCCTTTCCATTCGGTATTCAGCCCATTGATGAATTTCTTCCATGGAACTTGATTCACGACCCTGTCGATCCAGACGGCGCGCAGCCGCGCGAGGTGCGAGTGGGGTGCGTTGAACAGCATGAACATTATAACGCGCATGAATACTGAGATCTCCGCCTTTCCGTCCTCGGTCGGGAACAGAGGCTGATCAGAGTTTAGACGTGCGACAGTTTGGCCGTGAAAGTGGAAGAAGCGATTTCGTGCTGCACGCTGCATTAGCCACTGTACGCCGAGGTTGATATATGATAAGGGACGAACTCAAGATGCGCATGAGCCTGGCTAGGAGGAGATGAGATGTATACTCTATTTGAAGTATATTCATCTCTCACCTATGATACAGACCGAGTGATCAAATGTTTTTCCTTTGACTTCTACATCGTACATGGGTACTGCATATACAAAAGGCAGGAGGGGCAAGGGCTGACCTTGAACGTGCTCAATGATATCTCGGACTTTAGATAGCTCGTCTTCATCGAACGGGGTCAACGACGTGTCCGATGTTATCATCTCTGGTTATAATATTCGTCAAGGGAAATTCGGCGGAAACCACAACGTGAGACTAACCGGACGTGTAGTGGAAGACAATTTCTTTCAGTTCGTCGACTATGTTCTCACCAACTGGCCTGTTATAAGGGAAGAACTCGCAATGCTGCCTTTCCGCGGAGACGGTCGGTGAGCGCGACATCAGCCCCAAAATGATGCTTACCAGTACTGTTGCTCTACAGCAAGGCCTGAAGGTCATTTAACACACATAACAATTAGCAAACGAAGAGAACGACGTACCCATATGACTCTTGGTCCTGACGCCCTTCAGGTCCTCGAAGAGCGGCGTTATGTCGAAATTTTCAACCCAGAAGAGACGGCGAGTACTGTGGCTAACGAAATAGTACCTTGTTTTGAATTGATATGTGCGGGCGACTTCCCCTCCCGGGGTATTGTTGCTCGCTGTCGATTCCGCGCGTGACTCGCATTCCTCCAATTCCAGCACAAGCTCCGCATCTTCGGGGATATGGTCATTGTGGGTCTTCTTCTTGAGCATGGTGATGCTTTGTTCGATAGCTTTTCGAAACCTTGAATCGCTTAAGGGAGCGTCAGTGAAGATCCTCTATGCGAGAAAGTTAGACACGACGCTTGCACATGAGCAAAGTAATGCATGCCTGCTGCTGACGGAACCAGTACAGAGCTCCTTCGGGGTGCACTACTCGCTTCCAACCTGCGCGACTAGCAGGTAGGTAGTCGGCTTCATCGCTATGGGCCCCAACATGAGACTATGGCCCAACACGAGGAATGCTTTACCCTACTCGTCATAATCCATAGTCAGACGCTCGACAAGAGGAAGGTATGAACCCAACTTCGCCTTCTCGTCGCCTCTACAAAGCCTGTCAAATGTACCACCCCCATTCAATGAGAAGAATACTCACCTATTAGGAAGTCGACGATTATACCGGCTGATCTTGCTCGCGTAGGTGGGCTTTAGCGACTTGATTTTGACAACAAAGTCATCTGGCTGCTGTGTAGAGTGCGTCGGGGTACTGTTCCAGTCGGTCGGATAGGGCGACTTCATTGCTAGGCCAAGGGCGGAGTGCGAGGACCAGTGTATATCACAAGCATCCTCATTCGGCATGTCATTGCATACGTGCATTGAACTGGGAGGTGAACCATGTTCGTGGACCCCAACTTGGGTGTCTTGAGCGCCAGCGGTTGGAGAAGTGGGGAAACGGGCCTCAGATGATGCCGCGAAGAAGGCCCTCGCCCCGGGCTGGTTGGGCGCGTGCGTGTTTCTTCCGGAGCATGAGAGGGCACGACACGCCCCCAATACACGCTGGAGAAGCGCCAGTAGACCTCCCAACGAGATACGTGCCTTTCCTAAGTACACTCCAATCCATCTCTGCAGAGCCCGTCGAACGCGTAGCTGCAAAGTCATGAATCACCTACGGCGCCTAAGGGAGGTTTCAAGGGGAGGAGAATGGGCGGAGGAGAAAAAGGGACGGGCGGCAAGGTGTATGCCTGTTGTGCTCCTGCAGGGATCTACGAGGATGCACCATCTGTGTACTGTCGCGTGGAATGGGCGTCTTCCGATTGCTCTGCCAAATGATCGTCTGGTGGTGAACTTGCTAGACGCTTGTATCAAATATTTCATAGGTCGAAGATAGCAGGAGAGCAAACGAAGGTAAAAAGACATGTTGATAGCATCGTCGTTCAGAGAAAGTTACAGTGGTAGACAGTATTGACTCCGGTGTTGATCTCGCCGTGACGATAGACAGGGGCTGCTGGGACACTCTGACCTACACTGACTGACATTGCATAACACCTTTGAGCCATATTGATGTGATCTTGGGCTTACTTGTAGACCATTGCGAGTTCAATGTCAAGATTTTCTGAGACTAGCACAGACATATGGATATCGCGAGTACGCACGTCTGCCGAACAGCGGTACGGACTGCGGTGCGCGATGAGCCGATCGCCGCTGCACGACCAGCAAATCTTGAGCAAACTTTCCGTCGCTGTGACTGTCGACGTGAACGAATAAGACTGGCCGGCATCGGACGCTCCAGAAGCGGCATATGGGATATAGACATAGTCAATTTGTGATCTTGCTATAGTATGTCAGCCTTTGAACGAAAACATATCAAGCTGTTTTTCCGATAATTTGCCACGTCGACTGGGTTGCCGAGCCACGTGGGCGCGAAGAGTGTAACGCGCGCTCCGCTCCAACGATTTCTCAGGAACCGGCGGCACGTCCATCCTCTGGCTCTTGTTGACCGGTCGCTGACTTCTGCTCCTTGTGTCCCTTCGTGCGCAAGTTTCCACTACGGATGCTATGGCAGCAGAGATCTCGTCATACAAACTTCTTCCGCAGCAAACGCCGTTGTCAGTAGTCTACATCTCTTCCTGCCTGACGTTGCTGGCGCTGGCCATCTCGCACGAACGGTAACGCAATCCATCTTCCTGATATTTATACTCCGGCCGATCTCTGGGTCCTGAGAATTGCTCCTTCGCTCGAACGGATGAACAACCTCTTCTGTGCTGGCATACCTATCTCCGGGGTATGTAAATCTGCAGGCTATTTTCTGATCATCGTTGCTAGTGTATGACGAGATGAGGCGAGAATGCACCAAACACACGAGAACTAGTCGGCGGTCGCGGCTTCGCGTAAGCGTAACTCGGGAGGAAAGATGTGCGGTGGCAAATGCAAGTCTTGCGTTCGTGGGTGACCCCAACGGATTTGGGGTACGATGTGGGGTAGGTTGGGTATATGCACGCATACGGGAGCGGAGAAAAAAAAAGAAATGGCAGAGTCGAACGCCAGCGTTGGTAAGTGTACTATAGGCGGTTATCGTCGAGACGCCCTCTGCAAGACTCTGCTTACATTGCGTAAGGAACTCGACGATATCGTCAGGCACCAAGGCATTGCGCGCGTCGATCACGCTGAGGTCATACCTGTCGTGCTGGTGCACAGCTGTAGGCGCTCTCCTTAACGATCCGTTGACTAGTGACAGCAGATTTGACATTTCATCCGTACATTCATTCGGCTTGACGGTCTTCCAAGCCGTTGCAAAGCGAAGTGAGCTCAATCAGTGATCGCCGCAGATGACATGTGCTACCGCATTTTGCAACGTTATCCAACCAACCAGCCTTCGAAATTATGTCTGTAACGCCTTGTAACGCTGGCCTTCCCCAGGCGGGACGCCGGACTGCGTACATCGGAGAAGCCGCGAGCCGACCACGCGTTCGGCGCTCCTCACTCACCTGGTCCACCGCCAGTCCGAGTCGTAAGGTGCGCTGGCACCCTGCTGTCTCACCTTCGCGTCTTCTGGGCATCTCAAGCGCGTATATAAGCCTCCCCTGGTCTGCGTCAGAATGGCCCTCCCCAAGCCGTAGCAGTTCAGTCTACGTCCCCTCCCCTTTTCTCCGGACCCCTTTTCTTTCTTGTTCCGTAGACACCTTCTTCTGACCGCCTGGACGCAGCGGTTTTATCTATCAACACACGATGCTTTCTAGCAACAGAGGCCCGCGCCTCCTCCTCTCGGCGTTGGGCACGCTCCTCGCCGCCGCATCCTCCGTCAGCGCGCTCGGATCCAACTGCACAGCAGCCCTCGGCAGCGGGACTGCCGGGGCGAGCGACCCGTTCTGGCTTGAGAGCATCAAGCACCAGGGCACGGCTCCGTTCAACCCCGACCCAAGCACTTACACCGTGTTCCGCAATGTGAAGGACTACGGCGCGAAGGGCGATGGCACCACGGACGACACGGCTGCTATCAAGTGAGTTCATCTCGTACCGGTCTCAACGGCGGTAATGCAGAGGGCTGACTGGATATTACAGCACGGCCATGACCGACGGGAACAGGTGTGGAAGCGCGTCCTGCGCGTCGTCAACGCTTACGCCCGCCATCCTTTACTTCCCTGCTGGGTATGTCGACCTTCGGTTGTGATTTTCACCCCTATGCACGCTTGCTGACGTTTGTTGTCTGCAGCACCTACGTTATCTCGTCTGCTCTCGACCAGGCGTACTACACCCAGATGATCGGTGATGCCCGCACCCCGCCTACGCTCAAGGCGAGCGCTGGTTTCACGGGCTTCGCTCTCATCGGTACGTCGATCATATATCCAATCGTCTTGACCCTCCTGGTTAATCTGAATTTTCACAGATGCGGACCCCTACATCCCCGGTGGCAGCGGCGCCGAGTGGTATGTCAACCAGGACAACTTGTGCGTCGCGCTTTCCTCTCGTTGATGTATCTGGCTAACCTCGTGCCTAGCTACCGCTCGATCCGCAACTTCGTCATCGATCTCACTGCCATCCCCCCTTCTTCGGCGGTCAACGGCATCCACTGGCAGGTCTCGCAGTCTACGTCATTGTTCAACGTTATCTTCAACATGAGCGACGACCCTGCGACTGAGCACGTCGGTATGTACATGGAAAACGGCAGCGGTGGCTTCATGGGAGACCTCGTGTTCAACGGTGGTAACATCGCTGTCACTATCGGTAACCAGCAATTCACGGTTCGCAACTTGACGATCAACAACGCTAAGCAAGGTATGTTTCTGTTTCCTTTGTTGTTGTTAACGCCAACATGAGCTAACCCCGCACAGCTATCAGCGGTATCTGGGACTGGGGCTTCACCTACCAGGGTGTCACGATCAACAACTGCGGTGTCGGCTTCAACCTTACCACCGGTGGCATGTCCAAGGACAACCAGACTGTCGGCTCTGAGCTCATCATCGACGCTGTCGTCACGAACACACCCACGTTCATCCTCGACTCCTCGCCCGCTAACGGCGGCCTTACCGGCGGTTCGCTTGTCCTGAGCAACATCCAGCTCACCAACGTCACCACCGCCGTTGGCGTCATCGGCTCCACCGACGCCGTCCTCGCTGGCGGCAGCACCACGATCGACATCTGGGCGCAGGGCTTCACGTTCAGCGGCACTGGCGCCACCGGCACGTTCGTCCAGGACAAGGTCGCCGCCCCGGCGAAGGACAGCAGCCTGCTCGATGGCTCGGGCCGCATCTTCGGCAAGACGCACCCGCAATACGAGTCTTACTCCGTCGACCAGATTATCAGCGTCAAGGACAACGGCGCCAAGGGTGACGGCACGACGGACGACACGAAGGCGCTGCAGGCCGTCTTCGACACGTACGCCGGCTGCAAGATTATCTTCTTCGATGCGGGCGCGTACTACATCACCAGCACGCTCAACATCCCCGCTGGCACGCAGATCGTCGGCGAGGCGTGGTCCACGATTCTCGCTGGTGGCACTGCGTTCTCGGACATGACCAACCCCACGGTTGCGGTCCAGGTCGGCAACTCAGGCGACACCGGTGTTATGGAATTCACGGACATGCTGTTCTCGACCGTTGGTCCCTCGCCCGGTGTCATCATGGTGGAGTGGAACGTCCACGACCCCACTGGCCAGCAGGGTGCTGCGGGCATGTGGGACACCCACTTCCGCTTCGGTGGTGGTACGTGCATCTATTTCAGACTTCCAGAATTGCTGTGTGCTAACCGTGTCTTCAGCTACCGGTACGGCCATGACGAGTAAGGAGTGCCCCCAGACCTCGCGCAACGACGCCTGCCAGGCCTCTTACCTCGGCCTTCACCTCACTTCCGGCTCGTCCGCCTACCTCGAGGGTACCTGGGTCTGGACGGCCGACCACGACCTCGACACGAACGAATCGACGAACATCACCGTCTTCTCCGGCCGCGGTATCCTCTCCGAGTCCCAGGGCCCCGTCTGGATGATCGGCACCGCGTCTGAGCACGCCGCACTCTACCAGTACAACATCGTGAACGCCAAGAACCACTGGATCGGCTTCGCGCAGACCGAGACGCCGTACTACCAGCCTTCGCCCTCCGCGCCCGGCCCGTTCACGAGCAACAGCACGCTCAATGACCCGACGTACTCCGGTACCGCCGACTCGGCGTGGGGCATCAACATCGTGGGCACGAGCGGCACGACGATCTTCGGCGCGGGCCTGTACAGCTTCTTCTCCGACTGGGACCAGAGCTGTGTGCCGACTATGAACTGCCAGGCTGGCGTGTTCAACATCGACTCCAAGTCGTCCGTGAACGTCTACGGTCTCTCGACGCTCGGTATTACCACCCAGCTCAACGTGGACGGTAACGCCGTTGTTGACGCTAAGCCCAACGTCGCGGGCTACCAGGAGACCATGACCTACTGGGGCCCCGCCTCCTCGTAAGCCGTTACTTGCGGTGTTCGAGAGGCTCGCTTCGCGGTCCTGTTTTATTAGGTAGTTATTTATAATGAGTGATTATTTATTCCACTACTAAGTAGAGCGGGCGACGCGGGGTTAGTTGTCTGCAGTACTTTGCGATCGAAAGGAAAACTGATGCATATGTATACCTGTTTTTCATATCTGGTTATATGTGTAGACTACGTACACTAATCGAGATTGATGATACCCTACGATTGAAATCATCTGCTGTTAAAACCTGGTTCGATGAATGTGAATTTTGTGTGAAACTTCGACGCTTGTACTATCGATGCCCCCCCTGTGAAACAATGTACCCCCTGTGAAACACCTCCGTTTTGTGTTTTTTTCCCTTTACCTTGCATCTAGCCAATTACCTCTGAAAGCTTAGTATTCATGTAATTCAGCGTCTTCCGTAGCTTTCACTTTTTCTGCATACTTTCTCGAAGCCTGGAAGAGATGCCAGCGGGATGCCGATCCTGTGACTCTACCCTCACTGTGGAAACCTGTGACCATAACGGCTATGTCACATTGGTCACGACGTTTTGATAGTTGAATGACTTCATGCCGACGCGTGCCGCTGTGCTACTCCATCACACTTTTGTCACGATTGAGCCCCTGTCTTTCAAGCTCAAAATCTCAACGCTGCTGGAACGCGGGCAACTAAACATCAATGTGCACAATTCGTACTGTGATTAATAGGCATATGTTTCTAACAGACACCAAAAACCCAAAGTAAACGAGGCATATTTGATCAGGTGCTGGAGAGAATGAGTTTTGAGCAATGCAACTTAGAACGGTTTGTCGAGCTGTACAACACCCAGTTCTAATCTTCTACTGCTGAGCTTCGACTATGCTATAGACTAGGGTGTGAACAGTGTACAGAAAAATAATCGTGAGCATTGATTGGGGGATGGACGAGATATGCTCGAATATCTGCGATGTTTCACAGGGGGTACATTGTTTCACAGGGGGGGCATCGATAGTATCTATGATGTTCGTTGTTACCAACTTTGACTCGGACACGACGGCTCGGACGACAGCTTTGCCTCATGGTAAGAAGAAGCAAATTAATAAAGAGGTCGAAAATAAGCGAGGCTTGGGAGTATAAACCCTGTCCGCCATCCTATTTATCCACTATGTCTACGTGTGGACTGTGCCAGAGTGAGGGGAGAAGATGAACGGACAAGGCGCGAAGAACGGAGCTGCGACACCAGCATTAACAGACAACTTTGCTGAAGCTACGAGCTGTCGCCAGTTCAACCCCGCCCGGTTACTTACTATTTGGGTAGGTCTTTTGTCCTCCGTTCAACACACTGTGCGCTCATCGATCCCAACGTCCTCATATCGATAATTCTTATATTTTTCATCTGATCAAACCAGCGCTGGCGCCATAGTTTTAGAGTGTTCGACACCGAAAGATAAGTAATAAATACAAGACAAATGTGACAGTATACAATACAATACATTTACCTCCATAGATGCTCCGCATCATTTTCCAGAGCAAGCCGAGCACCATGCTCAGGACATAGGAATGTTGATTACGCTAAGGCTCCATGCCGGCGCGGTATATGAAAAGGTCTGTCCGACGGTGATACCCTTCGACGTAGGCACAACGGTGGTCGGGTTCGCCGGTGTGTTGCTCGCCTTTGGGTCACCAGTTAGTACTGTGACCTGCCCAGATGTCCCAACGGCCGTCGAAAGCTGGAAGTTTATGTCCTCGGTGCCGCCTGCATAGTTGACGACCTGGTAATGATGACAATGTAAAGGCGTTTCAGTATAATGAAAGGATGGGACACGCCTTTATGTTGATCGCCTTGGCATATTTGTCGCTTGTCACGCTCCAGAAGAGGGTGCCATTTGCGGTGGGCAGCGTACTAGGTAAGTAGTCGGTGCCTTTGTTACGACTAAAGAGCTAAGGTTATGTAATCAGTGGTTGGCACGCTGCGAGATGGATTGATTTAGGCACACCTGCTGGACGTAGAAGCTTGTTGACGGATAGACAGCACCAGCACTGTGGATGTACTTAAACCACGGGAACCTTCAGGTTGCGTCAGATTACTACGTACTCGAATCCGACCAAGTTAGGCGTCTGGGATGAGGATTGGGTCAATCAAAAAGTTTGTGACGTATGATACTGTTTTCATGTACTCGCCCATTGATATGCACCCGGGTTAACGTTCTGGAGGACTGTTGTATCAGAGACGCTGCTGTCCAGGGAACCACAAAGTCATCTTGCCATCAACAAAGGCGCATATGACGCAGCAAAGACAATATCCGCATTTCGCTCAAACCCGGTCAGGAACACAGCCTCACCAATGCTGCCTGCAGAAAACACATGAGACAAGATGGGACGAAAGACTCAATTCACGCACCTTGAACAATTGGCCATGTCAGGCGTCCATCGTCGGTAGAACCGAACACGGCACTTGCGTTGGTGGCGGTCACGGCATACTCTCCTTGGAAGTAAGTTACGCCATTACGCTAGTTACCGTTAGCTCTGTCAACATATATAGAAAGATCATTAAGAGTACCGGAGTGTTGTCATAGGAGAACGAGTTCTGAGCAAACCAGTCTGAGATATGTCAGAAAGTAGGCCAGTAGAAACGAGGCGGAGGGATACAAACCAGGAGTAGAATACATGTGGTTGTCAATCTGCTGCGGTGCGGGATCAAGGCTAGGGTTTGATGGAGCGGTTGTCGCAATGAATTTTTAGGTACGCAAATAATGAGATCGTTGAGTCAAATTGACGCTGTCGGGATACTTACTGAGTTGCGGGAATGCAGAGCTGAGGGCTGTCACGAAGTCATGCCAACGGTAGTGGTACGAATCCGGGGCATTCATATCCTAGCAGCTCAAGTGAGTTAACATTTGTGGTTGTTCTTGCGCAGCAGCCGACCGACCTCGTTTCCAACTTCCACATATGTTAAGAGGAACGGGTCCGGATGCCCAAGAGAAGCACGAAGGCCAGCTACAAGCATATATGTTCAAAGACAACGTTCATAGGCATGACAGTAATTTACTGACCTGCTGAGCTCTTGGACGGGTCACCGATTGCGAAGTTGATCTATTATATAGTCACTTGAGCATGTGGGATGGCAGTGAATGCGGGACACATTCTCACCTGGTCAATGGCCTGCTGAATGTATGGCTGAAGCTGGGCCTCGGGAACGGATGAGTTGTCGCCAAGTGAGTAACCTGCAAGATTGTGAGAACGGCAGAGAACAGCGAAGCATTTAGGCTCACCAGCCCAGACAGCCATAATCGCTTGCATATCCATATCCTCGCACCAAGTCAGGTATTCCAAGAGGCCCAGACCGCTGAAATAACATTAGCTGCCGTAGATATTTTCTCTTCGGAATGCGTGCTTACTCGGTGTTAGTGTAGCCCCAGTTACCCATACGTCCTGAAGATTCATTAGTCTCTCAGTTAAGGGAGACACTTTTGGATAGCATACCTGGTCTGTCAACAAGATCCCCGACGGTGTTGTTCCAGATCCACCTAGTGGCAGCACTTTGACCTTCCAGATTGTTGCCTCCGGGAAGGCGGAAGAATGAGGGCTTCATGGAGAGCAACAGCTAATAAACTCGCATAAGTGTTATCCGAAGCGGGAGCGATGCAAAAAGTACCTCCGAGAGATCAGCCCTCATACCATTCGGCTTATCCTTGAACGTGGGTGGGAAGAGCGAGAACATAGCAAAGTTGATCGTGCTGCCTGCAGCAGAGTCAAACGTGACAGTGAAGGTGTTGTTGATGTTCGAGGGCGTCGAGCTGGGCGTAAGTTGTGCGGTAACCTGCGCCCACTTCGTCTGGGAGCCGCTGATTGGAATCTGCGTGGATGCGTGGACCTGGCCGTCCGTGCCTTGAAGGGCGATAGTAGCGCTACCGTTGAATCCAGACGCCGTAGGGAACCGGTAGTAGAAGGAGGCGTTGTACGTCCACGAGGAGTTCACATTGATACCTGAGCCATATCAACAAGGAACTACTTGGTAGTTCTTGTATTAGAACCCACCCCAGTAGCCTTGGTTCGCAAAACCAATTGTACCGGACGCGCCCCCTGGGATGTTCAGTTGGAGAGCGTTCGGCAGCGCAGCGGACACTGGGACAGAGTCGGCAACGACAGAGATATTTCCTCCATTAACGGGAGCCCATGCCTGCAACGCATTCCAGTCGCCTGCAAACATGGTTGATTTGAGTGCCGACACACGGTCAACAAGCACAAGTGTCTTACCAGGCTTGACTGCTTGGAAAGCACGGTTCTGAAGCACTAAAGACGAACAGCTCAGCCATGATGGTACGGCTCATGACTTGAGCAGGTACGTACACTCGGCGTACAAACCACCATCACCGCTCTATTTGTTGGTGGTAAGGTTATATACGTTAGTATCTCGACTGTTGAAGCTTACATGCTAAACAGTTTCATGAGCCCGACGTTTTCGCGTTAAAGCACAGTAGGAGACGACTTACGTTGATATCCTGGTGAAGCGCGAAAAGGTGGTCAGCGGCTAACTGAAGGATCAAAGGATGCCTCGCGAACCTCAAACATCTGTCCATCTAGAAACACATCAGCAAGATGAAAATGAAATAGGAACTAACTGGACGTACAAAGCAGAGGAGGAATAGGATGACTCGATGTCCCCTTGACCACAATGGTTGTCGCGGCCGAAGCCACAGCGGCGACACCCAGAAGGGCAGCAGCACGGCCAACAAGTCCTCGGAACATGCTGCGAATAGTGTATGAAAAAAAACCAATCCAGACGGTCGATGTAAGCCTTTTATACGACACAACGCCATCTGCGATCTGAGAATCCTCCCCGAGCGAGTCCCGAAATGCTTCCCCAGGATCGTTTGGTGTACGTTTATGCTGCAGCGACGACGGTTACTACAACGCCCATAGCCGCGCGGGGTCTGCGCACACATGATGTGCATTATCTCATGGTTTATGGTATTGAAGGCGTGCGTAAGCATGGCCACGTAGAGCCAAGCCTCCCTCCCTGAAGTGCGGAGCGGGAGAAGCTATGGCTGAGCACGTGTCGTGGTTTGCTAGGAGAGTATGCTTGTGAGGATGTATGCGATGTGACCGCGATTGAGTCGCAGACGGCGTTGGGTCAAGAACAGCTGTCGACTCGGAAAAACTGACCATTGTGCAAGGGAATGGTCGGGTTGTAGTCGGGTTGTAGGTGGATTGGTTCATCTGTGGCAAAAGAAGATAACACTCACAAAGGCTGGTCCACGAGTGAAAAGAGGCAGCGGTGGAGTCTTACCAACACACGGGACTTACATTATATGGACACCCGGTGTAATAACTTACCGGAAGCCGTTCATGCTATGCACCAACTTGAACGCCTGAATGAGAGCCTTTTTGATGCTGTTATAAAGGGAAGATAAGCTGCACAAGCTTGATGAGCACGAATGTTGCCCGTATATTTCTTTGAGCGCAACGGCGAATTCGAAGGAGCTATATCAATGAGCATTATTGATCAAGTTGTGAAGTCGAGAAGGCACATTCGCCAGTTTACTTCGCAGGTTTTATTGATCGAGGTAACTTCATATTGTTGCTGAATAGCAGGATCACTGAGTAACGTCGATACATCCAGAATCGCCTTGAATTCGCGCGCGTAATGTTAGCGAAATCGAAAAGTGAACGCTGAGCTGGGACCACAACCAGATCTGGGCGCAGTTAGCCCAGAAGACATTCGGCAATGTGGCACGTTGCCCGGTCACTTCTGCTGCCAGGGAGCTAGATCCTGGACGTCTCACTTGCGATCTCATAGCCAAGAGACCTCTTAGTCAGAGTTGTAGTGTGCCAGCTACTACTCTTGACATATTCCCTGAGACTCAGCGAAATGGGCTAGCAATAAGCACTCGTACTAATTGACGTTAAGATGCCTAACACGTACCACACTTGAGACACTGCATAGAGCTAGAAAGTGCTTGTTAGTTGTAAGTAGTACCAGCAAGGACTTACTTGTAGCAAGTGAAGCCTGTGAAGGTTGTGTGAAGGTGGCGATGCACTGCCGCGGAATCCCGAGTCGCGACACCGACATTTCTCCACAGACGCGCCACGACATATGGACAGAGAAAGTTGAGCTGACTGCCTTGTTGCATCGAGTATTGAGCTTCGTCCCAAGGGAGAATTGGCTTCCACCATTGCTATAATACCTCCCCAAATTCAAGATGGAATACAGGCAAACACAGCGCGCGCTCGGAGTCCAAGATCTACGTAAATCCAACTGTCTACTAAATTGTCCAACTATCACACAAATGCCTGCGCCTGCAACTTCCATATCCGCGCGTACTCGCCGCCTTTTGCGACCAAGCTATCGTGCGTTCCTTCCTCTTGCACCTCCGCGTCGTCCATGTACCTGAAAAACGACATTAGTGAGGAACAAGTACAGCGAGGGTTGCAAAGAATCGACTCACAAAATTAGATCAGCATGCCGGGTGAGATTGCCGAAGCGATGCGAGGAGAAGACCATGGTTTTATTTCCGCGGAGCGCTCTGAGGCGCTCGAACAAGTCTACGGGATAGTTGAGTATATTGAATAGGTCGTTGAAATAAAGTACACTCGCCGTGCTCTGCTGTGGGGTCCAACGAGGCACTGGGCTCGTCGAAGAGCAGCAGTCCCACCGCGGGTTCTCCCTCCGCCGTAAGCGACCTCATGAACGTCCTCGATCTTCAAACTCTGATCAACAAGGAGCCTCAAGAAACGCAGACATGAGCAAAAACTTACACAGCTAATCTTTGCATCTGCCCCCCGCTGAGCGTTGTCGTCTCCTGTGCGCGCATCCCGCCAGCCCCACGGACGCGGCTGAAGTCGACCGCGCGCCCGAAAAGCGTCTTGGTGCCCTCGGGCAGGCTTGCGTAGTAGTCGCGCACGGGCCGGTCGAGGTACGTGTCGTACCCGTCGGGCAGCTTCTCGATGAACCCCGAGGCACCGCCGAGCCGTGCGGCTTCTTCGATTTTGTCGGAGTCGTGTGCGAGGGAGGGGTTGCCGAGGGCGATGTTTTCGCGGATCTGGGGTTAAGGGTGTGCGTTAGCGCTGTTGCAAAGGTGATGCGGAGGGAAGAAAGGGAGAAGGGCTGACGGTGAGGGGGAAGTGGGTGTAGTCCTGGAAGAGGATGGCCATAGCCTGGCGGAGGTCGGCGAGCTTGAGGGTCTTGATATCCCGCCCGTCAATCAGGATCTCGCCCTCTGTGGGGTCGTGTATGCGGGAGATGAGTTTGAGGATAGTGCTCTTGCCGGAGCCGTTGACGCCGACGATGACCTTCATGCAGATGAGCTCTGTTTACACATTATTTTTGTGGAACGTACTTACACAAAGCTGTCCTGCTTCAATCTTAAACGAGACGTTCCGGAGGGCATATCCATCAGTCCCAGGATATTGGAAGGAGACATTTCTAAAGGAAAGTCAGCGCCTGCAAGCCAGGGAGTACGTTATTATTCACTTGAACTCCACGGAAATACCAGACTTCAAGGACTGCTGGTTCTCCGGGAATGGCTCGGTGCCATCAAGAATCTTATTCTGCAGCTTCTCGATTTCATACAACTTGCGGACACTAGCGAACTGCTCCGCCAGAGAGAAAGTTTCGCCAAAAAGATGGAACAAACTGGAACTGAAGGACTGGGCGGTTTGGTTGATGAGAGTCAGCGAAGCCAAAGAGATTGGTATCGACGCAGGATATTGCACGGCGCGGAGAGTGAACACTATCTGCAGTGCGACTCAGTACGCTTTCTTCTATGTGAATACATCGAAGTACGTACCTGTGGAAGTTCTTTCATGGGCTCTCGCAAGACAGACATGAGGGTCAGTCTGTCTCTGACAGCATGCTCGCGTCGAACTTCGTGGAAATCACCAGCTTCAAAACCGAGCTTTGCAGATAGTTTCCCGTACTCTGTTCGCAGGCTTTAGTTAAAGTCACAAACGCACGAGATACGTACCTGAGGTAAGATACTCTCCTAAATTGCCTGCGACAAGCTCGTTTCGGTGGTGTGGATCATCGACAAGATGTTTCATGCCCTGCATCCGAACGTAGTCGTCGTTCTTGGTTGTCGCTGCCCAGACTGCGCTGCAGGTTAGTTTCATGGCAGAAGCTGCAGTCCTACAGGAAGCTCACCTGCTCCGGACTTCCACCCGCCTTTACGCATAGTGTACCAGCTAAAGAGTGACTGTGAAAAGCTCATAATGGCCAGTAGCGGGCCGTCACGCTGGTCCCGGAGCACGGCAACAAGTACAGACATCTGCGAGATCAGACGGAGGCTCGTAGTCATGACCGCGGAGGTCATCTGGATAGTCTCCCATGCAACGCTCGAGCGATAGGAGGTGGACCATGCAGACTCGAGCTGGCGCTGCACGGCGGAGTCGCTGAACGTGGGGACGTCCAGGCGCGCCATCGAGTGGAAGATGTGGGTGGAGTAGTGTTGGCGGATGCGGGAGTTCAGGGGGAGACCGAGGCGGCTGCGTCCGTAGGAGAGGAGCCGGGATGCGATGGTGCAGGCTACGCGTCCGCCTGCAACGTGTATGAGGGTATCTATGTCGACTGTGCGTTGTTCTACTGCAGTTTCGACCTGAAGTGAATGAGCAGAGTTTCAGTGGAAGCTGAGTCAACTCACTAGGTTTAGCAATTGACCAGAGTACCTATCAAGAAATTGAGCATGTAAGTAACACTTGGAATCATTGAGTGTGCTCGCACCATAGGGATACTGCCGGTATAAGAGAAGCTATAACTTCTACGATTAGATAGAGGATCAGCATGACGGTGCATTGCCGTATGCTGAGTATGTCCTTGATCATTCTCCAGATAAAGGGCATGCTGTCGAGCATTTGCATGTATGTTTCTATCCGCGACGAGCCCGGGACATATTTGAGCTCTGGGTGCCTCTCCTCGTAGAGGTCCCATACGCCGATGCGGGTGTGCTTGACGCGTTCGGCATCTTCTGGGTTGAATTCGCCCTTTCTGTTGAGGTTGTGGGACCGTTGTCCGCGCATGGAGTCGTGAATTCGATCGTGAGCAGATGAGGGGACGTGAAAGGTCGTAAGTAGATGTGCTGCGGGAGGAGTCAAGACTAAGGCAGTGACTTTTCGTGGACGCGTCCGAACTGCGCGTCAGCACCCCCGTGACCGATTCTTCCACTTCCGGATTCCGAAAAGGCAGTCACGACCAACGCGTGCTTTGCCCTCGACGTCGTCTGCAACGATGGCCGCTGATTTGTCTTCCCTTCTCAACTCATCGAGGGCCCTCAACACGCACCTCTCGAGGCCGGACCTACCCTCGGTCAACCTCACCCTCGACCAGATCGAGGCCCAGTCGCGCCGCCTCGTTTCGCGCCAGCCAGCCCCTTCAAATGACAGAGACCGCGCGTATGTCCAGACCAGCTTGCTCCTGGTAACACTGGACTAACCCTACAACTCTCAGAAATTACCTCCTGGCTCAGGCCCACGTTGATGCCTCGGCTTTGGCCAATAACATCGCCCACCTCAATACCGCTACCACTTTCTCCCCGCTCCAGAACCTCCAAGACACCGACGTCGCCGGCTACCTCCGCCATGCACACGAGCAAAATATTATCTCGACCATCGAGGAGGGGAGAAAAGAGACACAGGAGAGTTTCTACAGGCTGCTCGAGGAGCGGAGCAGAAAAGACTGGGAGTCGAAGAAGCGGCGCGTCTTTGAGGAGCTCGGTGGGCGCGGTACGGGAGACAGTAAGGCGCTCACCGAGATGAAGAAGTCGTTCCATGGCAAAGCGAGCCTTTCGGTGCGTACAATGTCTAGCGGAACTATAACTTGTAACTTAAGCTTATGCGGTCATACAGGCAAGCACCACTGGCCCCAGTCTCACTTTGCAGATGCAGAGCAAAATGATGGCCTACGACCGCTCTGTCTCGGACTTGAACGCTGCGAGGTTGCGCGACGCACCGTGCCCCATTCTGCACTTGCTCATGCAGGCAGCCGCCTCGCTCTCTGCAGACGTAAGACGCTTCGCCCATCTCAGGGAATACTATGCGTGTACTAAACCGTCTCCCCTCTTTTACAGACCAGCTCAAGACAAATCATGCAAATGTTCCACATCCTCTCCAAAATCACCGGCGAGCCACCGGCCTTGCCGCCCGTCGAGCATGCCGGCGCCCACATGCTCAACGCCGCCGTGTTCGAGCGCAAGTTCGCGCGCGTCTACCTTGGTGACCAGGACTCGCGCGAGGCCGCAGGCCTACGCACGCAGATTGCGAGGGGCGCACGGGAGGCCCTCGAGGAGCAGTACTGGGATGTGCTCGATCAGACGGTGCAGGCCCGCGCGGTCGAGGCGAGGCTGGGTGGGGACCCGAGCGTGGCGAATAAGATTAGGGCGTTTTTGCTGTTGAGGTATTACAAGAATGGGGAGTGGGAGGAGCGCATTGAGGTATGTGGTTTTTATGGGTTGAATGGGGTGCAGTTGCTGACGCTCTCATTAGCTCGTCTCAGGACAGCCTATCTGGGCTAAACTGTACTACTTGTTGCGCACTGGCCACGCAGAGGAGGCGCTCGAAGAGGCTGTCAAGCTTCAAGCCGCTATCGAGAACCGCGAGTCAGGCTTCGTGGGCCACCTCAGGTCTTGGCTCGAGTCCCCGGAAAGACGGTAAGCGCATACAAGGTACCACATAATGCTAGGGGAGGACGCTGAAAAGTCTATCCATCCAGCCTACCAAAACCCCACCGGGACCACCTCCAGTCCATGTACAACGCGCATATGCTGCACTCCAACTCGACGGACCCCTTCAAGCTTGCGCTGTACAAGCTCATGGGCAAGCTCGAGTCCTCGCGCCGCAGCGTGCCGCACATCACGACCACGATCGAGGACTGGCTCTGGTTCCAGCTCGCGATGGTCGACGAGGAGGAAGACGGAGGGCTGCGCGGGCTGTCGGAGGTGTTCCTCAGCTACGGCGAGCGGCACTTTGATGGTCCTGTCGGTGCGAACACGAGCTTGAACGCAAGCCAGTCGGGCCAACAGGGGCAGCAGCAGCAGCAGCAACAGAGGAGGGGCGTGTGGGCGACGGTGCTCCTTATTTGCGGGCAGTTCGAACGCGCGGTCGCGGCGCTGTGGGAGCACCCTGAGACGGAAATCGAGGCGGTGCATCTGGCGATTGCTCTGGCATATCACGGGCTGCTACGCGTGCCGCCGCGGGCTGAGACTTCGGATTTGACGCCTTGTAAGGCTTTCCTCTCGTTTGTTGCTGAAAACATGTTTACACGATGACAGTGACCATCTCGCCTGTCTCGCCTCCCGCGCTGAGCCTGTCAACGCTTATCTGGCGATATGTCCGCCAATTCGTCAAGATGGACGCCAAGGAGGCGCTGCAATATGTCTATTGCGTCTGCTTGACGGCCGACCAGGGGAACGGCGTCGGTAAAGAGAGCCTCGAGAATGCCTGGGAGCTCGTTCGCCGCATTATTGTGCTTGCTCACTCGGGCCCCGCCTGGGAGGAGCTCGTCGGTGGCTTCCGCGCAGACGGCACGCGTTTCGTGAGTCTCGTCGCTTTTCCATTCTTTGACGCTTGCTGATCGTATCATGTCATACCATAGAGCGGCGTCATCGAGCAAGGCGCGGCCCTCCTCCAGCTCAAGTCATCCGCGCAATACAACCAGCGCATCCTCGTGCAGGCCGCGCGCGACTCGGAGGAGAACGACCGGATCCCGGAGGCGATCAAGCTGTACAACCTCGCGGGTGAGTACGGGACGGTAATCGCGTGTCTGGCGCAGGCGCTCGGCAACACGCTCGCACAGCCGTCGGGCGGGGACCCGGAGAAGGCGCGCGCGGTCGAGCGCACGGCGATGGACATTTTGAAGCACTATGAGCGCACGAACAGGGCCGCTGGGAGGGATAAGGAGGCGGCGGTGCGGCTGTTGAGGGTGAAGGAGGCAATTGGGGCGAAGAATGCGGGTAGGCCGGATGTGACGCTTGAGGTTGGTGTTCGTTCGATTGCTTTGATGCCGAAGATTGCTGAATGGTTGGATAGATTATGGAATCTACGGATTTGATCCCTCTCGATGGCGACGTCGCGAAGATCACGCGGAGGGCGGAGGAGTTCAGGGACCTTCACGATGCGCTTCAGCGCAACCTCCAGGTCTACCTTCCCCTCACGATGGACGCGCTCGCTGCGCTACACCATTCCGTCAAATCGTCTGCTGGTGCAGAGTCAACGCGCCAGATGGTAAAGTTTGCTTTTTCTTACGTTTTAAGTCATTCTCACAATGATTGCAGACGCTTGCTTCGCTGAGGAAAAAGTCGCGGTCACTTATGATCTTTGCTGGTCTGCTCAAGTACCGCTTGTCGCCGGATGTCTATTCGTATCTGGCAAGACTTGATGTGGAGATTGCACTGTGAATTGTGGTGTATGTACTAGTCTAATGATTTGATGCTTTCTACCCTTATATGATGTACGCATGAACCCATAATGTGCTCCCACACGTATGCATGCGAGTTTTTGAAACGCGGCCGGTACCATTCAGCGCTGAGTAGAAACGAAGTCGGTAATTTCTTCCTCTTCCTCTTCCTTTCCCTCGTCCATTTCGTCTGTACCATTCGGGATGGGCGCCCCCGTCTGGCTGTGAGACTACACACAAACTCAGCAAAAAACTTCAGACGATGAGGATGTGACGTACGTGGTAGATCGCAGTCCAATATCCGGTCCAGTACATTGCGTTCAGTGCACGGTTGAAAGCCTCGTCTCGGCTTATGGGCGTATTGAAAGAAGCCTGCGCCTGCCCGTTTTGCATTGGTGGAGCGGGTGCTGGGAACCCAAGCGATGGATCATGGGTGGGTACGAAGGTGTTGAAGTCAATAGGTTGAGAGTCCGTTTCGGCTTCGACTGTTGGTATCGGGGCTGCGTTCACCTTTGCCTGGCGTGCTTTGATCTTTTCAGGGTCTGGTGGCACGTTGTACCATCTGCCAACGTAGTGAGTGTGGATAGCGGCGAGGGATAAGGATGTATGCGCACAGGGGCGACTTCTTTACGGGCTGGTCCTTCCAGCTTTTGCCTTTGCCGTTGAACGCCTGGATTGTATTCTGTAAGCCTTCGTTCGCGAAAAAGCTGGACGGAGAGCACCTCGTATTCTGCAGCGGCAGAGTTCCACGCGTCGATGAGCGCAGAGTCATCCCAGATCTCGTTGTGGGTGAGCTCCCTGCTCTCCTCTTCGTCCTCCGCCATTTCGCCTTCCTCTTCCTCCGCAGCATAGTCCGGGTGCACCCCAGTGGGCTCACCTTCGTCGTCGTACACCATGTGCACGGACGCGTCGCCTGCGCCGGCGGCTGGGTCGTCCCAGTGCTCAGGGTGGGGTCTCTGCCAGGGCTTGGAGTTCGTTTTCTTTCGCTTCTTTGCGGGAGGGGCAGAGGGCGGTTTCTCACCTGCGAACGTGAGTGGGGTGCTTGACGTCGATCCAGACGCGGGCGGCGGCGGGGTGGTGAGGTCCTCGTAGGGGACGAGTTGGCGCATGGTGGTGGCGAGATGCGTGCAGAGTCTGCGGACGTCGGCGCGGGCGCTTTGGGGTTTGCGGGAACGTGACAGCACGCGTCTATGTCACGATCCCGCACTAGTACTTCAATTCGAAGTCCAAAATAAGAATAACTACGGTAAATTCAATTGGTACCTGGGTGCAATAGTATGAGAGGCAGAGAATGCCAAGTCACGCGTTGGTCAGCGACTGACAGTGACCGACACGATGACTGAATGTCGGTCATTTAAAAACCGTGACCAGAACGTCGAGTTGCATCTCGGTTATGAGCTTGGCCGGTGATCCGGTCGCGCGCGGAGATCTCGGGGGAACTCAGGGGTTTGTAGATTAGAAACACATAGATAGCGTAGAATGTCTGTCTGTATCGTACAAAACCTATGTAGTACCTAATAATACCTGCTGTGTAGTATCATCTAACAAAATCTCGATGTTAACGTCCGATTCCTGCCTTGTCCTGCTTAGGAATCGAGTCTAGCTCTAATAATTTGTACATAGACATTTCTTCCTCAAAGTTCTGATGAGCAGACTGTTTATACAAGTCAGACCAGCTTTTGTTAGCAAAATTGAAGAGGTTGTGAAGGGGAATTTGCATTCTGATGATAGATGGCTGGCAAATAGGCTCCTCATCAAGTT